GCTTTAGAGCTGGCGAACCCGCCCCCACTCCACAGTGTGGAAACGACGTCCCCTCGAAATTCAGGGTGACGCTGGAAGTTAAAAGACCTGATCCCATGTGGCTCGACGGCGAAGACTGCCCTTAAGCTGTTGCTATGCTGAAGAAGTTGCCTAGCGCATACTTAGAGAAGGGCGCGGGGCAATAGAGAAGTCGGGATAATAGAGGGGGCGGTGTCAGGACCGCGGAGAAAGAGGAGTGATGGCTGCAAGGTTGGACGGCGGAGGGGGGCGGGAGGGAGGAGCAGGCTGGCCCAGAAATGCGGGAGCGAATACACGTGTGCTACGTGCAGCGCCCGCTGCTCCCCTGGGTCCTAGAGAGTTCCTCAATGGGGAGCCACCTCCGTGGGGTGCGGTGGGGTGGCTGCCTTGTCGATCGGCTCTTTGGCTCCATCATCCCTCTTTGCTGGGTCGACCCCCGAGGGGAGCCTCATGCCTCTCCCCCCTCCGCCAGCCCAACACGCCCTCCCTCCCTTTGGTAATAATGCTCGATGTGTTTCTTCACCAATGGAGGCGCTTCCTTCGACTCCCCTCGCCGGCCTCCATAAGGCAGACCCCTGCCAGATGCGGAGGGGGTGGGGAGGGGGCCTGGCTGCGTCCGGGGTGGGTTGCGCCTCCCTTGGAGAAGCTGACACCAGAGGGGGCTGCCCCTTCCCTTTGTCCTGCTCAACGGCCTCGACGGGAGCAGTGGTCCGGAGTAGGGGCCCGAGGGGGTGTCTGTTTGCTAACCTGCACGCCTTTAGGGCTGCTCACCCCCCCCCAGGATCACCTGGCCCGAACCCCAAGTTCCTCACCCACTCCCAGTAATGAAACTGGGGGTGCGGAGGCAGGATTAGAGTAGCATGGAAGACTACACGGGGGGAGGGGGGCGATACTCATCCGGAGGGTTGGGACAGCTGCTGCAGGATTGCTGGAAGTGATACAGGGGGGACACATCCCCGCTAGTGCGGGGTAGGTAGCGGAACCCACGAGCTTTGTGCAATACTAAAGGAGGGAGGCATAACTACTAAGGAGTTCGGGGTGGGAAGAGATTACAATGGGCGTCTCCAGATTTGGGGTGTGTGTGTGTGTTGGGGTACTATTGAGAAGATGGCTTGATCTGTTTTCTCTTAAGCGTAGGAAACAGTACAGCCACCTCTGAGGACACACCGTGGGTGCTGAAGAAGGAGGTCTGGAGCGGACCCCTTCAGCAACCTTTGTCAGTTGCTCCATTTGGAGAGGGGGGGAGAGAAGAGGAGGAACCTCTTTTGTGCACAACTTTTGGAACAGTTCCAATATCTCCCCCACCCCACCCCCTTGGAAGGGAGCCCGGTCTTTGCTGGAAGCGAAGGGGTTCTGCTGGGGAAGGAAGGATTATAAAACGGGGGGCGGGGGGTGATGGTGTCAGTTCATCTCATGGAGAAGGTATGGGGCGGGGAGGGGAAAGGTTGTGGCCCGGTGTGGGGAGAGGAACAGCGACAAAGCTACCTTTTTTTGGGGGGGGGGGGAGCCCCACCAGGGAGAACAGATCAGTGGGCGGAGCACTGTTAACAACTGCCAGCTCCCCGGTGGATCACCGCCCCTCCCCCTGAAGCGTGGCACTGTTTATCAAAATAGCCTACACGTTAAGGCTGCAGCCTTACGCTCGAGAATAAACCCAATTGAGCTCAGTGGGGCCTACTTCTAAGTAAACCCGTGGTAGGATTGTTAGATAGTTGCGCCGAGCAGTGCCCCCCCCCCGCCCTCTTCCTCCCATCCAACCATTAATTCCCATTGTCCTGGGGACTCCAGTGATCTGCCTACAGTCCCCTCTGAACCAAGGGGCCTCCAAGTCTTGTAGGAGCGCTAGGAAGCGACAGGGATAGCAGTGTTACAGTGCGGTCCCCCCCCCTTTGCCCCACGCACTGCTTTGCACTGGAAAGGGAAGGCTTCCCCACTGCACAGAGCTAGGCGCAGACAATGAAACAGCTCGGCCTCCCTCCCCCTCTGACGTCCCCCCAAGCCCTGGCCTATCCCAGAGAATAGAGAGGCTCTTTAAAAAAAGAAGTGCCGGCACTGAGGTGGCTGTCAGCTGTGAAGGATCCCTCCGCACATGTAAACATAGATCATAAAGGCGAAGAAGGTGGATTAGAGAGTAGAGACCCATGTGGTTGGCGTTCTCTGCATGGAGCTCATTAGCTTAGAGGCCTCTAGTGATCCCCTGTTGCTGGCGAAACTGAAGGGAATCTGTCATTGCAGCAGTCACGTTGTAGGTCTCCACCCCCACGCCACAAAGACAAATCCTAAAGTTTTGCACAACAGGACTAAACGAGATTTTGCCAATCCTGCGGTACTCCTGCTCTACTTAATTTAATAAGAAGTTTGGAAAAGGCCTTTATCTTTTGGTTGAGGAGCCATTAACTTATACAGAACATAATATTTTAGGGATAAAATAATTATTGTGGTTTAATAATGGAATCCTCTCTCTCTCTCTCTCTCTCTCTCACACACACACACACACACACACACACTTGGGATAGATTATATGTATCCTCATTTTATTCCTCATTAGTTCTAAATTTAAAACAGCAGTATTATTCTGAAGGAAATGGACTGAAGATTGCAGTCTTGTAACAAAATGCATGGTACTAAAAATGATCCATAACTACTTGAAAAGCCACCCACAATTTTTATCATGTGATGTTGACTATGGTGATCAAATGTATAATCTGTGCATGACTTAAAATGTACAAGCCACACAATAAACTTCCCTTAGTGTCCCCCTCCCCACTATTAGAGCTAAAATGCAAGCATAAACGTATCTACCCAGAAGGAAGTCCTACTGAGTTAAATGGGGCTTACTCCCAAGTAAATAAGTTATAATTGCAGCCTTAAGCATTCTCTTGGAATCAATACAAAACCACATGATTTTGATCATAGCTTTAGACAGAACTTTCCAAATTTTTCATGTTGGTGATACACTTCTTAGACATGCATCATTTCATGACAAAGTGATCCAGTTTTCCTAGCAAACCTGAGATTAAACTAACCCCTTTCCAGCCCCAGCAGAAGCACTGGGAGCGTTTGTGCGGACACACCTACACACTGCAGCCAACACACTAACGTTTTGCAACACACAATTTGGAAAGCTCTGGCTTCTCTAAAGATCAGAATCAAGAAATAATTGGGTTATGGGAAGTTACAAAATTAAACAAATAACTGAAGTTGGTGGGCTTTACCCATAAGCCTACATACAATATAATCAGGCTGTTATTTGGTTTAATTTGAAAAAAGCAAAGGTAATATTAGAAATGCATGAGAAATAAAGAAAATAAATAAAACTAATGTGAGAGAAAACATACTGCTAACCCTATTGGCTCAATTTCCATTTTGAATTAGGAATGGTTTGCACATAAACCAAAATTCTATCTATGAAACAGTATAAAGTATGACTATAAAGCAAACCCAAACTCAGTTTTAAATGTCAGACTATTATTTGTTTCATATACTGTACCTTGCTGAGACACATTAATATATTTTTGACAACGAAGTATTTTTAAAACAATGCATGGCTAAATAAAACCACTGAGTCCTAATCTTCCTTGCATGTGCATTATTCTCTTGTAGAATTAACTACTGCATCTGAAAACACATGTGGATCTGTTGTATGTTTATATAAAAAAAAGGTAAGAATCCTGCCTACTGAAGCATATTTAAACACGTGAAGCATATTTAGGCATATTTAAGTATTTCAACATTAAAGCTATAGCACATTTAAAACATTTAAAGTTTTTCAGAATTATGTAATTGCTAATCATTTGGCAGTATCAATGTGAGAATACAGCATCCTAATAAAACAAAATGTGATTTTCAACCCACCATATGTGAAACAAACTTATTTTAAATGCATAAATCTGTTGTGCTTTGTTTTAAAGGTGCCTGGGGCTGGCAAAATTAAAGCTGCTTCACTTAAAACCAGCAAGAAAATATGCTCATAATCAGAATGTCAATCTTTGCACATTTGGGTGTTATCACATAAAAATGAACATTTTTCTGTTATGGACAAACTGTTCTGTCGTAATCGGTGCCGAGTAAGTCAGAAACAGCTATTTAAAGCACAGCTAGTTGAATCATTTTATTAGTTATTAATTATGGAAAAACGATGAAATTAAGTTATAAATACAGATTTTAGAGTGGAAGGCATGTAATGAAGAAGATGATTGTTAGGGGTTCCTGGTTTTGTCAGAGAAACAAAATGGAGTGACTATGTTGAGTGTACCGTGTACCCTGAAACAAAATAATGGGTACCCAGACGAAGAACGCGAATTGCAAAGGTGGCTCCTTTTTCCTCAGTCCCGTTTTGTCGGCAAACAGGAGTCCAAATGGACTCCTGGATCACTGGATCGATCCCACCAAAACAATGAAAGCCTACCATGGGGCCTGAAGGCCTAACCTCGTAGGGAGAACACGCTCCCTCTTTCCAAAACAGACACATTCCCTTTGGGGGAGGGGGAAAGAAACCCAGCTGAACCAGCCCTGGCTGCAATACTTTCTCTGCTCCTGCTGCAGCCCCATTACTTTTCACGCATATGGGCCCCATGGGCGTAGCCAAGCCGGGCCCTATACTCGCCCGTCCCAGAAGAGGCCTTTCTGCAAAGAGGAGCGAGCACGCCCGCACGCAGGCAACCCGTGTTTTGCGCAAGCTCTTTCGGACGAGAGAGTTGGGCGTCCGCGAGCCAACCCGAACAAAGGGGTGCGGTGGAGAAAAGGGGCTGGCACCCCATGTGGCGTGGGGGAGCGGGCGGGCGGGTCCCTCAGGAGGCACTTTCCATAGGGCCGGGCCTCCTCCTCGGGACTCTTTTTCTCCCCCTCCCCCCCGCCCTCGCTTTGGCGGAGGCACACGGGCCGTTCCAGCGGCGCTCGGCGACGCTTTGGCTGTTGGGGGATTGTTCGGAACGGCTGCCTGACTCGGCGCTGCCCGTCCTGCCGGCGACCCAGGGCTGACCATGGCCGAGTTCCTGCCGCCGCCCGAGTGCCCCGTCTTCGAGCCCAGCTGGGAGGAGTTCGCCGACCCCTTCGCCTTCATCCACAAGATCCGGCCCATCGCCGAGCAGACCGGGATCTGCAAGGTGCGGCCGCCGCCGGTGAGTGAGCCTGGGCGACCGACCTGTGCGCCGCCTTCACCCCCCACCCCCAGCAGCGACGCCGCGGACGGCCGAGCAGGAACCGGGGGGGGGGGCGCCTGCGTGCAGAGAGTCTGGGGGCAACAACAACATCTCTTCCCCCTTCGAGCCTTTTGCCCCCCCCCCCACGCCGTCCAAGTTCCTAAAAACTCCCGGTCCCAAGACCCCTGCATTGGGGGGGGGGGGTATCATTTTACACATCCCCACTCAGTAAACTTGTACATCTTCCGTCGGTCCCCCTCCCCCCTTTAATCTTCAGCGCGTCTCGGGGGGCTTCCATTCGCCCCCCCCCCACTGCACGCCTTCATGGGGGGAAAGAGCCCCCCACATCCACCCATTGACCCTTGAATGATGGGCAAGCGTTGGGTTTCTGGACGAGCTCTGAGAGAGTCCTCAAAGGCGTCCTTGTCCCCATATGGACTCGCTTTGGAGGCCAGGCTGGCGTTTACCCCACAGAAACGGGGTCATGGGTTGGAGTGCAGAATGGCCCTCTTGTGTTGCTTCAGCCCAGCGGACTTTTGAGGTTTGGCTCCCCGAGGGAGACCCACTCTAATATGGCTGCCAGTGAGCTTTCTGCCTCTCTCTCTCTCTCTCTCGCCTCCCTCCCTCCTTTCCTCTCCCCCTCTCTCGCCCCCATGGCTCTTCTCTCACTTTGGCCCCTGGCTCACTTTCCACTCGGGGAGCTCCCCTCCCGCGTCTCCCCCATCTCCTCCTCTTCCACGACCCAAATAAAGTTGCCTTGTGTGTCTTATCCCGTGGGTTGGAAAAAAAGAGAGAAAAAGCAAGAAACGCACACCGTTCACACAATGAGGCACGTTTCTTCAGCTGCTAGTTTTCCAAATCAAACGGGGAAGTTGGTCCCGAAGTGCTTCCTTTGGGATGACTCGTGCTAGTGCAGCTCCAGTGGCAAAAGCCTCTCAAGACCCAGTTGAGGCTTTTGTTTCTCTGCACAGGATCATATTAGGAGCTAGTTAAGTAATAAGAGTGTAGCTTTTAGAATGAGTGAGGAAGGGGGAGGTGGAAGAAACTTTATTAAGGCTCAAAACCTGCCTTGCAAGCCCACTTTTAAACTGAGGGAACAAGTTTTACCTCACAGGCAACTACAGTGAAGAAAGAACACATTATTTATTTATTTCCTAAAGACTTAATGCAGCAGAAGTAGTTGATTTTTTATGGCTAGAAAGAGGCAGCCATTGTCACCGTTTTACCTTTTTTATAGTAGGGTATTTTGAAGGTAAATAAGTGTTTGTTCCACATGGTTTGTCTAACAAAGTTTAAGCATTGTCAAATTCTTGGGGACTGGGCTACTAATATCAAGAGAAATACTTTATAGCAGTCACTGTGTTAAAACCTGAGACAGCTGCTTGGGTGTTGCCCTCCATGTTGGCATTGTGGTTGAGCTAGGACTGTGGATTTTCTTATTTCCATGTTTTCTGTACCCACAAAAAGCTTTTCTGTGGCCACTTTAGTTCCATCTGGGTTAATTTTAATACTGGCACCCATATTCTAAAGTTGGGAATATATAAATAGAAGCCATTGAGTTTTCAGAGATATTTTCTTTCAGAATCCTAGGCAGACATGGCCACCATTTTAGAGTGCGATACATAGTGGGAAGGGTGATAAGTCTTCATCATTACCAGTATAAACAGACACTACAGAGGGCTATAGAAGGGGTGATTTTGAGCCACTAACTCAATTCAGTTTTTAAAAAATTGTTTCTCAGTATAATTTGCTTCAGCTTTATTACCCCAGTTATTTGCACTTCCTTTTTAAAAAAGGTAAACTGTGATTGAAGGATTTGAAGAAACAAAGATTTGTTTGTTACAAGGGGTATACACTACTTTCACTAAAAAGAGGGCAATCTTCATTTAGGGAGATGTATTGGTAAATATGGATTCAAACAACTTACATTCTAGTTAAAATACTTGAAATGTTAATTTGGAGCTGAGTATAAATGAGATATATTGATGAACTTGAGTTCTGCAGTGAAACTTGAATTTTATTCATTCTCTGTATCCAGTTACATTTCAGTATGACTTTCAGTCCTCACTGGAAAACATAACTGAAGATTGACCCTTGACTGAAGAAAGTAGCTTGTAGGAACTTTTCTTATTCTACTAGGTGAAATCTTGTCAACCTTTGTTCCTGTTAAATTCCATTTATTTCAGTAAGGTTTGTGTGCAAAGAGTGATTGGTGGGTGGAACTCACATATACACTTAAGTAGGACAGCCTTTTGATTTGAAAGTAACTCCATTTAATATATGATCTTTTAAAGTTTCTCTTCAGGTTCATTTTTATGTTTTAATTGTACATGTGTATGCATTAAAAAGTCTGGCTGAACAAGATAAAAACTGCACCTAAGATTGTGTATCATACCTACCTACATGACATCCATTTTAAATCCCTGTGTTTGTAAAATTATTGTTGGTGGTTGGTTGTGGTTTTAACACCTTTGAATAGGGTGGAGGTAAAGTGTGTGTGCGTTATGTATGTTGTTAATGCTGAGATGGCCTGGCTTGATTGTTTGGTCCCAGTGGTCCTACCAATCAAGATTTACTTTTTAGGAAAATAAGTCATGAGACATGCATTTCACAGAAATTACTTCAGGTTTAGGTACATTCTAGAAAGGTAAAGTATTGCCAGGCTGCCCTTTGAGGTGATTTTCTTAGGAAGCACATACCACAGGCCTTTTATCATATGAAAGCATTGTGTCCCATATGTTTGAGATCCTTGCTGGTAGGTGACACCATATTTATAAAAGGGCCTGCTCATCCCTGAGTGGGTCAGAGCACGCAAAATATTGATGGCCCATGGATTAGTATCTAGACTATAATATGACCCTCAAGGACACAAGTTGGCCATCTCTGTTCCAAAGGATTCATTGCTGGGTGTTTGCCTGTGTTTTTTTTTTGTCACTTAATTTTGGCAGCGCTTGGTAGCAAATAATTGTTTATAGGAGCCTGCTTTCTTGCTTCCAGCTCTACAGAGACAAAATGACATCCCTTTTGTTTCTGTTGCCTTGCTGAAGAGCTTTTTAAAAAAAGGGGGGGAGGAGCAATGAGAATTGTATGTATGTAATAATCCCTCCAACCCATAACACTAATGCTTTGTTCTGACTCAAGATGCAGTCTGCTGCCATTTTGAATGAGGTACACTCTACCACCATGTTCTTTGAGTGTGTTTCTTTTAAACTTGTTACTCCAACTTTTGTTGGTTATATGAGCAGACAGATATTTTTAAAAGAGGGACATTTGTGAGAATTGTATGTTTTCAAATGAAGCTGTTGAATAATGAAGCACACAAATAATGATGTAGAAGACAAAATGCCCATGGAATTTAATATAGCCAAATAATGCTACTCAACACCTCATGTTGGTGTATTTGATGTGAAATTAAATTCTGGACCGTAGGTTCCATCTGCTTTTAAACTGAAGATTTTTTTGCACTGGTCTCAGAATACTTAATATTATAGGCTGCAGTCCAGCACACAGCCTGATTGTGTGCTTAGGCATGCCTAAGACCATGGATTTCAAAGGGTTTAGATGCTCCTAACTCTGATCAGGGTGATTGTTACGGATAATTGAGTCTCACTGAAATTAGTGCAACTTGTGTACTGAATTAAATCTACAGACTTAAAATCCTGTACACCAAGGGGGGGGGGATAAAGGAAGCCAAAAAAGAAAAAATGGGGTGGTAACCTTTATATTTTTAAAAAAGAAAAGAAATGCCCACACCATAAATTACCAGTCCCAAATGCCACCCAAAGGATAGTGGGTTTTGTGGACACCATCTGCTAAATGCCTACTTGTTGTAGAGATGCTGTAAAGTTAAGTGGGATGGATGATTGTTTCTCTGGAGCTCCATCCAGAAGGCAGATGAATCTTCACTCCCAGGCCTTCCCTGGAAAAGGTGCTGTAGCAAGCGATTTTCTGAAAATTAAAGCTTGTTCCCAGCTGTAATTGTGTTGATGTCTAGCAGGCAGGTAAAATGACTTCCAGATCTCCAAATGTTTCTTTCCATCTGCACCAGAACTATAAAGGCAATGTTGATAATGTAACTGAAAACCTCCTTTCTGGACTAAGAATTCGTTTTCCTAATAGCCCAACCAGAAATCATCAAACGGGAATGTTTGGATTCAAATAATGTTCATTTCATAGAAAAAAAAGACAGTTAAAATGGCTTAAATGTGCACATTTCAGCATTTGACATTGCCTTCTTGGTGGCGGCACTGAAGTAGGTTGTTGTTACTTGAATGAGCTGGCACAAGCCTTGGATCAGACCCAGGTTTTGAGCCTAACTTATTAACAAACCACCATTTGCCAAGTTTGTAAACCAACAAACCACAATTTGTTTCTAACCAGGAATAGAAGCTTTACATCTTTCTTTTTTTGTATGAAGGGGAAAGGAAGTGCACATACCTAAGATTTGTTTGAGCTTGTTCATGTAACTATCGTTTTTTTATTACCCCGATCAAGCCCTTACTCTGAACATAAAGAATATGCATCTTGCTTCCAATTTTATTTATTATCAAGTGATCCTTTGATGTGAACAACTGGGATAGCAGAATCACTCTCAACATCACATGCCTTATTCCTTCAAGTTGTAGAAGGCTTAATATACATACCTTCATAAAAAGGTGAAACTTAGTCTGTTTCTTAGGCATTTTGCTTCCTGAAATGAGGTTATGATAGTATTGTTTACTATTCTATATGAAGTGTCATATCTATAGCAACATGGAGTACAGTCTTCTAGCATTACCATAAGACGATAGCTTTCAATCAAGCTTGTGACCTCTTGACTGTATTTGCCTGGCATAGACATTGTACCTTTGACAGCAAAAAGGAATTCAACAGGTGCTTCTCCTGGAATGGAGTGAGGAGGTCATGCATATTAGATTTTTGCTGTCAAAAGGACATGATCTTTGCCAAGAAAAATACCTTCACCAGACCTAAACTTGCCAAAGCTTGGCACACTGGTACTTTGATTAAATTCTAGCAGTTCCCTAAGTCTATACATTCAGGTGGTATAAATGTTAATTTCAAAATATATGCTTTTAAAAATATGAACATTTGGAAAATCTGAAGCGGGGACCTACCTGCTGATGATGGACATTACCTTAAATCTAATCTGTATCTTAGTTTTCATATTCTGCTGTTGGGATGGGACAATCAGATGAAAAACTTGTAATTCTGGAATAGTTTTCAACACTTTCCTTGTGCATGCTATTGGTCTCAAGAGTACACTCTTATTTTTGGGAGGTCCAACAAAGGGATGTGGGAACCAACTCTACATTGCATGACTTAAAATTGGGGCTGTGCAATTTTTCAAATGATAGCTTCTGTTTCTCTAAGAAAAGTTGTAACACGGTCCTTTTAAGTTTTCTTTTCAAGCCATTGTTAGTAAAGGATCACCAGTTGCATTGCAGTTCATTTGCTAAATACCACTTCTCTGAACTTGCTTCTTAGTAGTCTCAGTTTGGTTGACTGGTTGTGAAAATCTGCAGTTCTTGGTGAAGGAGGTTTTCCCCAATTGCTTTCTTGCCCTTGGAAAGTCCTCATAAACCCAACATCCTACCTGAAGAAATTCCAGCCAACCTCTACCTTCAGGTTATATCCCCAATCTTGGTCTAACTATAAAAAACTTTTAGGAGTTTGGTCTAGGGCTTGATCAGTGATGCCTTATTGAACATCAGTCCTCCCCTCTTTCTCAGAGACCTAGAAGTGAATTTTACAGTGACTATACCTCACATGTCTGATTTATATTAATGTAATTTAATACTGCAATTTCATTCCCAAGAGAAACTTCAACTGGTAATACACAAGTCTTGTTAAAAGGGCATACATAGATCAAAGTGATTTCTTGTGCAAAACCTGTGCATTATTATCACATCCCTGTAGAAACATGTAGAAACCAATCTGGTTATTTGTATGAACTGTGGCATGCTGAGGCATGCCTAATGTGTTATGAACCAGACAGAGACAAGTGAATGTACCTAAGGCAGTGAACATAGCCTGGAGTTGGTGTACTGCACAAACTAAGAAGCTTGGTGTACATACACACCTTAAAACAACCCGGGCTGGAGAGTTCAGTAAAGGTACCCCTGCCCGTACGGGCCAGTCGTGTCCGACTCTAGGGTTGTGCGCCCATCTCACTTAAGAGGCCGGGGGCCAGCGCTGTCCGGAGACACTTCCGGGTCACAGGCCAGCGTGACGAAGCTGCTCTGGTGAGCCGGCACCAGCGCAGTACACGGAAACGCCGTTTACCTTCCCGCTATAAAGCGGTACCTATTTATCTACTTGCACTTAGGGGTGCTTTCGAACTGCTAGGTGGGCAGGAGCTGGGACCGAAAGACGGGAGCTCACCCCGCCGTGGGGATTCGAACTGCCGACCATGCAATCGGCAAGCCCTAGGTGCTGAGGTTTTACCCACAGCGCCACCCGCGTCCCATGGAGAGTTCAGTATGAAGCACTAATTGGGTAGTACTTGTAAGATGGCACTTGAATACGAAGTACTTTTTGTATGATCAAGCTTTTTTGGGTTATCTGTGTGGGGCAATTAAAAAAAATGGCAAATTTAGTATTTGAAATGCTGGATTTATGCAGGTAATGAAGTCTTCAAGACTTCATTGACCCTTTTCAATGCTATTAAAAGAATTCCAGAGCATGCCATCAAATATATCTTTTAGATATTCCTACCAGTAATTACCCTTACTATTATTATTATCTTTAAGTTGGCACATCACTGTTTTATACTGTGGACCATGTCTTTTCATGTTTTCTTATCTTGAAGGAACATACTAGAAAAATAATTTCATCACTGTACCACAGTCCCTCTCTGTCTGATGTTCATACAGCAAGACTCAGTTCTGTGAAGCAAAACAACAGTTTATCATTAATCCTTCTATATTAAGGAAAAGGACTCAAGCAAATTTTTGATTAATTTCATGGCTTTGTGATGAGCTAGAAATTATACACACAATATTGTTGTAGCTGATTTATAACTCATTCCAAAGTAGTTGTGGGGGTGACAGCTACTTTGCATAAGTGAAGAGAAAAGGGAGAACAAATGTGGAGAAAATTAACATAAATCAGTATGGGAAAAGTTAGCAATATTTTAAAATCCAAGTCCGGAAAAGGGATGATAGGTTTGCTAAATTTTCAGTGTGGTAACTTGTGTGAAAAGGTTATGTAGCAGAGAAAAATAGCACTTGCAGTCTACAGAATTGGAAACTTTATGGAGATTTCAGAACATACACTTAACAGGAAACAGAGTGTTACCAGAGTGGGCTTGTATCAGGACCACTTTCCATACGTCTGCTTCACAAGTCACATTAAACCACACTTCAATTTTTTTAAAAAAATGAATGCACTGTAGTGAATGCCACTGGAAAGTTTTTGTTCTCTTTGCTTGCTCCTGATGAACCATTAGGAAACAAGCAATGTTGGCCACTGCTTGTGCTTTTGAAAGAACCAGGAATCCTTGTTTGGATATAATCACAAGCCAGACTCTGGCAGGAGCTGGGAAGGTAGAGTGAGAAATCCTTAGCTGCATGTGATAGCATGATGAGCATTCATATTAAACCATAGTTGACTTTGAACTATGGCTTAATGTGAAGTGTGAACTAGACCATTTGAAAGCCATCTTTATATAGGAAAAAAAATGCCATGTGTGAAGTGGGCCAAACCTGATATTATGGGAGAAAAACTAGTTAGTTTTCCAGTATTTTCCCTTCTAAGGCAATGTGGGCTAGGGAACATTTGCAGAAGAAAACTAGTGGGTTGTTGTGTATGGAGTGGGGTGTTCTTCCCCATCGGTTCTCTCCTGTAGGTACTGTCTGGGCACTTACTTTCCCTCTCTGATTTTTGATTTTAGGACTTGCAGAGGGGGAGGAGAAAATTACGTTGTGGGTAATTTTCATATTAGTGTGGCAGTTGTGTAACTCCCCCTTTAAATTTAAATTTCTGCTGCCTTGTCTTTCTGGATGACAACAGAGGCTAACTGTACTTCCTTCTCCTTCCATATTTATGGCTAGAGAAGGTTAAGATGGGATTGTGATGCTTCTCTGCTGGCCTCTGACATTAGAGTGAAGCACAGTTAGTGGGAGAGGTAGCCGTGTTCAGCCTGGTGGAAGGCTCCCACTGATGGGTCTCCCATTGGCAGAAGCAAGCAGTACATTCTGAAATGAGGTATTTTGAGGTTGGGTCCACAAATTCCATGAGGAGTTTAATCCTAAGGCTCTTTTGGCTGCTTGAGCACTGGATCCACTGCTCCATCACTCATTGAAAAGATCACAAAGCAGTATGCAAAGGAAAAACAAAAAATACAATAAAAATAGATACATTATGGAAAATATCAAAATCTATAAATAATACAATATAAGAGAATATAAGAGATCAACCTCCAAAATGTAGAATTGCACTCACTCAGTACACTTATCCTCTCTCAGTATCCACATCTACAAACTCCTCTGTACATCAGTCAGCCTACAGCTGCACACATTCACCCACACTCGTAGAATCTATGTTCTCTATATAGATTTCCATACTTCAAAATATTTCCATATAAATACATATTTACTTTGACTTGGTACACATTGTTTTCCTTTTAATTTTTATTATTAAATTTTAGAGAGTATTATAAAAAAAATTAAAACAAGGAAACAGTGAGTTGTATCCAACTTAATCACTGTGCAAGTGAAACAATTTCTACCCACACGGTGCAACTTCCCTCTCCTCTCCTCTCTCCACATGCCCTCCCCACCCACACCTGTTCTGGGCCTTCCCCTGGAACAGATTTGGGGGTGGTGTGTGGTTGGAGAAGGATGAGAGGTTCCATTATGCAAGCTAAAGTTGTTCTGCTCATGCAATGACTTGGATTAATTCCAGTGTTTGAAAAGTGTTTAAAAAGGTAGTAATATTGGTGATGACAGCATTCTACTGTATTTGACTAGATTTCCAGCACTAGTGGTTTTTGGCATGCATTTTCTAATGCCAATGAGATCTGCACTGTATGATGTGAGGTAGCATTTTTACCCCATATAATATTTGTGTTTGTAGTATTGGATGAAGTGTGCTCAGCAGAACCCAAAACACCCAGAGCCAGAAAACATATTCATGGGATATTGTATAAACAAGAAAGTAATGTTTTTATTTTAAATTGCAAACAATTCCAAAGTGTAAAAACTATATTTTAAAAATGCTCTGGAAATACTGTAAAATGTCTAGAAAATGCTGTAAAATGTCTAGAAATTACAACTGAGAATTAACATTAATGTTTTTCTTTGGGGGGGTGTTTTTCTTACCCCATTTAGAAACCTACAAGAAAACTCTTCCTGGTTAGAGAAAGGTCCCCCAAACGGTGTTAACATAGTTTGTGCCAACCAACTGACATTTGCTTGACCTTTCCATGACCATTTGTCTATGAAAAAACAGTGAAGTGTTTTACTACCCCAATCCACTAAATTGGCTGGAGTAATAAACACACCCCAGTGGCAAAATTCAATGCTTTTCTGGGCCATTTTATGCTGCAGGTGGTTTTTGTTTACACTACTAAATCAGTGAGTGGTAACTGGCTCAAACTTGGGAATGCTGTACAGCTGACAATTTGTGTGTGGTTATGTGTGTGAGTAAATTGCACAGTGAGAAATGTGCCTGCAGTAAGTGTCTTACCCTGCAAAGCTGGATGGAGGTTAAAGAAGTAACTGTGAACTATATTTTTCTGTTAGGTTTTTCTACATCTGAAAATAAAGTGAACAAGATCTTTTAAATTATATATCAGTTTTGGTCTGTCAAACAATTCTCTTCTCTGTACTGAATTATTTCCCCCCCCCTTTCCTAGGATTGGCAGCCTCCATTTGCCTGTGATGTTGATAAACTTCACTTTACTCCACGGATCCAAAGGCTGAATGAGTTGGAGGTAATGAATTAACTAATCGTAAATACTTCCCAGTGGCCACTGATGGATTGGGTGCCTAAAACTGTTGAGAAAAATGCAGTATTTTTAATTAAAATAGCAGATCTCCTTTTCAGACAAAAAGAGGAAACAGTGTGGTGATTAGCCACCATGTTGTTGTGATCTGTAAGGCTGGATAGAGAAGTTCTAGAATGCTACCTCTCCCCCAACAGTTTGAGGATCTGACAAAGACATAAATTCTAGCTGGAGAGCCTCAGCTGCTAGCTCTCTGGCTGGCTTCTCAAACATTTTGACCTTTTAAAGATGTCTCTTTGGAGACAGTATACACCATATTTTTCTGCCTAATGTTCATCTTCCCAGGGATATATTATTTAAGTATGCTTTCTTTCATTTGGCATCTCATGGTATACAAAGGTATAAACAGATTAAACAATTAAGAACAATTAAGAACAATTAAAATCAGTAAAGATCCATTCCCAAAATATTAAAAATACAAAAGTGATCCAAGGAAAATTAAAGTTTGATACCCTATAGTGGAATCAAACACGAGCAAAAGCCTGGGGGGCATTGGTATGTTTTTTATGAGTGCTGAAATACACTAGTGTTGGTCTGCAGAAGATGTAAATAGTTCCATAGGGAAGGTGCTGCTACAGAGAAGGCCCTCTTCCTGGTTACTGCCAAATTCACATCTCTAAAGTGTAGCGCAACCAAGAGGGCCTTCTCATCTAAGTGTAATGAACATGAGGATATCCTAAAATAGTATCCGCGTGGGAGTGAGATGGGAAATAAGATACAGAAAAGTGGAAAGTTTCAAATGTTCTAGAAATGTGAAGAAGGGGTACTTCATAAGCCTGGAAAAACCACACTACTGGTTCATCTGGGAAGGACTTCAGGAGAAGTCAATCTTAGATGGCATTTCTACCACTTTTCCTCTAAATATCTTGGCTGTTACATGTTTTATGTGACATTGAGTCATGCCTACCCCTTTCCAGCGGTTAAGATGTGGAGGTGCTTCAGAAGTGCCGTTTGATGCATTTTGGTGGTGTGTTGACAGCTATTTTGTTTTGAACTGTCATTAAGCTTGTTCTGCTCATTCTGCAAGCTCCTTTTGACTACTTTTAACATTCCATTCTACCAAAAATATCAGATGATTATTATTTTTGCCATTTTAAAGAAGTAGGAGTAAATAAATATATGTAGTGTGTATTAAAATGCTATACAGTATTTGCATTTGTTCAGAAGTCTTTTCCTGTGCATGCAAGACATCAGGTGGGACTTAAATGCCACCTAGTGGTAGCAGGCAGAATTCACTGTTTTAAAATTCTGAATGCTCTGGAGCGTTAATTCTCTCATCGACCCAGTCTAAAATTCTATCTCGCCACTTTTTTTGACCTCTTCTGATTGCATGGTTCAAGCCTTCCATTGCAGCGCATTCTTCATCTGGGAGCCCTGGTAGACTCTGTTGTGGGAACAATGTCCTTGTCTCCAGAGAGGATAGGCAAGGTCAAAGCGGCACTCAGTTCTGTCAAAATCATGAGTGAACCTCAGGGTGCAAATTCTGGGTCTCATGGCAATACTACATTCTTGACCTCTTCAGTGGCTGCTGCTCTCTCATTGAAGTTCCATAGCTGCCAAGTGACATATCCTCATTTCCCTGCCAAGATTGGTATGTCACTTTTTTCAGTGGTGGCTTCAGAAATCCTCCCTTCACCAGGGATTCCCTCTCAGACAACCCCCTTGGACAGTCATCATTTCAGATAGACAGAGGGCCTCTCTCCAGCAGCTGGATGCTCCAAGGCACCTAGTCCTCAGAGGAGACTCTCCTCATCAACCTGGAATGAAGGGCAGCCCACTTCATAGTCCAGCACTTTGCAACCAAGGGACATTTGGGGGCGATCCTAATCTTAACCAGCAACGTCACAGACCAACAGTCACACAGACAGAGTGGCACTAGAGGTGGAAGAACATGTGGACTCCATTTCTGTAAAGGACTTCAAAAGGATTGAAAATGCTCAAGCCAGCTGACTGAGCAGGGAGCACCTCCTTCGTGGAGAATGAATGCTTCATCTCGAGGTGTTTAGAAAAATTGTGTCCCACTTTTGGGACAGTCCAGGTGGATCTCTTCACCTCCTTAGTCAATCGCTCTGTCTTCACCATGGCCTCCAGGAATGCTTTATGCCTTCCCCCCATTCCTACTCCTCTCCCAAGTCTTGAGAAAAGAGAGCGTTCAGTTCACTTTGTGGTCCCATACTGGCCTTAAAGGCCATGGTTTTCCAAGATGGGGACGGCATTCCAATGGACTCTTCTTTTCCATGACAACCTCTTGACTTAGGGACAGCTTCATTATCCAGTTCCAGTGTGGCAGAACCTGCATGTTTGAAGACTGAGTGGAAGTATCTTAATCAAATTGGGCCTTTCTCCCAGCAGCTGATACCATGTTGTTCTCCAGCATCCTCCTTCCTTGGATATATCAAAGCTCTTGGAAAGTACTCTCTAAATGGTGTAATAAGAAAGGGCTCTTGCACACACACAAAAAGTTGGAATCTCAGAATTGTTATTACTTCAAGCTGGTTTGAGCATGGGCTTCAAACCTCATACCCTAAAGCTCCAGTCACCAGTCCTTTCAGCTGTGCTGTCAGAGAATCTGAGCAAGACTCAAGGCTCTCATCCATATGTCAAACATTTCCTTTGTGGTGCTTTGCTCAAATGTTCTCCCACTCACCATAGATTCCACCCATCTATGGGAATCCACATGGTGCTCCTAGCTCTCCAAAGATCTAGCTTCATAAAAGGACTAGAGCTCTAGAACATCCAGAATTTTAAAACAGCAAATTCTGCTTGCTACAGGTAGGTAGAGCTCAAGTCCCACCAGATGTAGTTTTTACATGCACCGAGAAGAACTCACATTTGGGTGGTGTACATGGTTGCTTAAAAGCACAGCAGATTCTTCCTCCATACTTCTGCTTGCATCCCAGGATAATGAGTGCTTCTTAACCTGAAGAGACAGTAATCACCTTTATTTTCACTTTCTTTGTTCATTATGCATAATAGATTGGAGAATATTAAATTTGTACTTGAAAATAATAACTAAACTGTATAATAAATCCACACTCTGAACAGGCTCAGACCCGCGTAAAACTGAATTTTCTGGACCAGATTGCAAAGTTTTGGGAACTTCAGGGATGCACACTAAAAATTCCACATGTCGAAAGAAAGATCTTGGATTTATTCCAGCTTAATAGGGTAAGTTTCACATGCTTTTAGGCTGAAGTCATGCTAATTTTCAGTCGTAAGCAAGTAAAAATAAACTTGTTTGGTCCTGAAGGCCCTTGAGTTGATAAATATTTTAGAATGTAGCATCTAGATAAACGGGGATTAAGTAGTTGTATTAATTAAAGCTTTGTTTTTGTCTGACACACTAAGTAATTGTGTTAAGGTAATAACTTCCTCTGGATCTGACATTTATTTATAAGATAGCACCTGCTCACTGGAGTTAAGCTGCTTCCTTTTCTGAGTTATATTTGTCGGAAATGACCCTGTAAATTTGTAAATCTTGATGTGCAATCCTTTTCATTTGCAGCTAGTTGCAGAAGAAGGTGGATTTGACTTGGTGTGTAAGGACAGAAAATGGACTAAAATAGCTACCAAGATGGGGTTTGCTCCTGGAAAAGCTGTGGGCTCACATATTCGTGCTCATTATGAGCGCATTCTTTACCCTTACAATTTATTTCAGACTGGAGCTAGTCTGCTGGTGAGTATTGACTACTTTTCCTAGATTGTGAACTTTTTTACAAATTGACTATTTTTCCATTGTGGGAAAGAGTTCTCCAATGTTTCAACATTGCTTTCAATTTTCTTTTTGGTGAATGCTTTTAGAGTTCTAAAAAAGACTTGCTACAGCAGAGTCATGGAAATTTTAATATAATTTTTTAAGGTTTCACTGAGCACAAAGACATAGTGGTATATTAGCTGCTGTTTTTAGGGTTTTTATCTTCTTGCTTGATCAAGAAGTTGATACTTATAATGGCTATTCTTGCCTAGTAGAAAGGAAGTGGTTTGGACTGCTTTGCTCCTTCCTCACAGTTAGAAACAAGGTAGTTAGCTTTTGAACCACATCTAAAGCTGTACTTTGCTTTGAGGGCTCTATGCAGCACTTTTTTACAGTACACATTTTCGGTGTGCTAATCTTCTTAGCTTACATTTGTGCAGTTCTAGCCTGCTTGGGCTCCTTCCCTAGCTTCCACTGAATGGGAGTAAGCTTCTTACTTTATTGGACCCAAAGTGGTTAAAGTTTATCTGCAGTTTCTGAGGTAGTTGTGCAGTTGGTATAGAGAAAGCTGGTATGTCTGAAAAGACTTGACACTGCTTTATTGAAAGAGTAGAAATGTATGTAGAAAGGATAGGCTTCATCCTATCAAAGACCAGTTTAGACCATCTATAGCAGCCTTTCTCAACCTGTGGGTCCCCAGATGTTGTTGAACTACAACTCCCATCACCCCTAGCTAGCAAGGCCAGAGCTCAGGGATGATGGGACTTGTAGTCCAACAACATCTGAGGACCCACAGGTTGAGAACCGCTGAGCTATAGAAACATAGGAAGCTGTCCTATACTTAAGTCATTGGGCCACTTAACTACAGCAGCTGGCATCAGCTCTCCAGGGGTTCTGACGGGACAATCCCAGCCCCATGTGGAGATTCTGGGGTTTGAACCTGGGACTTTCTGCTTGCAAAGTAGATGCTATATTTCACTGAGCTGCAGTTCTTTTATGGCCAAGAACTCATTACACATGCACTGGGTACATCCAGACTAGACTACTGTAATTTTCTGTATGTAGAGTTGTTTCTGAAGACAGTCTGGAAACAGATGCCAGGATGCTTGTGAGGATTAGGCAGTTTGATTATATAACACTAATTTTGTATTAGTTGCGTTGGTTTACCTTTTTGTTTCTGGACTTAGTGCTGGTACTGATTTCTAAAGTCCTATCTCAGCCCCATTATTCAGGCAGCCAGGTCCCAGGGACATGGCCTATATAGTGATGTCCCTACCCTTGTAGAATTTTTTCTCCCTAGAACTCTTTAATTGGGTCCTAAATATTTATTCTGTCTAGATTTTGATTTTTTGTTCCCTTCCCATCAACTTTATCAAATGCTATTTTTGTTATGCTGTATGTCAGTTCTGTTCTAAAATTGTTTATTGTAAGCCCTAAAACGCAGGGTAGAAATTTATCCGATAAATAAGTGAATAGAATGGGAAGAACTTCATGATCCAGGCTGATTTCCCAGACACCCCCTCTCTCTTTCTCTCTCTCTCTTGTCAAATGAAAATCATAAAGGGTTCCCCCCTTACCCACAAATACAGGAGTTTTAAAGATTTACAGATCACTTCTGGCAATTTCTAAATAATTGAAGTATTTTGAGCAAAAGGAGAGATCCAAATTATATATGTAACACTAGCTTTAAAACTAGTTTGGTCTGCTAAAAGGCATTTTTATTTTGGAATTTGAGAGAAGTTGTATCCTTGTGTGTACAGACTCCTCTATACCCTTCCTTCCTTTCTTTTACACTGATCTTGTTTTCTTTCTCCTTAAAAAAAAGAAAAATAAGTTGAAATTATTTGGTTTGATATAAATTCAGAAGGTGGATAGGCTTTTAAACTGAAGTCTGAAGTTGCAAAGAAAACTGCACATTTTAGTGCAAGGTTTCTTTATCACAATTAAAAGGCTGTGCTTGCATTACCTCCCATCTTGAGCATAGCATACTTTGAATTAGTCTTTGTTTATTCTTCATAGTAGTTGTGCTGTTTGATAGCACATTAGAGGTCATTCTAAATATCCATAGTATTGTTTTTTAGAATTTGTCTTTTAAGACATTTACTAACCTATCTGTAGGTCTGTGTGGCACTGTGGTGCTTATTCACTAAGTTAGCCTACACAGTAAAAGCTATGGATGTATGGTAGTAATCAAAATAGCCGTCAAACTCTAGCTGTGTCTGTAATAACAGGGATCTCTTCATATTCAAGGATCATGCAGAAAGCTGTTGTTACTAATTTTATCCCATTCTGCAATATGACAGGCACTTTAAACTTAATGGTCTTTGTGTCATAAGCTTACTTACAGCGGCTGTGTTTGCACAATATGCATAGAACCACCTCATTCTGGGGGGACTGTAATAGGCCAACTGAAACATAGCTGCTGATGAGCTAAAAGGGTTTAATTAACTCATAGAAAGTAGATTCCTTTGTTTCTACTAAATAACCATAATGGTATATTGTAGGTTGTAAAAATAAAACTCATATTTTCTCAATGAAGTATATCTATATGTGTGTTTTTTCAAAGTTCTGAATGTTTTGGTTATTTGTAAAAATGCTAATGATGCAAGGACAAAACCTTTGAAGTAAAAATACTAGATTTTTGTATCAGAAAAGCAATTTTAGTGTTTCTGTCATTATCTTTGTTAATACATTCCTATTGTTTGTCCAGTAGAAGCCAGTAAATCATTGCAGTCTGTGTTTTGCTCTAAAGGCTATATAGTCATGGTAGCATCTTATGAAGATCTGCTACTTTGGCCTTGTGTAATCAGGTTTTTATAGTTATTGTAATAGGAACTTATAGAAGAGGATCTTTTTGTTCCATCTTAAAACAGGGTGTCTTAATGCCCATGTACTTACTGAAAATCTAGTCCTGGTATAGGTGTCTTTATATTCCTGAAATGAAAACTTGCAGCTTTTCAGAAAAGGACCACTTAGAAGGAAATGACTTTCAAATAGCTACTTGTGACCCCACTTCACAGGGTCACAATTCTTTAAATTGTAACTCTCCAAGCTCTCTCTTGCAATAGGCGCCAGACATTTGTTCCAAACTGATGTGTTTAGTGGATGATGCAGTTCTGGAAAAGGTATGTTCAACATTTTTTTAAATGATGATCCTTTCCCGTTTCTCTTCTAAGCTGTTTTAGGTGCTTCCTCTATATCCACCTGTGCAAAATAGTTCTATATTCTGTGAAGTGCATCAAGGAATTGTGTGAATCTGTGTTTTGGGCACAGGATTTCAATTATATGCTTTTCAATAATGTTTCTATAAAAGCATGTTACATTAACTTGGTTTATCCTTGATCCATTGACTCAGGCCTATTCACTGTATTTTAATTTAGTGTGGAGTGTTCATTGCCTAACTCAGACAGTATTTCCTGTATTCCGTGATTGTGTGTTAGTGTATAATAATAGAGAGGGAGAACTGGAGGCAAATGCTGTATAAAAAATTAGTTGCCTCTTATTAATATCTTGCATTCATTTTTAAGCAGCTATATATTTGTGATATTATGGAGTATTGTGGTATTTGTTGTTGTATATACCTTTGCAATTATTTACTTGAGATTTTATTTTTTCATATGTAAAGCTTCTACCCTTCAAGCAAGTGCTGTTGTTGGATGCAAAATGATTCTTTAGCAGCTATGATTATTCTTCTCCCCTGTCTATTACTTGTATCTTCATAGCTTTTTGTTTGAAGTCTAAATGTTCCTCAGGAGAACAATTAGCACTGTGATGAGAATTGACAACCTTCTATGGGATTTTGTTTTATTGGTGCTTCTGTAACTTTTGGATTCTTTGAAAGCTGTGTGGGGGAAAAGTTAAAGCCATTTTGTGCATGTAGAGGTTTATATAAGTAGTTTGGTGAATGATTAAAATTCTGGTTATTTAAAAGGCATGGTGTACATGGTCAAGCAGAGAGAGAACTTTCAGATGCATCCAGGCCATTTTAGCTTTTTCCTTGTCTGGGCATCCCTGTGCTACCACCATGTGGTATTTACCTATGTACCACATTTTGATCAGGCAACACTTCAGTTCAATTGTAGATTTGTAAGTTCAGTTGTAGATTTGCTAGGAAACATATTTCAATGCACAGCTGGCAGAAGAGGAATGATCAAAAGGTTGAGAACTGTTTCTCACTGTGTCTCTGTTAAATCTACAAAGAATTCAGGTTCAGCTTTTTATGACTATGGCACCTTGGTGTCAAAACAGATGTGCATTTCTTTTTTAATACTGGGAAAAGCAACACTCTCTGTTTAATATCCCCCTGCTGCAAATCTGCTGCTAATCCTGCTGGGGGAAGGTGCAGGTACATGTACGTTGACTTAATCTTCCCCTCCATTAGAATAGCAGTCAAGATTTATTTTTTTTAAGTGGGCATGGAGAAAAAGTGTATTTTCTACATCAAGCAGTGTATAACTTTAATGAAATAAATACATAAATATAAATATTGTTCTCTTTTTTTCCTAGCAGTAAAACATTTATGCTTGGTAACTACTTGTGTTCTTTGCTTCTTCAGCAAAACATTTAATGATTTGTGCCTACCTGAGAGCCAGTGGTTGGAGGGCTGCAGTTAGAATGTTGTACCAGGACTGACCCAATTTCAGATTCCTTTCTCTTTCATGACACTCCTTGGGAGACCTTGGGCCAGTCATCACTCTATTCCTAACCTTACCTTACAGCATTGTTGTGACAATAAAATGTGCATGGTAGGGAATAAATGTACACTATCCTTCTCTCTAGGAAGGAAGGGTGAGAAAAACATGTAATACTTCAGTATATTCATAGCAGATTTGGTATTTTCTTCCCACTGCCCAGAAAACTCAAATGTTATTATCAATAGCAATCCACAGAAATGGTGAAATTGTCAAGAATTCTATTGCAGGTCCCATGCAGAGTACCTTGGATGTAAATGATCGCAATCTACTTTTCTTCTATCCACTGTCATTAGTTGCCACCACTGCAAAACTGCCAGATTGTTGGATCCAGATTTACTTCTGCAGTTACTGTTGGAATGCCGTATAGAACACAAAACTTGTAACAGATTTATTTTCAAATAAATTTGCCATTATTAAACCATTTTAGAAAGTACAGATTGGTCATTCCAATCCATCTGTAGTGAATATAATCGTGTATGTTTTTTTATTTTAGCTACTAAAAATACTTTGCATTGGTGTGTTTTTTTAAAAAAAGTGTGAAATATTTGTTAGAAAACAGAGAAAGGAAAAAATCACTTTTGCTTGTTTTTTTAGTGTCTTCAGAAGCCAGATATTACCAGTGGCACAAAGGACAAGGAATATAAACCACATGATATTCCTCAAAGACAGTCTGTTCAGCTGTCTGAAACTTGTCCACCTGCTCGTCGAGCAAAACGCATGAGAGCAGAGGTAGGATTGACTTTTCATGTATTGATTTCTAAAATGCCATAATTCAAAGCCACAGAAATACTTTATAAGTAGTTATTTTCCTTGCCAGAAATTAAACAGCAGTTCCAATATTTCCACATCATCGCTGCCTATGGTTCTGAGGAGCACATACAGTTTTATTTATGGACTGATGCAGACATACTCTTTAAGAGATTATGAGAGGGTTGTAGGATCACACTGCCTTTCCTTGTGGGAACAAATCTTTCAGCCTTAACCACAGTGAAGTCTTGTGTTAGCACTAACAGCAACTGGATAACCAGGGTTCCCATTTAACAAGGATTTGAAACTAGGGTCTAGATTTCACTAGCATTTCCTCATATTGTCTGAAGCTGTTGACATCTTAAGTAATGCAGTTTATATTCATACAACATTTCTTATACACATTGGGGTTTAGAATCTCTTGTCATCTATACAACAGCTCTGTAGAATATATGTCATAATTTCCACTTTTGAGTAAACTGAGGCTGAAAAATGCTGACGATCCAGAAATCATGAGTCACGCACAATTTTGGTTGCCCTTGAAAACCGAAGGCCTTAAGCAACATAACATTCTTTTGAATTCCTACTAGAATCTAGTTTAGGAAAAATTTCCATTTGGGTGTCTTAGACTAAGTGTAGCATCCCTGAAGCTTTACAGTTCTCTGGAGAACCACCAAGGTGACTTATCAATTGTCTGAATTGGTGTGTTTTTTGTAATTTTAATCATATACTAGCACATCTGTTTTAAAGCAGCTGAATCTAAACTTTCTGAATAGTCTAGGATGCAGCTTTAGCCTGGATTGTGTGAATTGCCTTGACTTTGACTTAGGCATCCACCTACAGCTGTGCAGGAGCAATATCAGTACATGAAACTCCTACCTACTTTTAGTAGGGAACAAAATGTCTATGAATGGGACTTCATTCTTCTAGTTTATCAGTAAAATATTAATTGTAGGTGTTGGATACTTCAGGCAAACATTCCTCAGCATTGTCGTTACTGTGCTTCCATAAGAGAAATTCAAATGCCAGCAGTTGAGGAAGGAGTCAGAAGCACTCCTTCCTTTTCACCTTTGCATAATCTTACTATTGTCATCAATAAGTTATGGGGCAGACTATACATTTGAACACATCCAAATAACTATTCCAGGAGCGGTCTACTGTTGCATATTATAAGCTCATGACAGGTGATTCTGTACTGAACAAAAAGGAAGAATAAATAAAGATTAAGCTTAATTCCCCTCCCCTCTAGGCTACTAATATTAAAACTGATTTGGAGGAAGCTACAGAAACCAAAACTCACAATTTGAGACGTAGAATGGGAACCACACCTCCAAAGCTTGAGCCTGAAAGTGGTAAGTGTATCAGTGGGGTGGGGGAATAAAATAGTAGGCATTTGCTTTTTAACATCCAAGTTATAGCTTGACCAATATTCATTTGGATGTAGTATTTGCCAAAATTGTGGTGGCTTTGAAGCAAAACCTTTTATTTTAAAATAAAGCTTTGAAATTTATGAACTTGCTGACCTTTAACAAGAGAAAATACATTGCTGAGACTGTTGGTTTTTTAAAATGTAACTGTAAAAAACAAAAACAAATTGTAAGTAGGTGGTAGGCACCATCTTAGAAGAACCTATTCCCTTTCTCTTTGTTTTTACCTGACTTGCAGATTTAATAAATTAATAAATATTCACACAATTTAATCACTTAAGGATTCTTTAAGTGGGTGACAGCCCTATTTAAACTCTTTTAAAAGCATTTCTATTTTGTCTCAAACACTTTTGAGTAATATTTTCTAAATGTATTTTGCTGAATCAGATAAAGAGTCTCAAGGCCTTGTGAAACGGGAAACGGTTGAAAAAAAGCAACCCATCTGGGAAACAGAAAGAGAAAAACCAAAGGGACGTTCTAAGAAAAGCTTTAATGCAGTGAGTACTCTTCTCCCCCGCCCCCTTTAATGCTGATTGTAGAAAATTATGGGCTTGTAGTTTGAACTTAGTAGTCAGTAGAAAAAGAATTTCTTGGTATGTTGTATTGTGAAATACAGTGATGCAATACTTTTGATTCTTGGTTAATATAGAAAAAATATGATGTGTTAACTGTAACATGTTTTTGCAAAAAGTTGATCCAAATGAGGTTCTACAATTACCTCATTCATTTAGAATGAGATCTCAATTTTGGCATTCAGCTGTCCAGTAGACATATGGCAAATTCCATCTGATATCTGTGTCATGTGCTTCATCTTGCTATGCAATGGGAAAGCTGCTTTTTCTGAAAAGCTGAGATGCAGGAAGCTTTGTAACTGTTACTGGATCCTTTTTCTCTTCTAGGAGACAGACTGACTGCGTATTTCTTTATAGCAGCCACAGCTGAGATGATAAAATGAGGTGGCTCATGCATCCCATTATGCTCCTTGATGGAAGGGTGGGATAACTATTAGAAAATAAGGGTGTTTTTGATGGTAGCACACCAGGTTTTCTTTACTCTTTTTTTTCATCCATCTATTCATAGATAACGCACTCCAAACAATTGGGGCATTAATGGTGCAATCCAAACCTGGCCTGGCAGCAGTAGGGTTTAATGAAGTGGCAGGATGCTTCTGTATCCCTGCCACTCAAGCTGCCCAGGACCGAAGGTTGCACCAGTCTGGAGTTGGCACAGCTATCAGGCTTGGGCCCAGTGCCATCAAGTCACAGCAGTGAAGTCTTGGGGCAACACAACTGCTCCCCCAGAATGCCCTGTTTTGGAGCTTTCTGTGGAGTGCTGCTAGTAGGTTATACTTCTTCTCAAACATTCAGTTCATGAATCTTCACCAGTTCAAAGGGCTTTTGGATCACAGTGCTTCTAGCTTGAGATGTTTGTAAGAATAAAGAAATGAAATGAAATGTGTTTCTGCATACACATGACATGCCTACATCATATCTATCTGTCAAGTGTTTTCTTACCAAGAACCATGCATAGAAGTAAGCAAGGTAATGATGGGACCAATCCCCCATCCCTCACTTTGGCAAATTTTTTTTACAGGTGGATTTGTATGTTTGTCTCTTGTGCGGCAGTGGTAATGATGAGGATCGTCTGCTCCTATGTGATGGCTGTGATGACAGTTACCATACCTTTTGCTTAATACCACCTCTTCATGATGTTCCCAAGGGGGACTGGAGATGCCCCCAATGCCTAGCTCAGGTAATAATAAAATATGGGTGAAATATCCCCCCCCCCCAGGGCTCACAAATATAAAAGGCCAGCACCCAAGTAGACTAATATACATTAAGCAAAAATCTTTGACTTCTCTTCTACCTTGGAGTTCACTGAGTGGTATCCAAGTAATATGTCCCATCAACACAAGGGTTTCCAGAGGTACTTAATCTGCACAAGTGCCCTGCTCCTTCCCCAGATCTGCTGTACAGGGTGTATGGAGGTGTGGGGGGAGGAGTTCTGTTGCACAAGTAGTAATCCAAGTAGTAATCCTTCTTCTGATGGGACTGCAACTTAAGGCTACTTTGGAGACAATCCACTGTTGTACACCTTCATCCTACCCAACCCCATGGTGCAATTACTCATTCAGTATAAGAGTTTATTTAGATTCAGCATACTCCTAGAGCCCCAGACCCTTCTTATCATTCAACAAAGGGTTCTGGTGGCTCCATTGTTCCTCCTGGAGACAATTTAAGATTTTTCTCATCATAGGGCACCCGCACATACTAGTATACAGTGGTGCCTCGCAAGACGAAATTAATCCGTTCCGCGAGAGTCTTCGTCTAGCGGTTTTTTCGTCTTGCGAAGCAAGCCCATTGACGGATTAGCGCTATTAGCGCTATTAGCGGTTTAGCGGCTATTAAAGGCTTAAAGGCTTAGGGGATTAGCTGCTAAAAGGCTATTAAAGGCTATTAAAGGCTTAGCAGATTAGATAAAGGGGGGGAAAAGCGAAAAAAAAAAACCTCAAGACTCGCAAGGTATTTTCGTCTTGCGAAGCAAGCCCATAGGGGAATTCGTCCTGCGAAGCAACTTCAAAACGGAAAACCCTTTCGTCTAGCGGTTTTTCCGTCTTGCGAGGCATTCGTCTTGCGGGGCACCACTGTAGTGTGTGTCTGCCTGGGTCTTGTTACAAAACCCCTTCCAATACTGTCCTGTATTTATGGAGTTAATTTCACTCCTCTTATCAGTAGCTTTCCCACTTACCTTTTAGGCAGTTCCCTCTCCAAGGTTAATTTATGGGTCTGGGATGTTAAGAGTGGCCTTCTACTAATTAATTTTTAATGTCAGTTGCTCTGTGTCCCGGTCCAGCCTCATTCTCTCCACACACACCCCGGCCATACTCTTTTATATTGTCAGAAGGGTACAGAACATGTGCATGCTTGACATCTTCTCTTACTCAGGTGATTTGTTTTACCACTATGGTAAATGTACACTGCCACCATGCTGCACTCCATCCAGTTATGGTCAGTTTTTAATACATGCCTCACAGGGACCTTTGGTTTAGATAATTAGATGTGAGTGATTGAACCCTGTGACCCAGGACTGATGGGAAGCTCCCACTGTCAGCCCTCTGTCCCCCAAACTGCCAATGAGCATTCTCCCCAATGGTTTGTACTCATTTTGAGAAAAAGGTGGTGGAGCTTTTGAAGAGCACCATCTACATTTCTCTACTCCTTGTTTATCCGTGTAGTGTAACCTGCAATTCCTTTTGTCAACCTGTAAAAATGGATCCGTGCTAGTCCATCTTGGATGAAGCCCATTTTGTTGTTTGTTTTAAAAAATACTTGCTTTATGTATGGTATGTTTTCTCTTTGTTAATTCAGTGCTGTATTTTAATTACACAGGAGTGTAATAAACCACAAGAAGCATTTGGTTTTGAACAGGCAGCACGAGACTACACACTTCGCACATTTGGAGAAATGGCAGATGCCTTCAAGTCAGATTATTTCAATATGCCAGTGCATGTATGTTCACACTTCTAATGAGTCTGTTAACTTGGGTTTCATTATTGGGTTTATTAAAATTTGCATTCAGGGGAAACTCTTGTGTTGGTATCTAGAAAACAAAAATGGAGAATTTAGTTATGAATTTGGAGTGGGAAACAAAACGCTGGCAGTAGGGTTTCTATCTCATCCTTATAAAGTGGGTGGCAATGCGATTATTTATAAGACAGAATGGCAGCTGTTTCCCATTTGGTTTTTTACATGATAAAGTTGAAGATTCAGAATTGACACTCTGGGCAGAACCAGTGTGGGGAAGGAGTTAAGGTGTTGAAAGATTCTTGCCTCCCTCTCCCACTGCTATCCTGGCATTTTAAAGGAATTCAGTGTAGCTTGCATTTTAATGAACAGGTGGCTACTTTAACAACTTGACGGCCCCAGAAAGGATTTATATCCTGCTTGGTACTTATTTATTTGCCATGACACTTCCATACCGCCCATCAGCTAAGTCCTTTGGTATTAGTTACTACCTGACAAACTTATCTTGTCACCTTTTCTAATGTTTCCTCTAGCATTTATTCTGATTTAATGCATTTGTTAAAAGGGTTTAACACTGAGTTGTGGAGTACAATATCTTCTAACAGTACCAGTGTAAATAATAATTTTTTTTTACTGACTCCCTAAAACTGCATGTGTTTGTAGTAACAGAAAGCAAGTACTGACCCCTGCAAAATGTTGCATGCAAGTATCACTGGTCATTTCATGTATAATTCTTATTGATGCCCATTAGAGACTGTTAAATCTATGACCCTAGGAATAGGATTTCCCCAACCTAAAATATTTTAACTATTAACCTGAGATACCTGAATCATCCACTGGTCCATCTCATCTTTCTCATTGGCATGTCTCTATTCATGCAAGGACCCCCAAGTTTCTTTCTATGTGGCACTTCAACTGGTCCAGGGAAAGTATGAAAGTGGTATTTTCCTTCGTTTTCATGGTTTTCACCACTAAGGTGCACTTCTAGTTCCTTTCCAGCTCTCTGTGTCTGTCTGGTTTCATTGAGGCCTCTCCTACTTGTATTTGCAGCATACCTGCTACATTCCCCCTGTTTTTTGATAGGGGATGGCATTCTGTGTTAGGGATAGTAACACTTAACCCTCACCACCTCACAATTCCGTTTTGGCCCTTTATATTTATAACATGCTGCTGTTTTATTTTTTGTTAGTAACTTTTACCTGCCTCTTGTTCAGATGGTTCCTACAGAATTGGTTGAGAAAGAGTTTTGGCGTCTTGTTAGCACAATTGAAGAGGATGTTACAGTGGAATATGGTGCTGATATTGCTTCAAAGGAGTTTGGCAGTGGGTTTCCTGTGAGAGGTGGGAAAATCAAATTAAAACCAGAAGAAGAGGTAAGATTTGATTATTAACTTATATTTGGCATGTGGGCTGTTTAGAAACATATATAAAATTTCATGGATTCAAAGTAGAAATGAGCAACTCGGGCTGGCCTCAGCCTTTTGGCGGTTTCTCTGCTTGTGAATTAGGTGGTTGTTAATGGTATTTTTCAGTTCCAAAATGGCCATCTTGCTGATTCTCCAAGAGGAGGGAGGAAAGCACTTTGCTATCACTTTAGACGTGAATGAGATTCTGGAACAACAATATACTCCCCCAGATCAAGCACTTCCTTTCCAATGTGGTAAAATAAGCCAAAAATATCCCAGATGGGAATAATTTGAAGCCAATTACTTAGCTGCTCAGAGTTTCTATGCTTATTTCAACCATGGAAGCTTTTAAACTAGCTATTTAGTTCAAAATCACAATCTTTTGTTCACATACTATTTTTTTTTAACAAATCATCCAGATGACTTGGCCATCAAGTGATTGTTGTTTTGGCTTTGTCTTGTTTGTCTCTCATTCCTTTTTGGAGCACATAAATTCCAACTATTGCAAGGGGAGGGAATCAGAAGACCATTGTAGCCCTGGCTGGTGTACATCACCTTGGTCCTACAGTCCCATACCTCCCTTCATTACATTTCTAGCCCAGGTTTCCCACCCACCCTTCCTTGTTGCACTGGAATAGAATTACTGTCATAATTCCACCTGACCCCCTGCCCTTAGACTCCAGTTTGAAGGAAGAGGACTTTGTGTGGCATAAAGCTGGGGAGGTTTGCAAAACAGTGAAATACCTTTTGCAAATGATTCAAAGACACTATGAAATCCCCCTCCTTTCTCTGATTCATATGGCACTGGAGTTAGTGGAACACCCTCCCATCAGATGTCAAGGAAATAAACAACTATCTGACTTTTAGAAGACATCTGAAGGCAGCCCTGTTCATAAAAGTTTTTAATGTTTAATGTTTTATCGTGTTTTTAATATTCTTTTGGGAGCCACCCAGAGTGACTGGGGAAACCCAGTCAGATGGGTGGGGTATAAATAATAATAATATTATTTGTTTGTTTCTTGAAATCAGTGAGAGGTCCTGCTGCTTTTCAAGGCTGAGAAGGGAAGATCTCGCTCTCTCTTGCACTGGGCTGTGATGGAAAGCAGCAGGATCTCTTGTTGCTTTCTGATTTCTGCAGCTTCATGTGAGTTAGAAAAGGCAGGGGAAAATCCATGCCATCTGCACTGAGAGATATTTTACTGTTCTGATGTTCAGCACATCAAGAAAATGTGGGAGGAAGGAATAATCCAGGGTGGGAAAACCTGTGGCTCTCCTGATGTTATCGGATTCCCATCAGCCTCAGTCAGTATGGCTAGTGGCCTGGGATTATGGGAGTTGGAGTCCAGAGAACCACAAATTCCCTGCTCCTGGATGAACCCTTCTTGCATCCCCTTCTCTTCATAAGTTCTGTAAAATTACAGTTGTGTGTGGACATCCACATGTACCCATCTTCATTTGGCCCTTCAGCATACGGGTGGGCATTCCTGGATGCTAATGGAAATGAAGCAACAGTATTAACTGCAGTAAGGAACCATTATTTTTATTTTATTTTACAGCTGAGAATTATACCTCAGCAATGCTAAGACATCCTACTTCCAAGCAGCCCAGGTGATCTGTAATACATGTATTAGGACACAAGTGCAATAAGAACTTAATAGGAATATTAATTTATTTTACTGGAAAAGCTAATGTTAAAGCAATAGCTAGACTTCGGGTGGTAAAGTACCCATGCAATATTCTATGGCATTTTTTAAAGTTATCAGATTAGAAAAATGTCCTCCTCAAATAGAAAACTGCTTTTTAAATGTGGTTTGTGTTAAACCTGTGGACTCTCCCATTTGCTTTGCTTTCAGGAGTATCTTGATAGTGGATGGAATTTGAACAATATGCCTGTGATGGAACAGTCTGTACTTGCTCACATCACTGCAGATATATGTGGAATGAAGTTGCCTTGGCTATATGTAGGGATGTGCTTTTCTTCATTTTGCTGGCATATTGAGGATCACTGGAGCTATTCCATCAACTATCTGCACTGGTGAGTTTATAGGGAATGGAACATATAGATATGTTTGTGCAACCTGATATATATAGGTCACCAGACTAAATTATAATGTTTCCTTTCCTTTTAACATTAATATCTAGGTATTTGTATCTCTGCATACCTAAATTGTCTCCCCACTTATAGGACATAATTATGATCCTAAAACCTGCAAATGGTTGATTATTGTAGTTTATCTGCTTTTTTATGTTTGCAGGGGGGAGCCTAAAACATGGTATGGAGCCCCAGGATATGCAGCTGAGCAACTGGAAGATGTAATGAAGAAGTTGGCTCCTGAGCTATTTGAATCTCAGCCAGACCTTTTACACCAGCTGGTTACAATTATGAATCCCAATACATTAATGTCTCATGGTGTGCCTGTATGTCATTGAGCTTTTGTTTTCACCCCTACCCCTTCTAGTGCAAAGTTCATAGCTTAAGCAGTTGTTTTGTAGTACCTGACAAACTTCAAGCTTTTTTGCAAACACTAATAGTTGTGATGTTTCATGAGGTATAGCTATAGAAAGAGCAATACTGTCCTTGCTTCTCAATAATTAATTTGAAACTATCAAAACCAATTTTTGTTTGCTGTTCCAAGCTCCTATTGTGCACAAAAAATGAGCACAATTCCACAGTGGAAGATTATTAATTCCTTTGTTACACTTTGCTTGCTTTTTGTGCAAATTAGTCTCCAGGTAGGAATTCTGTGACTGTAAAATGATGTAATGATTTTTCTTCAAGGGCACTATTTTGGAGTAATTCCTATAAAGGTGGAAAGTTACATCAGAATGCAAAATATAAACGGAAAGAGTTATTATTAGTTTTTCTTCTCCTCTCCCTCTCCTTCTCCCAATACTACAAAGCTTTAAAGGTGACTTGCAGAAGTAAGATATAAACATTCTACGCAACAAAACATCTGGTGTGGATAATACTGAGCTAGATGGACCAGTGGTCTGACTTAATGTGAAGATGGAAGCATCCTTATAACAGTGATTATATACCAATTATGAGCTATTGAAATCCCCCTTCCCCTGCTGCAACAGTAAGATAACCATTACAATAGGGAGCTAACAAAACTCTTCAAGTAGCAAGAGAAAACATTTTACAATAAAATGCCGAGGAGTCTTGGCCTGGTGCCAAAAGATGTGGAGTTATGGATTGTTTACATACCACTTTTTGGCTCAAAACCCCCCAAAGCAGTGAATGACATAGTAGTACAAAAGAAATATACAAAAGATAAATCAAAACAATATAAAATAGCTAAAGCACCAAACTCTCCTGATCACATTTGAGAGTTGCATTCATGTTTTCGCCACAAAAGCAGCTCCACAGCATTACGCATCCCATTTAATTTGCATCGTCTTGTGCAGCACCAGTAGCATGCTGTCACTGGAAAACAGGTTGTAGGCTGGGTAAAACAGGTTGTGTCCAACTTGGTTTTACTCGCAGCAGAGACATTGATTAGTTACTTGAACGTTCTCTTTGTACTATTACAAAACTTTAATAAACATGTTTAAATAAAAAAGAGCAAACCTGTTGCAATGACTAGCTCTGGGCTAGTCATGTTCATTAATTTCAGTGGCTCTGCGCTGAGTAAAAGCTTAGTTGAATAGCTTCCTTAATATTTAGCCCCTTTATGTTTGCCAACATAATGTGACAGGGAGCGTATTAGAGTTAGAGGCTGAGTCACCTGGATAATTGAACCCCTCAGTATCCATGGGTTTCGACAGCTGTCCCACTTTGCGAACAGCAGTGACTTCTTTCTGATAATGATGATGGCTGTCATCATAGATAGCTTGAAAGAAAGGCTTGGACAAACTCACAGGATATTTCTGTCAGCACCAAATAGATTTGATATGTAAATGTACAGAAGCAGTCCATACTCCTGGATACCAGATGGTGGGGACAAAGAACATGGAGGGTTGTTTCTCCCTTTACACCACATTTATGGGTTTCTTGGATGCAACTGATTAACTATGGTTAGAATCCAAATGGATGCTTGGTCTGATCTAGATGGCTTTTTAAAAGATTCCTAAAAATTCTAAATTTTCAACTTCAGCATTTTCTGGTTTGCTTTGCTTTGCCATAGATTTACCGTACCAACCAGTGTGCTGGTGAATTTGTGATTACGTTTCCAAGAGCCTATCATAGTGGCTTTAATCAAGGTTTCAACTTTGCTGAAGCTGTTAATTTTTGCACTGTTGACTGGGTAAGTTTTCCATTTTATTGCCATCTTGTTGGAAAGCATATTCTGAAATTTGAAGGTGTGGCCATTGTTTCCTTTAACCTTCAAAACACTTCTGTGAGTTGGATCACAGTGTGGATAGTATGAGTTTTATTCTTTTTTTAGAATATGAAATCCGGTTTTAAAAGATCTTGCTGTATTCTTTGGACACCTTGTCATCATCTCACCTTAAGAAGCAAACGAATGTTATACATTTTGTTTCTGATTCAAAATTTTGTAGAAGGGCTTCATTGTGCATATAGCATTCTTGACTGCCGAGATCTTCCAATCCACTGAAGTAAAATGGATATATCTCTGCTGATGTATTCCAAATTGTGTGAATGGTTGAAACATTTCAGCTGGAAGTGTGCTGCCAAGTTTCTGGTTATGCTTCAGTTTTGTACATAGCACTGTACAATCTTAATTAGCGTTGAATTCCTTTCTGCAGAGAATGGTTTTAAATATTTATTTGTACAGGGTCCTAGAATGGGCTGTGCTTACCTTGTTTATTCTGGATCAAGTGGACTGCATTAATTTAATATTTTGGCCAGTGATGTATTGGCAAGAACCTGTTGCTTTATACAGCTTCACCTCTCCTGAGAACATTAAGAAAATCTGTTTATTGTATTTTTTCTTCTAGTTGCCATTAGGACGTCAATGTGTGGAGCACTATCGCTTATTAAACCGCTATTGTGTGTTTTCTCATGATGAAATGATATGCAGAATGGCTGCCAAAGCAGAGACTCTTGATGTAGTGGTAGCATCTACTGTTGAGAAAGACATGGCTATTATGATTGAAGATGAAAAGGCTTTACGGGAGGCTGTGTGTAAACTGGTATGTTTTATGAAGTTAAGCGATTAGCAGTGAAATTGTTTCAAAGCAAGCAGTTCAGTGGTAGCAACCTACTTTGCTTGCAGGTCTCTCTAAGCAGGCCATCTCAGATCCCTGGGCCACTTACAACTTTTGAGGCCCCCTAGCCAGTGGTGGCTTACTTCTGAGATCCACTGAGTTCCATGGGATTGCTCTTTGATAAGTATGTACAAGATTGCAGCCTGAAACCGCTAGTGTTAAAGTTGCCACACAAGGGCCCCCATGAACTTCCAAGCTATGGGAAAAAACATTTTTTCCTCCCAAGTTATTCACTTCAATACTTAAAGTGGTGTTGAATATTGAGTGGAATGGGACTTGAGAGATAAAGGGTTAAAAACACGGCTCAGATGGATGAGACCTCCTGGCCATAGGAGTACTTTTGGACTGAGTGACTGAGTTGTGCAGAAAGTTGATAGGCCAGTGAACAGGAGCTGGAGAAGGTCCTCCTGGAGAATACACACTTCTCTCAGAGTTTAAATTGGTTGTGGAAGGATATATGAAACAGGAAAAAATGGGCCTTTGCGATTTTTGGGGGGAGGGGTGTTAAAAAGCACTTGGTGTTTTAAGCCCTGGTTGCCCTAACGGCTCCACTGCCCCAGCCATAATAACTATGCAACATGACAACAAACAAAAACAAAATAAGGAACCACAACAGAAAAATAGACATATTTTGATTTTTTTAAAATTAGGCTTTTCTACCCTTTTCCTGTGGAAATGCATAAATTACTGAGGTAAAATGGTACTTTCATGTAAAACGGCAGTTGATATTAAGCATATGACAGAAATCCATATCAGTTAAACAAAAATGGTGTCTTTTAGCAAATCATCCATTTGTTTAAATTTGCATTTCTAAGCTGGGAGGGTGTGTCGCAATCTGGTCCAATGTACATAAAAACGAGTTGTGAAACATCAAATTCCCCCAAAATAACAAGTGTTGAATTAAATTTGAGGCTTCCTTTGAACTTGAGGCCTCGGGGCAAATGGCCCTCTTAGGTCCCTCTCTGTTTGGCCCTGCTTCCAGGTTCAATTTCAGCATCTCTAGGTATGGCAGGGAATGTCCCTTCTCTCAAACATGCCAACCAGTAATGAGGTAGATGGATCAATGTTCTGACACTGCATAAGGCAGCTTCCTACATTTCTATGTCCTGTACTCTCAACTAGCAAGGAGAGAGATTCCTACTTCTATTCCTTGCATGGTAGCTGCCTCATGAATAGTCCATATTAGAAAAAACAATCAGAATGTTTGGTCGTTAATGCAGGTAACATTTATTTTTTTGAAAAGTTTTATTGTTTGTTTACTAACTTTGGTAAGGTAATTAATGTCTTAGCTATTTAACTTCACTATTTAAAATCCTTAATTCCAAAAAATGATAATTGTTGATAATTTTAATCTACACGATGGGGTAATTTACTCATAAATGTACAGTTTACATGCAGTGAATCAGTTTATTTTTATGGAAAGTAGCTATGCCTGAATCTCTCAGGATGGTACGTTGCCATTCTTGAAATTTACTTGCATCCATGAACTGTTTTGTTTTTACTGTCCTATGAAGTGAATGACTGTTGTTTATTACAGGGGGTTACTGATTTAGAGAGAGTGAATTTGGAAATATTGCCCGATGATGAACGACAGTGCATAAAGTGTAAAACCACTTGTTACATGTCTGCAGTCTACTGTTCTTGTAATCCTGACTTATTGGCATGCCTGTATCATGTAGAGGACCTCTGCACATGTCCCGCTTATAAATACAAAATGGGGTAAGATTATGTTTGCAAAATCTATTCCGAGGAATTGAAATGTTTCTCTTAAAGTATAATTGCATTTCTTTTTCCTGCTTTTGCTGAATATTGTGTGTAATAAAAGATTGCATCTTAGAAGCTTAAACAACAAATTTTGTTTGGTTTATTATCACAGCCTGTAATAGGTTAGATTTTTAAATAAACAGCAACAGATCATAGTTGTATATAGGAGGGAGGGAAGTTACAGAAGCATAGCTTTTTCTGGGGTAGTTCTAGGTGAATTCTTTGCATTTTCAGTTTCATTTGGGGACAGGCAATGTATCTTTTGGATTTGTTCCCCCCTCAGTGTTTAGCTAATAAATACCTTAATATTGTAATACATTATTTTGGAAGTAGTTGTTGGATTGAAAAAATGATATGCTTGGTCTAGCTTATGTGACTTAAGTTATGTACACCTTTTCTCTGTAGTTGATTTTATGACTTCCTTCCCAAGTTTTCCCCGTCCTTATTGCTCTAAAATACTGTATCTCTGAAAAGCAGGTACAAACTACCAGGAAGTGTTTCCATGCTGCTGTTTGCCACTGTGTAGGTTATTGGGGGTGGGCGTGTTATATAGACATGGTTGTGTTGCAGACCTGTTGCTGCAGTTATCACACTTCAGGGGTGTGTGTGTGTGTGTGTGTGTGTGTGTATACATACATACACATCACACACACACACACACACACACACACACACAGCCCTGCCATTTGATTTACCTGTTATCCCTTCCTTCTAAAGCAGGGGTTGAGGAGAAATTTAAAGAGTAGAGTGATGCGTCATCTCCGGAGGAGGAAAAAACTTAAACACGTAGCAGAGTTCCCAAAAAATAGACCAGAGGCCATTGTACTTCATCCAGCAGAGCTTTACTTGCTACTGAAGGCAAATGGGCATAATCTCATTTGCATGGAATAATAATAATTTTATTATTTATACCCCCCCCCAATCTGGCTGGGTTTCCCCAGCCACTCTGGGTAATTTATAGCACATATAAAAACGTAGTAGAATGTCAAACATTAAAAAAATTCCTGATACAGGGCTGCCTTCAGATGTCTTCTAAAAGTTGTATGGTTCTTTATCTCATTGACATCTGATGGGAGGGTGTTCCACAGGGAGGGCAAAGGTGAAAGCAAATCCCTCCCCATCCCATTGTTTTTGGAATCACTTCTCCACAGCTGTCTGGACCTTTGGACCACTTCTGTGGTCAGAAGTAACTCTTGATGAGAGAAGAATAGATGGGGGAAACTGTACAGGCAAGTTCAGTTCCCTGTCTTCCTGCACTTTAAAACTTGTCCTACCCCATAGGGAATTGACAGAATGTGTTACCCCCACATCTTTTCTCCTTTCCTTTTCCTCACCCAACAAATAGTAAATAAAAATATGTCAATATGATGTAACTGCATCACAGGCTCAGTGATCCCTAGTTCACATTATTGAATTCTGGCTGTGGAGGTGGGGAAGCTTTAAAACACAGTGACATTGCATCATTCATTTTTGTTTCTTAGCTGTTAGAAAGGGGAGAAGTGGGGCTGCTACCTTTGGCAGTGGCTACAGTCTCCCTAACATTTCAGCTTACTGTGCAGATTGTAGTAGAATAGTACATGCCAAAATGCTTCACTTAGAATTTCAAATTTGCAAGTCTTTATTGAAATTCTGTACTATTTCCAGATATCGTTACACATTAGATGAACTCTATCCAATGATGAATGCACTTAAGCTGCGGGCTGAATCCTACAATGAATGGGCTTCTAATGTAAATGAAGCTTTGGAGGCAAAAGTTAATAATAAAAAAAGTATGTATCTTTACCTTTTTGTTTTGTGCTATGACTACATATTGTCAAATGTTATTAGTTTGATATTACCTTTTTTTAAAAAATATTTTTTATTAACCGACCAATCACATCAAATCAAACCAAATTACATAAATTCCAAATTACAGAGCTGAATTTTAAATTTTTGTTGGGGGTACCTATATTTCAAGTTCCAAAGGGGATCCAATCATCTTCCTGCTGCTGCTTTAATGTCCACAAATCTGTCCATATGATGTTCACAATACTGTCCAGTCCTTTCTTATTGTTTTCCACATCTCCTCTTGTTATTCTCATATATTTTTCCTTTCTCTTTGTGACCTCTGATGCTCTCCAAAGCGGGTTAAAACAAGTTGTAATCCTGTGTGGATATTTTTATTCATTCAAGAACCATATTCAGACGGTTTCCATATATCATCACTTCCATAAATAAAAACAGTCTTACTGTCGTTAATCTTCACAAGTCTGTTGCCTTTCTCCCAACCTCTGAGGAGGTTCACCAGGAATGCAGTCCAAAAACAAATCCATTCCTCCTCCCAGTTGTAAATCCTTCGACAAAGCCTGGCAATATGGCGACTGTTTTTATTGCTGCATCACTCCAAAAGCTCTTATTCTTTACTCAATCTCCATAAAACATACTTTTGGTTAAAGTTCATTTCCACACAGTCCTTAAACATCCTGCTTAGGTCAGTTAGCCGACGGATCCAGTAGTGCCCTCACCACTTTCACCACTAGTGCCCTCACCACTTTCTTTCGAATCTGGGGGTAATTTATGGGCACAGCAGGCAAGGGCAGTGTTCCCCATATCCCTGGGGCAACAAGGGAGGCTGCATACTCCCATAACAGCCTCTTAATTACCTCGTGTGGGCTGGAGAGATGTTATTGTCAGCCATCTTCCAATGTGCCCCTAGTGGCCCCCCCTAGTTTGATATTATCAGGCTGTTATTTATCACACGTACCCAGAAATTCCACTAAGTTCATTGATACCTACTTTCCACTAAATGTACATATGACTGCAGCCTAGTTCTGTATAGGTTGAAGATGAACAACCTCATCTGTTACCAAGCCAGGTTCAAGCTTTTTGTATTAATTTACAAAGCCCGGAACAACTTAGGTCCAGGGTACCCAGAGCTCTCCTGAACCCTTTTCCCCCAGCTCAGTCACTGAAATCAACTGCAGGAATGCCATTGGTCGTTCCCCAAGTTAATGAAGGCTCATTTTACAACTATCAAAGGCCCAATCCTGTGGAATACTCTGCTAATAGAGATTCACCAGGCCATGTAGGCAACTAAGAATACATTCTTCCACAGTGTTTAATTAATGTCTGTTTTATACTTTTTTATATGGTTTTTAATGTACAGTTTTATATTTTATTGCTGTAAGCTGCTTTGATATACCGTATTTTGTCATGTATAAGACTAGGTCTTTTCCTAAAAAATAATGTCAAAAATTAGGAGGCGTCTTATAAATCTGAGTCCCCCGAAATAGGGGGATCTTATACATGGGGGCATCTTATAGATGGGAAAATATGGGATATATTTTAAAGATTTTGCAGTATTTTAAATAAATAAATAAATAAATAAGAAAGTAGAATGGTTTACTATAAAAGTGCAGACCCAAAATAGTGCACTTTACTATTCTAATGACCAAAAATTTTGGTTCTTGCAAAGGTCTCATGAATTTCAAAGCTTTAATTGAAGAATCTGAAATGAGGAAGTTTCCAGACAATGATTTGCTGCGACACCTTCGTTTAGTTACTCAGGATGCAGAGAAATGTGCCTCAGTTGCACAACAGCTTCTTAATGGCAAACGGCAAACTAGGTATGTTTAATATGTGTTTTGTAGCTTGATTTCAAATTCCCAGGGGGTTTATTAGGAAAACTTGCTTCATGTCTTTAAATTATTGTGAGTGTTTAAACATTTTTTGCTTCTAAAAATGCTGAATACAACCCTACAGCATAAAGTGCTGAAAATAGCTAAATTACCTACATTTTTATTGAGGTTAAATGTGAATAGAAACGTGCATATCTGTGCTTGGCATCATCAGTTACTATGATGGTGGGCATTAAAGGTAAAGGGACCACTGACCATTAGGTCCAGTCGTGACCGACTCTGAGGTTGTGGTGCTCATCTCGCTTTATTGGCCAAGAGAACCGGCGTACAGCTTCCGGGTCATGTGGCCAGCATGACTAAGCCACTTCTGGCAAACCAGAGCAGCACACGGAAACGCCGTTTATCTTCCCGCCGGAGCGGTACCTATTTATCTACTTACACTTTGACGTGCTTTCGAACTGCTAGGTTGGCAGGAGCAGGGACTGAGCAACAGGAGCTCACCCCATTGCGGAGATTTGAACCGCCGACCTTCTGATTGGCAAGTTCTAGGCTCTGTGGTTTAACCCACAGCGCCACCCGTGTTGGTGATGGGCATTACCTGAAGCTATAAAATAGCTGAGCAAAGTTCAATTTCCCTTTGGGAGGAGTGCATGTTTGCAGCAAATAACACAGTGAAGTAATTGTTTGTTCATTCTGCTGTTCTCAGATAGCCACAATGACCTAATTAATAGGAAATGGCTGCAGACACTCCTGCATCATCAAAGGAACCTTGGTGGCAATCTCCCATATCTTGAGGGGAGGGGTGTTGGCAGGAACAGAGTGTAACTTTCCTAGGCTTCTTTTAGCAATGGTAAACACCAGAGGAGATTAGAAGGAGCAAAACAGGAGTGGGAAAAGACACAGAGGCAAGCATCACATGGTGCTGAAGAAAATGCTTTCTTTCAAAAGCACTCAAGTTTTCTATTTTTAAACTTAATGCATTTTGAGTGCACCAGTTCTTTCAGTGACAGTAGCAGCTTCTCAGTTTTTGAATGGGGAATTTATGTTTGGTGTGGCGGTAGACAATTGGAATGAGCATGGTAAGCAGTAAGATGGCCAACAGTGACACCAAATTATTCAAGGTAGTAAAAATAAAAGATATGTCTCCTAACTGGGCATTAAAATGGGAAATACAGCTCAGTGCATGTAATTGTAAAGTAACACACATTGGGACTAAATAAAACATCACTGATGGGCGATTGGACGTGGTTTAGAGAAAATGGCATTGCACACCAGTTTTGACTCAGTAGTGGACCAGGTTTGGCCTGCAAACTGGATGTTCTCCACCCCTAGTGTACAGAAAGTGGAGAGATGTCATCCAATGAAGCTAAATGATGGGAGGTTCAAGACAGATAAAAGGGAGTACTTCTAGAGCTAAACCCTGGAATTCACTATTGCAGGATCTGAGGGTGGCCACCAGTTTAGCTTTTTAAGGAGATTAGGCAGATTCATAGACAATAGCAGTGGCTACTACTCATGGCTGCATGCTGTCTGCAGGTTCCAAGGGTGGCATGCCTCTAAATATTAATAATTGTGGGGTAACAGTGGCTGAGAACTTTCCCCATGATGTCCTCCTTGTGGGCTACCCATAGACATTGGGTTGGCCACAGTGGGAAACAGGATTCTGGACTAATAGACTTTTGGTCTGATCCAGCAGGGTTCTTCTAATGTTCATGTGTTGCAGTGTGTTTGTAAAAAAAATTAGACCATTTTCTTCTGCTCCTTTAAGATTTGCCATTGTTGTATGAAACTTGTGTTGGCCTCATTATTCTCTCAGAAGAGTAAAATTAGCACATTCACACTTCACTTGGCATTGACCACACGCTGTTCCCCACCCCTAGCTTATATGAAGTTTAAATAGCAGGTGAAAAAGTATCAATTGCAACAAAATTCCATCTGCTGTAGGAATTTCATTGAATAGTGGGGCAGAAATCCCTTTTAAAAAATCATTTCTGATTATGCAAATAATTGGAAGCATGTTGTAACTATGTCTGTGTGATTGCAGGTATCGGTCTGGAGGAGGAAAATCTCAAAATCAGCTGACTGTGAATGAACTCCGTTTATTTGTTAGGCAGCTCTATGCTTTACCATGTGTCATCAGCCAAACAACATTGCTGAAGGTAAATTAGAGTGCTCCAGATAATAAATACTAAGAAAACAGACTCAGATTTCTGAATGTTCCAAGAATTTGGATAGAGAAACAAATGCCACTTGAGCCAACAACTTATTGGGAATAAACAAACCATAGTTAAGCTGTTGGGCAGGGTTTGGGCAATCAAACAGTCAGGGCAAGTAACCTTTATTGGCATCACATAAGAACATTCAGAATACATTCAGAATAGATAGGCCAGTACGATCTCGTCACCACCCCAACAGCACAGTCACCTGCCAAAGGGCGGAAGAGGCGAGCAATCCGCCTCATCTCTGTGGGTTTCCAGCAAGGGCAGGATCCTGTAGCATACTTCGGCGACAAAAAAATCAAATAGAGGAACTTAGCTACTGTCTTGGTGAGCTCCTGGTCTCTCCCCCTTGGTGAGCTCCTGGGCTCCCCAATTTTAGTATATGTGCTCGCTTCGGCAGCACATATACTAAAATTGGAACGATACAGAGAAGATTAGCATGGCCCCTGCGCAATCAAACAAACAGTGGTTTTAATAAACCGTGGGTTAGTGTTTTGTGCAAACCAGACATATATCATATTTTGGTGTATGTATTTGAACATAGTTTTAAATGAATGTAAATTGGCAGGTCTGCATTACTGATTTTCTATGCTTTCTTTGTGTAGAAACCTTACCCCAGGGAGTTGTCACTTCCTAAGAACAGGAAGAATATTAATTCAGATTGGAGCTCTCCCTGACCAAAATCCAAATCTAATAAAGTTGACTTGGTTAACTCATACAAAATTCTGAAACACATCAGAATTTTTGGTTGTTATTTATTTAAGCAGATCTTGGCAAAGTTGAGAAGCTCTTAAAATGAGATTTGTTCAGAAATCTTAAAATCTGAGGAATTATTTTTTTACTTCTTGGAAACAAATACGCCTGGCATTCTGAAAAACCAGCTAGGTGGCTTGCTGTTCAGGTGAAAGTGACAGAATAGATTTCATGATATTTTGGTGGGAGAGTTTTAAACCCTTGACATATTTTGCTGCTTTATATTTCAGGATCTTCTTAATCGTGTAGAAGACTTTCAGAAGTATAGCCAAAAACTCCTCTCTGAAGAAATTCCCAGTGCTTCAGAAATACAGGAACTGTTGGATGTCAGTTTTGACTTTGACGTTGATCTTCCCCAGCTAAGTGAATTACGGATACGCCTAGAGCAAGCCCACTGGCTGGAAGATGTGCAGCACGTTTGCTTGGACCAAAATTCTCTTACTCTGGATGATATGAGAAGACTTATAGACTCTGGTGTTGGGCTTGCTCCTCATCCTGCTGTTGAGAAGGCAATGGCTAAGCTGCAAGAGCTGTTGACAGTATCTGAACACTGGGATGACAAGGCTAGAACCCTGATAAAAGCCAGGTAAAAACTGAGTCTTCCTCTTTCAGAACTATTGCAGTTACCACACACAGCTTTCAAGTAATTATTTTCCCAAACTTTCAGAAAAATGAGGGAAAGGTGAGTCTGTAGTACTCTGTGTACAGGAAAGTGAGATGGTATATTCTCTGTCCCAGCAGGCAAGAAATGGTTAACCCATCTTCCACTTGAAGGCATTTGGGTGACGACGAGTCCTACAATAATGTATTGAGCCTAGTTTTAACTACAGGAGGAAAGATCAGAAGAGTGCAATGTTGAATTCCTCCCTCTTATTTTTTAGTTATCACCATTGGGCTGAGAGGATCCTCCAACTCTTGGTCCCCATTCCTCTGATTAAAATGTAAAAATTGCATCTGTGGGGGATATTTTCCTTAGCAAAAAAGTGTGTTGGGGTCGGGGTGGGGGGACGGAGTCTGTGTGTGTATGCATGTGTTTGCTGAACTGCTTTGCAAGCAGCATATGCAGGCAGAGAGAGCATGGAAGGAGCCGGCTGCTTTGGCTTGCTCCCGCTCCCCAGCTGGGCAAGGCAGTGGCAGCCAAGGAGCAGCATCACAACAGAGCCCTTGCACTGCCTTCAGGGCTCTCTGATGCAGATGCAGAAGCTGGGCTGCCTCTGCCTTGCCCGACCCATGCGCCAAGGCGGCCTTGGATGGGGCAAGCGCGCTGGCCTGTCTGCTGCTGCTGCCTCGCTGGGGTGGGGAGAGTCTAATGGATCCCCCACCTGGTGTGCCGGAGGCATGGTGGGGGTCTCCTTTAAACTTCTCCATTGAAAGGGGGGCAGCTGCACACCCCCAGTGGATAAGTTTAAAGGAGCCCCCACCTCCCCAGAATCCCTCCCCCCACATATGCAGGCAATTCTCAATTTGTGCATGTTCAGCATTGGAAGAGAAGCAGGGTGGGCTTACACATGTGATGACCTGGAATGTGACCCCTACATAAATGGGGGATTGCCTGTAATTTAAACTGAATTATATATGCTTCTAATTTGTCTGTTGACATCCCGTACTGACAAGAAGTGCTTTATGATACTATAATTGTTTGGCCAATAGCAATTTTGCACTAGCGTTTGAGTAATAATACAACATTTTGATCATATATGTTTGTTTATTTTAAGACCACGGCAGTCATTAAGTAGTCTTGAAGCAGCAGTGAAGGAGATTGAGGAAATTCCTGCTTACCTTCCAAATGGCATAGCTCTGAAAGAGGCTGTAAAAAAGGCCAGAGACTGGCTACAGGAAGTGGAGGGCTTGCAGGTAGGAATCATCAGTGATGTTCATCAGTGATTTCACTCTAACTTCATTTGTTTCTGTAGACTGTGTGGTGTTCAACTGCTGGCAGAAATTTAAATTGTACAACTGATGTTTCCTTAGGGTAGGGATGGGGAACCTGTGATCCTTCAGATCTTGTTGGTACTCCCATCAACCCCAGCCCGCATGTAGTCCAGCAATATCAGGAGTCCCACAAGTTCTCCGTATCTGCCTTAGATAGGCATGCAGCAGAATAATGCAATTACTTTAATGTTTTTTTAAATAATGTTTCTACGCTGTTAGGTTGGTGGACGTGTGCCTGTGTTAGATACACTTGTGGAACTTGTGTCTAGAAGTCGCTCTATTCCAGTACATCTTGAATATCTGCCAAGATTAGAATCATTAGTTGCTGAGGTTCAAACTTGGAAAGAGTGTGCAAGCAATACTTTTTTGACTGAGAATTCACCTTATTCTCTTCTTGAGGTAAGCAGTTTATGGTGTATACATGTTTGCTTTTAATTCAGTATTTGTGATATATACACACCACATAGAAATTAAGAGTCAAGGGTTGACTGAAAGTATCCCACAAAACTGGACAAGACACCTGACATAGATTTGTCCCAACTATGGTATTTGGATCACTATGAAATCAAGAATTTTGGCCTAAAATTGCCTAGCAAAACTCCCATAGCAGGCTTCTGAGGGTTCCAGTATACTGTTTCCTGTGGCAGATATCAGCAAACCTCTTTCAAAAGCTCTGCTGGGCAGCTACTCGAGGATTTGATGGAGACTGCAAACTAAGTCTTCATTGTTGCCTTCACCACTACACAGTAGGCACAATTATGTGTTCTAGTAGTAAATGTTCAGTTACCCTCACAGCAGGCCTTTTGCCTATTGTGCTTAAGCCATTGTCTGACCTGAAGCTCCACAGAAAACCACAGGGGCATTCAGGCTCCATCGTGCCAATGGCCTATCACATCTCACCATTCCACAGTGAAACTAAGGCCTCCGCATCTTTAGCTGCCAGGAATTTACCTAGAATGCAAGAATCCATATTGACAAGTTCCTCACCAAGGCAAAGACAAAAGTATATGCTTTTTGTGTCAGGCCAGTGACACACTATGACTGATCCATGGTTGTCATGGAAGCCATGAAGTCCTGAGCTGGACCACATTAATCCTAATTGCCCCTCCAAAAGGTGGCTTTCCTGGTTCAGAGAGGTCTATCAGGACGATGTTATACATGACTGTGTGCAGTAACTAGTTTGGCCCTTGAGATTCCCAGATAACTATGATATGGGAAGTTGGATTATACAAGAAGTAAGTGCTGGAACTGGCAGCCCTCAAGATTCAGGTGACTGATGATATCAGATTTTAAAAGATGTATGTGCAGCCTTCTGTTTCCATGCTGGTCACTGCTGAGTAGCGTATGCCCCCTCCCATGTTTGTTCTTGGCTACAGCTCATGTTTAGTGAGCAGTTAGGTTAACCATGAGTAAAAGGTAAGGTAAAGGTAAAGGACCCCTGGACCATGAGTAGCACTTCTGGTAAAGCATTAAGCCAAACCTTGGTTTAACTAGGTGTGGCACAGTAGTAAAAAGGACTTGGGAGGAGTAAAATTATTGTGAGCTCCAGGAGCCTACAAGTTTATCTTTTTGTGTTTTGTGAAACAGGTCAGTGTCTTGTTGCATCTCTCTTTTTTGAAAGCATGACCTTTCATAGCTGAGAATATCCTGATTCAGATGGATCTTTACTGCTTTTGCCACAACAGACAAAACACAGCTACTGTGGATTGGCTATTTACAAGGAAGATATGATTATGCTGTGTTACACCAGGATGAATAATGGTTGTTCTGACTCTTCACCAGGTTTTGTGTCCAAGATGTGATATTGGAACATTGGGATTTAAAAGAAAAATGAAGAAATTAAAAGAGCCTGTCCCAAATGGAAAAAAGAAGAGCACCAAATTAGAGAGTTTAAATGATTTGGAAAGAGCTTTATCTGAGAGTAAGGAAACTTCTGCTGCGGTATGTATACTGTTAGAAATGGGTTTGGAAATAGGTGTTCAGTAGATTAAGCTTTTCTCTTGCTTTGTTCTTTTATGATGCTTCATTTCTTCCATTTCCTTGGGTGTGGAGATGCACACTAATCCTTTTTTGTCTAGTACAGTCATACTTTGGGTTGTGAACGTGATCTGTGCGGGAGGCACATTCGCAACCTGCAGCACTGCGTTTGCGCATGTGCATGACGCGATTTGGCGCTTCTGCGCATGCGCGTGATGTTATTTTGTGCCTGCGTGAGTGCCGAAACCAGGAAGTAACTCGTTCCGGTACTTCCAGGTTCAGCACGGTCCAGAGCGTTTGTAACCCGAGGTATGACTGTATAGCTTTTTGTGTTCTCTCCCAAATAAAGAGGGCATGTTCTAATACATTTTAAAAATTGGACTTTCTGAGGATTGAGATAATATGTGTTTGGGATGGATCTTCTGTTAATGAAAGTCAAGCCTCTTACTCTACATGTAAGTGTATCCCTTAACATTTGATGAAGTGTCAGACAATGTGCCATTAAAAAAAAAGTTCAAAAAGAACACATCTGGTTTGACTCCCTAGTTCGAATCATAGAATTGTAGAGTTGGCAGGACCCTGAGGGTCATCTAAAGCTTTCTTGCAAGATTTGGAGAAAATTATAGTTAAGCCCTTCAGTTTAAAAATCTTGCTCTGAGGAATTTGACTGTTTTCATGTCATTTTCTTCCAGATGGCCACACTTGGTGAAGCCCGCTTAAAGGAGATGGAAGCACTGCATTCACTTAGAGCAGCAAATGAAAAAAAAATATTCTCCACTGAACAGGATGTAGAGATCAAAGTTTGTCTCTGCCAGAGTGAGCCCGCAGCACCAATGATACAGTGTGAACTATGCAGAGCGGTCTTCCATACCAGCTGTGTTTCAGTGCCCAGAACTTTGCAGGAACCTCGGGTGTGGCTCTGCCCTCACTGTCATAGATCTGAAAAGCCACCTTTAGAAAAGATTCTACCTTTACTGGCTTCCTTGCAGCGTATTCGAGTGAGACTGCCTGAGGGAGATGCTTTACGGTATATGATAGAGAGAACCGTGAACTGGCAACATAGAGCACAGCAGATGTTGTCCTCAGGGAATATAAAACTTATACAAGACAAAGTGGGCTCAGGTATACTGTACAGCAGATGGCAAACCATGGCAGGCCAGTTGCAAGAGACAAGTAAGGTAAGGTTCTCCTTGATACGGGGAGCTCACCAGGATGTGTTGCGCAACATCCAATTGACACATTTATCTAAACTCTGAGCCAACAATATTGTGGTAAATAATTAAGGAATTACATGCTAATTCCCAGCCTTGGTTCACGCACATTTATTACTTAATGGATTGGCCTATTAGGCCATGAATTCTACTCTCCCTCCTTGATATGTATCCTTGTCGTGGATTTAAGCTGCCTTATGTTCCTGTCCTAAACTGTATTATTTAGAATAAAGTAAATCCTCCTGTACCCCTGCTTTCCTGCTCAGTTGTTAACAGAGGCCTCTCTTATCAGTCTTGCGTCTCTGGCCCTTCATCAGCTCCTCTCTCATGGACCCCCAATCTGCTTGTGGACCAGCTGATCTGAGGTCACAGTCTGTTTAGCTGGGTTGGGATGAAACTTGTTTGACTATTTGTCTTGGGGGGAAAGACCCCCCCAAAGGTCTAATTAGATTTGACTATGTGGTATCACAAGGGACGTGAGTGGCGCTGTGGGTTAAACTACAGAGCCTAGGACTTGCCGATCAGAAGGTCAACAGTTCAAATCCCTGCGACGGGGTGAGCTCCCGTTGCTTGGTCCCAGCTCCTGCCAACCTAGCAATTCGAAAGTACGTCAAAGCGCAAGTAGATAAATGGGTACCGCTCCGGCAGCTTAGTCATGCTGGCCACATGACCTGGAAGCTGTACACCGGCTCCCTCGGCCAATAAAGCAAGTTGAGCGCCGCAACCCCAGAGTCAGTCATGACTGGACCTAATGGTCAGGGGCCCCTTTACCTTTACCTATGTGGTAACACAAAGCCAAACTGGAGAGAAGGCAATAATTTGCCATCACTTTAAAGTGGTGTAAATGTTGACCCTTCCACTGACTTCCCCAAATGAAATGGTTATGTGTTTTTCATGGAAAATGAAGCTCCTTTCTCCCCTACCTTAATGTGACAGTCTTCTGCAAAGGACAGGTACATCTTGCATAGCAATGTGAGATAAGCTTTGCTCAATCAGACTAAAGGTCTAGTGTGGTATCCTGTGTCTCACAGTGGCCAACCAGATACCTTCAGGAGAATAGTCCCACTGTTGTCCCACTACCCTGCCCCCAACTGTTCCTTTTAGCTATAATGGCTTATAGCCGTTGATAGACCACCTCCATAAGGTGTCTTTTTAAAGCCCTCTAAAAGCCCTCTAAATTACTATTAATCCAGTGGTGTGTTGAGGTAGTACTTAATTTTGTTTGTCATGAATCTACTGCCAAGGAGTTTCATTGAGTTACTCCAAGTTCTGATGTTATAAGAGAGTAAAAAATAAAATACTTTCACTTTCTCCATAACGTACAGTATAACATTGTTAACTTCTGTCACATTCCCATTTAATCATTTATTCTTATCTAAAAAGCCCCAAATCCATTCAGGAAGGTGGATTCAACAATGTTGGTTGCCCTTTTCTTTCCTGTTTTCTGTGTGTGCCTTTTTTGAGACGAGGCAATCATAACATGGAATTTGCTTTTTTTACTTCTACACGCAAGAGTTGACATTTTTCGTTAGTTGTCTCTTTAACCCCCTAAGACTTTTTTCCCCAAGTCACAGACAGATTAGACCCTATTACTGAATGTGTGGTTAGAATGTTTTGCCCCTTCACATTTCAGTGGCTTTTCATTTTCTACTTTTTGCTGGCCATCCACCCAGTTTGGTGAGATGCTTTTTGGAGCTCCTCGCATGTTTGTTGAGTTTTCACAATCCTGGATAAATTGGTACTGTATTTACTGCAAACTTTGCTATGTCACCCCTAACTCCAGATCACTTATGACTAAATTAAATAGCACCTGCTCCAATACTGATATTGCCTACATGCATTACTCTGTTGTGGAAAATTGTTTATTCCTCACTTCTGCTTCCTGTTCCTTAATCAGTTTCCAGTCCAAAAGAGGACCTAATCCAGTGACTTCAGTTTGTTTTAGATGGTTATAATATTGTGTTTTAAATTGTTGTAGCCAGACATAGCACCTTATGGTGAAGAGTGGCTAATAAATTGAAATAATAATAGAACTTTCTAAAACTAAGATATCGGGCATGTCATTTTAATCAATTGTTAATTTAAAGTTACATTTTAACACCATGATCATTCAAGTTCACAGCATGTTAAAGAAATAAGGTGGTGTTTAATTGCTTCTCTTTAATTAGGTTTCACAGACAATTGGTGCTACATCTTTCTCTTTGCCACATGACTGGAATAACAGACCCATGCATTTACACTCTCCTTTCTCTACAGGACAAAACTGCATCCCCCTTCATGGTAAGTATGCTGTACTTATCATTCATCAGTGTGAAATCCTAAACATAACATTATGAGCTCCTTTGTGTAGGGTCTTGTAGGCAGAGAGTTTGTAAAAATAATTTCAATTTGCTTGATGTGCTTTGGAAAGAAAAGTTTTAAAGCTATGTAACTTCACCACTGATAATTAAAAATTATTTTGTTTGTCACCCTAGCCATTAGTGCAGAGCTGAATGAACTGATGATGGAAGCCCAACTACTGCAGGTTTCACTACCCGAAATACAAGAGCTGTATGAGATCTTATTCACAAAGCAAAGCCCAGTTGCAAAGACAGAACAGAGGTCACCAGTAGGACCAACAGGTGAAAAGGTAAGTATTTGGGACTGGGGTCCATCTCAGAAAGGGAGTGATTGCTTGAATCTGCTTGTTTGAAAATCTTGTTTTAATTGCTGTAGTGTAAATACAGGCTTTCCCCCTCTCATCAACAGTGCACATGCACACACAGAAGCATTTTCCTGTGTATCACTTTTATTTCTCCCCTCCCTCAACATCAGCCACCAGGAGATGATAGAGAGGGCACACTAGAAATCCAGCTCAGTTGTTTCTCTGTACCCCTTCCCCCCAAAAAACACACCAGATGTGCAGTTGCAATGGAATTCTTACAAACGTTCTGTTGCATAAGCTTTGCCAAACCAAAGCTCTAATGTCCAGGTTTTTGTGACATTGCTTACAAGCTCCAAAAGTGGTTAGAGATAGCTTGCATGCTGTGGCAGTTCACAGCCAATATGTGTGCTCTCAATATTAATTCCCTTCCACTTAAAAGGTGACAGGAGGTTTTTGTATCTGTGTTGAAAAAATGGTAAAACTTTTCATAAAAAATCTCATTCTTAAGTGCTATAAGAAAGAGATGCTGAAGTATTATGCTTAATATGTGCTTCTCATTAAATGTGTGGATGGTTACTGCATAGCATGCAGAAGTATAAGGAACTGGCTACGTGGTACTTTATGATCTTCTAATGCATGTTTCTTGTAGACTGATTTTTGTCGAGGGAAGAGAGATGGAATTTGCTCTGTGGAAAGGAAGCTGAAGAGACATTTTGAGCGAGGAGATTTCTGCAGTGAGATGAGAACACGAGTTAGAAAAATAGCTCCCAACAAGAAAAAACTGAAATTATCTCATTTGAGGGAACTGGGTACTAGCAAGCTGGAAAGAAACAGGTTGTTTGACATACAGCGGTCTGGTGAAAGCCAGTTGCTTCTTTCGGATATGTCCTTCTCTGAACAAGAAGAATCTGAAGATGAGGATGCCATCTGCCCAGCTGTCAACTGCCTGCAGCCTGAAGGTGATGAGGTAAGTTGAAGGAAATATCTCTAAAGGATGTTAAAATGCATGGTTTGGTAGAATCATAGAGATGGAGGGGGCATTGTAGGCCACCCAGGACAAACAAACCCAGTTCTTTCAGCCTTTCACCCTAAGACTGTTTTCTGAACACCAGTTTTTCTATCTCCTCAAAGTATTGTGCCCAGTACAGGATATGGTACTAGTAGACTGCTAGACACGTAGCTACAGGAACCTTGCTAGCAAACAGATATAAAAGTGATGTACCATATTTGTTGTTGTGTGAAGACTTTTAACTCTCTCTTTGTGTCTAGGTGGACTGGGTCCAGTGTGATGGCTGCTGCAATCAGTGGTTCCATCAAGTATGTGTGGGTGTCTCTCCAGAAATGGCAGAAAAAGAAGACTACATATGTGTGAGCTGTACGGGAAAGGACTCCCCATATCGAAAGTAACATGCCTGATGAACATAAGGACTCTACAACAGAAGATTAGCTTTTTTCCCCCTCCATAAAGCCACTGGGCTGGTTTTAGAGCCAAGTTGCAAATGGTGCTACTTCTATCCTAATGGGATCATTTTTCAGACCTTAAAACAATTTGACACTTTTGTATTTTTATCCTTTAAGCTGTTTGTGGTTATTGAGGTTTGAAATGCTGACTGTTCAGACAGGGGTTTTTCGCCAGTTTGAAGGCATCAAAACATGCACCTTTTCATGTATAGCATTAAATTACCTCTTTGAAATTTACCAGCACATTTAATCAACTCTGTTTAGGTGCAAAACACTGCACTAAGAATTCCCATAATTCCTCTTTTTGAAGAAATCCCTGTTTACTCTTTTGAACATTTTTGAAAACTTCTAGATTCCTCCCCCCCTTTGATTTTGTAGACTAGGTTTATTTATCTGAGCAATAACTTCTGTGTCTGGTTTCAGTGACTGGAATTCTATTTCTGAACAGCGTGTGGTGCTTTTAGCATTGGTTAATGTACAGAAAGCAAATGTTTAGGTTCTAGTGTCACTGATGGACTAGTGATGTAGGAGACAAGAAAGCTCTGTAAAGTAATGGCCACAGCTGTATTTTGGCTTTTTCTTCTTTTTTGGTAGCTTGTATCAAATGTTGCAGTTTATATTGTGGAATAAACCCTTGGTTATGTTACAAAATTCAATGCTGGTGTCTTCAAAGATGTTGCATTGCAGCCGTTTCCCACCTTGATCACTTTTATGATGCATGTTTTCACAGATTATGCTTTTAAAAGCATCCATTCCATTGCATTTTCAGACTTCTTTCTCTCCTTAATCCCACAGAGCCTAGATCTGCCTTGTAAAAACCTACTTCCTCATTACCTGTGGCAAATAGGCGTAGAAACTTAACAATTCTGTTTCATTTCTAAGACCACGAATGTGTAGGCAAGTGGGTTTTATGAAGTAGTAACTTTTGTAGATATGTTTTACAAAGGTCACTCAGATGACATAAATGATGGAAGAGCCTTGGCTCAGTGTAGAGTCTATGCTCTGCATGCAAAACATGCCAGGTTCAGTCCTCAGCATCTCTAGACTTGTCACAGAATTCTGATGGAAATCGGTGTGGAAAATGCCGATGTTCACTTATTTGTCCCATGTCTGGAACAGAAATCAATTCAGTGAATATAATTTGTATTCACTCTTGTTTTGAGTTCACCAGTGGTGCATGATTGATTGCTTCTTTCCCCATTTGTATTGAGTTCCCTGTGTATTGAAACGAATGACAATTGCATCAAAATGGTGTGTAATAACGTAATAATAGCAATTAATGTAAAACTCCGCCAAATTGGAAAGTGAGGCTAATAATGTAGTTTGTGTCAGAAGACAAACTGCAGCAGAATGGACATAAATGTCTTCTTCCATCCCTAGCATCTCTAGGTATGGGTAGGAGAGACCACTGCTTTAAACCCTGAGTGCCACTGCCAGTCAGTACCTGAGCTAGATGGACTAATGGTCTGATTCAGTATGAGAGTCAGGATTCATGCGGCTATCTTGTGTATTGGACTGGTGTTCTTTTTTGTGTTAATTCCTCATGGTATATACCCGGTATTTGCTCAGTTCTGACTTTGGTAAGTTTTTGGACAGCAGTCTTCACAACCAGATGCCATTCTTTCCCAATTCATGGGTGACGAGAATACAGTTTGAAACTCTTGACCAGTGAGAAAAAGGACAGAAATATTCCTAGCAGCTTTGATATTCTTGCTTCTATCTCTATAAAACTGCCATTTCTAACAAGTCCAACAGAGTTCAGAATCAATGTTATCTTATATGATAGCTCAGTCAGCAGAGAATGAGACTCTTGACATACATTTGGCCTAAAATGTAACTTGCTAGCAGAACGAAAAAACATTGGCTGGCTGTTACCTTTTTTAAAAAATGCCAATACATTTAAAGCATAAAACATATTTGTAACACAAAAATCAAAAACTGAGTGGCGATGGAATTCTTATTTACAGGCTTCTTATTTCATTTTAACTTCTGTAATTAGTGGTGGGAATATGCTATGGGATTAGTTCTTAAGACTTACACTAAATCTGACAGCTAGTGAGTACAAGCAGTACAAATTATGGATGCTATAGTCCAGGAGTTTCTTCTGTCTACCTTCAGCCCTTGTAGTGGTTCCAGAATAGCAATGGAAACTGTGTTTTATAATAAAGTATTGTCCCAACTGCAATGGGTTGGCTGCACTGACCAGCAGCACTTTCAGAATTCCCATTATTTGAGAACAAAGCATATTAAGACATCCTTCCCCAGCCTGGCACTTGCCAGATGTTGGGACTGCAGTTCTCATAATCCTTTACCCATTGTCATGATGGCTGGGGTTGAGGGCAGTTGGGAGTCTCAACATTTGGAGCACCAGCCTGAGGAAGGCTACCTGAGGGAAAGCCTTTCCTTGAAAGCCATGCCCAAAACAATCCTAGTGCCACATTTATTTATTTATATTGATCAACACTTGGGCGGAGGGGCAGAATGAAAAATATTTTGCTCCTTTATGAAGAAACCTGTTCCAGAACTGTGTAGAAAAAGATTGTGTGTGAGAGAAATACTGTCCTAGGTGTGTTCCTTTCCAAAATGCTGTGTTGCTTGGGTGGAAAATCAGTGGACACCTCTGCTAGCAGATTCTGAGGGAACGTGATTTTTGCAGACTAGCTCTTCCTGCTGTAGTCAACCTATGCCACCTCCCATATTTTCAGAAGTGTCCCTCAACATTCGCTCTGATTTTGGGGAAATGCTTGTACCTGTGGGGGCAAGGAAGAAATGGTGAACAACCCCCTCTGTGATCATCCATTGGCTTAGCAGAAGCACCTGCTGAATCAAAAGTCCTCTTGTCAGCTTAAGAACACCAACGCGTATCTTTGAGTTGGCACAACTCATCCAAGTTATACAGTGGTACCTCGGGTTACAGACGCTTCAGGTTACAGACTCCGCTAACCCAGAAATAGTACCTTGGGTTAAGAACTTTGCTTCAGGATGAGAACAGAAATCACATGGCTGCGGCTTGGCAGCAGCTGGAGGCCCCATTAGCTAAAGTGGTACCTCTAGGTTAAGAACGGACCTCCAGAACGAATTAAGTTCTTAACCCAAGGTACCACTGTACCATGAAAACACAAAGTAGCAGCATCAATAGAGTAGTAACAAAAGTTTTGTAGACTGTTCAGCCCTTAGATTTTCAGAAATGTACCCTCTTCAGACCAATAAACATCTCATTTCAATCGACAATGTTACCTTGGAGCCAGTGCTGCCAGCCTTTCCCCTTATGAGAGATGCATGTTTAAAGGTAAAAACATTATTGGCCCATGACAGTGTTTTTATTTTGGGGAGAGGGGAGCACCTATTGTATGGGAGTGTGAGAAAGAGTGGCCAATATTACATCGTTTTGCCAGGTTCCTGCAAAGGCCTCAGCTTCGAAAGCACTGCATTGTGGGAAGGAAACAAAAAACCAGACTTTATCATATCACCACTGCACAGCCAGCATGAGATTGGGTTACATACAGTGGTCTGGTTGGTTCCCTGTACAATAGTGAGGTTATTACAGAGAGATTGCCATCATTTTGACAGAGTCAGATCTAGAACACAAGGACGCTGGTATAAGAAAACACTGATCTTTCATATGGAAGCACTTAAATAGGGTTGTTTTGTCACCATGCTGGTCTATGCAAAGCAGTGTTTTCAAGCATTTACTCTAGAACACATGGGTGCTGATGTAACAAGCCAGTGCTGGAAACATTTAAATTGTCACCGTGTTGATCTGTGCAAAGCGTTGTCCTCTCAGGCATTCTCTTTAGTGAAAGCTATTGCACAACAAAGCCAGTTAGGGAGCTTTGTCTTAAAATAGCAACAATGAAATTGGGTTAGTACAAATACTGTACTGTATTGGTAATAGGCCAGAAATAATAATGTCTCTGTTCATCTGGATGTTTATAGGCTCTGTCATGCACTTCACTGGCATGACACATGTCTCACTACTGCCTGTTCATGAGATCTGAACTGGAATATTTAATTCTGGCTGCAACCCAACTTTACCTCAGAATGTGCTAGTTCAAAAGAAAGATGCCTATAGTCAGACCATGCTTGTGGTTTCATGCATCCATCTGCAGGACAAACAATGGGATATTTATAGGACATGTTGGATTTGTGAAAAATCCACACATTTTTGTCTGTGGTTTTTGCATGTTTAATTAAATGCATTTCAGCCACTCTCAGAAGAGCATTGCAAGCCCTTCAGCAGTTTGCTTCAGCATGCAATGGAGGGGTGGGGTGGAGGAAAAATAACTTTGCTACGTATTGATGCTGCAGGACATTCGTTGCAGGTGCCACATAATACTTGTTCTGCTCTTGTAATAAATCTGTCTTTTAGTGTGGCAGCACATACATTGGAACTTCCTGTGAATGAGGTCAGGTAGTAGGCACTTTCACTGTAATCTTAATGGTGCCTGTTTGAAACATCTTTTCTTTAGGCTAGCCCTCCAGGCATGTAGAAGTTGCAAGTATTTTTTTTTCTTTTCATCTCTGATTAATAAAAGTCCCCGCTCATCATCATCATCATCATCATTATATTTATATATCAACTTCGATTTGAAATTGCAAGGCAATGTACAATAAAAAACACACAGTACAAAATAAATCAGCAGACAATAGACAAGGACAGACATAAAATTTATAAATGCAACCAAATTCTGGTCAATTCTTAGGGCCTCTTGGTGCAGCCTTTGTATTTTGTATCCTCCATAGCACCCGTCCAATCCGTATAAGGGAAGTCAGTGTAGCCCTTCAGTTCTCCTGTTCTTCCAGGGCTGTATGAACAGTTGGCTTAAGAAAGCAGCCCTTATTGGGCTTTCAGCAATCTTCTCTCTCTTTACTGCCTCACCACTATTTGAAGTACAGCCAAGAGAATGATGCCAAGCTACAGCTCTGCTTGCTTTTAGCTACATAGCTCACTACTGAGAAGGATGGGTGAGTGGGAGGGCATTTTAATTCTGATGGTGGCAATGAGGAAATATATGCTTGGTTTTTTTTAAAGACACAAGATTGTGTATGCACAGTGATGCCTGCTCATTAATAGCAATCATGCATGCTATCCAGCAGGGGCCCATAACATGTATACAACCATGTGCCATCTCAAAGAATTTTTTTTTCTGGTCACCTAACTTTTGATACCAGGGACACCCAGAGAAGGAGCTCTGATTACCTTAATATCCAGACAGTGGGAGCTTGCAGTCCTTTCAGATGCCCCTTCAGTACATCTCCACATTTTACCACTGCTCAGCTGACTTTCCAGAGCTCTGCAATGGCCAGACCAAATAAGAATGACTATAAAGATTGTAATTCTAAGCACACATGAGAGTAAGCCCATTTCAATCAGTGTTCCCTAATTGGTCAGAAATAAGTTCATATAATCCCTCCACAGTCAAGAAGCAAGGTCATTTCTCCTCTCTGTCTTTTGTCTTGTTATTTATTTTCAATTTTATTTATTAAATTTGTATACCACCCTTCATCTGACGATCACAACATACAAAATGAAAACAAAAAACACATCATAATCATCCTCATTCTCATCAACAAACAAACCAATAACCAGTAAGGAGGAACATGTGATCTTCGTTGGACTCCAACTCCCACCATTCCCAGCCAGCAGAACCAATGGTCAGGGGGTGAAGGAAGTTGTAGTCCAGCAAGAGCCAAACATCCCCCACCCCCTGCTTTAAGATGTAGGTGAACAGTCAATTTTTGTGTTGTATCTGCCCATCCATGTCCAGCAATAATGGTGCCCATCTCTGTTTCCAGCAAAAGCTATTGAGCTGGACCCCTAAGCCAGCCAAAAAAGGATGGATCCCACCGTCCATTTTTTTATTTCAAAAGTCAGCCTGTTTGGTCGAGGTGGGCGAGTCTGAATGGGGTCAAGAAAGGAGCATGGTAGCGGGGACATGCTGGAGACCCGCGAAAGGGGGTCCGTCCTCACCCTGGACAAAGTGGTGAAGTGAAACACCAACAAGGAGACCTGGCTGGTCATCAGTGGGCGTGTCTACGACTTCCTCAGTGAGCATCCAGGTGGAGAGGAGATTCTGCTCGAACAAGCTGGTAGAGATGCCACTGAGAACTTTGAAGATGCTGCCCACTCTTTGGATGCCCGAGAGATGCTTGACCAATACCTTATAGGAGAGGTTCATCCATATGACAGTAATCCTAATGTCTCCAAGGCTCCAAACAAGTCTCCCTCGAAAGAATTAAGTTTCTGGACAGTCTGGCTGATCCCTGTTTTGGGAGCCATAGTCTTGGGATCGATGTATTGCTACTACATGATGTATGGGAAATTCTCCTGATTTGACCTTGCTGAACCTTTAGGACTGGAAACCATGCCTTGCCACTGAAAATGGGGTTTTACTAAATTCTGATGAACACCTAGGTTTTGTCCTTCACTTGTATCAGCCAGTCCAGCAGCCCTGCTGTCTGCAAAGCTAAGCAGGAATTTGGTGGGGCTCACTGCTATCTTTCTTGTAACTGCAGAAACAGCAACTTCCTGCCATTCCATGGCATGGCATGGCATTTCTGACACCATTGACCATGAGTCACTTTTCATTCAGCAGCTTCTGGTTTGTCATGATGCTGCCTCTGACCCATCATGAATGAGATGGCATGCTGTCAACATTTCTCTTTAGCAGACCAGCAAGAGAAATGGCTCCACTGGCCCAGCGCAGACTGGGAACGGCGGTACACCTGCCTCTTCTCGGGTGTTTTCCTTCAGCTTCTTTCCGTACATGGTTTTTTGAAACGGTTAAATGGGTACATTTTTCTTTCAGTCTTCTGCTTTACATAGTCTACCTTTTTAATCTGCCTGATCTGTAATAAAGGACTCCTCCAATTAAATAAAAAGGAAAAGTTGTCAGTCTAAGGAGGATGCGATGCGTCAATCCGTGCTGCAGGGGGTGCTCTCCGAGAACCGGTTCCGGCGGGATCCTCGGAGGCGCCGCTCTCCGCGCGAGAGCACGTCGTTGCGTGCGCGTTTGGCGCGCGGTGGCGGCAGCAGCCGCGGCCCTCAGCCCGCCTAGTACCGCCTCACGCGCACCCGCTGCTGCCTTTCCTCCCGCCTCGCGCTTCCTCCCCGCCCCCCCCAGCCCCGCGGAGCTTCTCCCTCGCCTTTGCTGCTGCTCTCCTCAGGGGCGCGGCGGGATGGCGGGCGTCGCGTCGGGCGTGGGGCCGGGCCCTGTGGCTCAGGGGCTGAAGGAGGCGCTGGTGGAGACCCTGAACGGCATCTTGTGCCCCGTGCAAGGGGTGCGCGCAGCTGCCGAGGAGCAGGTGAAGGTGCTGGAGGTCACCGAGGGTGAGTGTGGGGGCAGCAACTGCCGACGGGGCGGGGGGGGCAGGCTCTGAGGGGAGCGGAGCCTCCCGCTTCTTCCCTTTTGTGGGCCTCGGGTCTCCCCGGCCAGGGCGATGGGCAGAGAAGGAGATGGAGCTGCTCCTCGCGTTTTCCAGTTCTGGATTAACCCGCTTTCGGGGGGCAGGGGCTGGAAAGGACTTTTCGCAGAGCTCGAGGTGGGCGGGGAAACTCGTGTCCTGCCTCTGCTGCCACCGGTTCCGCGCTCTCTTCAGGCTCCTGCCCCAGTCTCGCCTCTTCCTTCGGCACCGGAGATGCCGAGGCTTCCTTTCCAGGTCGTCCGGAGTTTATATGTCTCGGAGTGGGCTGCCTCAGGCGGCCCGGCTTCTCCTTTTGTGCCCATTGTAAGGCATAAATCGGCCTTCGTCTGGTGAGTGTCGTCGGCCTGACCTTAAGGGTCGCCGCAGCGGTGCTACCACACAACTACTACAGGGTGAAGTTAAAAAGTGGGTCCTTCCCTTTGGGCTAACGGCGGGTCCTTTTTTTTTTTTAAAGATATTTATTAAAAGTTTAACAATTACAGAAAAAAAGAAAACAGTAAAAAATTACAATACATTACATCAAAAGAAAATAAAAACCAGATTAGAAAGGAAACAATGCAGCACAACAATAAAAACAAAAACGTTTAAAAACAAAAAACATTTAAAAACACATCCAATATTTCTTATCTTTACCTTTCTTTTACCTGTTTCATCGACCTCCTCACACCTCCCTTTTTGTATTCTAGTTCAGTTAACTATTTCAGCAAATTCTTTCCATCTTTCTCAATTTTTGTTCTATAATTTATCTTAACAGTCTAACCTTTAATTTTTCCATTTTTACCCATTATCAATCAACTTTTACTTAAATCTTTATTACATTTCTGTTAAAACCATATAGCTTCATTCCAACATCCTTCTAACATTCATTAATTTTGCAATGTTTTTGTAAATATACTTTAAATTTTTTCCAATCTTCTTCCACCAACTCTTCTCCCTGGTCTCGGATTCTGCCAGTCATTTCCGCCAGTTCCATGTAGTCCATCAGCTTCATCTGCCATTCTTCCCTGGTAGGTAGATCTTGTGTCTTCCAGTGCTTTGCAATGAGTATTCTTGCTGCTGTTGTGGCATACATAAAGAAAGTTCTATCCTTCTTTGACACCAATTGGCCGACCATGCCCAGGAGAAAGGCCTCTGGTTTCTTCAGGAAGGTATATTTAAATACTTTTTTAATTTCATTATAGATCATCTCCCAGAATGCCTTAATCTTTGGGCATGTCCACCAAAGGTGAAAGAATGTACCTTCAGTTTCATTACATTTCCAACATTTGTTATCGGACAAATGATAAATTTTTGCAAGCTTGACTGGTGTTATGTACCACCTATAAATCATTTTCATAATATTCTCTCTTAGGGCATTACATGCCGTAAACTTCATGCCAGTGGTCCATAAGTGTTCCCAGTCAGCCATCATGATATTATGTCCAACATCTTGTGCCCATTTAATCATAGCAGATTTCACCATTTCATCTTGTGTATTCCATTTCAACAGCAAGTTATACATTCTTGACAAATTCTTAACTTTAGGGTCTAACAATTCTGTTTCCAGTTTTGATTTTTCCACCTGGAAGCCTAATTTTTTTATCCAAATTATATGCCTCCATTATTTGATAATAGTGGAGCCAATCTCGTACTCTATTTTTAGTTTTTCAAAACTCTGCAATTTTAATCTGTCTCCCTCTTGTTCCAGGATTTCCCAATACTTCGGCCATTTGGCCTCCATATTAAGTTTTTTCTGTGCCTTTGCTTCCATTGGTGACAACCATCTTGGGGTTTTATTTTCTAACAAATCCTTGTATCTTATCCAGACATTAAACAATGCTTTTATGACAATATGGTTTTTAAACGCTTTGTGTGCTTTAACCTTATCATACCACAGGTATGCATGCCAACCAAATGCATTGTTGAAACCTTCCAAGCCCAGCACATCCATGTTTTCAAGAAGCATCCATTCTCTCAGCCAGCAAAATGCGGCTGATTCATAATAAAGTTTAAGGTCTGGCAGGGCAAATCCACCTCTTTCTTTAGCATCTGTTAATATCTTAAATTTTATTCGAGGTTTCTTGCTAATGGCGGGTCCTTGGTCAGAAAAGGTTGAAGAGGGTTCCTCATGGATAAGGTTGGGCGATGGGGAAGGAGGGGGCTTTGTCTGGGCGCCTTGCTGAAGTTCGCCTATAAAGCAGCCTTAAGGGTTTCCAAGCTAAATTATTCAGACTTTAAAGAGCAACACTGAACTGAGTGAGATAGTAATATCTCTGTAGTAAAATTGGTTGGCCTAAAGGGTTGCGTACAGCCGGGTTTTAATGAGAAAAAGCTGTGCTCATTAAGTGTAATAGAATTAAATAGAGATGTAGATCTTAAAGCCTTCTGCAGAAATGTTTCTAAAAGACGTTCTCTCCTACTTAAGACTAGCTTAGGTGTATACAGTACTGTCACAGGGTATACTGTCTTTCTCCCACTTCTCCTCTGGAGCATTGTTATGCTCACTGTGATAAGCTAGCTGTGGGAGTGCCTGGTATGTAAATATTCCCACACAGATTGTGATCTACCATGTGAACTGGTGCAGATCAACAAGGTCTGAAGCATTGCATGTCTAAATTGCAGAGTCTGAATGTGCTGATACTTCACTCCATAATTTCCAAATTAGGCTTTTTAAATGTGCTCTAAAACCCATTTGAACTCCATAGATTTAGACATAGCAGTTCCATAAACTTAATAAATTACTTCAGTTTAATGTAGAGAGTTATAATAAGATCTGAATTCTGTGTGGTTATTAGTTGTTTGTGTGTGTGTTATATGTGTTGATATATACCCATATGCATACATACATGTGTGCTTATATGTGGTTAGATCCAACTCCCACCAGTCTCAGCCAGGACAGTCAGTCATCAGGGGTAATAAGACGTGTATTCCAACCATTAGCTGATGGACAGCATGTGTCCCAACCCTGTTCTAAGGAAATTACGGTAATTTCTCCTGCCAAAATACCACAATAGGAAAAAAATCTGCTTTAGCTTTATTTATCGATTTTTGAATTATTTATGTGCTTATGTGTTAGGAATATTTTGTTAAAAATTTAAAACAATGTTTTCAATAGCAAATTCAAGTTAAATAAGCCTTTAAGAAATTTATCTCCTTTCCCTCTCTTGCACCCCCAGTCTGGTAACTTAAATGACTAATGAGAAGAAAATTCCTGAGATTGTAGTATGTAATGTGTTGTGGGCAGATAGGATTGCTACTTGGTCACTGTTGTGCAAACGTGTTATGCAGGCAAGTGGAGCTATGGGGGGGAGAGGCATAACTACCTACTGTATTTTTTGCTCTATAGGGCGCACCGGACCATAGGGCGCGCCTAGTTTTTAGGGGGGGAAATAAAGGGGGAAAAATTATCCCCCCCCCCCCAGTCCCAAAGAGCAAAGAAGCCAAGACAGCGAGCGGGATCCATCCCGCTGGCTGTTTTGGCTTCCTCCGAAGGCTTGCGGATAGCTGCCTGAAGCCTGGAGAGCGAGAGGGGTCGGTGCGCACCGACCCCTCTTGCTCTCCAGGCTTCAGCGAAAGCCTGCATTCGCTCCATAGGACGCACACAAATTTCCCCTTCATTTTTGGAGGGGAAAAAGTGCGTCCTATAGATTGAAAAATGCGGTACTTTCAGAAGCAAGTCATGAACAATATAGCACTTTTGTGATGCTGTTCTTGTTGTTTGAAAGCTGTCATTGCTTGAAGGAGAAGTACCAATATTTATGCGTATTTGTACTATATTTTCTGGTTTTGTCTGTTTTAAGCAGTTTGATTATGTCACTTCAAAGGGAACTTCCTTCAGACACCCAACCCAGCTGAAGCTTCTCCCAATGTGGTTTCTTTCAGTTGATGAACTTCTATCTCTGGCACAACTTAATTGGAGATGTCTGCTGAGTAAAGTACAAATGTGTGTTGAGGTATTGGTGGAGAGGGCAGAAAGATTAATCGTACAAAGAGGACAGAGATGGCACTATTAAAGTGTCACTAATTATTGCAATACAGTGGTGCCTCGCAAGACGAAATTAATCCGTTCCACGAGAGTCTTCGTCTAGCGGTTTTTTCGTCTTGCGAAGCAACCCTATTAGCGGCTTAACGGATTAGCGCTATTAGCGGTTTAGCGGCTATTAAAGGATTAAAGGCTTAGGGGATTAGCTGCTAAAAGGTTATTAAAGGCTATTAAAGGCTTAGCAGATTAGATAAAGGGGGGGGAAAGCGAAAAAAAAATCTCTAGACTCGCAAGACATTTTCGTCTTGCGAAGCAAGCCCATAGGGGAATTCGTCCTGCGAAGCAACTCAAAAACGGAAAACCCTTTCGTCTAGCGGGTTTTCCGTCTTGCGAGGCATTCGTCTTGCGGGGCACCACTGTAAAAGAAATCAGTTGTATAGCCTTCTGAGAAGGCTTATCCATGAGGCTTCTTCACATAGGATTGAGCTTTAATGATGTATGTTTTAAGATCAGAAGTAAGTTGTGCATGTTTTCTTTGTAACTTAGCTTTATCTGTACCTATCCTGCAAGCCAGCCCACTTTTTTTGCTTAATTCTTACATTTCAAGAGCTGATTGCACTAAGGAATGCTGGATTGAAGAGAATTTACAGCACACTATTGTGTATGAAAGTATGAGAGTGCCATAGGTCATCACAATAGGATAATACTAGCCTGCAGAAAACTCTAGGCTGCCTCATTTTTTTTGAGAGCTCGTAAAAATATTAAACAGGAAGCAGCTTTGGACTCACTTTTCCAATGCTTAGAGTACACCAAGTCATAAACTATCCTTAAAACACAAAACCTAACCATATTGTTGAGCATGTGGGGAAGAGACATTATGAGACACTCCAGATAATGGCCTTTTAAAACAATTGAAGCCAAATGTCAAACTATATGAAATTTTATTTGGTGAAAGGTGGGGAGAAGAAAAGGGAAGGCAAAAACACACAGAGAGACTTAAAATGAACTAAGTAAATATCTTGACTTAGCTAGTTAGATATTTCAGAGCACCTAGCAGAAAAGAGATTCAGAGAGAAATCATCTGTGGTCACCTGGCTGAAAGGTTTCAAAACACTGTTGATGGAAACTTATTTTTTAATATATATAATTTTTATTAAATTTTATTTTAAAAAATTGACAAATCGTCCATCTTACATATAATATATAAAAATCACTTCACCATCTTTGCTTGAGACTTCCCTCTTACTTAACTAATGGTTTTCCTAATTATACTCTGATATTGCATTTTGTCCCTTCATGGATCACTGCCTTGCTGTGGTGAAGGGGCTTGAATAACTCAGAGAAGCTATGAGCTATGCCATGCAGGGCCACCCAAGATGGACAGGTCATAGTGGAGAGTTTTGACCAAACGTGATCCACCTGGAGCAGGAACCGGCAAGCCACTCCAGTATCCCTGCCAAGAAAACTCCATGTACAAAGACAACAGACATATAAAAGTTATGACACTGGAAGATGAGCCCCTCAGGTCAGAAGGCGTCCAACATGCTACTGAGGAAGAGCAGAGGACAAGTACAAGTAGATTCAGAGCTGATGAAGCGGCTGGACCAAAGCCGAAAGGTTGCTCAGTTGCGGATATGCTTGGAAGCAAAAGGAAAGTCCAATGCTGTAAAGAAAAATATTACATAGGAACCTGGAATGTAAGAACCATGAACCTTGGTAAGTTGGATGTGGTCAAAAATGAGATGGCAAGAATAAATATTGACATCCTGGGCATCAGTGAACTAAAATGGACGGGAATGGGCAAATTCAGTTTGGATGACCGGGGAGAGAGGAGGCAAGCAAAATGTGAGGGAGATAGTGAAAGATACATGAAATTGAATGCAGATTTCCAAAAAATAGCAAAGAGAGACAAGAAGGCCTTCTTAAACGAGTAATGCAAAGAAATAGAGGAAAACAATAGAATGGGAAAAACCAGAGATCTGTTCAAAAAAATTGGAGATATGAAAGGAACATTTCGTACAAAGATTACCATAATAAAGGACAAAAGTGGTAAGGACCTAACAGAAGCAAAAGACATCAAGAAGAGGTGGCAAGAATACACAGAGGAATTATACCAGAAAGATATAGATGGCTCGTACACCCCAGGTAGTGTGGTTGCTGACCTTGAGCCAGACATCCTGGAGAGTGACGTCAAATGGGCCTTAGAAAGCACTGCAAATAACAAGGCCAGTGGAAGTGATGGTATTCCAGCTGAACTATTTAAAATTTTAAAAGATGATGCTGTTAGGGTGCTACACTCAATACGCCAGCAAATTTGGAAAACTCAGCAGTGGCCAGAGGATTGGAGAAGATCAGCCTACATCCCAATCCCAAAGAAGGGCAGTGCCAAAGAATGCTCCAACTACCGCGCAATTACACTCATTTCACATGCTAGCAAGATTATGCTTAAAATTCTACAAGGCAGGCTTAAGCAGTATGTGGACCGAGAACTCCCAGAAGTGCAAGCTGGATTTCGAAGGGGCAGAGGAACCAGAGACCAAATTGCAAACATGTGCTGGATTATGGAGAAAGCTAGAGAGTTCCAGAAAGACATCTACTTCTGCTTCATTGACTATGCAAAAGCCTTTGACTGTGTCGACCACAGCAAACTATGGGAAGTTCTTAAAGAAATGGGAGTGCCTGATCACCTCATCTGTCTCTTGAGAAATCTCTATGTGGGACAAGAAGCTACAGTTAGAACTGGATATGGAACAACTGATTGGTTCAAAATTGGGAAAGGAGTATGACAAGGCTGTATATTGTCTCCCGCTTATTTAACTTATATGCAGAATTCATCATGCGAAAGGCTGGGCTGGATGAATCCCAAGCCAGAATTAAGATTGCCGGAAGAAATATCAACAACCTCAGATATGCAGATGACACAACCTTGATGGCAGAAAGTGAGGAGGAATTAAAGAACCTTTTAATGAGGGTGAAAGAGGAGAGCGCAAAATATGGTCTGAAGCTCAACATCAAAAAAACGAAGATCATGGCCACTGGGCCCATCACCTCCTGGCAAATGGAGGCAGTGAGAGATTTTACTTTCCTGGGCTCCATGATCACTGCAGATGGTGACAGCCTGTTTCTTGGGAGAAAAGCAATGACAAACCTAGACAGCATCTTAAAAAGCAGAGACATCACCTTGCCAACGAAGGTCCGTATAGTTAAAGCCATGGTTTTCCCAGTAGCGATGTATGGAAGTGAGAGCTGGACCATAAAGAAGGCTGATCACTGAAGAATTGATGCTTTTGAATTATGGTGCTGGACTCTTGAGAGTCCCATGGACTGCAAGAAGATCAAACCTATCCATTCTGAAGGAAATCAGCCCTGAGTGCTCACTGGAAGGACAGATCCTGAAGCTGAGGCTCCAATATTTTGGCTACCTCATGAGAAGAGAAGACTCCCTGGAAAAGACCCTGATGTTGGGAAAGATTGAGGGCACAAGGAGAAGGGGATGACAGAGGACGAGATGGTTGGACAGTGTTCTCAAAGCGACCAGCATGAGTTTGACCAAACTGCGGGAGGCAGTGGAAGACAGGAGTGCCTGGCGTGCTCTGGTCCATGGGGTCACAAAGAGTCGGACACGACTAAAGAACAATTGCATTTTGTTATTATGCATTGTTTTTACCCTTAAATCCAAATCTTAAATACACCATTTAAACATCATATTGATAATAATTGATATCTCTAACCTTACAAAACTTCTTGTAGCCCTACTAACGATGTCAATTGTTTACGGTTGTCTCTCAAATAAAATTTAAATTTATTCCAGTCTTTTGTAAATGTCTGGTCCTGCTGGTTCCGAATTTTCCCAGTTAGTTTCGCCAACACGGCATAGTCCATTAACTTCATCTGCCACTCTTCTTTTGTTGGGATCTCTTCCCGTTTCCATTTTTGGGCCAATAATACCTTTGCTGCAGTTGTTGCATACAAAAGCAATATTTTATCTTGCTTATGTATTTATCTACAATACCCAATAAAAAGGCTTCTGGTTTCTTTACAAATGTATATTTCAACATTATTTAAAGTTCATTATATATTATTTCCCGGAAAGCCTTCACTTTCTTACAAACCCACCACATATGGTAGAACGTTCCTTCTTTTTCTTTAGATTTCCAACATTGATTATTTCGTCTGTACATTTTTGCTAACTTCACTGGTGTTATATACCTCCTATACATCATTTCCATTACATTTTCTTTAAGCGAACTGCAAGCTGTAAAATTTATTCCATCTTTCCAAAGTTTTCCCCAATCCTCTAATTGTATATTATAACCAGTATCCTTTGCCCAGTGTATCATAACTGATTTAACTTCCTCATCTTTCACATGCCATTCTAAAAGTAGTTTATACATTTTTGACAATATTTAAATTTTAGAACTCAACAAATCTACTTCAAACCTGGATTTTGTATATTCAAATCCATTGTTTTTCTTATCTTCTTTAAATATTTCACTTATTTGACAATAATGCAACCAATCTTTCACGAAGTTTTAATTTCTTCATAGATTTTAATTTCCACTGATTCTCTATTTCGATCACCAAATCTTCATAGGTGGCCCAATTTCCTTCCATATTTAACTTTTTTACACTTGTAGCCTCCAATGGTGATAACCACCATGGTGTTTTATGTTCTAACAAACTCTCATATCTATTTATTGGTGGAAACTTAAACCCATATAAACCATTCTCTTAATGAGGGCTGATGGTCGTTTGGCCCAATCATGAGTTAATGCTCCTGATGATAGTGATGACTGGTCATAAATTTATTTAGACACTGGGTCCACCTCAACAGCACTGAACTTATGTTACATAAGGCAAGCCACTTCAGATTAGCTGACCCACTGGAAATACAGTGGTCAGGTTAAGTACTTAATTCGTTCTGGAGGTCCGTTCTTAACCTGAAACTGTTCTTAACCTGAAGCACCACTTTAGCTAATGGGGCCTCCAGCTGCCGCCGGGCCGCCGGAGCACAATTTCTGTTCTTATCCTGAAGCAAAGTTCTTAACCTGAAACACTATTTCTGGGTTAGCGGGGTGTGTAACCTGAAGCGTATGTAACCCAAGGTATCACTGTAAAGGATTAATCTTGAGTATGTACTATTGAAAATTAAATGCAGGATATATTCAGGGGCTGTAGGCAAATTGACAGAGGTGCAGGATTTCAGACTCTTGAAAGGATAGTATTGGTCTGTTCACACACACTCTTACCCTCCTCCCCATATAAATTCAACGATTCCTAACCTATTTCTTACATAACCCAAGTGTCAGGTGCTCGCACCTACAGGGAAAATTTATATGCAGCTTGTAGTATCAAATATGAGCTGATAGCTGCTTTGAAGATCTGAGGTTAGCCCTCCTGTTACAGAACAAATGAGAATTGCTCATTCTAGGAGTGGCTGCTTCAAGCAAGCTTGGGGACATGTCACACTTCTACTTTTAGCAGCAAGCCCAGACTCTTTCGCATTATATGATCATGTAATGGTACAGTATGGGGTGAGCAACCACCATTGGGCCCTCTGATGTGTTGTAGCTTACATACATCATTCAAAACTGTCACATTTTCATCCTGCGCCTTCTGAATAGGTTATTTATTTTAAAAGTAGTAGTAGTATTTGGCAGAACCTGCAGATTTTGTTATGCTGAAACTGGAAACACAAGCAAATTAACACTAGTTTGCCCTAGCAATTATTCAAGTAGGTTTTTTTCCGCCCTAGCAATTATTCAGGTAGTTATTTCCTATCCAGAGGGCTCTGAGTTGAATTTTAAGAGTTGTGAACCTATTGCTAGCTGAGGTGGGCCCTGAATCTCGTCTCTGGTTTGAAAACGGGGCATTTTTGACCCATCTCACAGCCAAAGATACCTCTTCACAGAGTCCATTTGATGGGAAAGCAATGGCTATGAGATTGCGATTAGGGAAAATAGTTAATGGTTTTAAGTAATAACCGTGAGAATAGGCTAGTGTGAAGCATTCTACATAGTGTTGCTCAGGAAGAGTTTTGCAAGCTTCAGTTGAGATAGCATATGACAGCATATGTCATATCTGTCAGAGCACTTAAATTATGTGAAAGAGCATGTCACATGAGATGTATCTCAGTGGCCACCCCACAGCTGGCCATCACTATTTCCCTGGAAACTTTCTAGGACTGCCCTCAGTCTTGCCTCACTGCAAATCACCAATATGTTTTAAACGTATAAAACAAGGGTGGCTAACCCAAGATCCTCCAGATGTTGTTGGACTACAGCTTCCATCATCTCTGACCATTGACCATACTGAATGAGGCTAATGGAATTGAGAGTCCAAAGGCATTGGAGGGTCACTGGTTAGTCACCTCTGGTCTAAATCAAGTGTGCATAATTAATCTGTGCTAGGTGATCCTGAGTATGCACTTTTTATGGCAGCATAGGAAGCTGCCTTATACCACGGTTGGGCCATTATTTCATCTAGCTCAGTATTGTCTACATTGACTGGCAGTGGGTCTCCAGGATTTCAGGCAGGAGTCTCTCTCAACCCTAACTGGTAGTGTCAGGGATTTGACCTGGGACTTTCTGCTTGCAAGCCAAACCATGTACCACTGAGCTAGGTTTTGCTGGATTAGATCAAGGTCCATGCAAGAATGTCAACAATCAGCATTAAGGATGTCATCTTCTGCTGTTATGTGAATAAGTTAAAGTACTTGGTTTCATTTAAAACACAGTTTGAATGCAGCATTGCTTCTCAGTAGTTATGTCTTTGCTTCATTATAGATGTTTGTCTTTGCAGTGATAGCATAGTTGAACTTTACTGTAAACAAATATCTTTTTCAAAATATTTTTGTCTTGTGTTTCTGTCTTAGGTAAATATTCAGCTGCTAACAAAATATAATCAAATTGAAGTATACATTTAAATTAAAAAACAAATGTAACCACAATTTTAAAATATCAGGAATCATTATTTTTTTAAATGGCAGTATCAGCACCCTATGATTAAAGTGCAGCACCCAAAAAGTCTTTTGTAAGGATGTATGTTTACATATCTTGTACATACCTTTTTGGGGAGGGTGTTCAGTAATCTTTGCGGCACAACAGAAGATCCTGTCCCTAATGCCCACCAGGTTCACTTCTTATGGTAGAGGGGCATAGAGTTGGGATTCTGAAGTTGACTTCTGTGTTCAGCTGGATTCTTAAGACTGTTCTTAGTATCCAGTCCTATGCTGTTTAACGTCAAAAGCAGAACCTTGAATTTAGCCCAGGGACAAATTGGTAACCAATGGAGATCAGATGATAATAGAGAGATGATCCAAACTGTGAGTCCTACATAATGCCTTGGTTCACAGTGTAGCGGCCCATTTACTACAGCATGAATGAAAGAGGCCATGTGCCAGTTGAAACCATAAAATGGATTCTACCCACCCTCACTATCTGGCTTCTAGGCACTGAGCTGAATCCAGGAGCACTCCAGGATTGAGTCTGATGTTCAGGGTGGTGCAGTCCCATCCAAAACAAGTTTTACATCTACCTCCCAGTTTCCAATCTCCTCACCCAACAATATTTCCACTTTGTCTGGATTAAGTTGCACCTTGTTTGCTCACTGCCAATCCAACGGTCTGGATTAAGTTGCACCTTGTTTGCTCACTGCCAACGGTGTTAAGAAAAAGGAAACAAACTTGCAAGACGTTTTCGTTTTTCGTCTTGCGAAGCAAGCCCATAGGGAAATTTGTCTTGCGAAGCAGCTCAAAAAACGCAAAACCCTTTTGTCTAGAGAGTTTTTCGTCTTGCGAGGCATTCGTCTTGCGGGGCACCACTGTAATGATTGCACTAACTTGGAACTGGAGGGGGAAATTGCTTTCCTATTCTCACTTGAGGTTTTCTGGATCTCTTCCAGTATAGCCTAAACAATGTTCTTCTGCGAAGGGAGAACCCTCGGGGATCAAGACTCAGTCCTGAGCATGTGGTGTTCACTGAGCCTAGCTGATGGAGCCTGTACTTGGATAAAGGCCAGTTTTGCAGTTTTTTACTACTAGTATTGGCTTTGGTTCCACAAGTAGTTTGAGAAAATATTTCTGAACAAAAGAAACATTTAACATTGCTTCTTCTTTTAATTAGGATGCTCCTGCTTTTATAGGAACTGTGCCCCATAAAAATTCAGGAGCAAGAAAGAAAGATTGACTCCTTTTGAATTTTGCATTGCATTCTCTATATCAGGGTGGGGAACCTACAGCCCATGGGCCTCCCTGTTTGTCCTGCCAGGCAATTTTGATCGATGCATGCATATCTGCCCTTCTGGTGTCAAATGTGGGACACGTAAAGTCACTGCTGGGCCAGAAAGGTGCCAGCAAAGCCCTCTTCATGGTGCTTTGAAGTCCCAATTATCAGCTGATTGTTGGGGTTTTGAAGCACAGCTTAGGGCTCTCTGCAGTCACAGATGCTCAGTTAATATTTTGGTGTTGGGGAGAGCCCTGCACAGCTGCAGCCTATACATTCAGCTGGAAATAGCTGCACAGAAAGCCTTGTATTTAGACAGTGCTAGAAGAAGTGATTTGAATACAAAGGTGTTTTCTGCAGAGGAAAAGGTGATCAGTTTTTAGGATCATTTACCCCTCCTTCCTGCATAATGGTCAGCATATTTTGAATGTTGATGGCTGTCGGTCACCTGACATAATGATGTGAGGCAGGGCAGTCCAACTTTTCATACCAAATGGGCTACAAGAGTACTTTGACACGGAACCCATGGGCTGCACACTGCCTTGTCACGCAGGGTTGTAGGAATGAGGCCAATCTTGATGTTGGGAAATCTTTTTTGCCCCCCAAGGGCCTCATTCTTTTGGGGAAAACCTGTCTAATGCTGGAGCCAAGAAGTGGATAGGTAAACAGGGAAGCATGACTTGATTGAATGACTCTTTCAGTTACCCTATCCTCCCCCCCCCTCTCTCTCCTACCCCATCTATCTCTGCTTAGATGTGTGGAGTAGAGGAAAAGTTATGGTTAAGGTTTGCATCAGCAAAAGGGGAACCATTTCTCTGATTTGTGGGGAAGTGATTAAAGTCCATTTACAAACAAAAGGGTCGTTTTGTTGGAAAGCTCAGCATACAAATTACATTTCCTGCAAAGATATCACATATCTTGGCAAAAGAAAGAATTAGTACACAGGTTGGGGAGCAGAAATACTTAACAGCTCTGCTGCAAAGCAACATCTTCCCATTTTTCTTTGTGAAATTGCGGGAATTGCAAAGGGGGTGACTGGATGGGAACACCCTGTGAGCCAGAAGTCCCACCCCTGAGTTAAAAAACTACATATATAAATTTGAATAATATGTCTTATTGGAGAGGGAGATAAGAAACTGCAGAGATGATGTTGGTGGAAATATTGAGGGACTGTACTAGCACTGCATCAATCATCAGTGGATTTTGCATAGGATAATTACAGGATGTGAACGTGATCAGTACGTACCTGCTGCAATGGTGTCCAAGTGCAGAAGCTTCTCTTGTGCCATAGAACTGGCAGAACTGGAATCTAGCCATAGAACTGGAAGACATTAGGAATTATTTGTTTTAATTGAATGTTTACAGTTTTAAACTCATATTTATGTTAGTATAGTTATAAGTTCCTTTGTGAAGCTTTTTACCTTATAAAGGAGGTAGAAATACAAAATTGGGGTGGGGAATCTCACACCTCAAGGCCACATGTGACCCTCCAGGCCCTTTGATTTCTTCTTGGGCCACATAGCTTAGCAACCATGCTCCATTTCCTCCTTGTGAGTTGATGCTTGACTGGAATGCTTGTTTATCTGGATGGATGATTGAGAAAGGTGATATATATGCATGTGCTTGTGGAAACTTAAGCATTTTGTGTGACTGGGTCATGTTTGTTGCTCTACGTACTTCTGCTTTTAGCCCCACTCACTACTGGCATGTGGCCCTCCACCTGAAAGCAGTTTGCTGTCTCTGATCTAAATACCGTATTTTTTGCTCTATAAGACTCACTTTTTCCCTCCTAAAAAGTAAGGGGAAATGTGTGTGCGTCTTATGGCTGCACAGCTATCCCAGAAGCCAGAACTGCAAGAAGGATTGCTGGCTTCGCTGCACAGTGATCCCTCTTGCTGTTCTGGCTTCTGGGATTCAGAATATTTTTTTTCTTGTTTTCCTCCTCCAAAAACTAGGTGTGTCTTGTGGTCTGGTGCGTCTTATAGAGCGAAAAATACGGTAAATAAAATATTTACTGCTTAGATACACACAAGATTGTAATTTTAAAGCTTCACTTTCAAATTGTATGAGCTTCTTGCTTTGTAATGACCTTTTTGCTTTGTAAATCATTTGGTTGGGATGTCTGGTCCAACCAGACATTATTTTTTATCATCTATATTTGTGTATTAGTGGCAAAGTAACGACAAAGTGTTATTTTCTTCAAATGGTTCAGATTTCTAGATGTCCCCTCTTTTCTCCGACTTTCTGCTATAACCCATTCATTGAAAATATCTTTTGTTCATAGGATTTTTGAATTAAAAGGTTGGTGGAGAGAAGCTGAGAATAGGGCAGGAACTAGAGGGAATGGACTGTGCAAGGAATAAAGGGTCACACATGAAAAATGACAATGTAGTTTCCCCAGCGTTATAACCTCTGAAACATGATATTGTGTTACCAGTAGCTTACTTTTTTTTCTTTTAATTTCAGAATTTGGTGTTCACTTGGCAGAATTGACTGTAGATCCCCAAGGAGCACTGGCCATTCGTCAGGTCAGTCTCAAATAATTTAAAGTTAAAGTATTTGTTTGCTGAGCAGCTTCCTGTTATCCCTATAACCAGGTGAGCAATTATTTTGGTACAGAGGATGTTCACTTTCATGTATTACGACTCACTTCTCCCTGCCCCTTCCACAGATGTTAATACCACAGAGCTGAGTAGGAGTCCCTTAGCACCACTTTCTAGAAACAGCTGCCCAAATAGGAGTGGAACCACTGTAAAACAGTGCCCCAGTCTTCAACCTAGAGAACCAGTGCAGAAGAATGCAGTCATCAGAACCTTGCCCAAGAAGGGAGTATTAGCTACGTTGAGATAGAAGCAGAACATACATATTACAAAATAGTAAGCTACTGCTGAAGTACGTCACATTTTCTGGTATAATCATGATGTCTTTCTTAAAATAGACAGACATGAATATCAAGACATTCAATTTTTAACATTTTAAAGTTGAGCACATTTAAATCCCATTAAATCAAATGAGAGAGCGAGAGCACATGCTTAAATTTCTCTCCTTGAAAACAAAAGTGCTTAACTTAGGAAGGATCATGCCAGTCCAAAGGCAAGTGACTTCACTGGAATGTTGATCCTGGCAGTCCTTATCTCCCTTGTCAGAGTGAAGAATGTAAGAAAGCTAACTCTTGAACATGGTATCATGTAAGACAGGAGTATGTCCTTGTAAAAAGTGTTCTTTTTGTCTATTGAAAAGTGCATTTATTGCCTTGCCTCTGAATGTTTACATTGTTTTATTACTGAAGCACAGACCACAACAAAATCCTCACTCTTTGCACATACCGTAGATTCTGGTGTATAAGACTACTTTTTAACCCCGGAAAAGAGGTGTGCGTGGAGCTGCCCAGCATATTAAGCGACTGAGCTTATAAGACGAACCCCCAAATTGCAGCTGACAATTTTGGGGGGGGGCGTCTAATACGCCCAGTCGCCTAATACGCCAGAATCTACAGTATCTATGATGGCTGACATTCCTTTTCTTGTACTTTGACACCAAAGAAGCAGGCATCTTCTGAATTAGCATGTTTATCTAATGTTGAGAGCTTTGCGCTTTCTGTGGGCAATCTAAGAGATAAAAAGGACCTGTGAAGACCTAAATTTCAACAGCTCAGTTTTGTTTTATCTTCCTTGCTTTCCTTCGCAGCTGGCTTCTGTGATCTTGAAACAATATGTGGAAACTCATTGGTGTTCCCAGTCAGACAAGTTTAGACCTCCTGAGACTACAGAAAGGGTAATACTTTCATTAATTGCTCAGTTACATAATGCTCAAGTTTGGAAGAGAGATGTGTTTCCTTGATTTCCAAGTTAAAGCCATTTATAAATGTATAGAGAACTTTTTGTATAGGATACATCTCAGCTGGATATTTACTGATACGTGACTTGGAATAGTATATCATCTGTACATCCTACTGTGTTGTGCAAATGATTGGTGTCCCTTGCTAAGTTCCTCCACCATTCATTTTCCACAGGCAAAAGCTGCCATTAGGGAACTGCTTCCCAATGGGTTGCGAGAATCTATTAGCAAAGTACGTTCAAGTGTTGCGTATGCCGTTTCAGCGATAGCTCATTGGGATTGGCCTGAAGCTTGGCCTGAGCTTTTCAATCTGTTGATGGAAATGCTTGTCAGTGGGGATCTGAATGCAGTGCATGGAGCTATGCGAGTGCTTACAGGTATGTGAGGATTGTGTCGTCTTAACTGAGTAGTTCTTTCCAGCTTGTTTTGGGGCTTCCAAACCATTTTAATATGTTGACATTTTTTTTAGAAAGGAAACTTGATGTTGCCTTCTTTCTTTGCCTTATAAATTACATTGTTCATACTGCAGCTTGTAATATTGGAAATACTTTTAGTTCCCCGCTCCTTGTACAAATTTCTGGAAGCTGCGTAATGATAAAAGAATTTAGGTGTAGTAGTAGATGAGACTGTTGATTCCAGTAAATCTTCAGCAAATAATCCACTCTAGCCATCTCCCTTGCACGTAGTCACTAGTTCATCTGTCTAGCAGGGTACATATAACTGTGGTGTTCATAAATGTTAAATTAAAACAGAAAAAAATCCAGTAGAACTGGGATTTATTTTTTATTACCTATGCGGGGTTGGGTTTTTACAGAAGATTGTAATATAGCATCAGGCTAACAGCATTTTTTGTCAAATTTGTTCCCAATTGAATCTTGTAGTCCCCTGTGCCATTTCAACTACACTGAATTCTTGAAACTCTGTTGAGTGAAATAAGGATGTTAGATACTTTGGGTTTACTCAAAGGGCAATCAGTGATTGCTCTGTTCATGGACGCCACCATCCTCTTTTTGCGGATTTTCATAATGAACCTCTGTAGTGCTATCAAGCCTGAGCCTTGACTATACAATATGAGAATTAGGGTGAATGTTAAGTGGATAATTTCAAAGCAGTTGTGTGTAACTCCTTAGAGAAAATTAATGCTGAATTCTGAATGACTCCTGTACTGGATATAAGCCTAGTTCTCACTGAGGTTGTAAAGCTATGGCTGTTTTAGATGTTGGGGAGAAGGCTAGGCTAGAACTCTTCAGCCTCATAGTTTAGTCCTTTGTATACAAATATTTGTTATGTGAGCAACCACCTGTAGTCTGAAACAATACAACCCAGATGCAGTTTAACACCTCAGAAGGAAGTTGACTTCTGCTTTATGTAATCCTAAAAGGAAACTTAACCCTTGCTCATTTGTGAATGTGTGTGTCATTAGACTGAACAATATGGAAGTGAGAATTTACTATGAATAATCTCTAAATAAGTACTTTGCTACTTTTCTTTTTTCTAGAGTTTACTCGGGAGGTGACAGATACACAGATGCCCCTTGTAGCTCCTGTTATTCTTCCAGAGATGTACAAGATTTTTACAATGGCAGAGGTATGGGTGAAAATGGATGACTTCCATCTAGTAGGAACCATCCTACTAAGTACAGTCATACCTCAGGTTGAATGTGCTTCGGGATGAGCGTGTTCGAGTTGCGCTCTGCAGCAACCCGGAAGTAACGGAGCGCGTTACTTCCAGGTTTCGCCGCATGCGCAGACGCTCAAAATGACGTCACGCGCATGCACAGAAGCGGCGAAAAGCAACGCATGTGCGCGCAGACGTGCCGTCGCTGGTTATGTTTGCTTCTAGATGCAAACGGGGTTCCGGAACAGATCCCGTTCGCATCTAGAGGTACCACTGTACTGATATGTTTAGATCTATGCTCTTGCATAGTTAACATATACTTCCTCTAGCTTCTCTTCTAAATATGTACTTAGAGGATCCCTAGACAAGTTAAAATGTGGATGTATGGCATGGGTGTAGCCAGGATTTTTATTAGAGGGGACAGGCCTTTTGTTGGGGGGGCAGAACCTTAGTTAGCTATGTATTTTTATTGATGGGGGGCAGCTGCCCCTCCCTGTCCCCCCTTGACTACGCTCATGGTGTGTGGCAAGAACTATCCTCTAGGTGTGTTTTTGGCTCTGCTACAAGAAGCTGGTAGCGTGGTATGTGGTAGTTTCTGCATAATATAGATAGAGAAGATGCCTTTGGGCTTTGTTTTCATATTTCCAGGTCTAGAGTCATATTTATAAATATACTATTAGCTACATGCCAAATCAAGGATTACACCAACACAAGTTGTATATAATAGTTTCTTCAATGCTTATCTGCCTCCTAAGCCAATTCTGTTAGTGCCCCAGTGAGCCTAGTATTTTTCTCACAGAGTGTGGTGTAGTGGTTAAGAGCAGTGGACTCGTAATCTGGTGAAACGGGTTCGATTCCCTGCTCCTCCACATGCAACTGCTGGGTTAGTCACACCTTGGGCTAGTCTCTCAGCCTCACTCACCTCACAGTGTTTGTTGTGAGGGAGGAAGGGAAAAGGAGATTGTTAGCCGCTTTGAGACTCCTTAGGGTAGTGATAAAGTGGGATATCAAATCCAAAGTCCTCTTCTTCTTCTTCTTCTCCTCTAAACATCCCAGTCTTCAGTTATGTGATGATTCTAGATGAATATCTCACAAAAGGGAAATTTCTTACAAAAATGAGTGTTTTGCTTATTTTGGTTGTACAAGGAAATGATTTTCTCTCTCAATAGAAACAAAGTATGCTTGATAGAAAATTAAATGTCAGAACATTTCAGCTAGGAGTGCTTTGAAAGGCTAATTTGAAAGTATATATTATTCTATCTTAAAATATCTATTGAGGAAAATCTGGTGCTAATTTTAGGTTGTCTGCACAGTGAAAAATTAGAAAGCTAACTACTTTTTACTAGATACAATTCTGCAGAATTGTGAAGCAGGGAGAACTAGTATTGTGGGTGGCAGCTGCTGATAACACATTAACAAACGCTAGTTGTTTTCATATTTTAACAAGTTGCTTTTCCTGTTAGGTTTACGGTATTCGTACAAGATCACGTGCTGTGGAAATCTTCACTACTTGTGCCCATATGATCTGTAACATGGAGGAGTTAGAAAAGGTAAATTGTTGATTCCTTATCTATGAGTTGTGTTGATTGTAGTAGTATAATATTCTTTCCATTATACTTGACACAGGGTTGTACTAACTCTGTGATAGGTTAAAAAAGAGGTGACAAGATGAAAAATTTATTCTAGCATCATGACTGAAAGGAAATTTGAATGTGAATTTTTATGTCCAAACCCTCTGATCTATACCCTGCATTGTATAGGACTAGAGTGTATGGAAGGTGGCCTGTCGGTGCAAAATGTGTTGCCAAATTGAGAGACTGGTAATTTTTATAATTTTTAGCATGACAGTCAAGGAACCTTTAACTTGGTTATAATGTGGGGCAAGGGGAGACCTCCAGCAGTCTCCCAGGAATGGCAGCTGGTATGCTTAGTCCATTTTTAGAGCCCATCTTGAGAGTAAAAAGGTAAAGGGACCCCTGACCGTTAGGTCTAGTCACGGACGACTGTACGGTTGCAGTGCTCATCTCGCATTACTGGCCGAGGGAGCCGGCGTACAGCTTCCAGGTCATGTGGCCAGCATGACTAAGCCTCTTCTGGCAAACCAGAGCAGCACACGGAAACACCGTTTACCTTCCCGCCGGAGCTGTACCTATTTATCTACTTGCACTTCGTGCTTTTGAACTACTAGGTTGGCAGGAGCAGGGACTGAGCAATGGGAGCTCACCCCGTGGCGGAGATTCAAACCGCCAACCTTCTGAACTTCTGAGTGCTCTGATGGTGTTTCCTGCTTGGCTGGGAGTTGGACTCGATGGCCCTTGTGGTCTCTTCCAACTCTATGATTCTATGATTCTATGATCAGCAAGCCCTAGGCTCTGTAGTTTAACCCACAGTGCCACCCGCGTGCCTTCATCTTGAGAGTAGTTGGATTCAAATGAGGCTTGCTGAATATGCAATCCAATTGGTTGATGATATTTAATATTTGAGTGTACTGTATTGTGTTTGGGGGTATAAGGAGAAGTAATTGAGGGTTTATAAAGGCAGCTGCTGGAACACCAAGAGAGAGGGGGAAGCCAAGGGCAAGCTGAGCCATTTTGGGTGGGATTCAACCAACATAGGTGGGTCTACTGTAAGTCTTAGTTGAATTACAAAGCTTGGAAGCTAAGTGACAAATAAATGAGATGTAGAGATTATGTGTAGAGATTAAAATCTGCAGCAATTAGAACCAGTTAGTTGTTTTTAAGGAGGAGGGAGACCATGAAGAGCTTTGGGGCATGTGAGTCACAAGTTTCCTTCACTGTTTTTCCCAGGGATAAGCAGTTTACACATTGCTGTAACTGAAAACCAAATGATACTTTTTATTCTGGTAGGGAGCAGCCAAAGTCCTTATTTTCCCTGTGGTGCAGCAATTCACTGAAGCCTTTGTTCAGGCCCTACAACTGCCTGATGGACCTACATCAGATAGTGGACTTAAAATGGAGGTTTTAAAGGTAAGTATATAAAACATATCTGCATGTAAGCAGAGAACCTTTTTTTGAAAGTCTTGCTGTAGTGGGCAACAAAAATTGTGTTTTTAAGCTTTGTTTTTATTTACATGGTATGTGACATTATAACAATACTAATATAGCAGTTAATAACAGGTGCCATTAAATTTAGGTAAACAAAATACAACACAACAGAGTTTCAGGAAATATCTTTCTTTAGAAACCCTTACATATGATAGGAGTAAAATAGCTCTGTTAGGGATCAAAAATAAGTATTCATTTTACAAATGCTACTCCTGCCGAAGTGGTATGAATGCCTTGTTAGAAATTACTCCAGGATATTTTATTATATAGTTAATTTATCTAGAATGAGATTGGAGCTTATAAGGCTAGGGGTTTGTGTGCAACCCTTTGCTCGTCCTTGTCAGAACCCATGAATTAGCTTTTCGTAAGCCTGTAATATGTTTCCGGTTGGGTTCTTAAAGATGGACATGGCTTTCTGGATCTCCTATCAATTGTCAGCTGCTACCTCCTAATGACATAAATGAATCTGTGGGTCATACTGTGTCTATGGATCATAGAATCAGAGAATAATAGATTCACGTTTGTGTTCATTTAATTACCAATTTCAGTATTAATATTCACTTGCATATATATCAGACAAGTCTATTCTTCAGATGGAGAAATGTGAATATAGTGGTTTTTAGAGGGAAAATTACTAATTTTGTAAAAAAATGATTGTAAGGTTCCTTTCCTTCTGCAGGCAGTGACAGCCTTAGTGAAAAACTACCCAAGGCATATGATTTCCTCCATGCAACAGATCCTTCCTATTGTGTGGAATACACTTACAGAAAGTGCAGCCTTATATCCTTTTTTCTGCATTTTGAAATAAGAGCAGATTTTCTAGAAAGAAGTACTAAGGCAGGAAAAAGTAAACAGTGGTGGTGTAAATTTGTACATGCAACAAGCATTTTACTCACAAGCAAATGACTTGAGGCTGAAAGAATTAGTTCTGTGGCATTTCTGAATTATATATCTTACTGAGAAGATTGACATGAGAAGGTAAAGGCATGCTTGAATATTTTGGCTACTGGAACAAATAGCAGCTTTGAGGGGACACCCTCAACCTAGGCCTGATACAGAATGGGCCTCCTCAAAGAACATGGATGCATGTTCTAAGAAAGAACATGGATGCATCTGTGTCATAATTTGTTGTTTGGACCTTAGAATATCTCATTATCACTTTATTTGTATACCACCTCTTCACAAAAAGATTATGCTCTAAGTGGCTTACAACCCTGAGGAAAAACGTATCACATAATCAACAGTTGCAAGAAAAAATCATTTTAACGTCTCTAATAAAGGTGGCTGTGATATGCAGCCAGTTTGTCTATTTTTAAAAAAAGAATTAGCCACAATATGGTATTGATTTCCTGTTCAAGTGTTATTGTTGCTCACTTACGCTGACTGAAGTATAGTAATTTCATTGCAAAGGATTTGGTCCTTAAAAAAAGGGGCCATGATCTGGTAGTATGTCAATTGAATCTATTTCTCCTTAACTAACATACCTATGTGAGAACAGAAGTAAATTACACAGAAGAAGTAGAAGACCCAGTGGATTCTGATGGTAAGAAACTCACTGTTACAGGTGTGATTGAAACTCTATCTAAACATCTATAAGAAACATCTGTAAGAAACTCACAGCACATGGATCTCTAGAAGAAAGAAGTCATCCTTGAAAAGCATGCTGTGTGAATATTATAAGATTAAGTACTATTTGCTGGAAACCTTGGAAAAAAATTAAAAATGACTAACTTAGGTGAAGCCAATAATTTTTAATATATTTCTGTATAACTATAGTTGAGATTTTAAATGTTAAAACAGCAACATAAACAACAAGATACTTGCTGTTGGCAAAGATTTGAAACTGTAAAAAAAAAAGGAATAATTTGTCATGCAATAAGTTGAATTAATTTTGGAAACTATTCATAATTTTTTCCTATCACAAAAAAGTTTGACTTTAACAATCTTTACTTTTTTCAAATTTAGGTGAAGTTTTGGGCTTTGAAAACCTAGTATTCAGCATATTTGAGTTTGTTCATGCTCTGTTGGAAAACCACAAATTTAAAAGCACAGTGAAGAAAGCGTTGCCAGAGCTAATATATTACATCATTCTCTATATGCAGATTACAGAAGAGCAGGTAAATATATTTACTGTACATTATTATTTAGAAAATGATTTTTAACGCTTCGGTATACAGCCTTTAAAGCTGGTTAGAACTTAGTGGTAGAAGATACAATATTTATGATTATTGAATCAGTTCCTTTGTAATAGTCTCCAGTGATCTGAAAAATAACATTGGAACCTTTCTGCATGTGTTGGTTACGGTAATTTAGTTGCATGTATTCCTGAATAGGCTAAGGGTTTCCTATAAGTATTGTGCTTTCCTTCTTAGATAAAAGTCTGGACTGCAAACCCACAACAGTTTGTTGAAGATGAAGATGATGATACATTTTCCTACACAGTTAGGATTGCTGCACAGGACTTACTGCTGGTAAGAAATAATATGCAGTGTTTTTGCAGTAATGGTAAATAGTAGTGATTTTTCACATGCAGCTTATACACAAATACAAACCCATATACATGGAACTTGAGTATTTTCTTTAGAGCCACTTCATGTATGATTTAGTTGAGATTCCTACATTGCAGGGGGTTGAATTAGATGGCCCTCAAAATCCCTTCCAACTCGTATGATTCTGTGATTTCATTCTCTTTGGATATTCCACTAAGCATCTTGGAAAAAGTCAATCTGAAACAGAGAATGAAGAGTTGAGGGCATTTCTACCATGCCCAGATTCTCTGTGTTCTGGGACTATGTACTTAAACATCTAGCTTTATTTTCAACAAGGTGTAGTGTGAAATGAGTTCCCTTTTTTCTTGTCTGCAAAATGTATCCTATCGTAATATTTCTGTGTAGGCTGTTGCGACTGATTTCCAGAATGAGAGTGCAACAGCATTGGCTGCAGCAGCTACAAGACACTTGCAGGAAGCTGAGCAAGCCAAAAACAGTGGTGCTGAGCATTGGTAAGACTGGGTGGCAGCTATTCATTTGATGGTACTATTTCAGTTTATTTAGCAGGCAACGAAAACAAATCAGTTTCATTGATTGATGTAGTCAGAAATGATATTAACTGACAGTCTCAACTATTCCAGTTACCAGCTGTTAAATTTGTATTTATAGTGCATATGCACTATATTGGTACTATTCAAATGCCAGTTAGATTATCCAAATTATTATAGGATTTTTTGGGGGGGGGGAACTATGCATCTTATAATCTAAGTTCCCAATTGGGGGTCCATGTAATACACCTAGTGGGTCTGTGACACCATTCACATAACAAAAGCTACCATAGAGATGCAGTCCTGGGCTTCGCGCGGCTCTCCGCAAGCCTGGGGAGACTGGCGCGACTTCCCCTGGGCTCCATAGGCTTGCGAATAGCAGGCTGTTCTCGGGGCTGGGGTCGGGGGAAGCTCGGGCTTCCCCCGCACCAGCCCCGCGCTTGGGGGAGAAATATATTTTTTTTCTTTATTCCCCCCCCCCAAAAAAAAAACTAGGTGCGTCCTATGGGGCGGTGTGCCCTATGGGGCGAAAAATACGGTATACAGTACTCCATGTTTACAGTTAATATATACAAATATTTACCTTTTGTGTTATTAAGGGTAACAAAAGATATTTGTATAATTTCTCCAGAAGTAAAATAGAAAAATGAATATTGGAAGACCTAAGTAACTTATTTATTTATTACAGGTGGAAGATACATGAAGCTTGCATGCTGGCTTTAGGTTCTGTCAAATCTCTTATCACAGACAGTGTGAAGAATGGTAGAATACACTTTGATATGCATGGATTTCTAACAAATGTAGTTCTTGCAGACCTCAACCTGTCAGGTACTTCATCATTTGGTTTGCTGATTGGTTCCTAGAAAATAACCTGAAACTCAAGCTGTATTGGAGAAATTGTTACCCATAGATTTCTAAACTTAAAAAAGATAAACTAGCCTAAAACATTAACATCAAAATATTAACGCAGGAGGGAGACATTTGCTAAAATGAAGTCCATAAAATGTAAATAGAGGGAGTTTCAGTGTGGAAGAGGCATTTTACTCTGAGTAGACCCATTGCAATTAATGAAGATGACTAAGTTAAGTCCATTAATTTCAGTAAAGTTACAATGAGTAAACAGTTGAAGACCATTCTGTAACTCTGTATACAGCTCTTCTCAATAATATATTGGATCCTTCTGTTTAATGGTAATGAGGGAGAAATGCACGAACACTTTTTTCCTTCTTCCAGTGTCTCCTTTCCTCCTTGGTCGTGCTCTTTGGGCTGCCAGTCGTTTCACAGTCGCAATGTCTCCAGAGCTCATCCAGCAGTTCCTACAAGCCACAGTTAGTGGTCTTCATGAAACTCAACCCCCTTCTGTTCGAATTTCTGCAGTAAGGGCTATTTGGGGGTAAGTAGGTCAAGAAATAGAACCTATATTAGTTGATTGTAGGCTGATACAAGGAAATGTTCACAATTTCTTGCTGTAACAGGTGAAATGTTGAAGCTGTAATCTTGACACTGTGATTATGACAGTGCATATGTACTCAGAAATAAGCCCTAACCAGACTTAGGTCTGGATAAGTATGGATAGGATTGCAGCCTGAAAGAAATATTGGACACCGTTACTGTATTACTGACTGTTGATGTTTTTTGGGTTTTCCCTCCTAGGTACTGTGACCAGTTGAAGATATCTGAAAGCACCCATGTCTTGCAGCCTTTCCTTCCCAGTATCCTTGATGGACTAATTCACTTAGCAGCTCAATTTAGTTCTGAGGTCCTCAATCTTGTGATGGAAACACTTTGCATTGTTTGCACAGTAGATCCAGCCTTTACAGCAAGCGTAGAGAACAAGATCTGCCCCTTCACCATTGCCATCTTTCTCAAATATAGTAATGGTATGTGCTCAGGCAAAACTATTAATGATCATATTATGGCTACAGATAATCTTCATGAAACTATCTTCAGTTAACAGGGTTATGTATGTGTTGGCTGTCCCAATGCCTTGTTGTGAAAGACAACAGTGAAATTTCCGTGGATAGGAAAATCCATCAAGAAATTGTATTTGACATGCTCATTTCTTAATCTGTGAAAATGTCCCAACTAGAGCTTGGTGAACTTGTAGTTATAATAATTAGAGCTATATATTATTTCAATCCTGTTTTCTCGTAAATAATGCTAGAAATTTTGAGGTGTGGTTGATCAGAATCTCTGCATCTTTCTTCATCCAGTTCTGGTAGCACCTCTTCCACCCTTTGCATTTAATAATTACTGTTAGTAGCTAGGAGCAAGGGACATATTTTAAGTATGTGGAAATCAAGCATTCTTTCCCACTGTTTAGTCTTTTACTCTTGATTGTTGATATTTCTAACCAGGTATCATGACATTGGGACTGCAGACGAGTCAAGCTAAGGCATCCCCACATCTAATACATGAATCACCAAAGGCAAACATCACAGCTGTGACTTTCTTTCTGACCTTTATAATTTAAAACAAACTGCTTTGTTTAGGCAGAAAGGAGGAACCCTGCCACATATAATGGAAGAGCATCATATTTGATCCAGGAGGATTTAAAATTAGCACGCCGCATTTCCTTACTTCAGTAATATAATTTGATGTAGTTTTATACTCTTGGTAATTGGGTGTTTTTCTTGCTTTAGATCCTGTTGTGGCCTCACTTGCCCAAGATATCTTTAAGGAATTAGCACAAATAGAAGCCTGCCAAGATGCAATGCAGATGCGATTGATCCCAACCCTTGTCAGCATCATGCAGGCTCCTGCTGATAAGATTCCAGCAGGGCTTTGTGCAGTAAGTATGAGGGTATCTTCTCGGAACGTGAAATGCTTTATATATCCTAATGCGGTTTATAAAAACAGAAATACTTTTTATTACTGAAAAATACATAATCATGGAAGAGAAGGGCATACAGTTGGATCGTGTCTTATGTGTGGGTTTGGTTTCTGACAAAGCACATATACACAAAATTGTGTACAGTCAACTCCCAACTTGTACGCAATCTACTTGCATACAACCGCACACATGCACAGTGCCAGGAATCTGAAAGTAGTGGGAGAGACCTGGAAAGTCTGGCTCACGGGGAGACTCCAGAGCCTCAAAAGGATGGCCTCTTTGGGCTCTGGGGATGGCCTCTTTGCAAGCCACAAGGACTCTCCAGGGTGCTCCCCACTTACGCGCATTTCACTTATGCATGCAGAACATAACCCCCGTGTAAGTGGAGAGTTGCCTGTAGGAAGAAGAACCTCCATCACCAGCAGCAACAGGTCATTCTTCCTCTCACTGGCAGCAACAAGCACTTGAGCAACCCGCCAACTGCTGCTACAACCCAGCAGCCTTTCCCAGCTTCTTTGGCACTTGCAGATCTGCCCTGCCTCTTCATCCCTTCTCCCTGTCCCCTGCCACTATGAACCCACCACCTCCAGCTACCTAATGGCCTCAAGAAGTACAGCACTGCTGGGTTCACCCTCTCTTATATTGGCAGCCAGCAGGGTGGCAGAGGCTGGGCACCACTGCTCTCCCACCTTTCAAGCACAGCATGTTGCTGGCGCATACTGGAGGAAGTGAGGCAGGGATAAGGTGCTGTGAGTTCAGTATTGTACAATAAAGTGGAACCAGTCCTCTACAGCTACACAGTGCCGAGCTCCCAGTGCCTCTCCCTCTCATTCAAGCAACATGCTATGTTTGGAAGCCAGGAGAGCAGTGGTAGCTCACCTCTGTTGCCAAGGCACATGTGGAGAGGGATAGGAGTGATGGGGCCAGGTGGGGTGGGCCATTGCTAACTGGGAAGCCCCCGGAGGTGCCCTTTTCCATTCCACTGGGGGATATTCCTTGTGGAGAAGTGATGGGAACACCATTTTGAAATGGGATCCCCCCATTCGCTCCCCTCTTGAGGAAGACCCACTTCATCTGGATCTGCATAAACAGAACGCATGTAAGATGTGCTCCCACTGTATCTATTTTGAGAACAGTGCACATACCTTTGTTCCTTTAGGTGTCACAGTTATTTCAGTAACTGTTTCTTGGTGAAAACTGAACCATTAACCAGATTGAGAGGATTTTTCACAGTGTTTGGACCAGGACACGTTAGTTGAATTTAAATATAATTTATTTCCATGAGAGCTAGTCATGACTAATGAAACACTTCGAGTTCAACAGGACCTAAGTTCAACATCTTAATTTGGTTCCAGCCAGCACACTAAAACTACCACTCTTCTGACTACTCTTGATGCGACCATCTGGAAGAATCTCTGCAAGAATATTTTGAAGATGACAAAAATGTTTTCTGCAAATTGATCTGCTCCTTTCCTGACGTGCTGTGTCTCCTTATTCCAAAACTACTCAACATCTATCTGAATTTTTCTTTTTCAGACTTCGATAGACATATTAACAACTGTTGTGAGGAATACTAAACCTCCCCTTTCACAGCTCCTAATCTGCCAAGCTTTTCCTGCTGTGGCTCAGTGTAGTCTGCACACAGATGACCATGCTACCATGCAGGTAATCATTTTTTGGAAGAGGGAAGTTTTTGTTAGATCTTGCATTGTCTGGAAGCTTCTGAATTGAAGCCAACCACTTCATACTGCATATCATATTTAGGTTTATGGACTGGAAATTGCAACTGGATCTGTTATTGAAAGCACAAGTATCTTGTTTTTATTATAATTCTTGGTCATAGTAACTTGAAATTTACCTTGCTTAAGCCCCCAAAATACCAGAGCGAGTGAGTACCTCGTGCTCCTCTCTTTTTCTTTTGGTAATTTATAATAGAATGAATTAAGAGAAGTAAATGGGTTTTATAGTACTTTGAGAATATTTTTTAGTAGCTTTTTATTGTAGACTGATACAACTTTTCATAGGAGACTGTCTATTCTTAGACTATTAACACAACTCAAATTATATGAATGAATTGGAGAGAAGCAAGAAACCTAAAGATGAAATATATTCACGGAAGAATATTTGAAAGGAGGTTGTGAGTTAAGTCCAAGCTCCTCACATAAACCAACCTGGACATTGTGATCATCATCTGAGACCCTTCTCCATGTACCCCTTCCACAGAAATTCTGAAGGGTGAAAACATGAGAATGGGCCTTTTCAGTGGTGGCTCCTGTTTGTAGAATGCTCCCCAGAGGCTTGCCTGGCATCATCTTTATCCATTTTTAGGTGGCAGGCTAAAACGTTCCTTTTTACTTGGGCTTTTGACCATTAATTTGAATGTTATTAAGTACTTACGATTTCTTGTAGTGGGGCAGGATCTTTAAGACCTGTTTTCTGTTTGTGTAGATTTTTAAAATAGTTTTTGGTTGTGCTCTTGTAATTGGTTTAAGTAGGTCACTTTTGTCAGCAAAGTGATGAATAAATGAAATAAATAATACATAATAGAGTTTGCATGCACTTGGGGCAAGCTTCACTGACCTTGATTTCATAGGAAAGGTAGTTCCCATTCAAATCCAAAACAATAACTCATAAAGCATAAACTAATGAATTATGGGGTCCTGTCCATCATGTCTTTGTTGGCACTGGTACTACTGCAATACAGGTAAGTTGTCATTGCTTAATAAGTAACATTTCCCCAGTTGAGTCTTTCATAGCTGGCTGGCTGTAGATCATGTTTATTATTATTATTTTTAAAATAATATTTATTGCTTTTATACCTTACAAAAAGAAAAAAGAAGAGAAGAAAAAAGAAAAAGAGAAAAAAAGCAAAAGAGAAAACAATACAATACAATATATAAACAATACAAAATGCAACATTAACACATTAACAAAACAGATACAAAAACAATTCAATAAAAACACACATCATACCATCTCAGTATCCTCTCTTTCATTCCCTTGTTTCATCGACCTCCTCTCACCTCCCTTTTTGTATTCCATTTCTATTAATTGTTTCAGCAAATCCTTTCCATCTTTCTCTATTTTCTGTCATGTAATTATCTTAACATATTTTAACCTTGTTTTCCATTAATACTATAATACTTATTTATACTTAATTACTCAAAATATTTCTACTAAAGCCATATAATTCCCTTCCAACATTTTTCTAACACTCATTAATTTTACATTATTTCCATGTATAGGTTTTAAACTTTTTCCAATATTCTTCCACCGTCTCTTCTCCCTGGTCTCGGGATCTGCCAGTCATTTCCGTCAATTCCAAATAGCCCATCAACCTGGTGATCTTTTGTCCGAGGCTCTTAACTCTTTTCCAGGTCTCTTCTGCAGGTCTTCTTCATATTTATACATGCACTTTACTTTGTCTTCTCCTGATCTTATTCTTGTTTTCCTTCCTTTGATGCTGAAAAGTAGATCTCCGGGGAATTCCCATCTAGCAATGTTTTTGTTCCTTCTCAACAAGTCAACCAAATCTCCATAATTAAAACTGAAATTCAAAAAATATTTCCAATCATGTTCCAAAGTTCCTCCGAGTCTGGCAGTCCCCACAACTCCAGTCTCCTTCTGACCCAAATCCAGGTCCCAGAGATCAATCTCCTGTCCAAGCGGGGCTCCAATCCTGGAAGTCTGACTTTCTCTAAATTCAGTCTTGGAAGACATCAACTTATAATCATCCAATTGCAACTGTAAGGCTGGAGCTCTCTGCTCCACCACTTGTGCCACTTTAATTGGGCCTGGAAGCACTTGTGCCATTTTAGATTCCACATCAAGAACTTTCTCCCCCGCCTTCTTCTCAATTTGCCATGTCAAAATAGATTCCTGTATCAATTCCTGAGTACAGTGGTGCCTCGCAAGACGAAAAGAATCCGTTCCGCGAGTCTCTTCGTCTTGCGGATTTTTTCGTCTTGCGAAGCAAGCCCATTAGAGGTTTAGCGCTTAGCGCTACAGTATTAGCTGATAAGCGGCTTAGTATCAGCTGTTAAGCGGCTTAAAGATCAGCTGATAAGCGGCTTAGCAGCTGTTAAGCGGCTTAAAGATCAGCTGATAAGCGGCTTAGCATCAGCTGTTAAGCGGCTTAAAGATGAGCTGATAAGCGGCTTAGCATCAGCTGTTAAGCGGCTTAAAGATCAGTTGATAAGCGGCTTAGCATCAGCTGTTAAGCGGCTTAAAGATCAGCTGATAAGCGGCTTAGCCATCAGCTGATAAGCGGTTTAGCAGCTTGGGAAAAAGGGGAGGAAAAAAACCCTGCAGGAACTCGCAAGACATTTTCGTCTTGCGAAGCAAGCACATAGGAAATTCGTTTTGCGAAGCACCTCCAAAACGGAAAACCCTTTCGTCTAGCGGGTTTTCCGTCTTGCGAGGCATTCGTCTTGCGGGGCACCACTGTAATTTCTGTATTAATATTAACTTTTTGTGCCAAATTACTGTATTTTTCGCCCTAAAGGACACACCGGCCCATAGGACGCACCTAGATTGGGGGGGGGGGGATAAAGAAAAAAAATTATCCCCCCTCCGCGGGGGAAGCCCGAGCTTCCGCCAACCTCAGCCCCCAGAACAGGCAGCTCTGGGAGCTTGCAGGGCTGGGGTCGGGGGAAGCCCGAGCTTCCCCCTCCCCCAGAACGGGTCCCAGAGCTATGCAGAAGTTGCGCGCAGCTTCGGCATCGCTCTGGCAGCTTGCGGGGCTGGGGGAGGGGGAAGCCTGCCCCCAGCCTCCAAACCAGGTCGTGAGACAGCGGGATGGCGCGCTGCGCCTCCCCGCTGTCCCCAAGCTTGCGGGGCTGGCGGCGGGGAGAAGGGGGCTTCTCCCCGCCAGCAGCCTCCAAACCATGTCGGGAGACAGCAGGATGGCGCGCTGCGCCTCCCCGCTGTCCCCCGAGCTTGCGGGGCTGGCGGTGGGGCTCTCCTAAAGCCTGCATTCGCCCCATAGGACGCACACACATTTCCCCTTCATTTTTGGAGGGGGGAAAGTGCGTCCTATAGGGCGAAAAATACGGTAGTCACTTTTTGTTCCAAGTTATCAATTTTTATAGTCCTTGCATCTGTCTTCTTGAAAAGCTGTTCCAATGAGTCGTTAATCTTGCAAAATGCAAACACCAAGGCTTCTTCTGTCAACATTCTTAACGAGTCAAGGTCAAATCCAATTTCTCACAGTTTTATCTTGCTGATGGAAAATTCCCCAGCTCAGCTCCTGTAACAATTTCAAAGGCTTCCTCTAGAGGGAAACAGTTTCTATTTGTAACAATCCTTTTAAGCACAGTTCAAACAAGAAAGATAGTTTCAATTTTCATTTACTTTTACTCCTTTTTAAGCGCAGAAAGAGACAGTAGAAACAAGATATTTCCCTTCTTTAACTTACTGTCAGCAGACAATCCATTCACAGTCAATGAGCATATCCAAAACTTCAATGCTTACTAGCAGCCCATTTCCAGGTTCAGAGCAGTGGTAATTTGACTTTCTTCACTCTGTCCTGCAGGCTTACACGATCTTAAATCTCCCCCTCTTCTCCTGCTTCCAAGGGGGGTTTAGTGATTTAACCGATGGACGTTTAATCCTTTATGAGAGACTTTCCAAGGCTTTAGCTTGCAGCCTCTTTGCTTCAATCTATTTACAAAAAAGGGAGGCGGACTTCCTGTTTGAAACCTCCCCGCAACAGCAATGCGGCTTCACTCCGTGAAAAAAGCAGTCGATTCAAAGCACCGCGCCACTCACCCCACCTCGCTCCGGATCCCTGAAACCGGGTTTCCCCGCGAGTAGGGGGACGCAAAAGGTGCCAGCCGAATCCCACATCCACAAGCTTCTCCCACCTGTGGTTTTTGATGGGTCTCTGCCTTCGCCGTGGCGGCCAGACCCTAATTTCCAAGGAGCGGATTCCTCCCGATCAGAGGAATCCAGCCATTGCGGGAGGCGCCTCCCCGGAAGTCTCGCTGTAGATCATGTTTATACCCTTTGGAACCATTCAGAAATAGTTCCAGGTTCAGAAATGCATCCTGTGTTTTCATAGCATTCTCTCAATGTTAAGTGCATGAGCACAGAATATTGTCATCATAACAGATAGTTCACAAGTGCAAATTTTGCCGGATAAACATGTTTTGGTGGCACTCAGGACTATTTCCTAGCCCTTGCATAAAAGGAAAGGAGCAAGTTTGCATGAAAAAGATATTCCACATACAGTTTTTGACTCGTACAATCTCTTGCCAGTTAATTTGTTTCCTTTGGGCCTATAATGCTGTTTGTTAAATGTCTGAAGCACTTGATAGGTTGAAAGTGTGTATTCTCATGTGCTTTGTTCTTTCAGAATGGTGGTGAGTGTCTACGTGCATATATTTCAGTCGCTCTGGAGCAAATTGCACAGTGGCATGATGAGCAAGGCCACAATGGACTGTGGTATGTGATGCAGGTGGTGAGCCAGCTTCTTGATCCACGCACTTCAGAATTCACAGCTGCCTTTGTAGGCAGATTAGTTTCCACGTTGATTTCTAAAGCAGGGAGTGAATTAGGAGAGAATCTCGACCAGATTCTGAGAGCAATTCTTAGTAAAATGCAGCAAGCAGAAACACTCACTGTAATGCAGGTAAGAGGCTCAAAACTTAAGTTGATAAAATGAGTTGCCTTGCCCAAACCCCTTGATGTATTTAGCTATCCTGTAGCTTTATACATGAAGTTGACCTGGCTTAGAGCAAAGCCAATTTGGTGAGGGATATGTTCACTAATGCCTGGCGGGATGGCATTCCAGTTGTAAGTGGGTGTTCTGAACTGAACTCACAAGTTTGTTTATCCATTGCTTATGAAACAGTATATTCCCTATGATTACCACAAACATTCTATTAGCGTACAAAACAACTTGTGTTCATTACTGCTACTTAAGCAGAGAACTTCTAAAATTCTAAAATTATATTTGAGATGCAAAATTCTAAAATTATATTTGAGATGCATCATGAAAGATGACTAAGCTTCTTAGCAGGATGCATGGGGACTAGGTGCTTTGTAACTTTTTCAGTCAAGTTCAGTGACTGATCCTGCAATCCTTTTTTGGTTTTGCAGGATGTTATTGTTGAGTTCAGTTTCAAGCATTAGTAAAACGACTGAAATTCCCAAAATACAAAAGTCAAAATGTCTATCTTACTTTGTCTCTCTTGCAGTCTTTGATCATGGTATTTGCTCACCTGGTTCATTCTCAACTTGAACCACTACTAGAGTTTCTTTGTAGTCTACCTGGGCCAACAGGCAAGCCTGCCCTGGAGTTTGTAATGTCAGAGTGGATGAGTCGACAGCATTTGTTCTATGGACAATATGAAGGCAAGGTCAGGTAAGGTGTCCATCCCTTGATCACATGTATGCCTTGAAATAATTGAGCATGCTCATACCTTTCATTTTAAAGAATCCTAAGTCATTATAGTTGTTTGTTCCTGGTTTTGCTTTAATAACCTGCTCTTTGAACAAACCACTCTGCCCCAAATTTGTAGATAAGGGGAAACTAGTTCTAAAGTCTTGTAAATAGGATGACACTAAGAATGGAGCTGATCTTCAAGTATGTGACTCTTAAAATTTTCAGCTCTGTAGCCCTGTGTAAACTCCTCCAGCATGGTATCAATACAGATGACAAGCGACTGCAGGATATCAGGGTAAAGGGAGAAGAAATATTTAATATGGAAGAAGGAATACGCACACGATCAAAAGCAGCTAAAAGTAAGTGTTAACATATTATTTCAAGATTGAATCAGCCATAAGTAAGAGGCATAGAAAGTCCATTAAAATATGCTACAACTCCCATCAAAACCAGTGGGACTTAAGTGCCACTGACACAGAATTAAAAGCTTTGAAAGTTATGACATGTACATCTTTTTCTGGTCTTTTTCAGACTAATGTAGAATGCAAGGCTTACACAGACATAAGAGATTTTATAGTAGTTGAATGCATTAAATGCATGTTGGTCAGAAACAGTGAACGGTTGCTGACTTATAAATAGCAATCGTATATAGAAGAGTGCCATCTTTTAAATAATAAGATAAAGTGATGATGACTGTGCAAAGGATTGGCATTTAGTCATCCAGTTCTCCCTGATGCTGCAAATGTAACTGCTCAACAGGATGTCTACTCAGTCATTAGTTTAGAAAACAATGTTAAAGGGATCATTTGTTGTTTAGTCGTTTAGTCATGTCCAAGTCTTTGTGACCCCATGGACCAGAGCACGCCAGGCACTCCTGTCTTTCACTGTCTCCCGCAGCTTGGTCAAACTCATGGGATCATAGTGAATGTATAGTGTTGAAAAGAGTTGACTACTGCTGCTTTTTGTGACAACTTTAAAAACTGAAGAGTTTAACAGATTTGGAATGCCTCTTCAGACAGTTGTGAACGTTTACGTAATTGCATCGAGTTTCCTAAATTCTTAGCTGCATGTATAGACTTTTTTTCCTCTGTTCTTCTCAGATCCTGAACGCTGGACCAACATTCCTTTGTTAGTTAAAATCTTAAAATTGATAATAAATGAACTTTCTAATGCAATGGAAGCAAGCTCTTCTCGACAAACTGCTGCAGAATGGAGTCAAGGTACAACACTGATGTGACTTTCAGTCTTTATGGTGGTTATCATTTGGTGCCATCCAATATGTTGCAGTGGTAAAGTGTTTCAGACTAGGCCTAGGAAGACCAGGTTCACGTTTCCATTCTGACATGAATCTCACACTAGGGCCCATCACTGTCTTTCAACCTAGCCTACCTCACAAGGTAGTGGTGATGATAAAATGGAGGGATAGGGACCCAAGTATGCTGCAATGAGCTCCTTGGTAAGATATAAATGTAATACATTAAAATATATGACTGCTGCTTCTATAGCACAAAATGTCAACTATGCCCGCATGGTGTGTGTGTGTGTGTGTGTGTGTGTGTGTGTTTGGTTTTAATTTTTTTAACCCATAAATCATAGAGAATGCTCACATGCTGTGGACAATCTTAGATTTGCACTAAGCTGCATGAGAGTTCAGGTATTTAGAGAATAGGAGTTCTGGGTATAGGTCTTCTTACTTAGCAGTGAGAGCTGTGCTCCCTTTATATGCCCCAATTCTATGTAATTTTCCTCAGTGACTAGAAATACGAAGTACTCCATGAAACAAATATTTTCAATTAGAAGTATGTGAATTACTAACCAAAATAATATAACAAATTTACTTGGCAATAAATAAAATTTTAAAATAGTACTTAATTGTAGATATATGTGCTTAGAATTGAGTTTTCTATGTACCTATATAGAGCATTCCATTGTCAACCATGGCACTTTTAGTATATTTTTCTTTTTGGTGAGAATTGCAGCTTTCTTGGTAATATTCTGCTTGCTCAGAAATGTACAGCTCTGTCCAAATTGAAATTTCCAGTATGCCTCCTAGTTAAAAAGCAATGTCCAGGTGGTGAACTTTACATCAAAGCAAAACAAAAACAAAAACAAAAAAAACACTCCTCAAGGCAAAACTGTTTCTCTCTTAATTAACAGAGGAATCCAATGATATGTGGGAAGATCAAGAAGAGGAAGAGGACGAGGAGGAGGAAGGGTTAACAGGGCAGCTATTGTCTGATATTCTTGCTACAAACAAGTATGGTGAGCAAAGTAGTTCTAAACTTGTGAAGATTATTTGTTCAGGGAGCAGTAGACCCAGACCTTTAGTAAAAGTATTTTACAAACCACTTTCTCTGTGTTGTTTAGAAATGTGACTTGTATAAGAACTGAAATAACACCAATTTATTTCTTCTTTCAAATGTATTTAATGTCTAAATAAAAGTGTTGTCGTTCATTTCAGTGCAAAAAGTGTATGCAAAAAAGACAGATTTCTGTAATTGTGCATATTGGTGTTTTCTTGCCAATATGATGGCTCACATATCACATTGTTTGTTTACAGATGACGATTATTATGAAGATGATGATGAAGACGATCCAGATGCACTGAAGGATCCTTTGTATCAGATAGACCTACAGGTAGGTTGAATGATCAAGGTTTCGTTGCTGTTTACTAATCTTTTTAAATACTTATTCTAATCTTTTAAAATACTTATTCAAATACCTGGAATACAGTTAATACTGTTGAATACTGACTTGAATATTTATTCTCATCTGTTTAACATGCCCTCACAACAGCACGAAGCTACTGTAACTAACTTTGAAAGCTTTATCTCACAGTAATGCATAGCACCACACATAAGGCTGTAGACAAAAATCAGTACATCCATCTGATGGTCAGTAAATAAGGGGACTCAGAAAGAACAATCTAGATTTCTCTGTGTTGCCAACCAGTGGTCCTGAATATTGGAATGTAATAGTGCTCTGCTTCTGTTCTTTAAAGAGAAAAGCTTTTTAAATCTTGGGACAGGAAGCATCTGGAGTTCTAATTTTGAGTGGGAAAATGACTGAAAATGTTCTGCTTCTTTCCCCCTTCCCAAACTGCTTTGCTGTTATATTATCCCAACACAAATTTTGTAACTGAGGATTAATGCCATTGAGTTGTTGTAGTCAGTGGAGGGTTTGTATTTGGAGAGGAAGGTTCATCTTTCAGGAAAGTTTCTTTTAACAGCAAGAGAGCTATATAATACTGAGTCTGATGTATAAGAAAATGAAATAAATCAAAATTGAAATTAGAATTTGATAAAACTCCTCTTTGGGGTTAAAACGCAATCATTTATTTTAAAATAACTAGTAAAATCATACCAAAACAAAATAAACTAAAACAACATAAGCAATAAAAGCAAAGCAGTGACAGATTAGTATTAGTATCTGACAGGGAGCAATTCAGGTGGAAAAATAAAAAGGTATTTTGCCTGGCATGAAAAGAACATTGGAGTAGGCACAAGGCTTAAGGGTTTAAGACCTTTAAACTAAGGTCTTGAGCATTTTATATTGTTATCACTCTCTTGCATTAATATATTGTTCTTCTGTATTATAGAATAATTTCACGTATAAATAATTGTGCAGTATCCTGTGGAAATGAATTGACAACTATTTGTCTTCCTTATAGGCTTACCTTACAAACTTCTTATGTCAGTTTGCACAGCAGCCTTGCTATGCAATGTTCTCAGACCACCTCAATGAGAATGAAAGAAGAGTTCTTCAGACCATTGGCTTATAAATCCTGAGCATTGTGAACATATCTGGAAAATATTTTTCTGGTTTATTTCACGTTTTGTGACTTGAAACATCTTCCATTATTCACCAGATGTGATTATCTTTATTTTGAGGAACTGTTCCTTATCTTATCATGATGTAGGGTTAAGAGAAGGATTGTTGAAGGCAACAAGAGGCAGATGTGCATAGAATTTTGCACACTGGATTTGCACAACGGGAACACTATTCTTCAGATCAGCTTTTCAGTAGAAAATTTAAGTATTGTGCCCTAAAGCCAACTTTCTCTCCTCCACTGAAAAAGCACTTCACTGACTTTTCACAGCACAGCTTAATGAAATGAGGAAGACATCGCCATTCGTTCGGATGTGTATTGAAACTGGGAAGTTTTGTCCCACTTTGCACTTCTGTCACACAGGGTAAATTATCTTGATCTTACCATATGGCATCTTTTTACCAACACTTGAGTGGAAATGGAATCCACTTACAATACAAGAGCTTGGATTAAAACCTGAAAAAATAAAATTGTTTACCGTTCATATATAGAAGTAAATGACTCCTATGTGAGCTCTGTTATTCTCATGATTCTTTACTAAAGCTATCATGCACCCATTCTGAGCAGGCTTGCTAAAAACTCAGTTCCTGTGGTTACTGATGACTGGTTTTGCAACCAAACATTTTTATACAAATTCTTGATTGTATTTAACTTGTCTATTTACTCCATGAATACAGCTTTCATATACTTTTTGCTTCCTTCACATGCACAAATCACACAATATGGCTAAGCTGTAGTCCACAAATTAGTATGTGTATTTTTATAGGGCCATAAAATTAACATTTACTGGCTAATCTGCAAGTACAGTGATGCATCTCACAACACCTCTTTGCCTTTTTCCTCCCTTTTTGGGAAAGAAATTAAAAATAAAACTGTTCATACCTCCATTGTTATCATTCTTTTTAAAATATCCAGGTAACAAAGTTGGATCCTTTGGTAATCTCTTTAAAATTCACGTGTGAAAAGCATACCAGGCTTTAATTGCCACTGCATTGAACGAGGTATAGGCATCTTTAATTTGAGGTATTGCGCAGCTTGTTTCACTGGTTTTTATGTTAAAGGTTATATGAGTCTTCCAAAATTAAACCCAAATTTAATGATGTAATTTAATGATGTCATGATCTATCAACTTTATAAAAATACAGTAGAGACAGTTCATGTGTGTATTACAACAGTTTGGATGAGATACTGTATGATGGAGGAGAGTGATGGCTGCCAGGTCTGAAAACTGGATTTATAATACTTTATTCATGTTCAATGGATAAAATTTAATGAATCGTGAGAAGCTGGAGGTTTGGGAAGTGTTTCAGTTTAATAGCTGTCAGAGCTTTCAGCCCCAACTTGAGACTTCAACTGCGTAATTGCAGGACACTGTCAAGGAGGAAAAAGCAGTAGGGGTTCAGCAAGGGAAATAAGATCTCAAATGTGCTGGGGCCAAGCTTAGGTTTGCATGCTGAGTGTAAAAAAAGAGACTGTTAATTGAGGGACCAATATTAACTGTAGTTCCACCCTCCCCGTAATTCAATTGGAATGTATGAGCACATTTGGACCAGGTTATTATTTATTCATCAATGAATTGCTGTTTGCATATGCCTTAAGGCATTTTACAAATATACCATAAAACCAGCTAAAATAGTTTTAAGAACAGTACAAAAAACAATTGAAGGTAAGTTTATTTTGTATTTTTGTTAAATCTAAGTGAGATACAGTAGGATGCATGTCTCTCCAACTCAAGTTGTTTCCTGATAGCATTTTTATACTCAAGCCTAATTTGCCAGTAAGAAGCTGTCTCACTGAAGTTCTGTTCTGCATTAGAGGCTGTTGCCTGAGTTACACAGTTTTACAAAATAATAAACTTTTTAAAAAATCTACAGAGCAACAATGTCTAATTTTTTTTGTAGTATCAGAAGCTATAACTTCACTTTCTTATTGTCAGTCCATACCAACTTAATCTATTACTGCACAACATGATTTTTTAAAAAAATGCTTACTGCATGAAGATTTTAAAAAATAACCTGTTTGCTATGGATCCACTTCCGGAAAATAGCAAAAATAGCAGTTAACCACATGTGTATCTTCAGGCAAATATTAGGCTAGGGCAAAGAAGCTGAAGTGAAAGCAATGGTCTGAACTATGAGTCATCTCTCTCATAGTGGCATATGAGAGGGTAGCATAAAACAATGCAATTTCTAGCACTCCACAAATTTAGGACCACTGTGCCAAGACAAAACATACAGATAGCTGACATTCTTGTGAAGTTAGCCATCTTAAATGTCTTCCTAATAAAAACCTATTTATATATGTTAAGTACAGTGAGGGGTATTCCTCCTACTTATTCCTGTAACAACCAACTAGGTGGCAAGACTGGGGATAGCTGAGAAAAAGATTTTTTTTTAATAGTTTATAAACCATTTCTAAATTGAAGCTGAATTTAGACTATTTTATGGAAATGGTGTCAAATAGTGACGCCAACTTCTTGAAGAGGGCAGTATCGAAAGCTACGACATTTGCAATTCTTTAAAAAATCATCTTTGTTTTTATTGTCTTGCCAAAAATATTCCGTTGAACTGTAAAAAATAAATGCCTTAAGGCTTTTTTGTGCAAGTTAGGAAACTTGAAAAAAGACCAGATAGCTCAGAACAATCTTGTGACACAACCAACTTTAAAGACCACGGATGGGATTCAACTACCATGCCCTGCTAGCACAAGGATTTTTGCTTGTTCAACAGGAATCTCCTCCCCAAAAATGTTCTAGAGTACATTTAGAGGGGCACACATGGGGTGGGGAAAGGAAGAAGAGGTTCCATTGTGCAAGATTTTGTGCTATGTTTGGTTCTACCCCAAGTGTGAAAAATCCACTTGAATGGTTTCCCTTCTGTTTCCTTTTCTAAGGAATGTCTATAAAATGTGTTTTACATAGGAGAACTGTAAAAATCACAACACCCTGTATTTGAAGTACATAAACTCAGGAGTTAATAGCTCAGGATAGCATATTAAACTATTATTTAGGATACTAGAAACAGCTTATGTCTCATACATTCATTGTCCCTTAAAAAATCATCCTGTAATCTTAAACTATCTTTGCACACTAAAGGATGGACTTTGAGTACCTCATGTTTTTATTGCTCCTTAAAATGAATGCCTGCTATACATCTATGCCAGACTCCTTGATGAAAGAAAATGCAAGCAATTTCCCCCTTTTTATATGTATTTATCTTGCTGAGGAACTCTCAGAGCTTCATATAAATTGAATAGAGGTTAGATCTGGTCAAATGCAATTTTAGAAATGAGCTAAAGCTATCCATAAATATTGTTTGTGTCTTGATTCTGTGTAGATAAAATTTAATAAACACTATAAATGTTCAGTGTCTGCTTTATTCTACACACAAAAGCCTTCCTAATATGCATCTATTTGCTTAAATGATGCTGGAACTCCTGCCTGCATTCAGACGACTAATCCTGGATACGTTCTGTATTTATTTTTACAACAAGGCTTACCATTTGGTTAACTTTGCACTGTTGTCTGGCCAGCATCTGTACATGTGCATGTTGCCTTATCAATCTAGCAGGTAAAGAATCATAACAAGCAATTTAGAGTGGAATTCTATTCATGTTTACTCAGAAGTCCTGCATTGAATGCGTATTACTCCCAGCTAAGTACATAGGACTGCAGCCTTAGTTCCTGATGTTCTTTAGCCCTGGCAGGGAGAAGCATAATACAATCCAGGTTACATAAGGGCTCTCAGGAAAAGATAACTGGAAGGATGTATTTATCCAATAGAGAATTAATTGCCATAAAATTGTTAAATACAAGGATGCGGTATCTTGCCCTCCAGATGTATCTCCCATCAACCTCAACCACCATGGCCAGTGATCCACTGCTGGAAAGCCATTAGTTCCTCAGCCATGGTTTACCGGCTACTAGCTACCTGATATTAGAAGGTGTGGCACTGGTGCCTAAAAATTACATCTATTTGTTGCCATACACCCACAATATTTGGCAAGCACTGCATTTCTAGCTATCATGCCTGGTTTGCAAGCTTTTTCCAGGGCATCTGCCTGCCCTTTTAAAAACCAGTCTGCGACGAACTATTGTTCTACTATTCTAATGCAGGGAAAATGCTTGCCAATCTTGATCTTTCCAAGACTCAAAATTCCAATCCTGAGTGTGCTGCATCATCAAGATTTTGCCTAGCGTTAGCTAGTTCCACAAATAATACAACTTGATTAGGTACAACTTGATTAGGTACAACTCTGATTCTGTGCATTCTAAGGAAACGGCTGCAGGAGGCACACAGCCTCCAACGCCTCTTAATCTTATCTCCTCTCTATTCACAAGAACTTGATACCTGTTTCATGTGATTCTTTTGCCTTATTGTACATAGGGAAGCTTGATAAACACTAGTTAAATGCTATCCGGAGTCTTAGTGAGAAATAAATAAATAAATTAAAAAACCGTCCAGAAGCACCTGGAAAGTATAAGCTTTCGTGTGCATGCACACCAAAGCTTATACTCAGAACAAACTTAGTTGGTCTCTAAGGTGCTACTGGACAATTTCTTAATTTATTTCGACTGCGTCAGACCAGCACCTGAATCTTAGTGAGAAAATTCAAGTTAAGACTGGTTTTTCTGGATTTGCTTCTTAAGAGTTTTAGCACCAGTGTGGAAAGCAGGCTGTCTTTCTCAGGGCTTACAGAGCAGAGCAGAGTTTTCCGTTTGCTAAAGATGGTTAAATGCTTCTTAAGAATGTTCGAAGAGCCCGAATTAAAACAAAGGCGCATGTAGTCCAGCATCCTGCGCTCGCAATGGCCAGCCAGATGCGCTCTCCTCTCCCAGCTTACGATTCCTAAACTGCCTCCGATACTAGTAGACATGGAAAGCCCTATTCTCCATGAATTTGGCTAACGCCCTTTTAAATGTTGGTGGCTGAATGCCACAGTTAAACCAAGAGCTACGTTTCTTGCATTAATTCTCCACCACTTCTCTTATTTATCTTTTATGCCCATTTCTGAAGCAAACATCCAGGTCTTGTCTGGCGCGCTGGGAAGAAAGAGCTGCACGTCTGGCCCGGTAGCACCTTTGATGGAGCGGTTCCTAAGATTTTTATTAAAGCTCGGGGTCTTCTTCGTTGCGTCTGTTCTTTGGGGCATCTCTGAAACAGACAGAGGCAAAAAAGGCCATTTCCAAGCGACGCTTCTGCGCGACTACTTCATTCCGCGCCCATTCCGCGTTCTAGTTTACGGTCCAGCCCTCCGAATGCCGGCGTCAGAACGCGCTTGGCATGCTGGGGATTGTAGTCTCACGTGGCCACGACGACTAAAAGCGCTCCTGGGTAGCGTCAGTTCCTCTGAGGCGAGACGGGAATGCCGGGAAGTGTAGTTTCTGCTCCGCCCTGGCCTCTACCGGCCGTCGTGGGCCCTCCTCCTCCTCCTCTCTTGCCCGGGCCATGGCGGATGCGGCCGGCTCGGGCGGGCGCTCCAAAGTGGCGCCCAGCGTGGATTTCGACCACAGCTGCTCGGACAGCGTCGAATACCTGACTCTGAACTTCGGGCCCTTCGAGGCCGTGCACCGGTGGCGCCGCCTCCCGCCCTGCGACGAGTTCGTCGGGGCTCGGTGAGGAGGCTGCTGGGCGGCGGTGTGAGGGGAGGGGGGTTGTCGCTGAGAGGGAGCCCTGAGGGGGCGGCGGCGGCTGACGGGTTACCGGAGGGATAAATAAGGCCGTTTTCTCTTCTTCGTCCTCTCAGCCGCAGCAAACACACCGTGGTCGCCTATCGAGACGCCATCTACGTCTTCGGCGGGGATAATGGGTGAGTCCTCCTGCCGGGAATCGCGGATACCCCGTTGCAGGCGGCAGTTCATAATCCCCAGGTCTTGATCCCAGGTCGTCTTCGCGTAGGCGAGGCTGATGCCGCCGTCGCTTTCTCTCTCCCTTCCCTGTGTGCCTTATAGCAGTGCGATGGGGAGGAAAGTTTACACAAACTCCCCAGCCTTCCGCATCACTGTCTCCCTACCAGAAAGGCTCCCCTGTGGAATTGTTGCTGGTCACACGCTTATATTCGCAGGAGCCCCGCTAGGGAGGGGGGGTAGCGAGTGGCAACCCTAAACCCAACTGGAAAGTGTGCAGTGATTGATGGGGAAGGTTTTTTTTCCCCGGAGAGATTTGCCGTGGAAATCAAAAGCTACGCATGCAAATAAAAATACTTTGGTTTCTGATGTTTGGTATCTAAAACAGGAAATAGGGAAAAACAAAGAGCAGCCCAAAGGAGCTGAATTTGCTGTTGCTTGCTGTTGTGATTTGGGGGTGAGGGTAGGGGAAAATATATACAGTATGTATATATATATTTACATTATTATTTCATTTTATAATGTATATAAAACAGAGAGAACAGTTATAACAACAGACAAAAATTAAAATACGAAAAACAAAGCTATAAAATAGGCATGTAGCAGTTGCATGTGAGTTAAAATAACAAATAAAGACTTATCCACTTTATCAGATCATCAAGCATCCTTCCAGCTTTGCCAGGCTTGTGACAGCAGTTGCCCTGAAAATGGTTCCTCTGCATGCGTCATATAAGAATGCCAAATCATATTATAAGTGTCTAGAGGTTCGGGGGGGCGCGTAACTGGATTGTTGTTTTTATTTTGATTATATATTTTGTGGTTTTATATTTTGATTTTGTTCTGTGAACCGCCCTGAGACCTCCAAGTATAGGGCGGTATATATATATTCAATAAATAAATAAGTCCTTGTCAAAAGCTCAAATTATGTGTGATTTTAGAAACTTTTCACTAATTACAGCTAACAGAGATCAACCTCTAGTTTTGCTTTCTGCTGAATATAAAGAAGTTCTGACACAAACTCCACTAAGGAAGCAAAAAACCAAAAGCCTATTTATTATCTTTTGGTTTCTTATGTTTGGTATCTAAAATCTTTGTTTTAGAGCAAATCCAGGCAATATGGGAATAATAACAAAGTTATTATGGGTAGTATTAGTATTGTGGGTAGCATTAACAATCAACACAAAGTTATTGGCAGCATATAAAACTAACAATAAAAACTGAGTATTGCCTTGTCTCCAACATCATTCCCCACTCTCATGGGGACAATAATATTGAACTGTATAAGCTGCTTCCTCTTAGCCCATTCCCAGCATTATGCCATCTTTATCCACAATCTAGAATATAGCTGTCCAATAGTATTCAGCAAGAACTGTTGGCAAGGCTGTTGAGTGGTTTAGCCTACCAGGATTATATTCCTCTGATCCTGCGTTGACTGCCAATTTGCTACTGAGCCACATTCAGAGTATTAGTACTGTGATGACTTGTCAAGTCCTGTACAACTTGGGATTTAAGTATTTGGAGCATCGCCTTACATATTGACTTGCTGATGTGGTAAGATCATTGGTGGGGGACAATAGAAGTCTACTATGCAGGAAGCTGGGAAAGGGCCCGCTCTGTGGTGGCATCTCAACTATAAAATGCTCGAGGGTTGGGGATGATGCCTGCAAATTACTAAAATCATGAATTTTCCTTATCGTATGATAAGCTGTCATTATTGCCACTGTAATAAAGAGAAGGCAAAGACTTCAACGATAGCTAGGAAAAATCATTTGCAAACAAAATAAAACTCTGGTGTCCTTGTGTTGTCATATCTCTCCTGTAACTGCTGAAACTCGGTAAGATATTAGTAGTGGATATGCTGGAAGAAATTTATGTTTAAAAGCATTTTGATTATAAAATTGGATCTTGATTATGGGATTCAAAGCAAGTGGTAGAATTATTGTGGTAGAAAATTGCAATCTTGACTTAGTCCATGTTGAGGGATGGCAGATCTGTATAATTTTTCAAAGCAATTTACTAATAGAGACAAATGCACATTATATGTGTGTGGCAAATTAGTTAACAGTAATTAAACCCAAATTATGATAGGCATAGCCAGGACGGTTTCAGCAAATAATAAATGTGTAATATTTTAGCAAATCAGTGTAATAGCTGGTAAAGTTAATTGTAATATAAACAAGTGCTATAAATAGCAACATTCGCATATATTGCATAGCCATTGTTTGAGTTAACCATGGTTCAGCAAACTTCAAGCCATCTCACAGATGAGAAAACACACTATGGCTTGTTTCACCAAATCTTGGTTTGTGTTTTGTCTGCTCTTGTCTTATACCCCTGTAGCTTGGCAAAGTCTGGGGCAGAGTAGCCAAACAAACTAATGTTCATCAAGATGGTTGTATTCAGACATAATGATAGGCCATAGTTTAAAAAAGCCAAAATTTGTAACCCACCAACAAACAATGGTTCAATATTTTGGCTTGTTGCCAGAAAACAAATCCTGGTAAGCCCATAGGCTGGTTCAAATATTCAAACAAACTATACTTTGGTTAAACAAACCAAGGCTTTGTGTTGTGAGTGAACCAGGCCAGTGTGAATTACTGTGTTTGCTCTTATTTGTTTTGGGTACAAAGCATCTCTTGTACTTTCTGCTGCTTAGAATGGTTGGGGACTAAAAACTAAATAACGTGTTATATCTGAGGATAACTGTATATATTATTTTCCTTATTCTGAAGGAAAACCATGTTGAATGACCTATTGAGATTTGACGTGAAGGACTGTTCTTGGTGCAGGTACAGCTATATTTCTAGTGAATATTTCATATATTATTTTGGCATCTATTTTAAAGCCTAACCAATTAGACCTTCTAAATGGATGACAAAATTAGATATTATTGGCATGCTGCATTTTTTTAATGGCTAGTGTATATTTGATAACTACTGTGGGTTTGTAATCAAATTACGTTGATGTGTTTTAGATGGGGAAAGAAGGGCAATTTTGAAACTTGTAATAAGGCCTCAACCCTTTGTTTATAAAATTAGGATACAATCCTAAACTTGGAAGTTTGCTAAAAATCTATATTTACAATAATGCTTTCTTATAGTAAAACAAAATATATCTAGTGGCTGCTGTTTTCTGCAGTTCAAAGACTCTAAAATGTTCTAAGAAAATTCTCAAAATACCACAAATTACATGCATCTGTAAAAGTGTGAAATGAACAAATTATTTAATCAGATTAGAGTCAATAGTGCAATAGAAAATGCACTTAAAATGCACACCAAACTATGAATATTTAAATATCCTTACAAATAAAATATTGTAAAATATTACAAAATATTGTAAAAGAGTACTCTTGCATTTGTACTGCTTTGTGTTACATTGCGCAGGGCTTTTACTACAGGGACCCCTCCAGCACCCAGATATCACCATTCAGCAGTAGTCTATGGAAGCAGTATGTTTGTATTTGGTAAGTTATTAGTAAGCTACATCATTATCTGTGAGCAAGTCTGAATAAATATATGTTTGAGGTCTTGCTGGATTTGTGAAAGTGCTGTCCAGCAAATACTAGTGCAAGAATTGACAAGTGGAATCATAAAAGTGTTTGTGTCATCATATAGTAGATAATTGCCAATTTGCCAGTTTTGTAAAGAGGGCACACAACTTAATTCAAATGGGTAGCATGAATATGGATATCCAAACAAACAGCTTAATTCTTGATAATTTATGTACAGTATTCAGGATACTAAAATATATGAATAGTGCTGTATTGAGCAATGGAAATGATAGATGATCATGGAAGCATACAGATGCAGTAGATCAGAAGTGTGTGTGTGTGTGTGTGTGTGTGTGTGTGTGTGTTTTAAAAAAGCATCAAAGTTGAATTTTGGGCTGTCTTCTCTACTGATAGCTATATAGCGGTCTGCACCCCTGTTGGTTTGCCTTGTTCAGCTCCATAATTTTATTAAATAACATTTTCAATCTGAAATCGTGCCTAATATCCCTTTTACTGCAATCACATTATCATCATCTAGGTGGCTATACTGGAGACATTTATTCCAATTCCAATTTGAAGAATAAAAATGATCTTTTTGAATACAAGCTTGCAACTGGTCAGTGGACTGAATGGAAGATTGAAGGAAGGTAAAAGCCTGTGCATCAGTGTAAACCTTTTAAAAGGAGATTGCTATTATACTATAGTGAATATGATTATAAAGCCTGCAAAGATACTTGCAATTTATTGTCCTTTAAAAAAAAAACATTAGTGCTAGTCAGCCAATAAACAACAGCAATTTTTGCACTGTTTAAATTCAGTAAACTCCACTCATGGAGTTTTTAGGACCCCACCCCCAGTGCTATGCACCACAGCCTAACCCATTCAGCAGGCTCCCTGACCCTCAAGCAGTAGCATAGTGTGGGGGCCCCAGGGGGGCAATGCCCCCATGCCCACCCATCAGCTGACAGGTGCCTGGGTGAGCGCAGAGAGTGCTCTTCACACTCTGTGCCCCTGCTCTGATCTGGCAGTGGTGAGAGCTGTGTTGGTGCGCTCCATCCCTGCTGGGGGGGGGGCAAGCACACGCTCCTGCACCCAGTGCCGGCAGACAGCACTTTGGCCCTGCCCTTGAGAGCCTTATGTGGGGACTGCCATGTTGTGAGTAGGGGGACACGAATGTTACCTTTTCCCTTCTTCTGGCATTTCTCTAGATCCAGTTCGTAAAGTTTAGATACTACTAACCACTTCTTTAGGCATCAAGGCACATATTGGGTGGTGGCGAGATATTCATTGGAAGTTTACTCAGTGGACTAATTGAAAATAATGGATCTAACTCAGATGTGTTCATTTATTTCATTGGGTATGTTCAGAGAAAAACTTAGTTGAATACCATGTATTGCCTTTATTATAAATGTGTGTTCACGTTGTCATGTAAAATGATCTGTTCTTATTTCAGATTACCTGTTGCCCGTTCAGCTCATGGTGCAACAGTCTATAGTGACAAATTGTGGATCTTTGCAGGATATGATGGGAATGCACGGTAGGTAGCATTTTTCTGGTCTCTTTTGGTTCACACACAATAATCCAGCTTCAGTGTTGCTAAATATGAAACAGGGTTTTTTGTCTTTCTGAGTTGTAACAAAAACTCTTCTCTCTTAGGACATCTGTGCTAGAGCCTACTGTTTTCTTAATTAGTATTTTAAGTTAAGAGTCGGACCATGATGATATCTAGAAACCTGTAGTTAATAAGACCTGATCTGGCATGTGTGCAGCTTATTGGGCAACTGAAACTGATGTGAAGGAAGATCAAATAACATGTTTAAAGTAGTTTTGAAATATGTTCACTGTTGGGAATTGATAATTCCCATCCTTTAGAGCCTCTTGTGCAGACAAGAACAAACTAGAAGTAATATACTTTGTGCCAAATGCCTTGCTAAGCACTTTTATTTATTTAAACATTAGAAACCACATTTTCATAACATACAGAAAGGCAGTGTAACTCATAAAATGAGGCGAGAGTATGAGTTCCACAGGACAAGGCTTGCCACACTGAAGGCTCATTTCCTAATAAAAGGCTTGCTGATGTCAGGAGTGTGGGGAGCAGCACAAAGGAAGTGGCTAATTCCGATACTGTCTCTCCATTTCATATTCCCCTCTCCCCACAGCTGCTTTTTGTAGAGGGAAAGGTGAGAGAGGTTTGTAGCATGCATGTTTCTGTAATGTCTAGATTGGTCTTTATTCAGTCTCCAAATTGGAAGGAATCTTATTATATATGTGAAAGCAGTAAAATATACTCCAGTCGGTTGTGATCAGCTTTTAAAGAGTATTTTAAAATTGATCTTTCCTCTTGATGCAGACTCAATGACATGTGGACCATTAGTTTACAAGACAGGGATTTAACTTGTTGGGAAGAGGTAAGAGGAATGGATATTTTAAAAAGTAACTATTCATTTTAATGCTTGATATAGTTTGTGTCACTTACCTGATCTAGAAAAGCTTAGTCTTGTCAGAACTAAATTCCTCGATAACAGTGCAGGTTAACCATTTCTCCAGAACACCCTGATGGCTTTGATATACATTTATAATGGAGCATTTGCCACACATTTTTTATTGAATCCAAGGCTCCACAAATTGTGGACTGGTTTGGGTTATCACAGAGCCATATCATAGAATCATAGAATTGTAGAGTTGGAAGGACCCCAAGGGTCATCTAGTCCAACTCCCTGCAACACAGAAATCTCAGCTAAAGCATCTAGGAGAGATGGCCATCCATTCTCTTCTTCCAAGTTCTTTGCACTTGCCAGAGAATTGGGGAAGAGGGAGCTTAGCAGCACAGCATGAGTAGCCTTTCTCTTCCCCCGCCTTCTTCATGTGGAGAGGAAGGTGTCTTTTAGTGCTGAGCAAGGGTTCTTGCTAGAGAACCATGGATTCAGAAGGCTGTTTGGATCATTCCCAGGTTGGAGAAAATATGGAATAGCATGCTTTTTAATTTTAATAAAAGGGGAGATGCATTCAGATGGACCCAAATAGCTTGATCCACCAATAGTTATTGCTTACATACTTTCAACATTTCTTCACAATAACAAGGGCTATGAACTTACTAAAGCTGAATGTTTTCAAAGCTTAAAACTTTTTCAGGATTCTGAAATCTACTCCTGCATATTTGCATGACCTAAACTCTTACATTTTCGTACAACTGAACACCTGTGCTGCTATCCTTCTCAGCTGATGTCTTTACTACTTAACTCAGTAGTTTAAGTTAAATAATGACTGAATTTTATATGTTTTGGTGTAGTAGTAAACAATGAATAGTTGAATTTGTCAAGAATATTCTTGATCCCTATGCTTCATTGTTACAATATAATTTATCGCCAACATTCAGTGCAAAAACAGTTATTGGCAATATCTTATTATTGAAGTCTCCAAAGTTTCAAACTTAGTTCATCATGTGACACTGATAGTAGAGAACCAATGTTCATAACTAGGTGTGTGCAGTTACTTCGATTCCACCTATGTATTTCCTGGTAGATTGTACCTTAAGTAAACAAGGCTGCAGTCCTATGCCTGCTTACATGAGAGTATACCTCGTTGACCTCAGTGGCTCATATTTCTTAGTGGATATGTATAGGATTGTATTGCAAGATATTAGTAAGGTTTGTGTTTTTAATACATTTGGGGCATGTTAACAATTGCATGGTTTGCTAAGAACATAGTTGTTGTATATGTTTTGTATATGTATATGTTTTGAGTGAGCAGTCCAAACTTGAAATTGACCTTTGACTTAATTTCAAGATGAAATATGGGCTATTTTGTGTTGCTGCTTTTCAGATTAAGCAAACGGGCGAGATTCCTCCTTCGTGTTGCAATTTTCCTGTAGCTGTTTGCAAAGAGAAGATGTTTGTCTTCTCTGGTCAGAGCGGAGCAAAGATCACCAATAATCTTTTTCAGTTTGAATTCAAGGAAAAAATGTGAGTATCAAAATACCCAACCCAAACCAAATTGTGCCTGAATTAAAAATAATACAGGAACAACCATTTTGTGCATGTTCAAAGCACATGTGATGGTGCATGTGTGTGTCATTTTTGGACCCAGACGAGGGTGTAAAAGGCAGAGCGGACTTATGCGTGCTCTGCCATCGCACGTGACAACCAGGAAGGAAACCCCCACTCAAATTGGGGGTTGCCTGTACTGTGAAATAGAAGCAGTTGAAGTATTTAATGTGATTTTTATAATGTGCCCACAAAATATTGGGGGGGGGGGGTTCAGTTCAATAGGAAAAAGTATGGAAATACTAATAAAAATGTAAAGGGGGCTGTAGCTGCAGCTGATTGTCATTTGGACAGGGTGGAGCAGTTTTAAGCCTCTTCTTCCTACCCCAGCACTGTGTCTGCTTTTATATTTTTTCTGCTCCCATCAAAGTTAGTGGGACCATGAGAGTATAAACACTTGTTTGGGTACTGAATTAGGCCCCCAGTTTGGGAGTAGCCATCCCTGCTTTCGTAGAATAATATTGTGAAATGACATCATGCATTGTTGATGCATTTGACACACCAGGTTGGGGCCAGAAATCCAGTGTAGCTCTCCTCGCCCATGAAGAACAAGGATTGTCGTTGCAGACTGCTCTTCTGCTCACTTGATATATATTGGGGCACTTATAATATATGCACCTACTAAAGTCATTTACTCAGACAAAAGCTTGTACTTCTTTCCCATATGTTGCAAATGTTTACATTTATTGCTTACAAACAAAATTCATTGTACTAATGCATTTAAAATAAGTTTAAAAGAAATAGCACAATCGTATGTCTGTTCAGAAATAATCCCACTGTATTCAGGATTGTCATTAGGATTGCAGTCTGAGTGAGTATTGCATTTTAGACAAGACAACAGATCCAAAACACGTAATATACACATAAAGAAAAGAGCTATAGAATTGATATCATACTACAGCTTGTGGTATGCTATGAGAATGAAAGATAACATAGTTGTGTATATGGATTCATGTATGTCTTTAGGGACTGAGCCACTAAAACCTTTTGTTTTCTACTTCAGTTGGACAAGAATTCCGACTGAGCATTTACTACGGGGCTCTCCTCCTCCCCCACAGCGGAGATATGGTCACACAATGGTTGCCTTTGATCGCCATCTCTATGTGTTTGGTGGTGCTGCGGACAACACATTGCCTAATGAACTTCACTGCTATGATGTAGATTCTCAGACATGGGAAGTTATCCAGCCAAGCCCAGATAGCGAGGTAAAAAAAAGGATCAAGATTTAAATCTGGTGTGGGGAACCTTTAGCCCTCCAAATGTTGCTGAATAACCCCCCAGAAAGTTGCCATCAGAGAAATGTGGTCTTTGGGTTGAAAAATCTCTGTTTTATATATTTGACAGATACAATGTCTGTTCATATTGTGTGTCTTTCCCCCGACCTCCCCTTCTAGCTGCCAACTGGAAGACTTTTTCATGCTGCAGCAGTCATCTGTGATGCAATGTATATCTTTGGTGGAACAGTGGATAACAACATTAGGAGTGGAGAAATGTACAGATTTCAGGTAACACGTTAAAACCACGTTCAAAGTTCAACCATTTCATCAACATTTCAAACAATGTTTTTTAAATAACTCATCTTGAAGCATGGCCCTGTGACCAGGAAGAGAGTGCCACATCTATGTCAACATTCATATCCATAACAATAGCATTAGGCAGCTCTCCAAAATAGTTGCCAGTATGAGTTTGCACCCATATGAATAGAAAACAAAGATACTTAAATGTAACAGGAGCTTCATATTATTTTTTGCTGCACCTGGCTGATATATGCAAACTTCCCTGCCAGAGCATATATCCTTCTACCTGAGCACATGGCATCTCATCATAGAATCACAAGTACGTCATGGAAATGTGTTATCCTCTGCCTGCTTAGCAAAAACCTGATTTGCAAATATAAGAAGTGATGTGGGTGGCTGCTTGAACACATCTATTCTGAGATGGCTCAGTGCATCAAGCTGTTCATGTGAAATACTTTTATTCTAGCTATTCATATATTCCTGATTTATTTATTTTTTTGTATATTTGTGTTGATGTATGTTGAAATTCACTAATACTACACACATTTAAGATAGCTTTCCATGCAGAGTTGCCCCCACTTGGTTATATTTCAAGTGGCCACCTATACCGCTGTTGGCACCTGTGAATTAGGCCTGGATGCTTCTTTCGCACTGCTCCTGTTCAAATGTTGTAAGTCATTCTACAGCTGGCTGATATATACTGCAACAATACATTGGTTCCAATGGCAACTTTAATAATTACACTTTCGTAATACGGCAACGCAACGACAGAACTTTTCCATTTCAGACTTTTAACAGAACTTCAACTCTCATATTTTCAGTTTTCTTGTTATCCCAAATGCACTTTACATGATGACTATGGAAGACTGTGGGAAAACAGGCAATTCAGTGACCTTGAATTTGTTCTTGGAGAGGTGAGTGTGTTCTAATGGAAACGTTGAGCAGAAGTTCTTTCCTTCCTGGCTAAAGAGATACAGTTGTGATACAATACTACATCAGATACTTTTAATTATATACAGTACTTTGATGGAGAGGGAGAGAAACAGATGTTGCAAATTGGCTTTTTATGTGCTTTTTCACTGAAGAGTTTTCTCTATGTATAGGTTATAAGGGTATGATAGGTTATATATAGGTTATAAGGTATGATAGTGCCATATTCCACTGTTATTTAGGAAATAGGGAAACGGAGTAGCACATTGAGTGAGGTCCAGTCAGAGTAGACCCATTGAACTTAAGTTCATTGATTTTTGTGGATATACTTGCAGTATGCTTAACTGGATATTGCCTATTATCTCTGCTTGTCACTTTTTGTACCCCTGGTTTCAGGATTTTAAAGTTGCCAGCAAGAATATGTTAACGTTTGCATGATATCAACATGGATGGTGTAATATTGATGTTGGAAAATATTGAAATAATGTTAGGTTTATACTAGCTATTGCACATCTGTAGCAATCTCCTCATTTTGTACAGGTACCTCCCCATTTCGCACAGTTGGCATGTACGTGACCGCTGATGCACATGCCATTTTTGGCACTGCAAAGGGTCAGCACGTGGCGGGCTTATGGGCCTTGGAACATAACTCCCATGTAAATGGGGAATTGCATGTATTTAAAATGAAAATAAGGGTGTTTTTTGCTGTGTCATCAGTTGTTACTGCAGCAAGTTAAAAGATTTTAAAATTCAGCTATCTGTCAAATCTTATAACTGTCAAAGAATGCAGTTCTTTTTCTCTCAACTGTTTGACAGAAGGAAGAAAGAGTGCGAGGACATACAGCCATTGTCACAGCCCGCTGTAAGTGGCTCAGGAAGAAAATTACACAGGCAAGAGAGAGATTGAAGCAGGTATGATTTGCTGAGAAGGTTTCCTTGTGGGACGATTAGCTATTATAGCCGTCATTGTCGTGGCATGCATTCTGAAAAACATTTTGAAGAATTGATTCTGTGGTTAATCTCATGACTTCCAGATTTGCAGTTTCATTGACATGGCACAGCACTATCTATCAAAAAGGGTGACACATTATTTCTAAGTACCTACATGAGTTTGTCTTGATAAATTGAAAGACAGAGGCTGTCATTGGATTCCGTTAACCTGGATGAGCACATATGTCAGAATTGTTTGTTTTGTTTAAGAAACAGGGTGTTTTAGGTCAGGGATAGCTCACGTGATTACCTGAATGCTGTTGGACTATAACTGTCATTATCCCTGCACATTGGCCATTCTGGCTGGGGCTGATAGGAGTTCTAGCCTAACAACATCTGGAGAGCACAACATTGGTGACCCCATTCTAGGTTTTTAGTGCCGAAGTTACGTTAAAAACAAAAGTTGGTTTGCCTGATATTATCTGTACATGGTTAAATGCATGAATGCTTTTGGGGTGCTGTTATGCTGTAAGATTGCCCAGATGGTTCAGTCTTTCCTTGTTCCCATTGTGATGTTAGAAATCTAAGCAAGATGTTGATGAAGAAGGAGAAGGGACACCCCAGATGGAGACAGCAGGCAACAATGTCAAGCTGTGCCGCCTGCAGCCGCTGCTGGAGGTGACCATCCGGGAAGCTGAAGCCCAGCCTTTTGAGGTGCTCATGCAGTTCCTGTACACCGACAAAATCAAATACCCACGCAGAGGTAGGGTAGCAGAATGGCTTCCTAGGAGAAGAAGTGTACATTTTCTGTCTCAGCCTCTTTCAGAGTTTCTTCACATAATAACTATGTAGTTTCAATCCATAAACACATTGTTATTTATCTGTGCTTCAACGGCATTTTCATACTATGCTAGTAGAGCCCAATTAAGTTGTTCTTAATATTGGAACAGGGAACCTTTCCCTGCCTGCTGTCACACTGTCTTCAGTACATTAAATTAAATTATTTTTTAATATATATTTTTGTGTTGTACAGGGCATGTGCAAGATGTATTGCTAATCATGGATGTGTACAAATTGGCCCTTAACTTCAAACTCTCACGATTGGAACAGCTGTGTGTCCAGTATATTGAGGCCTCAGTCGATCTGCAAAATGTGCTTGTTGTGTGCGAAAATGCGAACAAACTTCAGTTAGATCAGCTAAAGGTAGGTGTGTGCAAGACTATGAATAACATTTCATTTAAAAACCCTAGTCCAAATAGAACCAGCCTGATTGGTTAAATCCCATTCTAGAATATTCTGAGGGAGAAAAGACTTGCTGGTAGATTCTTCAAAGATAACTTGCAGGAGAAATATGACAGACTTGTGTTTTTCTTGAAGTGGTGGTGGTTCTTCAGATGACAAGCAACTATTTGTTTCCTTTAGGAACACTGCCTGAATTTTGTAGTAAAAGAATCCCACTTTAATCAAGTAATAATGATGAAAGAATTTGAACACCTTTCCTCAGCTTTGATCGTGGAGATAGTACGAAGAAAACAGCAACCTCCACTTCGAACACATTCCGATCAGCCTCTTGATATTGGTAACGCACCTTCCTTCCTGAATGAAATATAGTTTGTGGTTCTTGAGGAATGTAAATAATGACCCAGATCCTGAACATGACTGTCTCCAGTTGTTGCTGTCATTTAGTTCTGCTTGCACAACTACTTTAACTCTTTCAAGAGTTGATAGAGGGATGTAGAACTAAATTCAGTAAAAAAGTTATTTTGAAATAAAATGTATCTTAAGAGGATAGTGTAGTGGCACTTTGTAGTTTTTAGTGGGGAGAGAATGGAAATCTGATTGTTGGCTAGCTCTTATTGATGGTCTGACAAGAGGTTACCATCCACTAAAGGGTCATGAAGACCAGAGACCCTGTTGCTGGTCTTAGTAGCTGGGTTGAGTAATGGTGTAACTTTTACTCAGATTGAGAGCTGGAGTACCTATCAGTATCTGGTTCTGCATACATACAGTGGTGCCTCGCAAGACGAAATTAATTCGTTCCGCGAGTTTTTTCGTCTAGCGAATTTTTCGTCTTGCGAAGCACGAAATCCCATAGGAATGCATTGAAATCCAATTAATGCGTTCCTATGGTCAAAACAAGTCCAAACAAAGCCAAATTTGGTACAACAAGAGTTTATTAAGTGCTCTTTAAAGTCACACATACTGTAAAGAGCATTTCAAAAATTGAAGGAACAATAAATTAAGTTTCTAAACATGACAGGAAAAACATTTAAAAATCAAAAAAGGGTACATTACATTTTCTAAGACTCTGGGGGACCACTCGAAGAAGGTTCCTCTTCCACTCTTTGCTTCTTGCTTAAGAACCTGTCCATGGTCTGCTGCTTCATCCGCCTTTTCAGCACCTCCCTGAAAGACGACATGACCCTTGTATCAAAACTGTTCGCAAGGTCACGTGTCACGTGCTTGTTAGGGTGGTTCCGCTCTGCAAAAGCCTGCACATCCTTCCACTTCAGGCAAATGTCCCTCAGTTCTTTGGAGGACAGCCGTTCCTCAGTTGCTTCCTCCTCTTCCAGCGAGGCCTGCTCCTGCGCAGCCTCTGCCTGCAGTTCGACCAGCTCCTGGGTGGTCAGCTCGTGGTCGTGCTCCTCCACCAGCTCGCTGACGTCCTCCTCTGTGACCTCCAGGGCCGGGGTCCTCCCGCAGGCAACAATGTCCTGCACCACTGTTGACTCTGGTGCATCAGAGTCACTTGGTGCCACACAGTCCGGCCACAGGCTGCGCCAAGCGCAATTCAAATTTCTCTGGCTGATCCCTTTCCAGGCCGTGGTGATCATCTTCAAGCAGGTGACGATGTCGAAGTGGTCCTTCCAGAATTCCCGCAGGGTGATGGTGGTGCAATCAGTCACCTCGAAGCATCGCCTGAAAAGCTCCTTGGTGGAGAGTTTTTGAAATTGGCGATGACCTGCTGATCCATCGGCTGGAGCAGTGGCGTGGTGTTAGGCGGCAGGAACATGATGTTGATGAAGCTGAACTCCTCCAACAAGTCCTCCTCAAGGCCTTTAGGATGAGCAGGAGCATTGTCCATCAGAAGCAAAGCCTTCAGCGGCAGGTCGTTGTCCAGCAGGTACTGTTTGACAGCAGGGCCAAAAGCAAGATTGACCCAGTCCACAAACAGCACACGTGTGACCCAAGCCTTGCTGTTGGATCGCCACATGACACTCAGCTGCTCCTTGTCGACCTTGTGTTTCTTGAAGGCCCGTGGGTTCTCCGAGTGGTACACCAGCAGGGGCTTGATCTTCAGGTCGCCGCTTGCGTTGGCACAGAAGAGCAGGGTCAGACGGTCCTTCATGGGCTTGTGGCCAGGCAACTTGGCCTCCTCCTGAGTGATGAAAGTCCTTTTGGGCATCCTCTTCCAAAACAGCCCGGTCTCGTCGCAGTTGAAGACCTGCTGTGGAACGTAGCCCTCCGTCTTCACAACCTCCAGGAACTCCAAGGCAAAGTCTTCAGCCGCAGGAACATCAGAACTGGCAGCCTCTCCATGCCTGACCACGCTGTGGATTCCGGATCTCGTCTTGAACCGGTCAAACCAGCCTCTGCTTGCCTTGAAGACTTCTGGCTCGCCTGAGGTTCCTGGCTGTTCCCGGATGAGGTCTGCGTGCAAGGCCTTGGCCTTCTCACAAATCACGGCCTCAGTCACTGTGTCCCCTGCACGCTGCTTCTCTTCTATCCAGATGAGGAGCAACTTCTCGACCTCCTCCAGAACAGCTGGGTGGTTCTTCACGATCCTGGTGACTCCCTTGGCTGCATCAGTCGCAAGGATCTTCTCCCTCATCTTCAGGATGGTGCCGATGGTCGATGGGTTCCTGCCGTACTCCCTGGCGAGGTCCGTCACACGCATTCCACCGTCGTGCTTCCGGATGATCTCCTTCTTCATTTCCAGCGTCACCTTCTCCTTCTTCCTCTCGCCGGCCTCTGCAGCAGCAGTCTTCTTGGGTCCCATGGCAGCACAGCTCCTAGCTTCGTAAACTCAGAAAAGAAAAAAAATCAGTGATTCAGACCCAAAAAATTCAAAAGCACCCAGCCACCCACCACACAGGAATTCAAACCCTGAACCAAGTCCTTGAATTCCAAGCACCCAACCCAAAATCCAAAACCCCCCAAAAAAGTTTTAAAAGTTTAACTTAACTTACGAAATGGCTGCAAATCACCAAAGTCTTCAAAATCCTCAAATGGCTGCAAAGAAGTTTTGGAAAAGCTGTAAATACACCAAAGTCTTCAAAAATCTCAACTGTTCCCCCAGCCACCCACCCACCACACAGAAATTGCAAACCCCTCCCCAACTGCTCCCCCAGCCACCCACCACACAGAAATTCAAACTCAGAATTTTTTTTTGAAAAAAAACAACATGGCCCAATGGTCACAGAAAATCATAAAAATTCCAAAAAAAACCACACAAGCTCCCAGATTCTTGCAAACCCCTCCTGAACTGTCCCCCAGCCACCCACCACACAGAAATTCAAACCCAGAATTTTTTTTTTTAAAAAAAGAAAGTGCCCCAATGATCACAGAAAATCATAAAAATGCAGAAAAAACCACACAAGCTCCCAGATTCTTGCAAACCTCTCCCCAACACCAAGTCCTTGAATTCCAAACACCCCAACCCAAAATCCAAAACCCCCCCAAAAAAGTTTTAAAAGTTTAACTTACCAAAGAGCTGCAAAAGAAGTTTTGGAAAAGCTTCAAAAATCGCCAAAGTCCTCAAAAACCTCAGAAAAGGCTACCACACCGCGTGCAATGTGTTGCTCCTCGAAGTCAAGTCGCAACTGCACCTCTTCCAGCAATGCACCCTGGGTATTAACGGTTTTACGAAAAAGGAAACAAACTTGCAAGACGATTTCGTCTTGCGAAGCAAGCCCATAGGGAAATTCGTCTTGCGAAGCGCATCGAAAAACGGAAAACCCTTTCATCTAGCGAGTTTTCCGTCTTGCGAGGCATTCGTCTTGCGGGGCACCACTGTAGTTAGTCCCATAGCATTTTATTGCATAATGCTGGTAGAGGGCTGTCCTTAAAATAAAACTCAATGGCTTGCTGAAGAGAATCATTTGACCAAACTATAGGATAGGAAAGAGTGAAACTCTTAGATACCACTTTTCTGTTTGCAAATTCTATTTTTAAGCCGTGCAAATCCCCCTCATTACTGATGGTGATCAATTTGGTTGATTTGAGGTGATTATCTCTCAACACCCCTAGCAGTTATGCTAAGGAGGATCACAGTGTACTCTCCTATTTAACATCTACATGAAGCTGTTGTGAGTGGTCATTAGGGGATCTGGAGTGAGGTGTCATGAGTGTGCTAATGGTTCCAGTTCTTTTTCTCTTGCAAAATGTGGTGGCTTCCTGCCATCATATTACACCACTTCTGAAAGAATTTCGCTGGTGGCCAGTTAGTTTCCCGGCTAAGTTCAAGATGTTGGTACAAAGCCCTAAACAGCTTGGGACCAGATACATAAAAGACTCCTTACATACCCAATCAATTGGGGGCATCCTGCAAATACAGTGGTACCTCGGGTTAAGTACTTAATTCGTTCTGGAGATCCGTACTTAACCTGAAACTGTTCTTAACCTGAAGCACCACTTTAGCAAATGGGGCCTCCTGCTGCTGCCACGCCGCAGAAGCACAATTTCTGTTCTCATCCTGAAGCAAAGTTCTTAACCTGAAGCACTATTTCTGGGTTAGCGGAGTCTGTAACCTGAAGCGTATGTAACCTGAAGTGTATGTAACCCGAAGTACCACTGTACAATCTCATCAGGAGGTCTGTTCTAAACAGCGTTGAAATCCAGCCTTTAGTCTGGTGGCACCTACCCTTTGGAACTCCCTCCCCCGCCCGCTTCATATCAAAGAGGCACTGTTTGTTGTTTTTTTCAGTTCCTGTTGAAAACTTTCCTCTTTCACAAAACCTTCTAAGTGGAGATTTTTATCCCAGACAGTGTCTGTATTGGCTTTGAAACTGTTTTATATATATAATTACTGTTTATATACGTGCAGTTGTTTTTATATGTGGTTTTTATTGTATTGTGAAGCCACTTTGAGATACTTCATAGGTAGTTAAATGAAATAAGTACTAATAATTTTGGACTAAATTTTCCTTTAATAATGTGATATTTTGCTTGCTTCCTCCCTCAAAGGAAAGCAGTATACAACTGTGACTCATTATTATTATTACTTATTTTATTTTATTTTATTTATTTTATATACTGCCCTATACCCAGAGGTCTCAGGATGGTTCACAGAAAATATCAAAGATTCATATTCATTTGAACTATACATTGATCCGTACTTGTGTGTTACATTTATTCTCTGTATGTTCATGTTCAGGAACCTCATTGATTCAGGATATGAAGGCCTATCTGGAAGGTGCTGGACTAGAATTCTGTGATATAACTCTACTCTTAGATGGTCACCCAAGGCCAGCTCATAAAGCTATTCTTGCAGCCCGCTCCAGGTATGTTCACTTAGATGTTTTATTATGTTTTTGTATATGCTGGAAGCTGCCCAGAGTGGCTGGGGTAACCCAGTCAGATGGGCGGGGTGCAAATATTAACATTATTATTAATTATTATTACTAGATCAGTCATTCAGTGGTACAGAGTTATACTTTCAGCTGTTGGGGCTTTACTTCCTCCTTTCATTTCTCTTAGGTTTCTGTTTCCTTTCTGTTCTCCTTGTTTCTTTTATGGCATATAGAAGTGAGTTCCTGAATGGAGTTCCGCTGCTGTTGGAATGGGGATCTCTCTTGATGTGTTATGGATATTGAATACACAGTGCAAAACAGATTTGATGTCCAGGAACATCAGAGATCCATGTTAAAATAATTGTGTCCTCTGCCCCGGTTTGGATGTTGTCTTATATGCAGAGATTGGGGGGCTGGGGGGAGTATAAAAAGCTGAAATCTGCTCCTGTTCTCACAATCAGGAGTAATGTCAAACAGTCCCTAAGAAAGATAGTATCTTACCATAGCCTTTAAGATGCCACAGTGCTATTGCTTTTGCTGCAACATACTAACCAGGCTACCTCTCTGGAAAGCATAGATAACTTTGATCGTAAAATTGACTGGATACCTGTGCCACTGCCACACTTAAACTACCAACTTTTAATGGAATGTTTTGCTAAGAGAGGTTGCAGAAATTATTGGGGAATGAGAAATACAAAAGTATTTTTCCCCCCTCTGGGATAGGCAACTTAGTGTGTTGCAGGGGAAACAACACTGTCTTGTTGCACCTTAAAAGATTAGCATATTTATTACAGTGGAACCTCAGGTTACGTACCATCCTCCTTATGAGCGCTCCAGGTAATGAGCTCCACTAACCCGGAAGTAGGTGCTCCCGGTAGCGAGCTTTTCCCCGGGATGCAATCAGAAGTCGTGCGGCAACGGGAAGCCCCATTAGCGAAAGCACAGCTCAGGTTAAGAATGGTTTTGAGTTAAGAATGGACCTCTGGAACAAGTTAAGTTCGTAACTGGAGGTACCACTGTATAGTGAAAGCTTTTTTGGACCTGAGTCCACTTCAACGGGTGTTTGATGTAAATTGGTCAGCTTATGCACACATGTGGGGAAGAGTGAAGTTAGAGGGGAACCAAATGCAAAAAGAATATTAAGAATTATGTAAAAGCAAAATGGATAAAGTGGCAATTGACAAGACAGTGTTGGTTATAACACAAACATCCTGGCACTGGTAAGATAATCAACACATTGTGATAAAAATCCATAAGGTTGTATCTAAAGCAACGCTAAATAACTTATTGCATGAGTCGAACAACAGATTTGTAGACGGCACAGGGGAAGGATGAGGGCATTGTTCAAGCCACATTGTTCAAGTGGAAGTCATTCTGCTTATGCAGTCATTTAGTTTGAAACCACCCACTTTCTGAAGTCAAGCTACAAGGGACAGCATTGAATTTTTTGAAGAATTGTAATACGGCATAAGCTTTCATAGAGCAGAGACTACTTTATAGATGCATGTAGTATAATCCTAAAGCAAATTTGCTGAAGGAAAGTATAGGGAAATAGATTATTAAGAAATAAATTTAGAAATGCTAGTTAGTTGGTACGCATTAATCATTGTTTGTTCAAGACATGATATGGGATGTGTTTCTGAAAAAGCTTGTTAAAATTCTGCATTTTGATAAGCCTAGACTTAAGCAATTTAATATATAAAAGAGGTATTTAGAAATGCCTTAGGCCTCCCACCATCCACTTTTTTTCTTGCTGGCTAAAAATTAGTGAAACAATCTTATGAAAAGCAGACAGTAGCAGAAAAATGCCTTAATTATTTTGGCTGACCCTGTTTCTTCTTGCATCACCACATTTGCATTTTTTCCAGTTACTTTGAAGCTATGTTTCGTTCTTTTATGCCAGAAGATGGGCAAGTTAATATTTCAATAGGTGAGATGGTTCCAAGCAAACAAGCATTTGAGTCTATGCTAAGATATATTTATTATGGTGAAGTGAACATGCCTCCTGAAGATTCTCTGTATCCTTTATCTGACTATATAGGCTGGATCTATTTCCTTGATACTTTTATTAAAATGTACTTAATATTTTAGTGTTTCCAGTTCACACATTTTTCTCAGCTATAAATATGCAAAAACCATACTGAGGTGAACAGTAATTATTTGTCAATGAATATGTTGTACATCTAGGCTAAGTCTTTGAATGAATCTTAAAGGGTATAATAGGATTTTGGGGAAAGGGCTAGCTTTGCATAGTCAAACGGAACAGTAAATAGAGTATGTTTTTTGTGAGCATTAACCTAAAAGCTCAGATGAGTTCATTTTTCTTTTGTCTCTCAGCATATTCCAAACACAGTTAAGACTGGAGAATCACTGAATATTTGCTGTGGTTCTCCCATCTGGTGTAAAAATATAGGGTAGTTTTCCCAGGGCACCTTTCCCATACTTTGTATAGATTATGATATTCCTTAGTGCTGTTCCTGGCCAAAATCCTTGGACAGACAAACAGATAGTTTCAGTTTAGGAAGCCAGTTAGTTGGCAGTTTACTATAAGAATTGATCCTCTTCAAGGACACTAGTTCTGGTTTTTTGTTCCATTTTTTGCTTATTCTGTCTCTTCAGAATGTTTGAGTTCACAGAAAACCTGGAAACAGCAGCTGCATATATAGCATGGTTGATGTGGCAGTGCTATGCATGGCCCAGAGCCAAAGACAACTTTCAAGGAGGCAGCCAGCAGCAATTATAACAATAACACATTAGAGAGAATGCAGCAGACAGAGGTCAAATCTCTGTTCATCCTTATTGCCATTCCATTTAGGTTTATGGTACCTCTGTTCCTTGCAACTTGAAACATGAATTCTCTTTAACTGGCTTTTTTAGCTACCTCTTTGCTGCCCCTTATTATTATGGATTCTACAATAACCGACTCCAGGCATATTGTAAGCAGAACCTAGAAATGAATGTTACTGTGGAAAACGTGCTCCAGGTACTTATTACCACCTAATCAGGAACTAACTGTAATTACAATTACAATTAATAACTGTGATTACAATTAGCTCCTAACGTATTTTTTTCTATGGAAACTTGTCAAATAAAAGACCCATAAATTTTTGTCTTGGAGGTTTGTAAGATGAATTCACATTCCCAGATGAACATTACGGCCACTGCCTAAAGAGGGTTAAATGCACTCCTTCCCGTAGAAAACGGTGCGTAGATTGGGATTGCATCCTACTGGCCCCATGGTGTAAAGACACCCTACAAAGTGGCTAAATCCTTAATATATTTCTACAACAGACTTGAACTGATTCAGTATCATAGGAATTGCCCCAATTACTATTTTATTTTCTAAAGTTTTGTTTTTTTAAAAAAGTTTGTTTGTTTGTTAAGTTTTATGGAATGGCCCCAATTACTTTATGACTGCCATAAGTTTAAAAATGGAGGGTGCATAATCAGTATCTAGTTCTATGCTGTTTTCTGCCTCAAATACAAGAAAACACGAAAATCCTGGGAGCGATCCTATACACAAGAAGCTGGCATAAAGCAAGCCTGGTGTAAATTAAGCCGGTGCAAATACACTAGGATTCAAACTCATTTCAGGAGTCGGGCTACAGCTGGCTGAGGCAGCCTAAGCCTAGCAGAGGGAGAACAAGCTTTTAAAATAGTGTGTTACAGCACCCTTTTGATGGCCTAATTTACACTCAGTTGCCAGTTTCCTTGACTGAGCTGTATGCAACTCCCCTTTCTCAGGGCTTACATTGGCTTAAGAGTCACTGGGCTTGGCTCAGCCAGCTGGGTCCTGATTCAGCCAAGTTCGGGGAGTTCTGTTGGTGTCTCAGTACCTGAGCTGAGGATGAGGAAGCCAGTGTAGCCTGTCTGTACTGGGAACCTCTCAGCACAGCTGGAGATCTTTTGGACCCTAATCCTACTCACCCCAGTGGATCTTACAATAGGATTGCACCATTAATCTATAAAGACTGCTCTTAAACAATTAAACATTTAAAGTGGTTTGGTTTGTTGTTGTTTTTAACATAGTAAAAATGTAGAAACTCTGTTTCAGATTTTAGAGGCAGCTGACAAGACCCAGGCTCTGGATATGAAGAGACACTGCCTGCATATCATTGTTCACCAGTTCACCAAGGTTGGTTGGATGTTTTCTTGGGTTCTGGGCATCTGCTGTCCCCTTTCACTGCCATGGTTGAAAACAGCTTAAGGTAGTCCTCCATTTCATTCTTGTTCCTCCCTTTGGACTGTGTGCTATGCTTTTATAACTTGTCTTTAACACTGATAAATATATAGTCACTAACATGATTTTTACATGTTTGTGGTTGTGTTTTCCATTTCTTCAGTGCCTCTTTACCTTTTATTTGTTGTCTTCTTAAATACTGACTGTTCTATGTACCTTGTTTCCATGTGTTTCATTTAGCCCTATATCATAAAAGTTACTTTCTGGTAATGAATGTAAATAGAACTCTCAGTTTTCTATTCCAGGGAAAAGATCTTCTGCAACTTTGCAAAATGCTATTTTCGTGGAATTGCAATATACTTTTGTGTTGGTCAAGATTAAAAAAAAAAAAATCTCTGAAACTATTCTGATAATCTAAGGAGACTTTAGATATGTGTTTCACAAGCAGGAGCTCTGCCACCCACCCCCAGACACACAGCATGACAACCTGCTCTTGAAATGCAGGGAATGTGATATGTCATAGAAAGGTCACCTGCTCAAAGGAACGAATCCTCAAAATTCCATATTGCTACCTCTAGCCCCTTTCAAGAGCCCAATAAGGATGAAGAAGTGCATAACATTTAACAGCAGTGGAGCTGATTTGAAGTACCTTTGCAGTGTTTAATCCAAACATGCCTTTTCTTTCTCAGGGTTTTTTTTTGTGGGGGAAGAATCTACAAGGCTGTAGTAGAAGCTGTTGTGCATTGGGCTGATGGGCTAGTGTCTGTGATGTCACTAAGAAACTGCCTGTCCAACCGCAGACCAATTATATATATATTTAAAAGCCTGTCTTCTAACTTTAAATTAAAAATTATTGGATAAACATTGTTGGTCCACACCTGTCATCTCCGTTGCAAAGCCAGCAAGAACCCAAGCTTCCACTGTGGCTCAGACTATCCTTGTATTATTATTATTATTATTATTATTATTATTATTATTATTATTATTTAAAGAAATCTAGCTCTTTGTAGGTTGGCCATTTTCTTTGAATTATTTACATTTTTACAGTGTTTTGAAATATTTATAAAACCTCCTTCTATTGACTTCTGAAAAATATCATAAAATGAGTTCCAGAAACACCCTCTGCTTAGTTGCAGAAAGATAAAAACTAGAAGAGACTAAGGGAGATGCTTTTTTTGGGGGGGGGGGGGAGGTTCCATCTTCACCAAACCTGCTTGCTTAACAAGTAAAAAGTGTTTCATTATGTTGGAATTCTGTTTTCTGAACAGATCAGTTTTATTAAGCTAAAGAAAGGTTGGTTTTTTAAGAATAAAGCTTTATGCCTCATTACAAAATCTTGTTCAGAGTATAGTAAGTGTTAAATCGTGTGCCCCCGGAGTTTTATGTTCTGTTATTTCTTTGTGTTGGAGACCTAACTGTCCAGGACAATGCAGTACCTTTTTTCCTCCTTGATAAATGGCAGATTTCCACCAATGTTAACAGCACTACTCTCTTTTATCCCTTGATAATGCTATTGTCCCCTTTTTGGGGACCTTTAAAGTCAAATACATATGCTGAGCGTATAATAGATTCCTGAAATAGAATTTTTATATATGAATAAGCCAATGTATTGTAATCTTAGTGAAAAGCCTTTTCCACCCTTGATGCAGAAATTGGTGGACGAAACTAGCAATATTTAATGGTCAAGAGGGTATTATGAGTTTCTTGTGATTTCAGTGGCGGGGTTTTTTTTGGGTAAAGCTTTTTATTATAATGTATAGAAAACACAGTATAATTATAACAACAGAAGAACATTAAAAGTTGAAAAACAAAGCTATAAAATAAGCAAGTAGAATGAGTAGTTGCATGTGAGTTAAAATAACAAAGTCCAAGTAAAGACACTTGTGATTTCAGTTTGAGATGCAGAATGTGTTATTACTTGACACATACCCACACTCTTTTATTATGAATATTAGGTATTGACACATAATAAAAATGCAACATGTTTTTGATGCTGTTTGCTTGCTTGCTTGCTTGCTTACTTTAGAAGTGAGATTGTACTGTCTACTAGGAAAAGTATGGCTGTTGCTCAGAATTTAAAAGGAGTCAATTAAAAGCAAGTCTGTTGCAAGTGCTGTGGCCTTTTGAAACTCTGGTTGCAAATGACACCAGTGTGAGGACTTTTTAAAGTAGGGAAAAGAATACAAAGTTTCAAAATACAAGGGTGCACACTTTCTTCTTTAAAAACAAAAAACAAAACCCTACAGAATCTTTTATGTTGGTTCCAATATTTAATTTTGAGATGTTTGGAAACCTAATCCCTGACTATGTAAATATGCTGGTACACAATGCTTAGTGGTCTTGTGTGTATGTTTTTGAACAAATTAAGTGCTGTATTATATTAAAATGCTATAAACTAAAAATAAAAATGTACCTGTACAAACAGGATACAATGAGGCTGAAAGAAGGCATTACAAAACTTGTCCATATGCCCTTGACGTTCATCAGCTCCAGCACAGCTGTGTGAGCTAGGGATGATTAGAGTTGTAGTCCAAAACATTTGTAGGGCATCAGATGGGCATGGGCTGTGGTGCCTACAAAATAAACAAATATCATTTTTATTATTCTATGTGTTTCAAACATTGTTGTGTTACAGTGAAAACTAATTCCCTCCCCCTCTTTTTTTTCCTCTTGAAGGTTTCGAAATTGCCAAACCTTCGGTCCCTCGGTCAGCCTCTCTTACTTGACATCATAGAATCATTAGCAAATCACATATCAGACAAGCAATGTGCTGAACTTGGCTCAGATATCTAATATTTCCCGTATTCTTCATATTGCACTTTTTCTTCAAGAGATGGCACTTTTCCTACCTGTACCACCAGTCTCTGTCTAACCTTTGTTACCATTCCACGTTGATCTGGTGAAGAACGTCCTCAAAGCATGAAAACCTTTGAATGTGTGAAAGGTAAATTTGAACCTGAACCTGACCACAGGGATGCAAAGAGAAGATGATACGACAGTTCTCAGGCATGTTGGCACTACTAAGAAACAAGCCTGATACAAATATTTACTTAACTTTATTACTGATAATGCCTCTTTGATTCTTTGTCCTTGAGAGCATCACATTTGAACCACGACAAGATGGTTTTATCGAAACACAGAAGTTGCTTCCTTTTCCCATCAGTACACTTCTGATGCCTGGCACATTTAATCAGGTGGACTGAGATATAGAAGCTGAAGGAAAAATGATTCAGTGCCTGATGGTTTCAGGTAATTATGAATGCAGTGGAGCAGCCAAAACTGTGTTCTGCTTCTCCGTCAGTGTAACAAGTCACTACATGGAGCATCTGTTGACAAGGTGCATCTAGCATATATTTGTTAAGTCGTAGATGTTTTTCCTTTCCCAGCATCTAAGCAGATGTCACCAAAGGCTCTTTTCAAAACAATGTTATACCTTTCATTGTGTCAGTTTGTAGTTTAAAGGTTGAATATACTTTCTGAAGAGCGGCAAAAAAATGTAAATGTATATTGGAATGTGGTGTACTCTCGAAAGCCTTTGACGCAATCTTTTAATTAGGGAACATTAATGCCTGATATTTTGCACACTTAAGTTCTCAGTATACCTTGAAACATTCACATAGAAATTGATCAAATAAAAGTTGTCTCCTTGTTTGTCTGCATTTTTTTTTTTAAATATGTGTTTTCATTAGCAACCTCAACATTCCCCCGCCCACAAAGGGAGTATAGCTGAATTGCTGGCTTGCTTTCCTTTTGCTTGCTTCTCTACTCTCACTGTACTGCTTTTGGAAACAAAAATGTATCTGAATAAAGCAGACCTTTCAATTAACTAATAGAGCATGTTTTGCAGTTGAATCAAAATGTCAGTTACAAGTTTCAGTAACAGAGGCATGCACAGGTATGCCATATTGGAGAACTCAGAAGGTGATCTCAGGGTCCGGGTAGGTTCATATGGAAATAGGTATCTTGAGGTATTGTGGTGCTGAGCCGTTTAAGGCTTTATAGGTCAAAGCCAGCACTTTGAATTAGGCCCGGAAACTAATTGGTATCCAGTGCAGTCAGACCAGGATCGGTGCAATATGCTCAAACCGTCTTAATTCTGCACAGGCTGAAGTTTCTGAACCACCTTCAGAGGCAGCCCTATGTATAATGCATTGAAGTTATCTAACTTTGAGGTTACCAGAGCATAGACAACAGTAGTTAGGCTATCCCTGTCCAGATAGGGGTGTAGCTGGGCCACCAGCCGAAGCTGATGGAAGGCACTCTGGCTCACTGAGGCCACCTGACCCTCGAGTGACACCAATGGATCCAGGAGTACCCCCAAGCTATGAACCTGCTCCTTCAGAGGAAGTGTAACTTCATCAAGAGGCAGGCGATCTCCCACCCTCCTGGTCTGGGGAACCACCCGCTAACAGTGCCTCAGTCTTATCTGGAATGAGTTCCTGTTTATTGGCTCTCATCCAGTCCATTTCAGAGACAAGACACTGGTCCAGAACTTCCACTGCCACACCTGCAGATGTAAGGAGAAACAGTGCTGAGGGTCATCAGCATACTGCTGGCAACGTACTCTGAACCTCCGGATAACCCCACCCATCAACCTGTGAGAGAGATAACTTATTATCCAGTTGTAACCATTACTTGAGCAAAGCACTTATTTTTAATAGTGGGGTTTCCACTAGATCTGACTGTCATCCATGCCAAGGTGACTGGCTCTGGAGTGATTCTGCTGAAAACTAGCAGGGAGGTCACAGCTGGCTAGGCAGGGAGATGATGAATGCCTCCTTGTGAGCGGGAGTAGTCCCTGCCTGCTTGAAGGAGGCAGTGGTAAAACCACTCCTCAAGAAACCCTGGACTTGGAAAATCTAAGTAACTACTGGCCAGTTGCCAATTTCTCCTCCTTGGGCAAGGTTCTTGAGTGGGTGGTTGCAGACCACATCCATGTGCTCTTGGAGGAAACTGATTTTCTAGATCTATTTCAATAGGTTTAACGCCCAAAAACTCCTCAGAGTGCCTGGTCGGTACCTTTAAGGTCCCAATACATTGTTACATGGGGAGAAAAGTGTGATCGTGATACCTATTGGTCACATACACGCGTTATCATAGAAATACATAAATTATTGTCTTAAAACAAGCATTCAACTCCTTGTTAATTAGCATCCATCTTAGACATGGGTATCAAAATGGAAAAACACTCTGGTCAGCATTCAGTTAGGACTAGGCTTAGGTCCCTAAAAAGCAGGCTTCCACAGGTTTCTACCACCACCTTGGACATTGCCTTTTTGACACTGACAGTAAACTTTCAACCACAAAGTGTGTCAGGTTAACAGTGTAACTTTTTCTAAGAAGAGCAGGTACCAGCTAAATAGGTCATGCTGCTTGTGAGCAGAGTCTGACTGAGAGAGAAGCAATCATGGCTGCACTTACCATACATCAAGACGGTCTCTCTCTCTGTCTCTTTCAACACAATTGGTCCTCCAGGCCACCTTTAAGAGAATTGGAAAACTGGAGTGGTGGTCCCATCACTCCTCCCTGGGCTCTGAGCCTTCTCTTGGTGGTTCTCCAGCTCGTTCCTCCCACCATTCCTCTGTGTCTGGCATTCATCAACCAGACCTTGACATTGTGTCACAGTCATCATAGATCTCTAACCTGCTAACTTAGCATTCCATATCTAGAATGAAAAAGCTAAACAATATTTCTCAGAACTTGGTTTACCCCTGTTTTCTCACTTGGTATGAGAGCCACAAGTTTGCACATTTAAAATTACTTAGGTTACCTCTCAATACACTTAAACCTCTGTGGGGGGTGGGTGTTGGGTCATAATCAGTGCTTTTTCCTCCAAGGGGTATTCAAGGGTACTCAGTACTAGCACTGCACCTCTTTTTCTAGGGAAAAAAAGCACTGATCATAATAATTAGGGAGATGGAAGTGATAAGCATCACCTTGAAGCAAATTTACTAGTAAATGAAGGGATTCCGAGACTGGAGTAAAAAGGATAATAATGGGGGGGAAAACACTTGAAAGTTAGCCCCGTTATAAAATTTTACTTAGTCATTGTGTTTAATAGAATTGGGTTGTAATTAAAGTCTGCATGTATTAAAAAATTAAAAAAATACCAAAGACGCTTTAAAGGGGTAGCCAGTGGTGGATAATTTCAGATTGAATAATCCAGGGTAACAGCATCAGGAACTTTCACACGATGACCACCTGCAATCAAGACACTTGATATCTAAGGTTGCAAGCGCCACTGAATTCAAAAGGACTGACTTCCAAGTAGGCATGGTGAGGATTGCGCGCCAAAAGAACTTTAGAGCCCGTTCTGTTGCTGATACTTTCCCCCCATGCTTTGGCGAGCATCTTGGAGCCCTTCAGCCTTATCCTTTTTTTTTTTTTTTTGAGTGCTGTCTTTCCAACCCGGTCTCAGACCAACCCTCGCCTGCCCGCCCTTCTCCTCAAGCGGCGCCGCGTTTGCCACCTATGGTGCCCACCCTTGGCGAGCTTCTCCAAGGCGCGCCCTTCAGACAGGCAGACCTGGAACGGAATCCTTTCTTTCCCGCCACCTGGGAAGGAGGCTCCCAGGGCGGGCGGTGGGCACCGTCTGCGTGTGCGTCTCTGTGTGTCTGTCCCTGTGTTTGCGCGCGCGCGCGATTACCTCAAGGAACCAGCGGGGTTGAGTTGCATCGCGTCCCCTTCCCACCTCTGTGGCCGGGCGCATGCGCGGTCGGCCAGGCCCTGCTCTCCCTGCCTGAGCAGGTGCAGGGATGGGCCCCGCCATGGAGCGGAGGCAGCGGGGATGCCGTGGAGCCCCTGCCTGGGGGTACCGCCGCCTGCTCCTCCTCCTCTGCGCCCCCCTGCTCTGCGCTTCTGGGGACACCAGCGTCGGCCCGGTAGGGACAGGGAGCGGCGAGCCGCCTGCCTGGGTGGGTGCCGTGAGGGAGACAAATGGGAAGCTGCTGCCCGGAGGGCTCCTTCCTCTCCATCCCCGGGCGTCGCCCCCGCTCCCAGCCCCCGGGCACGGCAACCTGGGGGAGGCGGCCTGCTGGGTCGCCCCCCGGCTGAAGGGGAGGGCAGGTGGAGGCGAAGTGGAGCTGGACCAGTTCGCCTTCCCAGGCTGGCAAGGCTGGCAGAGACAGGGAGGGGCTGCTGGGGTGCCCCCCTTCCTCGCTCTCCTCCTGGCACAGCGGCGTTGTCTCCAATTAAATGAAGGTGGACGCGGGTCGAGGGGCTCCTCCCGGCGCCTGGGGGGTGCTGTTGGCTGTTTTCCTTCCCTCAGAGGAAGGAGTGGGCATCTCCAGGAAGGCTGCTGATGGGGGGAGATATGTTTGGGTGCCGCTGCCTCGGAGGTCTGGCGTGGGGTCCTCAGGGGAAGGGGCCTGAGCTGCTCTCTTCCGCCTGCAGGGAATAAGGGGCGGCGGCGGCGATTGTGGGGGTCAGGGGCAATGCCATGATGCCATGGAGGACGGTGGCTAGGATGCGCGAGGGAGGAAAAGGTGAATCGGGGTGCCCTGGTCTAATGGAAACGGGCACATGAAACATGTGAGCCAGCTTCTCCCGGGGCGGGGGGGACGACTCGAAAATGTTCTTTCTTTTACGTCCCTAATGGTGCGATCATGGGAAAGATCTGCCAGTATATAGGAACGTGCATACATGTTATTGAGCAGCATGCACCGCTTTTGTGGCCAGCAGCGCAGGCACAGAGGGAGAAGTACGGCGCTGGCTTAAACGTTAATGGTGCTGTTGATTTTGGGTCTGTAATTATATTCCTGTACCCTCTTCCTTTTGCTAGCTTTTTATGGTATTGTTTGGTACATGTCTCAGTGTTAATGCCTTCCATCAATAATGGGAATAATAGAAAAACATGGTGTGAAAATGCAACCAGGCACAACTTTTAAGGACGAAGATATGCATGGTTGATAATGCACATTTTAGCGTTTAGGATGAGGTTGGCCAGTTAAATGAGGTGTGCAGTTTTGTTTGTCAATATAGCTGAGTGTTATTACCTACTCGGTCTTGAATATACCGATTTGGAAGGGTTAAATTAATGAGGTGGGTAGGAGATAAGGACAGTCCAGTTAACTGCAACTGTAGAATCTTCACAGAGCAGTGACAGGCTAGCAAACCTGTGCATAAAACTTCTGATACATGGGAACTGCTGGTCTGTTTCTTAACATTGACTGCTACTGACCAATGGCTGCTGGTGAGATGCCCCAAGGATCTTGTAGCTGACATTGCTCTAACAGCAGCAGCAGCAGCCCCTCACATCACATGCTAAACCACTATTGACCCTGAGATAGGACTGGGGAAGAAATTTTTATTGTTTGCATTTAAGAGCAAATCTGCCTAATCCACGTTTTCTGCAGCAATACATGAACAACCATTCTTCAAAATAAGCACTTTCTCAGATCTTGCAGTGCTGTCCTTCAGACAAGTACTATGTACAGAAATGCATATACTCTAGTAAAATGTGCATTCAGATATATATATTCTTGAAAATAATATACAAAATGCATTAGGGAAATTTGTTTGGCAAAAAAGGTATATTTTAGGCAATATTACCCGGAAGCTGTATGCCGGCTCCCTTGGTCAATAAAGCAAGATGAGCGCCGCAACCCCAGAGTCGGTCATGACTGGACCTAATGGTCAGGGGTTCCTTTACCTTTTTTACATACAAGAGTGTATACTGTATAAGGATAAATTTGTACAAAAAGGCCAAATTTTCATGAACTTTAAAAAATAAATAAATCTCAAGCTGCTGTGCGGATATGGATAACTGAATTTAAGACTGGAAGGAAGTGGAATTGGCAGGTTTACACATCCATAGACTGAGGAAACTTTCTAAAGTAGTTTGGGAGATGGGGTGGGGATGTTGTATCATTATGGGTGCAGCCAAGCATTTGGGCATGCCTCAAGTAGCTGAAATAAGTTCCATTAGTTCCATCATCCCTGGCCACTGGTCCTGCTAGCTAGGGATAATGGGTGTTGTAGTCCAACATCTGGGGACCCAAGGCTGAGAAAGGCTGATCTGTAGAGTTGGGTGTGTATGTGTAGGTGAATATTCCTGTAATGAAGGAGCTTGTGCTAATTACATTTAATATGCTACAGTTCTGTGGCCCCAATTTGGAGAAAGTTACATTTTGGCCATTTGAAATCAATGGGACAAGTGGATCACATCACAGCTAATGTTAAGTGAAACAAATAGTGCATTCTTAAAGATGTTTCCTTAGAAGGAATTCCATTCAGTTCAATAGGATTTACTCCCATGTAAGTGTGTGTAGGACTGTAGCCTAACATTCTCTGGATAGGATTCTATGAGCAGAGAAACTACCATGGCATATGTGCACCCCCAGTGGTAGTGCTGCTGTGTGATAGCTGTGGATGCATTCCTGCCCTTAATTATGCATGGTTACGTTTCCTTTAATTTAATGAGTTCTGTACCTGAGTAACTGGATGCAGGGTTGCAGTTGCAGAGAGATCCTCCTTTACAGTGAAATAAATGCATATCTGCTCAGAAGTAATTCCCATCCAAGTTCAGTTGGATGTGCCCCAAGGTAAGTGGGTATAGGATTGCAGTCTTATACTGTAATTCCAACCCCATTTAACTATGAGTAAACCCCATTGAATTAAATGGGACTGACTTCTGAGTAGCCGTGGTTAGGATTTATATATTTATTTAGAGCGTTTGTACCCTGCTCTTTAGCCAAAAAGGCTCCCATACAATGTGTGTGTGTGTGTGTGTGTATAGTCCCTTCCTGAACACAAAATCAAACTCAGGCCCCAATTCTTAAACAGCTCTTCTTATAATGACCAGCTTCTGGTACAATTCAGAGGTAGGAGGTGCCTGATGGCAAACTGGTGGAATGAGCCCTGCTTCCTATCTTTCTCACAGAGGCAGTCTGATGAAATGGCTGCTTCAAGGTGAAAGTTGAGGGAGAGGAGGCCTGATGGAGCTGGTCTGTCACAGCAGAGCTGATGGAGTGAGCTGTGCTTTCCATCTCCCACTGACAAGCAGAAGGGGACAGATGGATTACAACCTTAGTTGCAAACATAGGCTAATGGAGCCAAGTTTAATTGACAGTGTGAATGATCAATAGATTAATTACATGCTATGCAATCAATAAATATATGTAAAACTATGCTATCTGGATTTATGATATGGAGCAGGGGAAGAGTAGAGGAGGGAAATGAAAGCTAGAAACATAGATGTAAAGAAGCATAAAATGAATTGAAACCATAGAGTCATTAACAGTATTTACCCAAGCATTTTTTAAACTAGATATGTCCTCCTGGGTGCCATTTTTCATGAAGTTTGAACCATTACTGTAGTTCTCAAGCCATTTGAACTAGGAGTAGCTACCATTCTCAAGTTCATTCAAATGATAGAAAATAATATGACATAATTTGCTCGAGTTTTATAGAAGCATTTACGAGAAATCTATTTGAATATAGAAATATTTGAATGAATAGTTGGGTCTCGAGCCCTGAATTATATTGTTAATGGGCGAGGTTGTACACACTACCTGGCACAGGTTCATATTGGTTGTTGTTGTTGTTGTTTTGTATTGTGGAGGCAGCATAGCCGTGTATGAAAAGTATAGAGAAAAGCCATCCTCATAAGCAATTCATAAGCAATAGAAATGAGGAGCAAATATGCTACAGGTACCATTAGGCATGCAATTTTCAAGTAAATGTATAGCTCCCCTCCTCCTTGGGTTTGACAGTTAGTCTACAGATGCATGAAGTCCTTGGTGCTTTACTTTATATTCACTTGCTAAGTACTGAAGTACTAAGTACTTTGTGGACTTCAGCATCAGATCAATGAACACAAGGTGCAGCTGCTGTGTAGGGTGACATTAACTAGCATGGGGTGGTTCTATCATTAGGCTTGAAGCTGCTCTGTCTCCTTGCAGAGGATGTAATCCTAGGTTAGAAATGAGTAGTTGCAAACTAGCTTTCTGGCATTTTTGAGTAAGACCCATTTGTATACAGTAAATCCTGCTATTTCCATAAATGATATTTCTACTAGGTGCTTATGTGAATTGTTGAAACAGGCCTAAAAGGTATATATATATTGCCATTTTTAGGGCAATTGCCTGTTTGCTTTAAGCCTTAATTCAAATCTCTGAATATTTATTCTAAAGTTCAGTTTACATTGCTAGACATTTGTTGGTGGTTGGTAGTCCTTTGAAACTAAAATATTTCTCCCCTTACACAAACTCTTGAGTTTGTCTTGAGTGACAATAGCAGAAAGATTTCATCCAACAGAAATTACACCATAGTTCTTCCCAAAATCCAAACACGGATGTGAACCAAAGTCAGTTTAGGTGATAATGAATTTTTTTATCTGCCCAGATCCTTTTTGTGACATGTTGAAACAGCAGTCAATATATTCCATCTGAAGGAATTGTTTGCTGATGCAGCAAGTGTTGAGATTGGGCTGCTAGTCATTTGAGGCATGCATTGTAGAACTCATAGAAGCTTTCCTTCAGGTATCAGTTTGTCTGCTCATAATTAAAATATAATGCTAGAGAATATAAATTATTTAAATCTCCATGAAACTGAAATTGTTGCAGAGCAGTTATGGCTGTCCTGCTTCAAGCTACTGGTCAACTGAGGCAATCCTTATGGGGAATACAAAATGTTGGAAGGAGTGTTTAGCACAGCCCTCCTCAGGTGTATGGAGCCAGCTATGTGGTTCTTTGGATCACAGCTATTTTAATCTAACCATAAGATTCAATATCATGCAGTTTCTAACACTAACTGTAGAGTGAAGAGATGATCATGTTAAAATATTCTGTTGGGTCATTAGGAGTCCATGTCTCAGCTTCTATTTTAAAGGGGTAAATAAATACTGTAACTGTAACTTTCTCCATAATCACAGAAATGTTGAGTTGTGTGGTTACTGCTCTCTCCTTTTCGGTTCAGTTATTAATTTCTGTTCTTAATGTATCTTGAGAAGCTTTAAACATTGTCCTCTACTCTATTGACTTGATGTCTTCATAAAAATAATTTTCATCTTTAAGTTTGGTTTTCTTTGACTTTGAAGTAGCTTTGACTTTAGTACTTTTGAAGAAGCTACTAAAAGTGTTATTAAATACCTTTCCTCCACAGCAAGTTCTGTTTAATGTTTCCAAAATTATGGGCAGCATCTAACAAAATAAGTTGCATTAGCACAAGGATTTGTGTTTGTGCAGTGGAGCTCCCCTTCCTCTCTTTCCCTCTCTTACACACCACAAATCTTCTCCGGGGGGGGGGGGATGACACAGAATAGGTTTAGGGGTGTAGGGGGAGGAGAGGGTGGAGAAGTTCTGTTATACAACCCGAAATCCTTGCTCTAACATAACTAATTCATTGGATACCGTCCTGTGTTACTTTTTTTTTTTTTTTAGGGAAATGTTTGTACATAGCATACGTGTGTGTATGAATAGCATGATCAATTAGGCTGTAATGTATGCTAACGTCTATCATAGTTTGTCTAATATCAATCTAAATTGGATACATCAGTTTACCAGTTTTTGGCAGTTAACCAAAGACCTCCACTAAACACATTCTTATTATGTAGTCCATGTTCTTTCACCTTGCCATAATCTGTTATAATTTTGATATTGAATTCCTGTCTGCTGTATCAGTGACTGATTATTGAAAACATTAGACATTTGGGGGGGCAATAAGTTAAAGATAGATCCAAGTATGGGCATAGCCAGGATTTTTGTTGCGGGGGGACAGGCCTTTTGTTAGCAGCGGGGGGGGGGGGCAGAACCTCAGTTTGCTATGTATTTTTATTGAATTTTATTGATGGGGGGGCAGTTGCCCCTCCTTGCCCCCCTTGGCTGATCTGCTTCACATGCAACACTAAGCTATGGCTTGTATAGGAAACCATGAGTTACTGTAGCTACCAGTTGTCCCACAGACAATCAACAAACCATGGCTTATTTATTTGAAGCTTGGTTTGTTTTCCAGCTACTTGAACCTGTGTAGCTTGATGAGCTCTGAGGTTAGGCGGCCAAACATCCCATGGTTAAGGAAGGGTGCTAGTTTTCCACATAATATCAAGTCATAGTTAAAACAAATCAATATTCATAAGCCAACAACAAGCCATGGCATCAGATTGTGATTTGTTGGCTACAAACGCGCCATAGTTGAGCCACTGGGCAATGTTCACACAGAACACTAAAAAATGACTTAATAATCCATGTGAATCAGGCCAGTGTTAGCTGGTTTACCCCTTTTCATCTATGCAACAGGAAAAGTTAGTTCTGTTCACTGCATTCAGATTCTTACATATTAAATTATTTAATATAGCCGACTAAGGAATTAAATAGTGTTTCATAGCTGAAGCTAGAAAAAATTGAAACAAAGTAAGAAACATTTTTCCGATGACAGCAATAGGCTTTCTGACCACTGTCTTCCAGGGTGGTACATAAAATGCCAACTGTTTCAATTTCGCAGAACAGAGATGAGTTTTCTAGAATATTTGTTCCGCCTATAGTTTTAATGTGAAAAATCCAGTGAACTGTTTCAGGCAGGCATTAGGATTCTCAGTCCCCTCCCCCCCTTCCGTTAACATTTTGTTTGAGTACATTTCCCTATACATTTCTGGCAGTATCATTTATATGAACTCATGCACCTGAATGTTTTAAGTTCTCTGTTTCCTGAAAAGTTAATCAGATTAAAAGTATATAGAAGAGGGGGAAAATGCTTTGTGCATATTAAAATACCTTGGTCCTATAATTTGGACCTCAAAACTCATAAATGGGTTTTTATTATTAAGTCCAAAAGAAATATTGTAACCCTGGGGGGGGGGGAGTTTCAGATGCTTGGGTGAAAATATAGAAACACAGGTTTCTGCCTTAGCTCTGCCACTGCAGGAATCAAAGTACTAAATTGGTCATTTTCCTAAGGTTCAGGGAACACTGTAAGAAATGTTAACACACTGTGGGGTTTTGAATGCCACTTTACTGATTCTGAAGGGGAAGCTGTCAATCCTGTAAAAAAACTCATTTTATCCCGTTTTATATGGCTATTCTTTTTTATATAGTTTATGGTCACCTGAAGACTGGAAAAAAACAAAACATATTCTCACCTTCAAGCTTTCTTTTGCAGTGTCTAATCACCCTTAATATGCTGTTGTTGGCATCTGTCTGTATTGGTAGATGGGGCGGAGTGCGCCTTTGGCGGTGAAATCACTGTTAGAAATTTACAGCGCCTGCTGTGGCTGTAGAGACCGATACAGGAGAGACATGTTTTGTTGCAGTTGGGGCAGATGAAGGTATCTGGTTATGATGCTGCAGATGCACCATGATGTTTCTTCTCTGCACTCCTCCCAGTGATCATTCCTCCTCTGTTCACTGCGATGGATGCACGACCTGACTGCCTGTCTCCAGGCACTGCGGTTGTTGATGCTGCCAGCCTTCAAATCACGTTTGCAGACATCTTTGTAACACAGAGTTGGTCTGCTAATGGGTTTGGTGCCACCCATAATAGTCCTCTAACTTAAATGTGTTATAGTTTTGGAAATTGTCTTCCTGCAGTCGTTCTGCTAGAGTTTGAGAAAGTAATGATGTGCCTAGTATACAGAGGCAATTTTTTAAACATCCTAAGAAAGCTGAAAGACTTCTGAGACCTGTCTTAAGGTCAAAAGCGAGTGCAGGTAAAATTAATCTTTTGCATTCTGAAATAATGGGCATAATTCTTAGTTCTCCAAAATGTACAGCTACAGGAGAGTAACAAGGGGAGAGAATATGTGGGATCCATCTGTGTTGAATGCCAACTGCCTTGAAGGCAAGGCCAGCTTGCAACACTGCCATTTATGCCTACCATTACCTTTGTGGGTTGATTTTCTGCCTGGGAGGGTGCAGCTATACAATTCCCTTGTCATCACTAAGTGATTTCAGCCTGCTTTCTCTTGTCTCCCTTGTCGCCTAGCTCTGCCCAATAATTGCTTTAAGTGCTTTTTATTTTTGCTCTCTTGTTTGATTATCACACACACACACAAAAAGTGAAGAGAGATGCTAAAATTTTAAAGCTGAAATTAAAAGGGAAACTTGTAGTGGTGGGGGAAGTAGCCCAGTAAAATGGCACTTACCAGGAAAGTCATGCCTTTTTAGTTGGTGCTAAAACACCAACAATTGTTTTAATAATTAAAACAAACAAGCAAAAGTGCATTTTAGTGCAAATAAGACAGATTTTTAAAATCATCATCATCATCACACTCACAAAAATGGCATGCACCGGGTGTACCAAGAATGGGGGACCTATGGCCCTTTGGATACTGCTAGACTACAACTCCCATCACCCCTCACCACTGGCCATGTTTGCTGAAACTGAGGGCAGTTGGAGTCCAACAATATTTTTTATGGCTGCAGGTTCTCCATCTCCTAGTATAGATGCATGGGGATAGCCTCACTTGCTCGATAAAGCACAGCGCATATTACAGCTAAGGGCTGTATCCGTACCACCCGACTTTTTCAGACCCAAGACAGGGACATACGTCTTCTGAGATGATCTTCTGGGTGAGTCACATGACCCATGCCTTGCTCTCGCCACCCCCCAAAAGGCAAGGGCAAGGGTATGGCACTCAAAAGGGTTGCTGCAATCTTGCATGAAAAATGGGATATCCCATTTTTTCTGGGGCACTTAGCAGGTTTATGGTGCTGTGCGTGTGGGGTCCCACTAGCATAAAGGGGCTTAACATTTCCTTTCCTCCCCCCCCCCCCATGCACCTCTCCAAATCTGCTCTGCAGGGCCCCAGCCCCTTTGGAGGGTGTACATGGGGGCTGGAAGGAACAGGACAGGAAGAATAACTTCTGTTCCACAGGTAGAACTGCAGTGTTGTTCGATACAATCCCAAGTCAGGTTTTCTGCAGAAAAAAAGATGGGGAAATTCTACAAAATGATGATAACAACTCAATTTGGAACTCAAAACGAGTTCCAAAAACATGATAATTTGGCTTGGTAATTTGGTGATTTGGTAAAATGTTGGTGTGAAAGAATTCTAATACTTCTTGCTTTTAATAAACACACCTTGAAAAAAATATGAAGGGTCCAGCTTCTTTCTCTGAGGAATAAGGTTGCCTACCATTGATGTGTTTTTATTTATTTATATTTTAATAACCACTTACACACAGTTCTCAATGTGATGTGAAATAAAAGCACCTTAAAAACAATTAAAAATAAACACACAAATAACATATAGCCCAATACAGAATAGACAGCCATGGCAGAAACCCATTCATGTAGCTGGAACAAAAATGGCCTCAATTGTTTCCAGAAAGTGTAGCCAGGGGGCACTTGCTGTATCTTGTCAAGAATACTGTAACACAGAGCAGGGCTTTCAGTGTGGCTGCCCCTGTTCAGAATTACTGTGGAGCAGGCCTCTGATAGCTTTGGAACTTGCAGAATAATCCCTCTCACAGACCACAGTGACCTAATAGGTGCATAAAAGACAAAGATGTATTGGTTCCTCCTCTTGTATGGTTAGAGGAAGCTTACCCAAGCCCTGAGAGAAGAAGGCATGTTGAAATTGTTGTTGAGCTGGATTTGTGGTAAATTGAGATCAATATGTCAGAACTTTTTGGATTGAAAAATTGGGCTTTTGTGATCAAAGATATCTATGATCTTAGTTTGGAGTGTTTAGCAATTGAGATCCTAGATAATTAGCAGAGACAAATAAGATAGGATTTTAGTTTTGAAAGCATACTCAAAGAACAATCCTCCTTGATTAGCAATATAGGAGAACACTGCCTTTCAATGATATGTACATGGAACCAACAGCTAGCCCTAAAATTGATGATACCTTATCTTGGAAGCCCCAAAAATTATTTGTGTAGCTAACTGGTGAACAGATGTTGTGTCTGCCTAATAGCCTTTGCTGTGGCTTAATGACTCAGGATTTTGTTTTTGTCATTTTAATACATCTGGAATCTAAAAACTGGCTGGCTGATACCTCTGCCCACCCCCACCCCTTTATATATTTTCAAGAATGCAAAACGAGAACCAAAGGAAAAAGAAAAACCCATAACAATAAAGCACCTCTGCCTTGAAAAAAACAAGGGCATTGTCATGTGTGAATCCTACCAGTATGCAGATATGATGCACAAGACCTCAAGTATTTTCAGGTGCTTGAGGCACTTATTGTAGTGCTGCATGAATTTTGTGTTTTGTCCATTAAGACCAGAGCTTTTAGTGTGATGATACCTGCCCTTCAAAATGTGCTTGCAATGAACACCAGGCAGAGACCTACAATATAGCATTTAGGTGCCTGCTTAACAGATACCTGTTCTCCTAAGCTTTCCCTGAGAGGTGATCCATCTATATTGACATACTAATTGGTTTATCCTATATTCTGCAGTGTAGGCGATAATGGAAATGGTTACAAATAAATAGATATGTGGTCACCCTGGGCTGTCATGTAGTAAATCCTCTGAAATGGATGCAAGTCAGTGTTGTGACACCATTGTGCATTAATTAAAAAAAAAAAACTGCCTTATTAGACCTAATGACATAAATTAAGACAACTTGTGTATTTTTATGTATTAAGTTAACAGCAGAGCAGGATTATGCAGCTTTCAAATTAAAGCAAAATACATTTCTAAAATATACTCAACAATATGCAAATTAGGTGGGCTGGCTGTATAGTTGAGGCAGAGGACACCAAAGCTTCTTTCTGCCTTACAGGATGTATTGGCTCAAATCAATGAAGTTTTGTTTTGCAGGCTTCGGGTGAGACATTTGTTTTGGATTTCATCAAATCGAACTGTCTTGAAATATTTTTCATTGGTAACTGCAAATATAAAATCATTTTGCAAACGGCTCACATGATTATGATCAGTGCCTACCTACTGAAAATTAGTGGCCATGTATCCAATGGGTATAAGTTTAATGTAGATTGTTATGTACGGTAATTTCTATATATGTCTAACCTCATTTAATTTGGATTTCTTCAACTCTTTGTCATATCAGTATCTGCTGTTATTTTTGTCCTGGACTGTTGTTCTGGGATTGAGTTATTTAGCATTTTAAATACAACATAAATACCTTAATATGTGTGTGTGTGTGTGTGTGTGTACACACACACACGCATATATATATATATATATATATATATATATACATACAGAGCCATGCAAGTGAAAATCCATTGCACGAGTAGATGGGCACAACTGGATATCTCTATGAATTTATGAAAAAGAAAATACAGGTATAATTGGAGAAATGTTGCAGTATATAACAGCTTTGTGGGGATATTTGATATAGAAACAGTATGGAAGAAAGACTTCAGTCCGAACCCTCTTTCCAAGTCATAGTCCCAGGCATTATCTCTTCCCTGCATCCCACCCTGTCCTCCTCCTGGTGTGGCTGCTTTTTGTTAAGAAAGAAAGGTCCTAAGCATGCTATTTTTAAAAAATGTCACCAATGCAACATTTTTAGTCCTCAGAATGTAGACTATTTTGAGTAGATGACTACTGTAGTCTGTTGATGTCAAAACCTAAGACATTACTGCTACGTTGAAAATATGTTGAATTGGTTTAACTTGTGAGCTCTGCTCTATACATGACAGGTCTGTAAACATCTTATCATCAGAATTTGCAAACACTGTGTGCATTATGCTGGTAAATCCTATGTAGGTAGCAACAAAAGTTAAGGTTGCTTTATGACTTACTTTCAACAGAGAACTTTTTCACTTTTTAATCTAATATCAAATTTTAATCCTAGCTATTTGCCTAAGAGTACATATTCTTTTTAGAATTCTATGGACTAATGGTGAATTCATTCCCTTCCCCCATTTTATATGCAATAGAGGGAGATATTAAACAGGCACTGTCAAATATAGTTTGAACCAAAGCTTTGTTTCGAAACAGGACAGTCCTTTGCTTGAGGCTGCCTCCAGTCAGACTGGACAGCCGTGGTCGAGACTAGAGGAACAAATAGTCTGATCTGTTATAAGGCAATGTCTTAATTTTCCTTTGTGAATGTGTTTTTAAAGCCTCTCAAATATTGGTCATATTTAAATGCATTAATTTCCTACATTGTCTTGTCACACCCGAATTTGATTCTCATTGGAACTCTATATAGTCTGCAGCACTTTGATAACACAAAAACCATGCGGACTACTATCGTAAACAGGTTTATACATTTTGGGTATGACAAAAAAAAAACAAGAGTGTGAAACAAAAATGTGTGGGCAATCTACCCTCTACCCTCAGAACCACCTGGCATATACTTTAAAATAAGTACATCAGCTGAAATTGAGATATGTACACTAATGACCTGTATGCAGACAAAAGAGATAAATTTGCACACAAACTGTAATTCAACCACCCCTGGGAGGTTAGCAAACTAGCACTGATTATGGCAATCAGGCTTTGCTCATGTTGTACTTTTATTGTTATCCTCAAAACAGCATGTATTCAGATATACCAAGCAGAATGAATGAGCTCAAAATATGCAGCAAACTGTTTCAGCTTTGGATTTACAGTGGTACCTCGGGTTAAGTACTTAATTTGTTCCGGAGGTCCGTTCTTAACCTGAAACTGTTCTCAACCTGAAGCACCACTTTAGCTAATGGGGCCTCCTGCTGCTGCCATGCCGCCGGAGCACAATTTCTGTTCTCATCCTGAAACAAAGTTCTTAACCTGAAGCACCACTTCTGGGTCAGCGGAGTCTGTAACCTGAAGCGTATGTAGCCTGAAGCGTCTGTAACCCAAGGTACCACTGTACATTAAAACTAATAGAGTGTAACACTTTAAAAATAACACATCTAACCTGCTTATATATACTGTCAAATCAGACTATGTTGTAAACGTGGTTTTGCTTTACCATATTTTTCAGAGCTGGTTAAAAACCTATGGTTATCTGCTCCCTTCTGACACCCGAATGTCTGCTCTGCACTCAGGAAAAGTTATGCAGTCTGCAGTCACCACTATGCAGCAGTTTTATGGCATCCCTGTGACAGGAGTGTTGGACCCAATGACTATTGAGTAAGAGTTACTTCTGTAACGGTTTAAAGCATTGTATTCACCAAAATCATCATTAATTGCTGGATGAAATCCTGTATAATGTGGACCTGCATAAATTCACGTGGTGCTTATGTATTCTCTGGAACAGAACATGTCTCTGACTCCTGGCTCAAATGGCCAACCAAGCCCCATTTCTTGCTAAATAAATTTAACTGGAAATGAACTGATCAACTAACATAATCCATGTTAAATCCAAAATAAGTGTGTTCATACAGGGATTTGTGCTGGTTTAACTAAATCGGTTTAACAACTGGAACTCTGTGCATCACAGAGACATGCAAAAACAACATTGTGTGCAATGTATAATATAACCATTATTGGGTTTTGTCTAAATCCCATATATACAGAGGTATCGCAGTTCTATATCTTAAACCATTCTGTATTCTGGAAGATATGCTATTTCAAAATGCGTCTCTGACATAATCTGAGCCTGATCTTTACTGATTTGCGTAGTGCCAAACTGCATGAGATGTTATTAATGAGCACACGATTTTTCTTGCAGAAATAACTAGCAGAGCAGGACGGTTGTGGGGAGTGATGTTCCATATTGGAACCCTTGCATGGAGCGGAGAGTTCTTTAGCCCTCTACTGTGCTGCAATTGCAGTCTGGAACAGGGGAACCCCATTCCTTCAATTTATGTGGGCAGAGGAGCATTAACTACTTCTGAAAGAAAAATCACACATTAAGAGCAAATAGTTTGGCTCTTATGTACACATAGTTATATGAATGTCAACTTTCCTCCCTTCTTGCTTCCTACAGCTCAGAATGTAGGTAAACTGATTGGTAAATGTATTGGTATTTTTACTTTTGTCTAATCTATAATGGTGGGGATGCGGGTGGCACTGTGGGTTAAACCACAGAGCCTAGGACTTGCCGATCAGAAGGTCGGCGGTTTGAATCCCCACGACGGGTTGAGCTCCCATTGCTCGCTACCTGCTCCTGCCAACCTAGCAGTTTGAAAGCATACCAGTGCAAGTAGATAAATAGGTACCGCTCCGGCGGGAAGGTAAACGGCGTTTCTGTGCGCTGCTCTGGTTCGCCAGAAGCGGCTTAGTCATGCTGGCCACATGACCCGGAAGCTGTACGCCGGCTCCCTCGGCCAATAAAGCGAGATGAGTGCCGCAACCCCAGAGTCGGTCACGACTGGACCTAATGGTCAGGGGTCCCTTTACCTTTACTAATCTATAATGGATCAAAGTCATTGTTAAAATATTGTTTTAAGCTCCTCCCCACTTCCCAGAGTGATTTGGAAGTTCCAGAGACAGGTGTTTTTTTGGGGGTTTTTTGTTTTGCAGTTTTCCTGTGAAGAAAGAGAATCCTGAAAATGTGTGGTGCCTTGAAAGGATAGGAGAAACTGCATGCATGAATGTGGCACTAGTTCTTAAACATCTTCAGTCTCCAAAAGCAACAGCAAGCCCTCAAGATTGCTTCTTGCTACCCTGCTTCAAAAACTCTAAAAGCTCTTTTTCTGGCCCAGTTCAAGCTGCCCTTTTCTTTATTCCATTTCAGCGCCTGCCCTCTGGGCAGAACACCCTTAGGCAGGCAGGTGTAATCTGCATTCCTAGCTTATCTCGGTTGCCCATTAATTTGCATTCATTATTTGTAGCTGAACCACCAAACAGGACAGCCTAGCTCATAACCATGTCATTTAGCATATTTCCCAGACTCACTAGGGAATATTTCGCTTTCTAGGTGGATGAAGAAGCCTCGCTGTGGTGTTCCTGATCACCCCACCTAAGCCATAGACGAAGGAGCAAACGATATGCACTAACTGGACAAAAGTGGAGGCAGAAGCATATCACATACAGGTGTGTATAATCCAGTATTTTAAAGTTCAATACATAGATATTCAACTGACTTCTATAGGGTGCGTGTGCGTGTTTGTATGTTATGTAGCAATCAATATCCCTAGGTAATTTTGTCTTATTTAATAGCCTGCTGCATATAAATACCCAGGATACACATTTTCAGTAAGGATAAGCAATTGGAGGCACCTAGTCCAAATCTCTTCCCTTCAGAGGTACTGCCTGCTCCCAAATCACCCCAGAGGACATGTGACAGGAGTGGCAAGTCAAACCACTGTCTCCCAGCTTCTGTTTCCTATCTATAAAATGAAAATACAGACAATTACCGAAGCATTATATTATATTGTATTACATTAGTAACCATAGCATAAGTCATGGGTTTGAGCCCCACATCAGGCAAAAGATTCCTGCATTGCAGGGGGTTGGACTGGATGACCCTCGTGGGCCCTTCCAACTCTACCGTTCTGTGATTCTAAGCAATCACACAAAAATGATATACAGTAACTCTTTAAAAATATGTGTTCATACTTGTAAAATTGTGCTGCCTCCACTGTCAGAGGCAGTATGCTTCTGAAAGCTCGTTGTTGGAAGGGAGAGTGCTGTTGCACTCGGGTTCTGCTTATAGGCTTCCCAGGGGCATCTGGTTGGCCACTGTGAGAACAAGGCTGTGTCACTAGATGGGCCACTGCCTGGTCCAAAAGGGCGTTTATTATGTCCTTATGCAAATATAACACCACACAGGGTTTGATTCTTTTATATGTGTTATACATATTGTATACATAGGGATGTGGGTGGCGATGTGGTCTAAACCACGGATCCTCTTGGGCTTGCCAATCAGAAGGTCGGTTGTTCAAATCCCCACGACAGTATGAGCTCCTGTTGCTCTGTCCCAGCTCCTGCCAACCTAGCAGTTTGAAAGCATACCAGTGCAAGTAGATAAATAGGTACCGCTGTGGCGGGAAGGTAAACGGCATTTCTGTGCGGTCTGGCTTCCGTCATGGTGTTCTGTGCACCAGAAGCAGTTTAGTCATGCTGGCCACATGATCTGGAAAGCTGTCTGTGGACAAACACCAGCTCCCTTGGCCTGAAAGTGAGATGAGCGCCGCACCCACATAGTTGCCTTTGATTGGACTTAACTGTCCAGGGGTCCTTTACCTTTACCCATTTTTCAAAAAAAAAAAAAAATTGCTTACATTTTCTGGATATAATTAGTTAGACTTCTTGTTAAAAAACAACACGATTAATGAGTGACTTGGACATAAGCGGGCATTCAATGCAGCAGATAGTCTGATGCAGGCAAATTTGACTGGGTCAGAACTGCCAAATTCCATGTATAAAATTAGCTTAAAATGGATTTCTCATTCATTGCTACCGCAAAGGAATTTATAAGTAAAAAAGACAACAGGGTCTTTTCTTTCTTTCTTTAAAGCCCTTTAATCACTTATTTTTGCTATCTTTAATCTGATGTCTGACACACTTACTCCCTCTAAACTTAGCTGAAAAGGTGACTTTGTTAGTTATTTTATCTTAATTTATTCCAACCTTGCAAGATGGAAGTGATTGCAAAGTCTGCTTCAGGGAGAATGCTACATTTCAGTCTGCCTGAGTGATGAATTTAAATAGATAATGGTATTTTTAGCTTACTTTATAAAAAAAAAGTAGGAGCCAAAAGTTCCATGTTAAAATTGGACTTAAATTAGGCTCTCCATTCCCCTGTATTCTTTGCTTGGTTATTGGTAGAATGTCCATGAATGCATTCCTTTGTGTGTGTTGCCCCTTTCATTGAAGTAAATGGGGAAATCCCTTTGAAGTGTGACAGCTCCATATGCACCTTTACAGTTTGCCAATTCCTTCCTGGACCTCCAAGCATGCAGCAATATGGCTTCGCCACCCTTCTCTCAAGCTTGCTGTGGCACAAGCAGAGAGTGTTGTTTTCCTGTTTGTTACCCTGGATTGGGATAAAAGTGGACAAACTGAACACTGGCCAAGAGCCAAAGAGTCATACAGATTTTCTGCACTGGTGTTCTTAAAGCAACAGATAGACATTTGAGATTCTTCAAGATTTGGGATTCTTTAAGATACTTGGACACCTGAAAGACTTTGTACACACTTCTAGTATGGACACAGCTATCAATCTGATGATAGCTGCTATTGTAACATATCCTTCTTTTAGAAAAGAAATAGATTGCTCCACCTCTCTTGGGTTGTGTTCAGGTTTAGGATCGTAGAGTGGTGGCCAGGAGCAAAAGAGGGCAGGGCCCCTGCACCTTTACACCTGCCGAAATTTAGCCTTCTATACAGTTATCAAAAGTGCTGAACCCCGGCTTTCTTTTGCATCTGGCCACCCTAAACTCATCATGTGACAAGATAAGCCACTTAGGACAGATCAGAGAAGGACAAGCACTAGACTACAGTTTCATGCAAAAGTGCTTACATACTGCTTGTAACGCGTTGGTGTTTCTGGAAATAGATGTCTATTTTTGTTATTTATTTGTGCATGCTTTATGTTGTTTATGGGATGGCATTAAATGGCATCAGCCCACATGTGCAACTGGCTCCCACTCCATGTGCAACACAAATAGGACTTCCATTTCATTTCCTTCCCTGTACTTCTAGCAAAAAGCGTGCTAGAATGTCCCTGTTTTTTGAGGAATGTTGGAGGGTATGTGTTTGTAAAGAAATTGTCATCTTGTATGCATTAACATAGAGCGATACAGGTTTTACAGAAACGTTTGTATTCAAAACTATTTGGAATTTTTAAATGCAAATTAAGGTTATTTGCATAAGTCAATTTGTATTGGAACATTTTCTGATGCCCTAGATTTGAACATGATCTAATTTAGTACTATTATTATTTTACTTGCATTTAGTAAACCAGAGATGACTAAGCTCTGACTCTCTGGATCTTGCTCAACTATAGGTCCCAAAACTAAAGATAATAGCAATGAAAATAATTAATTACAACACTGAGACTGCTAAACTTGCCTAATACTGCATTTACAGTGGGAAAAATAAAGCTCTGGACCCCACATCACCGTTTATATGGAGACAATCTTTTCCTTTTAGTTGCCTTGATAGTCAGCTGTTAATTTAGTCCCCTATTGATAATTCCTTGTATAATTTCAGGCTGCAGTATTTCACAATTTTATCTGAAAATTTGGTAGCTACTTTTTAACTAGAGACTGACAACTACTAATGTATAGCCATGCTTCCCTCTAGTGGTTGATGCTGGTGACTACAACCAATTTTTAAGTGCTGGTATTTTAAAGGTTTTCAGACTTTGCTTTGGTTTCTGTATTTATTCTGTTAGTTAGGAACTCTTGGACATGCCATGGAACATTAATTATTGCTGAGGATTCAAAGATATGGAGGTGTGACCATGTCTGTTGTTGGCTCTGCCCTTTGTGAGCAGAGTGTGTTCCAGAGATTACTTTTACTTATTTCCATGACCTCCTCTCACCTCCCAGCTTTGTATTCTAGTTTAAATCGTATTTCCAGCAGATCCTTCTAACCTTCTTTTCATTTACTTATTTTAACATTCAATAATATAATTAATCCTCCTCTATCCCATCAATTTCTATACTTCATTTTTACTTAATCCATTATATCATATCTGCCAAAACGACCTAATATTCTTTTTCCAACCTCTTTCTAACATTCTTTTATGTTGCAATATTTTTGAAGATATGTTTTAAATTTTTTCCAATCTTCTTCCATCGACCCTTCTCCCTGGTCTCGAATTCTGCCGGTCACCTCAGCCAATTCCATATAGTCCATCACTTTCATCTGCCATTCTTCTCGGGTAGGCAATTCTTGTGTCTTCCAGTATTTCCCAATGAGTATTCTTGCTGCTGCTGTCGCATACATGAAAAAAGTTCTATCTTCCCTTCGCACCAATTGACCGACCATGCCCAAGAGGAAGGCCTCTGGTTTCTTTAGAAAAGTATATTTCAATACCTTTTTAATTCATTGTATATCATTTCCCAGAAGGCCTTGATCTTTGGGCACGTCCACCAAAGGTGAAAGAAAGTACCTTCATTTTCTTTACATTTCCAACATTTATTATCGGGCAAATGATAGATTTTTGCTAGCTTGACTGGGGTTAAGTACCACCTATAAATCATTTTCATTATATTTTCTCTTAAGGCATTACAAGCCGTAAATTTCATACCTGTAGTCCATAACCGTTCCCAGTCAGCAAACATAATGTTATGTCCTAAATCTTGTGCCCATTTAATCATAACAGATTTAACCATTTCATCCTGTGTATTCCATTTCAGCAGCAAATTATACATTCTTGACAAATTCTTAGTTTTAGGCTCTAACAATTCAGTTTCCAATTTAGATTTTTCCTCCTGGAAACCAATCTTTTTATCTGAGTTAAAAGCCTCCCTTATTTGATAATAATGAAGCCAGTCTCGAACTTTGGTTTTTAGTTTGTCGAAACTCTGCAGCTTTAGTTTATCTCCAACTTGTTCTAAAATTTCACAGTATTTTGGCCAGTTTGTCTCCATATTAGTTTTTTCTAAGCCTTAGCCTCCATTGGTGACAGCCACCTTGGTGTTTTACTTTCCAACAAATCCTTATATCTCACCCAAACATTAAACAGTGCTTTCCTGACAATATGGTTCTTGAAGGCCTTATGCGCTTTAACCTTGTCATACCATAAATATGCATGCCATCCAAACACATTATCAAAACCTTCTAAGTCCAAAATGTCCGTGTTTTCAAGAAGCAGCCAATCTTTCAGCCAGCAAAATGCGGCTGATTCATAATAAAGTTTAAGGTCTGGCAGGGCAAATCCACCTCTTTCCTTTGCATCTGTTAATATTTTAAATTTTATTCTAGGCTTCTTGCCCTGCCAGACAAATTTAGAAATATCTCTCTGCCACCTCTTGAAACAGTCCATTTTGTCCACAATTTGCAATGTTTGAAACAAAAACAACATTCTAGGCAATACATTCATCTTTATCGCAGCAATTCGGCCCAACAATGATAGCTTCAATTTTGACCATATTTCCAAATCCTTCTTTACTTCTAACCAACATTTTTCATAGTTATCTTTAAACAAATTCACATTTTTAGCAGTCATATGAACCCCTAAATATTTCACTTTATTAACTAATGTTAATCCTGTCTCCTTCTGAAACCTCTCTTTCTCAATCTCTGTAAGGTTTTTTTCTCTAATACCTTAGTTTTCATCTTGTTCAATTTAAAACCTGCTACTTGACCAAATTCTTGAATTAATTGCAATACTCTTTTTGTACTGGATTCTGGCTCCTGTAGTGTCAAAACTAAATCATCAGCAAAAGCTTTCAATTTGTACTGTTTAGCTCCGAGTTGTATACCTTTAACCAATTGGTCTTTCCTAATCATATTGAGCAAAACCTCCAGGACCGATATAAAAAGCAATGGGGAGATTGGGCAACCCTGTCTTGTTCCTTTCTCTATCTTAAATTCTTCTGTAACTACGTTATTTACAATCAGCTTAGCTTTTTGTTCTGAATAAATTGCACCTATACCGTTTTCAAAACTTTGACCTACCCCCATCCCCTGCAGATTTTTCTTCATAAAATTCCAAGAAATATTGTCAAAGGCTTTCTCCGCATCCACAAATATTAAAACCGCTTTGGTATTAATATTAACCTGCAATTTTTCTAAAATATTAATAATATTCCTCGTATTATCTGACAGATGTCTCCCCGGGAGAAAGCCCGCTTGATCTTTATGGATTTCTTTCACCAATACCTTTTTTAATCTTTTAGCCATAATTTCCGCAAAAAAATTGTAATCCACATTAAGTAGGGATATGGGACGGTAGTTCTTCAACTGTGTCTTTTCCACTTCTGTTTTCGGTATGAGTGTAATGTATGCTTCTTTCCACGACTCGGGTGCTTTTCCTCCCCTTAGTATTTCATTGCAAACTTCTTTCAAAGGTTGCATTAACCATTCTTTCAAAGATTTATAATACTTTGCAGTTAGACCATCTGGCCCTGGAGATTTGCCCAATTTCATATCCTGAATAGCTCCTTCCACCTCTTGGTCAGATATTATAGAGTTTAGTATTGATTTACTCTCTTGAGATACTTTTTGTAAACCATTAATTTTCAAAAACTGATCAATGTCTAATTCTTTCTGGGTCTCCTGCGTATATAACTGTTTAAAGTAGTTCTGGAAACACTTTCGAATCTCTCCAGGATTCTGTATATTCTTCCCTTCTACTACCAAGTTCGTAATAGTATTAAGCTTTTGTCTTTTTTTTCATTTGCCAGGCCAATAATTTCCCACACTTATTTGCCGATTCAAATGTCTTTTGTTTCATCTGTTTGATCTTCCATTCTATTTCCTTATTCATCAGTTTCATATATTGTACTTGGTATAACTTTATCTCTTTTAAAATCTCCTGTGAGTTCGGTTTCACCCTCAGTCTTTTTTCTCCATCTTTAATTTTCTCCAAAATTTTTTCTCTCTTCTCATTTTGGTGTCTTTTCCTAATTGTGTTTTGTTGTATCAGCAATCTATTGATTTTGTACAATGGTGTAACATTTCATATGCCTTTTCCATCCCACACATTATCAATGGCAACATGCTTTTTAGACTATAGTCTGCTAAGATCCCTGAGTCAGTCACTTTTACCCATATAAGAAGCAAATGGTACTAGTACTAGATTCTGCAGTTGTTGTGGACAGAGCTGAGCATTGTGGTTGGATGGGATGCTAAGCAGTTACACTATAGAGACAGTTCTGTATTACATATGGGGATTATCTGGGATTAATTCCACCAAGTGACCACACTGTCAAGCTGATTGGCTTTCTGTATAGCAGCTTGTGGAATTTATCCCACTGCCAGGTTTGCTGCTGTGTAGGGTTTTGAATAGAGATATGATGTACTGGGGCCTCTAAACTATATCCAAGTAGGTTCCTGTTTCTGGACTGAGACAACATTGCAAGGAGAGGTTACATTGAATCAACCTGTCCAGTCTCCAGTATTCAGAACTGCTTTGCCAGTCTGGCAGGCAAAAGGGTTGAGCCTTCATAATTTGCATTCCAGATTCAGTGCAGAACTGTGATTAGGAAATAAAGGTATATTACTGTGTCCAGAACACTTCCCGTATGTCCAGTTGGGAGCTCAGGAACCTGTCATCTGACCAAGCCTTGAGTATTCATATTGAGAGGACAGTAAATGGCTCTTATTAGTAGTGGCCTTGTTGTTATGGATTAGCTGTTGGAATCAGTGGTGTAGCGTGGGTTGTCAGCACCCGGGGCAAGGCAAGTAATTTGCGCCCCCTAACCTGTAGATTTGCGCCCCCTAACCCTAACCCCCAGATGTTGCGCCCAGTGCGGCCGGCCTCCCCTGCACCCCCCACGCTATGCCACTGGTTGGAATGCAATACTTTTAAGTCATTACGTTTTCTGAATTTTGTTTTTAAACCCTCTAGTTATTATTATGTAGGAAATATTTGTAAACCTCATAATGTGTACCGTACCTGAAAGGACTCTCAAAAGATATCAAAGTGCTCAAAATGTAGTATTACGGTTGTGTCGATCTGAGTCCTGAAACATGTTTGTTAACATCAGAGAATATGAAATTCTCTGAATGAATCCTCCTAAATAAACCCCTTCTCATCTTCTTCACAGTGTTCACAACTACACCCCCAAGGTTGGAGAGCTTGATACAAGGAAAGCCATCCGGCAAGCATTTGATGTTTGGCAGAGGGTGACTCCGCTCACCTTTGAAGAAGTTCCTTACCATGAAATTAAAAGTGACAGAAAAGAGGCAGATATTATGATATTTTTTGCTTCTGGTTTCCATGGTGACAGCTCTCCTTTTGATGGGGAGGGTGGATTCCTAGCCCATGCTTATTTTCCTGGACCAGGGATAGGAGGCGATACTCATTTTGATTCAGATGAACCATGGACACTGGGAAATTCTAACCATGATGGTAAGATGACGTGGGGTTTTTATAACAGTATTTTTGATATGATATTTCATGAGGCAGTTGGCTTGCAGAAAGGAAGAGGTGTCATCACAGGACTTCCTGTAAGAATGTGGTCAAAAGTTTGGTGATACTGAGGTGGACAAAAATCCGTGCTCCCCCCCCACCCAAGAACATGAGTTTGCCCTCCAAAAAATAATGCCAGTTTTGCTTATAAATCCAAAGCAATATGACCCGACAGATGAAATTTAAATGGCACTCTGATCTAGCTGCCTGAGAAACTAGAACAATTCTCAGGGAAAAGGGAAAAGAGAGAAAATTAATTGATGAAATTAAGTTTACACAAAAAGATTAATTATTGTAAGTACTAAGTAGATATTACATCAAATGTTTCAGATGCATTTGAGATCCAAACTGCACTCAGATCTGTATAATTGACATTTGAACAGGATGTACATTTCTAACACCCTACAAAAGTCCAAACAGAAGAATTCATTCCTGGATTTGGGGAACTGTGTCTACGCTAGTTGGACTTTAGGGATGTGCAATCTATTCAAACATCATTCTTGTGCATCAGTGTTCAGAAGACTCTTGGGATAAAACAACCCATTAGTTGGGGCAAAAAGGCCCATTGATAGTAGAAAAGACTGTTGTCCAATCTGGGTTCAAATAGATTTCAAGTGAGTGATTCTGTAGCCCAAGGTCTGATGATAGCATCTTTTGCAGAGACGATTCTGTGCAGTGATGTTTTTCCAGTAAAGTCCGTGCTATAAATACAATTATTATTTTTTAACAAGGCTTCACTGTGAAATGTTCTCCTCTAATTATGGTGATTATGTGGGAAATACAAATATTTTAAATCCCAGTATATTCTTCAAGTAGGTAATACCACAGTATGAAGCCACCCACCCTCTGAGGCTGTTACCCAGAGGCTGGGGGAAAATAATTGGATGTAGAGTGCTCAGCTGTGATGAGGGTACTTGCAGAAAATAGATATAGTACTTGATTGTTTCAGGGATTTTGTTAAAGCAATGGTTCTCAGAAGTCTCTCTCTCTCTATATATTTGTACCGATTCTTCTGATTTTGTATTATTGTTCCCCACCACAGTATTTTTCTGGTTTCATGTTGTGTGATGAGGTTGCCTTACTCCACTGTAGAAATTACATAAATATAACATAAACATAGTATCTCCTCCATGAATGTGGGGCTGTGGTTGCTGCTAAAATTGGCTTCTGCGTGGTTGGGACTCCACATGACTGTCATTATATATACAATTGCTTAAGAAGCCACTTTGGGAGTCTTAGTGTCCTATGCAGTGCTTGTATGGGGACTTGCTATACATTTCAGTTGATTCATGTAGGAAGCCTGCTATAAGTGGAAAGGCAGTGGTATAGTTACTGCCCAAAATTGCTTTCAGGGCTCCTTGTGAATGCTGTAATATGGATATTAAGCATTTGTTGTTTATGTACTACTCACACTTCGTATCAGATCATTGTGAAGTTGCCATTTCTCACCTACCTATAGTTAATGAAACCACATCCTATTTTACCACCACATTGAACCATTATCATTTTTAAAATATTTTGTATGCCCCAATCCTAAGCATCTTACTTTGGTTCCTCTCCCAGTAAGCAGGGAGCCCTTCATGTTTAATTATTGTAAATGAAAATGTATTTTTAAAGATTAGAGAGAAGGCAGAACAAATATGGAACAACTGCACAGCAAAATAAACTACAGATTCAGAGTTCTTAAGATGCATTGGTTAACCCCTATATGCCATCCTGGTTGAGACAGAGGTGGCACCCCCTCCCCCAATGATAAAGTAGACTTTCAAAATCTGTATCCCAGACAGGTGAACCCTTGTCCTCAATTTCCTCAAATAATGTCCTTTCAAAACTGGCAGTGTAGTCCCTTTCTCCCTTGCTTTGAAAATTATACTGATTACCAATACATACTTCTTTAGCCCCCACCACTTCCTCAGCTATACAGGCAAACATATAGGGAAGGGCTGTAGCTCAGTGGTAAAACAGCTCCAGGTTCTGCTGGTACAGACTCCTGCTGGAAATATTGGAGAGCAGTCAGTGATGCTGAACTAGATGGAACAATGGTCTCACGCGGTATAATGCAGATTTTGATGGTCCTGAACCTAGATCCACAGCAGGCTGAATCCTGGGCATTGACATTTGCATTGATTTTATATAAATATATATATATGCAGGCTGTTGTTGGTGTGGCAGGTATAGGGATTTATTTGTTTAACCTGACTGCTGGTGACCCGAGATGAATTCTGGATCACTTAGTACTTTTGAAAGGTGGTGAAAAGCATGAAAAGTCCAGTGTGTAATTAGGGGCTCCAGGTGCTCTGCAACAAAATTGTTCTATTACACAAACCAGTAATTTAATAGATTATTAGCTTCTCATGAACAATTAGGTACAGAGAAATCCTGGGCCTCTGCAGCCTTCCTATAACTCAAGATGGCTTTGCTTCACCCATAATGCCCCAAGGACTGTTGATTGGGGGTGGTATCCTAACTAAGGCTGTGTGAACCATTTACTCAGCACTCATTATGTTTCCGGTGCTAGGCTGTAATTCCATGTTCACATGGCATTATCCAAAATGCATTCGTATCCTGTGCTTTGCCATGAAATATTACTGTCTGATGTGTTTTTTCTCAAATTAGCATCTCTCCGACTGGAATCCTTAAGCCATTCCTAATTTGTGTCTAGACAAGCTGTGAAACACCTTGGCATACAAATCTGAAACAAATGAAACCATGAAGCTGTGCTAGTGTGAACAGCTGGGGTGGTGTTGGGGGAGGGGGAGAGCCGTGAAATGCATAGCGGGGGTATGGGGACGACGACACTCACTGCAGTCTGAGGCAGTAATGTCAACACCCCCAAACTATACTTGGAGAAGTCCATTGATGTTAGTGAGTCTATTCTTAGTATGATTTAATTGAGTACCACACCACATGATTTAGATAAGGCTATTCCACATTTTGCTGTCATACCCTAAATTCAGATAGCAACTGTCCTTTATTCAAACATTGTACTGCAAGAACTAAAAAGGACAGTCACTAGTAACAAAATAAATGCTTATGCCGTGACGCTGGACTAAATTAGGAGCTTTTCTTCAGACCTTACCGAACCCTTCAGATGACACGTCAGTTTTTTTGCAGTTCCTAAACAATTTTGATTTCTCAGGTTGTTTTAAGATCTGCTCTTAGAACTCTCCTCTGTGCCTTTCTGAAAATCAGGCAGTTATTACTACGGAAAAAAATTGACTTAAGTGGATGAAACCATTTCAACATTCTATCCACTTTCTTTTATCTACTTTGCTATATTATCTGCTTTGCTATCCTATTAAAGGGGCTCATCTAATCTTTGCCATCGTATTAAAACTATCTCCCTTCTGTCATTCCTACTTGTTTAGACCCCGGTCACATGTTTGTTTCATTTCTCTTACTTTTCAACGTGCTGCTACACGGTTAGGACTTCCTTTCACTTATTTTCAACTTACAGAACTGAAATAAATGAAGAGTGTCTCATTAATAATATTGTTGCCATGCTGGCAAAGCTTAATTCTCAGTTTAATAACAAAGTAGGGCAGTTATAGACAGATTAGGATCAGCCACATTTTACTTTAAATAATCATGGTTTTGTTGTCATTACTCTCAACCACACATGTGATTTATTTTATGGCCTACTTGTTTAATAACCTTGTCTTTATTTATCAGATTACTCCTGTTTTGACCGCTAACCACCCGTCACTCTTTGAGGACATCCATTTTCATGTTGATAAGAATCAGTCCTCCCGATTTCCCAAATGAAACTGTTGTACTGTTTGTAACTGTTTATTTGATTTTATTTGCTCTGATCCCAAGACTCCAAATGGATTTTTTAAAGGCACAGTTTTGTACAGAAAAATAGAATTCCAAAATCCATAGGCATGCAACTTTTAATACCCTTTGCCTCAGTCCTTTGCTTCATGAGATGTCCTTCAGCAACAAAGCCATTTGATGCAACAAAGGGCATGTCTAGGATGCATTTTTGCCTCCCTTATTTTGATGCTGTTCTGACTCTCATTAGCTTCTAGTCATCACTTTCCCTAAACTCCAAAAGCCCAGTGCTACATATTTTACTTTTAAGATGCTGATCAGGGACTTCTTCACAAACAGTTAATTGAATCTGGGGCATATGTCTTTAGACTCCGGTTTTATATTCTCTCTCTCTCTCTCTCTCTCTCTCTCTCTCTCTCTCTCTCTCTCTGACTTCTCAAAATATATTCTCTCAATTTTGCAGAGTGATTCAGTCATTGTCTCTTTTGCTGGTTTAATTACACATTGTCAACAGTCTTTTGCAATCTCTTATCACATTATTTTTAGCGGACAACGAAGAATCTGTTGGTGCCTTAAAAGATGAATGTGTCTGTTGTGCCATAAATATGAACCAGGGACTTCCTGGTCATACTCTTACCAATTTCAATGCACCAGCTACTGCATCTGATGTTCATCTAATTAGACCAGGTGCATTGCAAGACTTATTTTTAAAAGTATTCCTGCTGAGCCTCTATGGTGGTTGGATAAACTGCTTTATCTTCTTCTTTAGAATTTTGTTAAGCTTGTTTGTTAATGTTGTTAACACCCTGTGGATGTTGACGCTGATGCTTGTAACATCTTGCCTCTGTAGGAAATGACCTCTTTCTCGTTGCGGTGCATGAACTGGGCCATGCCCTAGGCCTTGAGCACTCCAATGACCCCAGCGCCATCATGGCTCCTTTTTATCAATATATGGAAACGCACAACTTTAAGTTACCACAGGATGACCTTCAAGGAATCCAGAAGATCTATGGTAAGATGGTGCCTGGTTTATTAATTGCCATTGGCAGGATGCCAATTCCTCATCGCCTCCCATAAGCTCAGGCAACTTCAGGTACTGAAATATACGGATGTATATATTTATCTGGGATGTGTGGGCATGTGGTGGCTGTGCCCATGTTGTTGTTTTTTTAATAAAGCTTATAGCAAGGGAAAGTGCACTTAAAATAACTCCCACTTATTTTTCATTACCAATCAATTGTTCACGTAAATAAACCTCTTCTGGAAAATGATCAGGGTCTGGGTTTGACACACTGCAGTAAAAACAAAGATGACTTCCAAAGCTGAACAGCAGTCACCTAAAACTGCCTCTTCCCATGTCTTGCATCTTGGTAACTGATAAACAGGGCACTCTTAGAATACTGTCATCAGGGAACCTTGAGGCCTTTCCAGATGTTCACTGTGAGCATTGAACAGGTCACTGAGCAGGTGAGCAGGATGCATATGAAGTGACTTTCCCTTGTAATTGCATGGGGAAATTGCATTTCCCCCCTACTGTAATATGCTGCTGACTGGTAATATTCCATTTCCATCCTGCGCAACTGTTGTGAGTATAACCAACTAGTAGAATAGTTGCTCAAGTCTGACAAATATTTCAGTGTTCAATCTTCCTCTCTTACTCCCTCCCCCTTCCTCCAAACTGTCAGCATTTTAAGAAGTATTTCAGACTGCAATATCAATACAAAAAGGAATTCTTAGCCAGATTTTAAAATGAAATCATTTATATAGTACCAATTCCAGCAACGCTGCCCTTTCTCCCACAGCAACACTCTGCCACTGTTTGATCCTTTGCCTCCTTTTTCTGTTTTCATTAAGTTCTATGGACTCCCCCTTTCCAGTACTGGAACACACATTTTTACTGACAACCACCCCCTTAAAATAACAATGAAGAGAAGAGCAGCAAAACACACACACACACACACACACACACACAAGCCATGAAAAGAGCTCTCCCTTTCAGTGTTATCCTACTTGCAGCAAGGCCACATCCTTCCAATGGGATATTGTGGTGCTGGTACCATGTAACAGTGTTCCAAAAAACTAAATTGTGAGGGTTTCTAATACCTCAGTGATTATGACATGAGAAGCAGCATAAAAACGAGAACTCAATCAAGATGAAGAGTGTTCCACTGTCAGGATGTCACCACCGAGAAGGTTTTTCCCCTGGTAGCCAGCTCTGCTGTCTTTTGGATGTTGAAGAATAAGGAAAACGAAGAATAGATTACAACCAACATGTAGAGGCAGGCAGTCCTTCAGGTACCCTGGCCCCCCAAGAGCTTTAAAAACCCAAACTGGCACTTTGACATAGGAGTTAGTGCAGTTGAACCACCAACATATGACCATAATGCCTAGTTTCAGTTAGCTGAAGAGTACAGGGGCTGGCTAGATTGCCAATGCAGTGTCTGAACAATCTTCAGAGGCGGACCCATGTATGAGATACTTCAGTGGCCTAATGAGGTTACTAGAATGCAGGAAAATAAATTGGTAAGAATTTAAGTGATTGTCATGCATGTGTCATGCATGTGTGAATCAGCCCTCTTTATCATGCTGCCAAGTTGCTGGGGTGCAGAGTGGGGAGAGACTTATGATACACCCAGTGCAGTTGTGTGGTTAAATGGTCACCTGTATCCAACCAGATACACTACTCCTTTTGCAAAGGGGCCAACACTTTTTTCTTTGGCTCCAGCCTGAGACAGCTTCAATTTGCAGAATCTGGAGCTGGCTCCTACTGTTCACCACCTGAAAATAGCCACTTCCATCTTATACACCTCTCCTGACTCCAGCTATAGGACATTCCTTTACAAGGTTTGTGGCTAAGGAATAGAAAGTATATGTATAAACTATGTGAATTTGATGTATGCTTTTGCAGAGGGTTGCTTCTGAGGGCCTTATTGCTATGCAGTGAGAGCAGTTAGCTCTCATTGGGGTTTATATATCCTGATATTCTATACAGCAGATACAACAGCAAATTTTGGAAACAGCAACCAAGACAAGGGGAACTTTAAAAACCTAGATTACTTGGGGGGAACCTTTAGGTTAGACTCTTGGATTAAGTTTTTGAGGTACTGGGATGCAAAGGAGTAAAATAGGGTGGCTTTTAAGTTAGAGTCTTATCATTTATTAGATTTCCTACCTATCCTTCACCATGAGGTCCCGGGTAGGAAAGATATCTAATATTAACTATGAGGTCCTAGGCAAATGGACGGGCCAGTTCCAATGCAAAGGTCAGGTGCTGTTGCTAGATGATGTTACACAAAAGTATGAGCATGATTGGGATGAGAGAGCAGGAGACTCTTAATCTCAGGGTCTTGGGTTGAAGCCCAACATTGGAAAAAGATTCCTGCATTGCCGGGGTTGGACTAGATGACCCTCGTGATCCCTTCCAACTCTACAATTCTATAATTCTGTGATCTACAGCCAATAATTTTGACAGCAAGTTGAGGATGGTGATTATGTCTGTGGTGGAAGGAAAGATTTTGAGAAAAAAATGGGAAGGAGTGTTCAAGCTTTGTGATGGTCTTTCAAATGATGGGTACAATATTCAAGCTGCTCTCTCTTCCCTCTTTTTTTTAATTTAGGCCCACCTGCTGAGCCACTAGAACCCACTAGACCTTTACCAACCCTTCCTGTTCGTAGAATCCATTCTACTTCAGAAAGAAAGCATGACAGACATTCGAGACCTCCCAGACCTCCTCTAGGAGACAGGCCTTCTACCCCAGGCAGTAAACCAAACATTTGTGATGGGAACTTCAATACTGTGGCTCTCTTCAGAGGAGAAATGTTTGTTTTTAAGGTAGTGAAAATCATCCTGTCAAAGCTGTTTTCATTAATCTTTATATATTACAAATGCATGTATAATTAATTAAATGCCACAAAAAATTCTTGGTATTTTAATCTCTGCAGTTGTTTTTATTGGTAGATGTCTTAGAATGTTTGTTGTGATAGCTGAAATAATGTGTTTCCTTCAGTAACACTTAAACTAAGTGAAACGTCTTAAATCTAGGACAAAAATATACATCAATTTTTCACTTGCTTCCAAATGAGCCCTGCAGATGTAGTTCCTGTTTCCAGCATTTGTCCTGATCAAGGAATCTTCTCTAGTATTCCAGAATTCTACCTTCTTAATGAACAGTGTGTGTAGATCAGACGTGTGTGAGACTCTTTGGATTGTATTCAATTCAATTTTACTCAGAGTAGACCCATTGGTCTGCTCAGAGTAAAAGATGAACACAGCCCTCTGTGATTCACTCTGGTCTTGCTACTGAATTTTATTTTGAGGCTTTAAACATGGAGAATATCATAAATAATAAAGTACACTATTTTTTTGTCTGGGGTAATGATTTGGTCGCAGGAATAGCGAAAGAAGTTCTGAGCAGGGCAGGAAATTACAGCTTTTGGACATGGCAGTTAGTGGCACTATTTGGCACTTTTTTGAGGTGGCAGTTATTGCTTAGTAAGATTGTTTTTTTTATGATTGGTGCCGAATATAAGATAACAAAGCAGAGGAGGAGTCCAATTCTGCCTGAGAGGAACACTGAGTGATCTGAAAGTTAAAGGGATGTCTGACGTTAGTAAACCTGAGAGTGCTGTGATATTTTAAAATTAACTTCATCACTTCATGTTGGAATCTGATGCAGACATTTAACAAGACTCTTCTTTTTCCTCCTTCTTTTTCCTTTAGGACCGCTGGTTTTGGCGTCTCCGTAACAACCGAGTGCAAGAAGGCTACCCCATGCAGATCGAACAGTTCTGGAAAGGGCTCCCTGCAAAAATTGATGCTGCCTATGAAAGATCTGATGGAAAATTTGTTTTCTTTAAAGGTAAACATTTTGAGGTTGTATCCTACACTGCGTGAGTGAACTCCCCCTTCCTGTTGTCCCCCAAACCTGTTCCAGAGGAAGGCAAAGTCCCATTGACTGTTGCTGATTATAGATATCTTACCCACCCTCCTCTCCCGCTTTCTTGCCTAGGAGATAAATACTGGGTTTTCAAGGAGGTGACTGCAGAGCCAGGTTACCCCCACAACCTAGTGGAATTGGGCAGCTGTCTTCCCCGGGAAGGGATCGACACAGCTTTAAGGTGGGAGCCTGTGGGCAAAACCTATTTCTTCAAAGGAGACCGATACTGGAGGTATAATGAAGACAAGAGAGCAACAGATCCCGGCTACCCCAAACCGATCACTGTGTGGAAAGGAATCCCACAAGCCCCGCAAGGAGCTTTTGTCAGTAAAGAAGGCTGTAAGTATTAAGCTTATTTAACAGCTTAGTAGTGTTTAATAATCCTCCATGTGTTGACCTTTGCATTCAGATTGTATTAAAGCCTGAACATTTACAAGATTGCAGACACATGTAGTCATGGACATTTACTTGCCCATATAATATATATCCACCCACCCCAAAGTAAACTTGAGGCAGATATTTGTTTCATAGCACATGATATTCTTCCTAAACTGGGTGATTGATTGGTTTTCATCTGAGTTTTTCTCTGATTTTAATAATAATTTTAAAATATCAGTTTTTCTTATCCCCATGAATGCAAGTACAGAAGCAAAAGTTATTTTCTTTGCATAGGGTAAGATAGATTTCCCTCCCTGCTGTTATTCAATAAATATCATACAAACCATCTGTATTTCCAACATAACCACTCCTGCCATATACAGAATATTTTCTCTTCGCTGCACACATCTAGAATTTGTGAATGGCACAGAATGCAATAATATCTGTTTTCTTTTCCAGTTTATACCTACTTTTATAAAGGTAAGGAATACTGGAAGTTTGATAACCAGAGGCTGACTGTGGAGCCGGGATACCCCAGGTCAATCCTCAAAGACTGGATGGGCTGCAACCAAAAGGAGGTTGAACGGAGCAAAGACCGGCGGCTCTCTCACGAAGACGTGGATATTATGGTGACTATAAACGATGTGCCTAGCACTGTCAATGCAATTGCAGTCGTGATCCCCTGCATTTTATCTCTGTGTATCCTTGTCCTGGTATACACAATCTTCCAGTTCAAGAACAAAGAGGTCCAGCAAAGCGTGACCTATTACAGACGACCCGTACAAGAGTGGGTATGACAGGCTCACCAGCTCGTTGGGGCTGACAAGATGGAAGAAGACGGTGACGACTATTGAGGATCGTGGCAACAGGCCGCAGACATTTTGAAAAAGGGGGAGATTGAAGGATAGCCTGCCAAACAAACATACATAACTCTTCAAGAGACTTAGATGAGTCAGAGAGAATTCTGGGACTGAAAGAACAGGAACAAAATTCAATTAAACCCAGGTGGCCTTGCACGGTGGAGCCGCTTTCCTTCTGACTGACTGACTGCCTCAGTGCCGTGTTATGTCTCAGTGTGACATTTTTCACCAACCCACTCAGTGAGTGTCAGAGACCTCAAGAGGAGTTTGCTTCAACCTTTTTTCAACTCACCCGAGCAATCTTCTTCAGTGCCCTCTTTCAAACCCAGCATTTGCCAGTGTAGCCAAACACCTCTCAACAAGTTGTTTTTTTTCTACACTTGTCTCATCAAAAAGAGAGATAATACTGTGGGACACAAAAGGAACACTTCAGGACCTTCTGAAGAAGACATTCTGAGGCTGAGTCATTCTGAAATATTTTAATTTATTACAGGAACCAGGCAATTACCTGGATACTGTTTTTTTCCAATACCTGCTGGTCAGATGTTTTGTACATTCATGGTAATTAGCTGATGTTCCCACTCTGCAATGGCAGACACACATAAAGAGCTCTTAGGAGATAATTCTGTGTAGACCACGACTTCAAACAGCTCTAAAGCCAGATCAAATCACAACAGCAACTAGGAACCGAAATTTGTGAATACAACCAGTCTGCAAGACTAAGCAATTGGGTTTGAACACTAACATGAATGAAGCCCTTAAAACTCTGTTTTTAAGAACCTGTCATGTACTAAATATTTAAATGTCATATTACCACTATTTTAAGTTGGCAACAATAAATTAATTGTTACCATTATAAGATTAAAGGCAAATTCTGTGATATTTAAGAATGTAAGAAGGCTCCTGCTGAATGAGGACAAAGGTCCATCCAGCCCAACATTGTTCTTAAAGTGGCCAACCAGATGCAAGCCACAAGGACATGCGGGTTCCCCAGTGATTGGCACTCAGTAACATACCACCTTTGATACTGTATATGGTACTCTGCAAATACAAGTCCCCTTGATCCTTTTTTTTATAAATGGAGGCCAAGTGGCATGTACATTAGGATGCTTGATATTCTTTAACAAAATTATGATGAGAATTGTAGTTGCAGTAGTGCAGGAAAGGAGTGGCATCCAGACAGAAATTCATGTTTTTAAAATCTGATTTGTTTATTCAAGAGGCATTTATATACCACTTAATCAGGAGTGGGAGGTTATCCTAAAGATTGCGATTTAGAAACTTTAATCTGGCAAATTCTCCAAAATGTATAAAGTAAATTGCAGTATTTTATAGTATCAGTGCTTAAACGATATTGGTGTGCCACATGTATCTTTAAAACAAGAGAGAAAGCTGCACGTATCTTTTAGACTAGTACAGTGGATGGCATTCACTAGTAGAAACTATCCTACTCTGCTTTCCAGGTAGGTATAAAAACTAAGTATTTCTGGTTTACTCATAGGCTAGACAAATCAAGTTGGTTTATTTTGATGCAGTATATTTTTGTCATTCTTGTTGGCAAGACATCAATCTTTTTTGCCTTTTCAGGAGATTCTCTACTTGCTGTTATGCTAGAGACCTATTGGAAATTATAGGAATGTAATCAGAGAAAAACCTTTTGGGGTTTTAATTTTTATTTTCATATCACAAGTTCATGTTGCCAAAACTCTTAAGGACAATACCCAACATCACAGTGTCTTTCCTTTCCTAAATTTCCCCCAAATCTGCTATGGAGGGTTCCCCAATCCTCTGGAGCAGATTTTGAGATGGGACAATCCATTCTGCCAACTGTGTCTGTTCTGCTAGTGGCCTGATCCCAACCTTTTTTATGCCAAAATAATGGAGATGCAGGGCCCACTTGCGAGGAGAGGTGCTTATCCCATGTCCACTGACTGTTGTCTGCACATCCACTCTAGGCTTTCCAACCCCTCAAATTGGGGTAAAAATCATGAACTATTCAAGGTGGCGTTTCCATTCCCTCCCCCACAACTATCCCAAATTCATCAAATTGGTATTACGGGTGAGACACTGGATTGTCCCAGTTTCAGCATGTAACAGTAACTAGAAGATACTTCCCTTATATTACCTTCACTTTCAGGTGAAAGTTTAGAAAAGCAAAGCCATGTCATACTTAAAAGTGGATACACTTAATATATTTGATGTTGCCTTGAAAGCTCATGCCACAATAAGGCAGTCGTAAGGTGCTACAGCATTTTGCCCTTTTTTTTGCAGCTATTGATTAAGTATCAACTCAGGAGAGGATGGCAAGCATGGTTTTTAAATAGGCCATGTTGACTTTTAGCAGTGCATGCAAGTTGCTGCTTCTGTGAACCAACATAAACCTCAGTAAATTGTGTGTGGTTTGCATGCAATCACTATTACTACAATGAACCTGAACAGATGTGAAAGTGCTACAAACAGTGAAATGCAGGTTGACAGTACTTGCTCAAATGTTTTTTGCCACCCCCAAATACTGATTTATATGTGAACTTAATTGCAACACTGCAAAGGCTTCAAAGACTTGGGCAGAGTAAAATATCCATACAAGTTGCAAGCTCGGGACTCGGCTATTCTATGGAACTCTTAATATGGTTTTGTTGTGCACCCAGGAATAACTTTCACACTATCAAGCACTTTCAGCACAATTCCAAACACTTGTCCAGTAGCAACTTAGAAACCAACCAAGTTTGTTCTGGGTAGAAGATTTTGTGTGCATGCACACTTTTTCAAATACCATCTGATGAAGTGTGCATGCAACGAAAGCATATACCCAGAACAAACTTAGTTGGTGTCTAGGGTGCTACTGGACAATTTTTTAATTTATTTCAACTGCATCAGACCAACACGGCTACCCACCTGAATCTAATTCCAAACACTGCTACTGTTCTGAAATTACTCACCTGAGAAGCATAAAATTTCCAGAACAAATACTTGATATAATCTAGAAGTTGCATAACTGTCTTATGGCAATCCATTTTTGCTTTAAAAATAATTAAAATTGCCCCATAAGCTTTATCTGCTTTAAACATCTTGGAAGCCTCCTGCTAATAGCTGAGTGGTCCCTATGTAACACATCATCAAGATCACGTATGGTATTAACTAGATTTAGAGTTTTGCCCCATATCTAATTCTGTCAGACTATCCACTTATTTAAAAGGTGCTGCCATCATACGGACTCAATAGGATTTCATCCTTGTCTTGCAGCTCTGCTTTGAAAACACCTCCTTGCTGATACTTGATCTTACCCTAGTACCTAAAAAATTATCTTACAATGTTACTGTATCAATCTATTATAATGTCCCATCTCATTATTATTTGAGTCAGATCTAAATTTGATAAAATCAAATTTACACTGTTATGTACACTGTTACACTGTTAGATACACTGTTATGTATCTAAATCTACTTGTGTTACAATGCAAATTGACACAATTATTAAAGGAGTTTGTCATTTTGCCATACCACACAAACAAAGTGCTCATGAAATCAAACACCAGCACATTTATTAAAGGAGTTTGTCATCTTGTCATACATTTTTAAATGAATGTTTGTCAGGACACTTGAACAGCATCTGTTGTTTCCAAACTCTCTAAAAATTTGAGACTGGCCAGTTTATTAATATTCCAATAATATTCCAATAAATCTGCCTGCTCCTAAGGTGTTACATTTCTGGTTCTCCTGGATTTCAGAGTTTTTGTTTTTTGCTGTTTTCAGGCAGAAATATTTTGCTTTTCTAATCTGTTGATGGGAGCTTGTTTCTAGATTCCACACTTAAGGTGTTAAATGTATTTTCCATTTCTTCCATATTCATAATAGATTTTTAAAAAAACCAAGTAGTCTCTTTTCTACTGGTTACTGCGTAAGTTATTTGTTCCCCTTTTCTTAAACATTCTACCCATCACTTTTGCTAACACCACATTTAAAAGCTGCTGCTGCAGGTTACATTTGCTTCACAGAGCAGTCTGGCTACTCTCAGAAAAATAGCCACATGGCAGAAGAAAATGTCTAGTCCTCTGTGCACACTCAATCTCTTGTCATCTGTGGGTCAGATAGCTAAATCAAATGCCACTGCACTCACATCTGGGATACAGTGGTTTAGCAATTATTATTCAATGTGGTTGCACTTCAAGGCATATATGGATGCTAGATATTTACAAGACGTTCCAATGCGAGCATGTATGGTGAGTGCAAGTTTTATATATATATAAACATGCCTGAAAGTTCTTGCAGTAGGGCATTTTGTGTAACGTCAGTAAGAAAGTACTATAGTGATAAAGGAGCTTTCAATAGTCTATTGGACCACTACAGTTCATAAAGAAAATATGTTGTGAGCTGAACAATTTATTGTTGCACTAGATTCCCTTAACAGCAGTGTTTGCAGTGTTAAGAACTGCAAAACCCCACTATTGTGGGAGGTGGGGAAAGTAATATATTCAGGAAATAATGTAAGCAAACAGTGCAAGACTGGAGGATTAAATGTGTAATACAGGAGCAAGAAACCTGTGGCCCTCTAGATGTTATTGGACTCCCAACTCCCGCCAGCCTAGCCAATAATCAGAGATGATGGGAGCTGTATTTTAGAACTGTCTGGAGGATCAAAGATTCCCCACTCCAGTGTAATACACCTTCAGCTGCTTTTAACTTGTACCATGCTTCATTACTGGGATGTGTTTGAGCTAGATGTATAAAACATGGAGTAGAGCATGCTAGATCACCTTACAGAGGAAGACAAGGGTGATTTTGTAATAGTCAGGAACAATGAGAAAAGACACGATGGCACAATTGAAACAGGTACTTTGGCCAGTAAACTGCAGCAGGGAAAGAAAAAGCTATGAAATCATAAAGTAGCTATGGAAAGCTTTCAAGTAAAAGCCAGATTGTTTAATAAAACGTGTTCTTTCAGAACTCTTAAGTTTGATGCAGCCCTTATCCCTTATATTGAATTCCAGTATCAATGTCCAGAACAACGGTTTTTAGCTTTAAGGTTTATTAGTTTTAACTGCCTTTGGCATTAAGCCTCAACCAAGTGACACCATCACCTACTTCCAAGGATTGCTTCTATCGCTGCGCAACAAAGCAGAGCCTCATAAGAGGCTTAAGATACAGGTTGCAAAGTAGTTTCTTATGACTGAATTGTTAAGGAAGTGTGCATACAACGAAGAGGCCAAAATAAATTATTTCCACCCAGGCTATTTCCTCTAAAGTAAAGGCTCTTCATAACTTCAGCAGATGGATAGGTTGGTCTTTCACCTGGTCTTCCTCCACAGATAAAGGCCAGTGTCATTTCAGAGAACTGCTAGCACATGTTGACTTTACAGAATTATAGGGATATGGCAAAAAGCTCCATGGCTTATTTCAGTCCTTTTAACAGGCAGTGTCTGACTACCAAATTTACATATGACAGCTACATTAATCTAGGCTGCAGGCTATGTAAAAATGATCCAGTAGAAATCCCAGCTCCGTCTGATCGAGAAATTATAGCTGGTTCAGGCACATGCCGGTGAATGCAGAAGGAGAAAACCATTTTGTTTTGTTTTTTTAACCATTATTACATGTAATGACATCTTTAAACATTTTTCTAAAACATACACTCACAATTTGAAAATTATCTCATGAATTAATAAAAGCAGGCCATATTAGCAGAAGTAACAAAAAGGGGCACAGGTGTGTAACATTGTAGTTTAGAAATGCTGATTGTTGTATACCCTTCCTGGTCTAGGTCTGCAGAGTAATAAACAGAGCATTTACTTCAGTGAGCAATCAAGATCATAATCTGGCCTTCAGTGCTTCTGTGGTGGTCAAGGAGCAGCAGATCATGTCAAGCTAAAAAAGGAAACAGAAATGAAGGTTAGCCAAAAATACTTTTGGGGCTCCAGCAAGGCTGTCTTATTTTCATCTCCGTCATCTAAAAAACCAGGCAAGGTGCAACAGGGAATTCAAAACCTGTCACAATAATTGGACTGCATTGTGAAGGTCACTAACTGGATGCATGTAGAAGTATCAGCTATACAGCCATGTCAGTACTGAATTCTCACAATGGTCAGGAGATTAGACATGCCACATAAAGGCAAAGAGTCCAGAGGCCTCCCACTTTATTCACTGCCCCTTTTGGCCATTCCGTAAGCCAGTAGCAAAGCACAATGTGCTCACACAGGTAGCAGATGCATGAGAAGGTGCAAGGTTTTTAAAAAAACTTACAAAGTTTATTATTCTTGAATCGAGTCATGGATCAAGTCACTGCAAATATTAATTACAGGCTGGATACACACACGCATCCCACACAATTTTTTTGCAATACAAAATAAATGTTTACGCAGGTCGTCACAAAATAGATACGGTAGGTCTTGCCTCACTCTGGCCTGCTGCCTGGAAGTTGCTCTGGGCTGCTGCCTTGAGTGAGGGAAGGTGGCCTTTCATTGGCCAGCAACATGGGGCAGGAGGTGCCTTCTCTCTACCTCTACACACCCATCCTGGCAACAGTTCTGCTGGGTGTCCTTCTCAGCCCTCGTCCTCTGTGGCCATCCACCACCACGCGCACTAACTCCCCTTAGGCAGGCTTGGGACAGGCCGGGCAGCGGCCCCGAACAATTTCCAGGGTGAGTCTCTCTCTCTCTCCTCCCTGCGCTCCCCCCCATTAAAGTGGTTTGCTCCCCACTTTATGCAATTTCACTTATGTGCATGGCCCCCCAAAATGTAACCCTCACGTAAGTGGAGTGAAAATGGTGGGTGGGATATATAGAAAAAGTATTCCCTTTGCAAATGATGAAAGTGGTACTAGAACTTCTAGCAGATCAGTTTCACAGACCTTGGCAAGCAGGTGAAAGTACTGAGACAACTGAAGAAAATGAACTATAATCACCATTTGTGAGTAATCACAGGAAAGTTATAATAAGCAAAATGAGAATCCAGGCAGTCACTGACCTTGAGGCGTTTACTAGATTTGTGAGAAAACAAGTGTCAAACCTACCTGTCAATCAAAGAATCTCTCATAGTAGTAGCAATGGTACTTGGCTGTGATTCATTGAGTTTAAAGACACTCTCAATAACAGATAACTCTGTGCTGGTTGTGTCCAGGCCACAGAAGGCACACCAGTCATTCACAACCATTCCAGCTGCAATCACCTCACTGCCACGGTTAACAGTTCCAGCCTGGTAAAAAAGAGAGAGACATTCATGACAGTACCTCTGGCTAAGAGAGATTTTTTTCCCCTTCCCCTCATCTATAACAGCAATACCCAATGGACTAACATCAGAGTTAATACTTCCCACCACCCAGGGTTGGATGTATTATGAGCCAGAAGTAAAGTATATGTAACTGATAATTTAGTTTGGAACCAGTAGCCTTGAATACTTTTTAGTGGAAAGGCAGGATAGAAATATTTTAAGTAAAATATTTGAGAAGGCAATAGAAGCCAAGCCCTCCAGAACCAGTAAGTTAGCTCTTTATGTTTTATCATCATTTCAAAAATAATATAGCCCAGCATTCAGAAATGTCAGAAAAGCCAGGCCCCAATTCTCTAGCCCACAGTTCTCATTGAGTGGCCTTGGGGAATCCACTGGGTCTTTGCAAACAATTTACAGCACAAGTGCTTATCTACTGTGTGGAATTTAAACACAGAGTGTGTTTCTGTTTTGGGATTCTGCATTTCCGCACCCCACTCCACGTAGGCTCCAACTACACATAACATAGATTTCTGCATGTTATTCTCCACTTGTTTCAATCCTTTAAGACTGGAACCAGCTCCACCTATGCAGAAAATGGGTGGCTTAACTCCTTATAGCTGAAAACCACACTATGTGAGCTTTTTTTTCCAGTTTGGGGGACAAATATACCAGTACGTGTAAGATATGGAAACTTCATATCACAACCCCATCCCCTGACTCCCATGGCTGAGAAAGCAACTTGCTAAGAAGGGACCAGAGAGGCTAGAGTTAACCTCATTTTCCTCACACCCACTTTTGCTCAGAAACAGGCTGCCCTGGCTGCTAATTAATATGTAGAAATAATCATCAATATATGCGATCAACTTAACTGTTAATGTACACATCACTTTTCAGTGTTAGCTATAGTAACTGATAGGATTCTCTTCACAGTGTGTGGATTCTAAAAGGCAGACAATTAGGGTAAGTGAAGAGTTGAATCAAAACAAGATTGCCACTCCAAAGTTCTCTTTACAGAATTCCAGGAGAAGCAGCATCAAAAGCTTTTATCCCTTTTAAGTCAGTTTCTTAAGAAGGGTACTTGTCAAATAGCTCTAGACTGATCCTTTTGAAACCAATTATAATCACTAACACTGTATGCAGCCAATGTAACAATGGCACGCTGATATTTTTCATTTAATCAATGTTATTCCCAAAGCACATTTCAAACCCCTCTCCCCAAGACACTCTCAAACACTCAGTTTTGGATGTATTTCACGTCATTAAGCATTTCATGTTAATGTAAACATTCACTCAAATTCTTCATTGCTCTTCATATTCTTCTCCCCACCCCACCCCACCCATTCTCCTAGTATACACATTTTTCTGTTTTGGGAAAAGAGAGTAATCTTGTGCTTTTATACATTGCCCAGGGTCATTGCCTAACCATTTAGGAATGGTTAGAACTGGTGCTAGAAACTGATCTCGTGTTTTGAATTGGCCAGGGTGTGGCTATGGTAACTCAGTCATAAATACAGAGGGTATGGTCTCTGATCTCAGTCTTATGAGACCACTAGGTGTGGGGGGCGGCAGCAGACAACTCAAACTCAGCCTGTTAACTTCTTCACAGTGTAAGAAAACTGGGCATAAATAAATAAAATAAATAAATAAAAAATCAGCAGAAAGAGTAGTTACCACAAGTGGGACTTGTAGCAATGAGGAGAGCTCATCCTGGTCTTCAATGGAAGTCTTGGGGTGCACAAGTCCTCCCTGGTTGCTGAAAGCACAATAACTTCCCACCAACACTTGTTCTGCTACCGTCTGCCTAAATACTTCCACTTTTAGTACGTCTGCTAAAATCTCTTCTGTCTCCTGTAAAAAAAATATGAAATGTTTAAAACCAGCACTGTGAACACATCAAACCTTTCCTAATTAATTAAAAGCAAATGCCAAATCAATTTATCTCATTAAGAAATGTACACATGATCGCAATATTAATATAAAGGCCTTTTTGAGAACTAAACTCTCAGTTTAATAAACAAAAACCACCACTCATGTTTAGAAGAGCCTGTGTTTAGATACTGGCCATGGAAGGGCTGTTGCTCTGTGCCAGTCCACCACCAGAGACCTGCGGAAGGTCTCAGATTCAATTCAGGGCTGAGGAAGACTCTTGCCTTCAACCATGGACAGCCACTGACAGTCAGTATAGACGGTACTGACTTCTGTGAACCAATGAAATAAAACAGCTTCCTAGGTTGCTAGGTGATTTCAACTGAGCATGATCAGTTTCCATTGCCTCTGACCATAGAATCTCAAGTCAGTAGTGATCAATAGCACACAGCATGTAGTTCTTACTGCTGGAAGGAAAGCCATATTAAAAGCATTTACTACAACTAGAATAGAATTAGCATGCTGCTGCCACCAACTTTTTGTGTTTTTATATTGTAAATCATCCTGTGATCCTCAGTTGAAGGGCAGTATAGAAATTTAATAAGATAAAAAATAATAGTTTAAATGATAACTCCTTTCTTCCATTCTGCCAACTGTCTCTGTAACTATGTCTCTGGCATCCTGCCTTCCAGTTGTTGTAAAATTCAGCTGATGGTGTCAAGAGCCTGGAAGAGAGGATGTCAAAGTTCGCAGGCAGCTCAGCTACTGAACCTTGTGTGGAAGAAGGAGGCTCCTTTAACTACTATCACTACTTAACGTAAGTAGCGGTAGCATGCCAATTTCCGAAAAATTCAGATCAAAATGAACTCATTTACTCTGTCAATGTCTGGATGGACAAGTGCTACATAGTCATTGCATGTAGTGACATTGCCCAAGGCAGAGAGGCGCTCTTCCACTCGCTGAATTCGTACGGAGTCTGGAAGACTGTTTCGGATGTGCTGAAGCTCCTGGTCCGTGGTATTGTTTGGGACTAACAAGCCATGCCGGTTTCCTAAAAGAAAAGGGATGGGGGAGAAAAGAGACCCAATTCAAGATTCAGAAGTAACAGGTCTTTCATTTTCTTTCTCCCCCAAACCTGGATGCCATAAAGCAATGAATGAAAAAAATCACTGGTTGAGTTCACAGGTCATAGTAAACAATACTTAACTGTTTACCATGAACACACAGATGGCTTCACTCCTCCCCTAGTGGTAGCAGAAACAAACCATGATCCCTGGCTTATGTAGGGACTGGGATGTGTAGTTTCTTTTGCTCAAACAATTGGGAAGACAAGAACAAACTGACTTAAGATCATGGTTTGTTTGAAGAAACACAAACAGCCACTACCCAGAAAACAAATCCTGGGATCATGGTTTGAAGCTCCCATTTGCACTAGGGGAGAAGAAAAGTGGGGCCACCTGCATGTTCACAGTAAACTATTAACTGTGTGAACTCTGCCACAGAATCACAGAAATGGATCTAACCCAACTTCCTGTGACACCTTTCTTGCTTTTAATGGAGTACAGAAATGCATTCACAAAGCAAATAACTACAGACACCGAATGCAAGTAAACTAAGCCATATACTCCCGCCCCAGTATAGGGTCACCGAATACTCATTCAGATATGTAAAATTTTATATAATAAATGCAATATATCTAGCTAACAAACTAGTGCCAGAAGAACTAAATTCTTAATTTACATAACTTAAAACAAGTTTATATTATTTTTTTAAAAATATATCTTGTCTTTCTGCTAGATAACAGGTTTCTAAGGTACAAAAAACATTTTTTTAAAATAGAAAGCAGTGAAAATAGTCTCCACCTTTAATTTTTATTCCTGGACCTGGAGTACCTCCTCTTGGGAATTGGACATTCTGCAGCTGCTAGATATTCCTGGAAACAGTGGTGACTTAAGTCGCAAGAGGACAGTGATATTAGCTATCTGCTTCCCAGCTCTTAGATAACATTATGTAAGAGCGCTTTAACAGTAATAATAACAGTATACTACCATCAGTTCACATTGCTGTTTACTGTTAATATTAATATTGTCTGAAAATTATTTTTCTCTTCCTTTTTCCATCCAGCTCAGTGTTGTCTACACTGACCAGTGGCGGCTTTCCAGAGTTTCAGGAAGGGGACATTCCCTGCCCTACCTGAAGATGGTGGAGATTGAATCTGGGAAGCAGATGCTGTATCACTGAGCTACAGCATTTATATTTTAAGAAGGATTAAGACAACCCAATTGGAGAATGCAACTTACCCACACACATTCTGCCAATGATTCGACATCCGGCAATTGAAGCATGAACTACAGGGATGGTATCCGAAAGCTCCCCTTCAAAAACACTAAAGCACAGCAGAATGAAAATTGTAAAACGGTACCAAATTCAACATGACTACATTGTCAAGGACTCAAATAAAGGAGAAACTTTCACAAGGATAGTCATTCACATGAGTCTCTTGCAGCAAATACAAATAGCTCTCGCAGCATCTTAACCAGTAACAGATTTATCCTGGCATATGGCTTTATTGTGGCATAAACCAACATGGCATGACATGAGCTTGTTGCTAAACTGGAAGAACAATTTATCAACTGAAGAGGCAAACAGCCTTTGATGAAAACAGAGAAACCAACCAACCAACAATAATGGGTCAGTGACTCTTTTTCAATGCTGGAGATGGACTCTGAACTCCATTCCATCTCTTGCCATTCTCCAAGGCTCAAAAAAAGAAAAGATACTAAATTGCAGGTACATAAAAACAACAATTTATTTCTTATACCCCACCCATCTGACTGGGTTGCCGCAGCCACTATGGGCAGCTTCCAACAAAACACAGGGGTCGATGACGCATCAAACATTAAAAGCTTCCCCAAACAAGGGCTGCCTTCAGATGTCTATGAAAAGTCATACAGCTGTTTATCACTTTAACATCTGACGGGAGAAAATTACATAAAGCCAAAACGTTGCTACAGCTCCTTTACAGATCCTTTCTGGGCCCGCCTCCCTCCTCATTCATTCCCCTTGAAAGAGTGCAATCCAAACTCCTCAGAGCCCTTCTACAAGTTCCTAGATGCATTTCAAATGCATGGGTCAGACTAAAAACAGGGATGATGAAGCTCATATCAGTCTAACATCAATATATAAGTGGCTAACTCTGAAACTGCTCCCCCGAGGAATAGCCCCATTGATTCTGAGTGACCAGTTTCAGTCTGGCTGGCAGACAGCAGTCTTAAACACTCTTCAGAAACTGGGCCTTGCTCCCCAAACCCTCATAACTATGGGTCTGGGCCAAGCTAGATCCGTGGTTAGGCAAATAATCATGGACATAGAGAGACAACAGGACTGTACAAGGGTCCCCGATTATAGAATCATAGAAAATGGGAGATACGTAGCCGCTCCAGCTACATATCTCTTATTTCCTCGCATCCAGAAAAACAAGAAGGGCTTTCACTCTTGCTAGAAGCTTGGCCTTGCCCTCACCGGTTCTGGAAGGCTCCTACAGAAGAGTCCCATACACACAGAGACTTCGCGCCTGCTCATTAGGGGAAATAGGAAGCCCCGACCATATATTTTTTAGATGTCCTTTTTACGCTGAGATTCATAGAGACACCATTGATCCTTTGCTGAAGAGGCTCGCCAATCTTTCAGACAAGTTTAAAGTTAAGTCTCTCCTCTTAGGCAAAGACCACAAGACGACCTGGCTGGTAGCCAGATTCTGCTCCCAGATTTGTAGGCACAAATCTAGAATAAAATAGCTTACTAGGGAAAAGCTTAAGTCGCCCTTTGGGGCGCCTCAGGGTCAATTTTTATGGTAGCCCAAATCTCAGTTTTACAGGTTATGTATATATCTCAATTTTAACTCATGAGCTACTGCTGCAATCCAATCTAATTGTATATTTTATCTTTATGAACACTGTTTTTATTGTGTTATGCGAGCTGGTCTTTGACCTTAATAAATTATCTCATCTGAGGGGAGGGCGTGCCACTGGGGGGTGTGACTACTGAGGAGGCCTCCTTGCAATGAGGAAACAGCCAGAAGGCCCTCAGTGTCCTTCGGATATACAGGGCGCTGGCCATTTAGGGCTTTAATGGTCATCACCAGTACCTTGAGTGGTGCTTGGAAACAGGCCGGGAGAGCCAATAATAGATCTTTTAGGACTGGTGTGATGTCACCAGTGCGGAAGCTGCATTGGGGATTAAGAACAGTTCAAAACCTGCCACCCATAACTTGCCCAGGGCCTTAATGGAGTCCCTCATAGTTTTAGCAATATTCGGGGGGGGGGGCAGGGAAAGAAGCCCGGCTGCCGAGCGGCAGCTTCCTTTTCACGGGCCAGGCCTGGCTCCTGGTTTCAGGGTCCGAGTCCGGAGTTCGAAGGGCAGGAGAAAAGGGTGACAGAAATACCCTGGAGAGGCTCGAGGTGCGGCCAGGCTGAGAGGAAGGCCTTTTTTGGGGGGGGTGTTACCTGTAGAAGCCCTCTGAGCCCCCGATGGCCACCAGGCAGTAGGCGTTCGTGAGCTTGGCGAAACAGCCGATCTCGTTGTTATTCTCGAAGCTGGCCCGCACCGCCATTGCTGTCAAGGCGCCCCCGAGCAGAAAGCAGAGAGAAAGAGGGAAACCGCCCAACGTCGCCCTCCGTCCGTTGCCTTAGACACGCGGACAGGCCGCAAGCCCCGTCGCCCGGAAACGCGCCGCGACGTCACTTCCGCTTCTTCACAGTCTCGCGCCGCCGTCGCGCACAGACGCAGAAGCACGTCGTGCGTACGGAGGCCGCCTCCCGCTGGGGGGACTTCGGAGTTTGGGTTCCTCGCTTCCTCAGTAACTCGAAGAAAACAGCGGAGAAGTCCTGGGTTCCCCCCGTGTTTGTGACTGGGCATTAACGTGTCCCACATCCCCAGTAAAAAAAGAAAAGTTCCAAGTTTTAATTTTATGTGGAAAAAAACACTGCAGTATGCAAATGAGCGCTGGATTCGGGCGCCGAGAGGGCGCGAGGGGGAAATGTAAGGAGGCCGGTCTTCGTTGCAATTTGATGGGAACTTCCTGTGAGGGATTTTTTTTTGTTGGGCTTCCTCATCAGTCTAGCCCCGCAATAATAGTAATGGGTTGCACTCCAGGGCTGTTAGCCGCTCTTTCAACCCCTACAACCTGTAGTTGTGGAAATAATGGACTTCGTTTGTACTGGTAGGGATTGTTCCTTTAAATGTTTACAAGCCCCAGAATTGTTTTTACCACATGAAGTAAGATCTAGGTTTGAAAAAGCAGACACTTCCTGTTGCTATATATTTTATTTTTCAGTGCTGCTGACCAATCGCAGTTATGCTAAAATCCTTTCTACTCCTATCGATTTCTGTAGCAGCTCCCATCTCCACCCCACAGGAGAGGCTGCAGTTCAAACCTGGAAATTCCCCAATCCAGATGAATCACTTTTCAGTGTCTCTGATTGCCACCTGCCTTCAGGTTGCCAGAGGCCATGACCCTTTCCCAGCGCCACTTGGTGCTGAAAAGGCTTTCTCTCAATGTTGGGTAATGGAAAGAAGCAAGGCTTTTTTTCAGCCAGAACTTGCTGGAACTCAGTTCCGGCACATCTCAGGTGGGTGTCATTGCCATTATAAGAGAACGAAGGAGGTGTTCCTGGTGAGTTCTGGCACCTCTTTCTCTAGAAAAATAGCACTGGAAAGTAGGACATTAAGCATCATATTGTTTGGTCTGTGCAGTAGGCAGAAGACCAGAGGTCTGCCTTAAAAGGAGTGGTGAGGGACTTTGTTGTCCCAGAGTGGTTGCAACTCAATGTTCTCCTCTGAGGGGTTGTCCACACTGGAGTTTAATGGGAATTTAAGGTTGCTTATGTCTCTGTTAATTTAGCAATGCCCTCGTGATGCCCTCCCCACTCAGCCCCTATCTCACACATTCTCACTTGTAAATCTGGGTTTTCCCAATCTGAGAATAAGCCAAAAATTGGGAATGGTGTGTGTGTTGCCAAACCAATCAGGGCCAAGGGGATTGGGATGGGGCAGTGGCGGTGGTGTTGCACTCAGTAAGACACCCAGTCCCTATAATCTAGTGGTTCTTGCAGGGGCACAATGCACTAGATGTTAATTCGTTAGCATTATTTCTGATGTCTAAAAGTTGGAACAGCTGAGAACTGTAGCACCTTTGCTTCCCCAGAGCCTCCTGCATCTGCTAGCAGCAGCCCAGTAGCAAAGCCTCGACTTCAAAGGGAGAAACATCTGGCTGTTTCAGCATCTGTTTTCAAGCCAGAAGATTAAGCAGCAGAGAAGTTACTGGTATCATGGGCCAGGAGTCAGCTTTGCCTGCTGAACAGCCTGAAAGGGGAGAAGGTGGAGTGACTCCACTTGCAGCTGATCAGCTTTCAAGGATACAGAGGAGAAGGCACTGATAAGAAACAGCTGGCTTCAGCCTTCTTAAGCAGAGCATCCAGCTGCAGTCAGTAGTGCCTGGCCCTACTTTGCTGCTCCTGTTCACCTTGATCCTTGATCATTGGATTCCCTGGCCCCTGGACCATTTGACCACATGGAATGCTGTTCACCTGACCCTAGGACTGGACCTGACTTTGGACGATGACCCTGCCTACAGGCAAGTAAACCGTTGAGACTCTTCTGGTTCACTGGTCTCCCATTCCATTGAGCTCTGCACGTTGTTGCTCAGTATGAGACTGTGACAGTTGGAACATTTGAAAACTGTAAGGAAAATTATCCCATACATAAACCTTTATCCTACTCTAGTAACTCCTACTCTAGTGATGGCCCAGTTTGCACATCACTTTAAGCCATATTTAAATTATCATTTAAAAGTGAATGCACAGTGTGCTGCTGTACAGGCAGAAAATCATGGCTGCTCCACTCCTCTACTGTTGCACCCTTCCAAAAATCTCTCCCATCAAGCCCAGAAAACTTTGCTGAACTAGTGCAGCTCTCAAGCAGCACATCCAGTCTTGATTTTGAGAAATAACAGGCATTGGTGGTGACAGCCTGCTTCTCTCTACTAAGTAAGGGTTCAAGTTAGTCAAAGCTAAATGTGTGTCACTGATTTCAGATGGGTAAGCATGCAATTAATCCTCCCACTGAAATCAGTGGAACTTCCAAGTGCGTAACTTTGGACTGTGACCTAATTCTGTTCCATTGACTCAGGTGGAATGAGGTATTCTAGGATTGTGTAAACCCTTTATCAAAATCTGGTTGACCACCTATTTGGGATAAATACAACATGTGTTCATGTAATTAAACACACACACACACACACACACACACACAGCACAGTCTCAAGGAATTCAGAATTCAGGTTGTATAGGCTGCTGTTCAGGACATTTCCAGGCATCTGCATCAAACTTTGGAAAGGCTTCTTGTATATGTGACACCAGTGCTCAGTACTCAGAGGCCCAACTTGTGCAACACAAAAGTGTTTATTAAACACAAAGAGTCAATAATTATAGCCCTTCCCATGCTATCTTTCATCACAGGGTTCACAGGCTATTTTTCAGAGATACAATCAAAGCAAACCAATGTATTCTCGGTGTTTTCTTCCTGCAAGAGCAGATTTATTTATTTTTACAGGAGCAAAACCTATGACTGACAAGGCACTGGGATTTATACAGTAGCTTTGCATAATTTCATATGACTAATCCCCCTACCACTAAGCATTTTTCATATCATCTGCTGCTTCATCCATTATAATTAATAGCTTTATGCAGGGCTGGCCCAAAACATTTTGGCACTTGAGGCAAACCTCAAAATGGCGCCTCCTTGCCACCATGGAAGAATGGCTGAGTGAAGATCTACATTGGGAACAAGGGGGGAAATAAAGACCTATATTGGAAATGAGTGGGAGGAGACCAGGAGCACCTTCTATTCACCAAGAGGGTGCTGCAGAGGTAGCAGTTCTAGCCTCCACAGAGTGCACCGTAGCTGTTGCAGCTACTGTGGCGGCGGCAGCGGGCAATGCATTAATTGGAGGCCAGATATTCTGCCCCTGTGGATCCTGCTGCCTGATCACCTTGCCTCATGCATGGGTCAGCCCTGACTCTGACATTCTGGGGGAGAAGGAAAGAGAAGTGGGCAAGTAACAACTGGGAGTAGGTGGGAGCATAGCTTTTACTTTGGCTTCTGCTGATCTTTACAACTTTTACCTCTGTGAACTCTTCCCCTTGGTAGCAATGATTTCTCGCAGCTCTGACTAGAGAGTTCTTCTGATTCCACTAACAAGCTGCACTGAAGTCTCTCTGCCAGTATTTTAAAGTGGGTGGTTTGTTTGCCTCATGTTACTTTTTTATGGATTGATTACATTTTTATCCTGTTTTCCTCCACTGAGCTTGGGATGACATACAGGTCCACTCTACTCCCTCATTTACCCTTACAACAACCCTACATTTTGTTGAGAGATAGCAGTTGGTTCAAGATCCCCAATGAATCTCACCAAAGAGATTTCCTAGTCATGATTCAATACTCTTAACTTCTACAAATGAGAGATTTAGTCAACCCCACCCATTATTTCAGGAGTCACTACTTATGCAATGGTGCAGAAGTACAGATTAACCATTTTTCCAGCTTTCAGAATATGCCATCCTTTATATTACTGTATTTTTTGCTCTATAAGACTCACTTTTTCCCTCCTAAAAAGTAAGGGGAAATGTGTGTGCGTCTTATGGAGAGAATGCAGGCTGCGCAGCTATCCCAGAAGCCAGAACAGCAAGAGGGATTTCTGCTTTCACTGCGCAGCGATCCCTCTTGCTGTTCTGGCTTCTGAGATTCAGAATATTTTTTTCTTGTTTTCCTCCTCCAAAAACTAGGTGCATCTTGTGGTCTGGTGCGTCTTATAGAGCAAAAAATACAGTAATTCTAGCACCCTACAATATCAAGAGTTCATCCTATAGCTGTCACATAGCTATGGGTTTATATTTCTGGACTCCTTTTTAAGACTATTCAGGTTTGTTGTTTTTTAAAACTAAGTCTGATACACCCAACTATGAATGGGAGATTTGGGACTTCCATATTTTTGTATTATTACAGATATAATTAAACATTTGAATCAGGTCATATGTTTTTGCTAAAATGATAATACAAAATTACATCTCAAATCGACTGTGAACTAGCTTTGGTTTTGACTTGTTATAGTTGGTAATGAGATCCAATTTACTGTGACCAAGAGTCATTCTTTTTTCATCCCTGTGTATTTTGCTGCTGTTTTTCGTTGGCACATCATCAGAGGAGCAATAGGAACTAGAATCCGTGGTCTTCGGCTCAAAATGTACTGATTTAGTAGGCTTGTTACTGAGATCTAGTCTGCTGTAGCCATGAGTTGCTGGTTTTTCATCCTTCTGTATTTTGTTTACATCTTCCATAGCTTGAACAGTATAAGGGAACTTTTTGTTGACTTTCATTCCTATACTCTCAGGCAGAAGCTTCAAATCGTGCCCATTTCTTGTGTTGTTGCTTAGTATTGGTGAAGATGTTGACAGCAAAGATGTCTTAAGTCTTAGTAGATTAGGTGCATCATTTAATTTAGCTGATGCACTGCAGCTAGAGTCCAGCAGCTCCCTGGGCTGGTATTTCAAGTCATTAAGTCCCAGGAAGCCTGAAACATTCATTCTTGTTTCACCGGGAGTCCATTCTTTAATTTCACAGTGTGCATTAGAAGTTGTCAGGTCTAGATATGGTGATCTCCTTATGCTTACTACGCTTGAATTTGAGAGGCTAGTTGAGGGGCTGGTGGTCTCGCTCTCATTCATTTGAATACGCTTAGAAACTGGCTCAAGTTTCTGCAACAATCTGTGGGGAGAGGTTGTGGATTTTTCAGCTTTGGGGATGCTGAGTTTGTTCACAGATCTAGACTCGGCATATATGCATCGGAACTCTCTGTCAAAGTCCTCAACAATTTTTCCTTTGAAGTGTGTCACCAGGCCAGTGTGGACTTGACTGCACAGCCACGTAAAACTGAAAAGGAAAGGATTCAGAGACCCTGTGAATCATCAACATACCAAATAACTCTGATTTCAAATAGTTATCTATTTGGATACTATGGAAATGCATTGGACAGGATAGTTAGCTGAACACATCAGTATTATTTCAGTGCATGAAAATAATGGGTGGAGCAGTTTGAGGAGCAGTGATTCAGGATGAGTTCACAAGCATTAGGTTTGTTGGGCAATAATTGAAGCTATTACCTGAATATGCCAAGCTATTATATTTCATGGTTGTTATAAGATCCTAGTAACAGATATGGGGGAAAAGCTGGTAGGTTTGTTTGTTGTTGTCATATATTCAGTATGTCAAAGAAAAAGACCTTGCGGGCCATTCCATCCACACCAGTATTCCCTAGATTTGCCTTTGATTTGCTCCCCAGTCTACAGTGTAAGGAAATATCATTGGCCCTACCACTTGGCAACTCCAGGTGGTGCTGTGTTGGCAGCACATGTTACAGAGGTGACTGTTCAGAAATAGAAATCGAAGCAAAAATGGGGTGTTTGCTGCAGAATGTGAATAATCCTTTACAAGGGTTTAGCCCTGGACTTTATTTTCAATATTAAGGGCCAGCTCTGGGATATGAAAAAGTAATGGGTGTTCCTGAACATGTGTAAAGCACTTTCTGCTCAAGATGAGTTACTGGAGCTAATCTCCATATATATTGGTTTAAAATTTAGTTTAGAGGACAAGGTGTCTAGGGAGGCTTGACCTCCATCTTCCTCCAATAGGTTTGCTCCAGGTCTGTGTGCCATTGGGGTTAAAGTGGAAATCATCAGCTTACGATATTGGCATTCTTACAATGGCAGCACCCTGTCAGAGAAGCTCACTCCATCTCTGCTCTGATTATCTTTCAGATTCTGAGCTTGGGACTCTTGAGTTTTTTGGTTCACTGTTCCCGTTGGTTGTTTCCTGCTGCTGAATTGAATTAGTTATCAGTGTTCTGCTATGATTTACAGCTTACAGTATTTTATCATGTTCTTATTTTTGTTCTTATGTACTGTTGTGGTATGCATTTTTAATTTTTTTGTTAGCCACTTTCCAGAACTTTTTATATTGAAAGGTCTAAAAATATTGAAACAAATAAAGAAACCGTTTCTTTTAGAGATTTCCCACTGGCCTGGCATTGTGGGCAAACAAGGGAAGGACAACGTGTGAATAATCCCACGAGTATTGTTGGGGTGAGGGGCTAGTGCAGGGGTCAGCAAACTTTTTCAGCAGAGGGCCGGTCCACTGTCCCTCAGGTCTTGTGGTGGGGGGACTGGACTATTTTTTTGCAGGGGGGGGGTAGATGAACAAATTCCTATGCCCCACAAATAACCCAGAGATGTGTTTTAAATAAAAGCACACATTCTACTCATATAAAAACACACTGATTCCTGGACCGGATTTAGAAGACGATTGGGCCGGATCCGGCCCCTGGGCCTTAGTTTGCCTACCTATGGGGTAGTGGATCCAGGACCTGATGCGAGGCAGGAATAGATTAGTAGCATCAGTTGCTCCCTCTTCTAACTGGGGATCATTGAAGTGCAAGGAGGAGGGTTAGTGAACCAAGAGCCCCAAAAGAGCAGCACTGGAGGGTGGAGCTTCTGGACCCTTAATAATGATGTAGAAGAAGGGATTTCAGGAGTTGTAGGTTTTCATCTCTGGATGACAAGCTGTAATTGCTAAAACATCCTCTTCTACATAAATATTAAAGGTACAGGAGACTTGTCCCGTTTTGTCTGGTTTATTTGAAATGTGGAAATGGGTAAATGGATTCTGAGTAGAATAGTTGAAGTGCAACTAATCCCAGCAGCTCAGGAATCCAGTGGGTGGGGTTTTAATACTGCATCAGTGGTGTCTTGTTCTGGTGCAATAAATTACCCTGTTCCTAAATGCCCTTGACAATTAACAAGTCTGACTGCCAAGTTATTATAAACTTCCACACCCAAGTATCCCTTCCTATTAAAAGCCATTAAGAAAAAAAATGCCATTTTGGAATGCATGCATTGTAGTTCTTTGAGATGGCTTCATGATATGGGAACATTCCACTGGGTTCCCAGGCTTCCTGTAAGTTAAAATGAGAGGGCAAGGGAAAGGCACCTATTAAAGTGTTGATGAATCTGTCTGGGTGGAAAGGAGTGAGTTGTATCAGTCAAGGAAGTCGTCTTGGCTGCAGTTAAAACAAGACAGGGCTGTTTCCTCCTGAAGGCAAAGCCAAGGGATTGGCATGTGTGGCAGGGTAATTGAGGCATGCAGATAAAAAGGAAGCTGCACTTACTGATGATGAAATACAGATGCTATAGCATCAGCAAGGAAAGGGACAAGATCAATGAGTGGACAGTCAACTTGTGAAACTTATCTCTTTTATATAAATGTTTGTGTCAGTGTCATATTATCTCTATTTACTTGGAAGAAGATTAGGGAAATCCATGTTCAACCGCAATGTCTGGGTCAGTCATGCTCTCAACACAATCTGTTTCCATGGAAGAACTGCCCTGCAAAATTCTGAGAAGTGTGAATTTCAAAGGATTGGCTGTGTTTTGGTTCTCATATACCCCACTGCCAAATTGCATGAACGAAGTAGCAAGCATATCAATCCTATTCACAGGGTCTAAAATAGCACAGGTCCTAAAGAAAGAGGTGGCCATATCTTACATGCATTGTTCATGATATCTCACCTGTAGGTCCCTGCAAGGACTTCTTCGCCATCTATCAACACAAATTTCTCAAGTGCTTGTCCTGTAAGCTTCTTGCCAGCTTTGCTGTAGTATGTGTCTCCACTCACACAGCGTATGCGCATATTCTGAAAAGGGAACAAGGCACAGTAGAGATCAAAGGGAGCAAAGACAAATGTCCCGTCTTTTCTGTGCTGAACTTACATATGTATGCAGTGTGTATAAATTAATATGAAACTTGGAATTTGCCATTGCAATATATATATCTACATCAACAGTGTGTTTGAATTTAAGGGAATGTTTCTTCAAAAAATCTCATGTACCTGTTTCCTTACCCCATTAAGATTAACAGCACAATTATATACAGTAAATGTCAACTTGGAAGTAGGGCTCAGTGAGTTCATTGGGGCTTAATCCCAGATGAGGATGCATAGTTGCAGTTTAAATATATATCTCAAAATATAATAACTGCTGCAGATATGAAAGACCAGGAGCTGTTTTGCCTCATGTTTTGAGGCAAAATACTCTAAAATTATAAAATACTGGAAACCAGTTGTGGGGCCTCTATCATTTGACTCCTTTCAAATCCTGTTTAGATATTTGAAAGCTATAGTAGCTGTAGACATAACTCTTTATCAATAAATGTGCAATACATTCGAACAGCCAAAATTGCAGTAACCCAAAAGTGGCAGAAAAGAAAAACCTCTATGATACAGAATGGTTATTAAGAGTGTAGGATCTGGCTCATATTGACTAATATAATATAGGGTAATTAATGTAGACAAGCAGGCTATTTGATTATTACATAATGGAAATACAGTGGTGCCCCGCAAGACGAATGCCTCGCAAGACGAAAAACTCGCTAGACGAAAGGGTTTTCCGTTTTTTGAGTCGTTCCGCAAGACGAATTTCCCTATGGGCTTGCTTCGCAAGATGAAACGTCTTGCGAGTTTGTTTCCTTTTTCTTAAAGCTGCTAAGCTGCTAAGCAGTTAATAGCCGCTAAGCCGTTAATAGCCGCTAAGCCGCTAATAGCCGTGCTCCGCAAGACGAAGAGACTCGCGGAACGGATTAATTTCGTCTTGCGAGGCACCACTGTAGAATGCTGTTGAACTGGATGAACTTGGTCTGATCCACCAAGGCAGAACGTATATTTTAATTCCTGAAGAAAGTGCTTTGAAGAAGAACATAGTTTCAGAAGACAAAGGGCACAATTAGACATGACACCAGCAGGCCCATAAGTTTAAATTCATGTTTGTCCCAATTGTATTTAAAATACTTTAAATTGTATTGCTCCCTCAGGCAGTTTTCTTTTCAGTTGAGTTATCATACCAGAAATGAGCATAGATGGAAGAAAAGGGATGTGTGTGTGATTCACACTCTGGCCCCATGTGCTTCAAGCACGAGCTTTCCATAAATCCGTCTTTATATGTGATCAAGGCAGACCTGGGCATATAAACAAATGTTTCTGTTGCCATCCTATCTGGTTTCACCCAAAATGGATGGATGGAAATATTTGGGTGAAGACGTGATGCATGATATGTGACTTAGCCCTGATAATTGTCACTCTCTCTGCTCTTGGGGTGTTCAGCTGCTCCTGAGTGGTAGAAATGACATGTGAAGCCTCCTCTGCCAAAGCACAACCTCTGCTTTAAAGGCTGCACTTGTCTTGTTTACTTTTCTGTCTGTCATCCAGCTGAACAAACATTCAGCAACACATTGTACTTCTTCACCTACATTGTAAGGAGGCAGGGATCAAAATTCAATTTTCTTTTTTAAGTGACAGTATAGCAAAACTGCAAACTGATATTGGTGTTATACAAGTTTAACTGTTATGTCTTCCAAAAAATCCTGGGGTTTAGGTCTGGTGAGGATGCTAAGAATTGTTAGAGCTCTCTAGCCCCCACCCCCTCTCACAGCACTATAATGACAGGCATATAACTGTCCTCCCCCTTTAATGTCCATATATTTTCTCACAGGTTGTTTTAACTTAGTAGTACTATACTAGCAAAACTAACTAGAAACGTACTGGGAAGTCATCCATAGTGAGATCCATTTTATTGCACATTTCTGCAAAGTGCCTCAAGTTCTTTTCATCAAGGATCAGGTAAACCGGAACACGCCGTCTGCTTGATGCCTCCATCAGGTCACTGAGGATCTCCATGTCTGTGAAGAGATCCATCATAATCGCAATCACCTGCACAGATGGGGGTGAAAGTGATAGGAGACATGTTAAAAAATACCAGCAGTAGATCTGTACTATTAAAAATTATTTTCAAAACATAGCAACGAGTTCCAGTATCTCTATAAGTGATTTAGTTTGCTTTGGGAAAATGGAAGAGCAAGAGTACTTTGCAGATAAAGAGTACTTTGGCACAGAGATTCTTCTGGCCCTCTATCCTAGGCTGCTCCTACACTAGCTCTTTTGTATGGAATATCGGTCCTTTGGTAACTCACTTTTTATGGAGAGTCTATGCAATATCGCTGACAAATGGTACATCTTAGTGTTCTCTCTGCTGTTCACTCATGGTGGTTTTTTTTCCTTCTAGATTTGACTTAGCAGTGTTGTTGTTTGCAATAAATACCATTGCAGCACCAGTCTTTCAGATAATCCTGGGATTTATGTATTAGCCGAACAGTGAGCATTAGACAGCATTTTGACTAAGTGTAATTTCCAGACACACTTCAAGGGAAGCCCCATGTAGAACACATTGTGGTGCTATGACTGAGGCATGTGTCACTATGGCTAGATCTGCCTTCTCAGCTTGAGCAAAGGCACTCCTAGCCACAGCAGCTGCCTGGATAGCCAGGTGTAATGCTAGGCCAGGAGCTACAAGCCTGGTGCTTCAGGTAGAGGTCATCCCCATCACAACAGGTCATATTTCTGTTCCCAGATCACCTTATCTACTAACCAGCATTACTGCTATCTTGGCTGCATTAGAATCACAGAATAAGAATTGTAGAGTTGGAAGCCACACCCAGGAATTTCCATGTTTGGCACAGTTTAATCAAACCTTGATTCTAACTTTTATTTATTATAAGAATTATGGCTGCCTTGCACCCACAAAACTCTGGTACCCCAACACATAGCAGTATACAATGCAGCCACATAGCAGCCACATTAAGCAATTGTTTCTCTACAGTTTTCAGTGCATTTCCTCAACACTCCTTATAGTAGAAAGTTCAGGGCTTGTTTGTTTTGCAAGCGGGTTTGGTGTGCAATCTGAATTTGTCAGTATGCAATTGAATCCCGCCCACAAAATGGTGGCAATCTGGAAATGCCCCAAGGCTTAATTGTGGAGGGAGTTTCATAACTCAGTTTGGCAGGCCAGGACCTGAAGGGAATCCTGTACTTTGAAGTTCTTCTCATATCAAATAGATGGATTAATCAAAAGTATTTGTATGCTGCCTTTCATGCAAATATATCCCATACTGGTTCCTAATAGTAAATTACAATAAAATGCAATTACTTAATGAAATACCAGGGTGGGGGTGGAGCCAACAACAACTCCATAAATAAAAACCACCCCACAAATTAACCACAACTTTAAAACAAATTCAGGGAGGATAATGGAAGTCTCAATTACAGTGTTTCATTTTTTTAAAAAAATAATATTTATTGATAATTTCAAAATTACAAAAAAAAGAACAAATAAAAAACAACACTACAATACAAAAAAAGAAAACAATAAAAAAGAGAAAAAGCACAAAATATGAAAACCAATACAACAATACAACAAAAGAAAGTAAAAAAGAAGAAAAAAGAAAAAAACCCACAAATCCCAAATTCCATATCCATAATTTCCATTTGCTTGTTTCATTGACCTCCTCACACCTCTGTTTTTGTGTTCTAGTTTAGTAATTATTTCAGCAAATTCTTTCCATCTTTCTCAATTTTTGTTATAAAATTTATCTTAACAATTTAACCTAATAAAACTCAACAAATCCTTACCATCTTTCCCCATTATTCTGCTATTCAAATTACCTTAATTTATTTAACCTTATCTTACCCCTAAGTGTCTTAAGACTTAAATCTTAAATTTCAGATATACATAACTCCTGAGATCATTTCTGCTAGAGTCGTATAGTTTCATTCCCACATTTTCCCTAATATTCATTAGCTGATTCTAAAATAAAAAATTTCCATTATATATTCTCTTCCAATCATCATCCAGCGTCTCTTCTTCCTGGTCTCGGGTCATGTCAGTCCTTATTGTCCATTCCATCTAGTCCATCAACCTGGAAGCCTTATGTCCGAGGCCCTTAAATCTCTTCCATGTCTCTTCTGCAAGTCTTCTTCATCTTGTTTGTGCTTGCCCTTTTCCTTGTCTTTTGTTGGTCTCTGTCTTAGTTTCTTTCCTTTCTCATTGAGGAGTAGGTCTCTGGGGATTTCCAACCCAAAATTGTCTCCATCACCCTTCATCCAGCTCACCCATTCCCCACAGTCCTCGATATAATCCAAAATGAATTTAAAATCAAATTTCAAGGTCTCTCCAAAGCTAGGAACCTCCTTATCTCCAGACTCCCCTTGGCCCACTCCAGCTTCAATTTTCAATAACAGCGGCTTATGTTCCTGTAGGGCCTCGGGTCTCTCCATTTGTACTATTTGAGGTGCAGCCGCATCCTCCTCCATTGTCATCTGCAGTTGCCCAGTCAGTACAGATTGATAGGTTGGTTCTTGGATGATTTCTGTATCAATGTTATTAACCACAAAAGTCAAATCGATTTTCTCATTCATCAAGTCCATCTTCTCATGCATCTGTTCCAGCAAAGCATTTGTCTTGCATAGAGCAAGCACCCAGTCTTTCTCCCAGCTCATCTTTGTTCAAGGTCAGAAAAGACTGTTCCCACAGTCTTAATCTCACAGATGTTGGGTCTCAAATATGCTGCAGCAACAATTTAGCAAGCTCCCTCTAGAGGAGACAATCTGCTTGTATCGAATTTTTTTTTTTAAAGACAAAGGAAAGTTACTTTCATTTTTCAGATATTTCAGATGTTTTTCAGGTACTTTGTTTCTTTAAAATGCAAAAGGCAACATTAGAATCAACTTGTTTCTCTTCATTAGCTATCTGTCAAAGTGTTACGTTCACAGTCAATGAACCTCTCCAACAGTTTCTGTCTCTGACACCCCGTTCCCAGGTTAGAGACGGTGGAAACTTATCCTTCTTCACTCCCTCTCCTGCTGGGGTTAAACAGAGTCCCCCCCCCCTTTTCTCCTGCTTCCAAGGGGGGTTTCAGTGATTCTAAAATGAAGGAAATTTAGTCTTTTTAAACAGCTTCCCGGCTTTAGCTTGCAAAATTTTTGCTTTAGTCTATATACAAAAAAGCGGAAGGTGGACTTCCTGTTTGCACCTTCCCACTTCGATACCAAATTAAAACAATTTCTTGATCCAATTTTCCGTTTCTACTCACGGGTACTTGTTTTAAGTCCAATTGTCCACAGGAAAAAGTCAGCGCTCTCTGGCAATGGCTGTGCGGCTTCACTCCGTGAAAGTAGCAGTCAGTTCGTAGCACCGCGCTTCTCACCCCACTTCGCTCCGGAGCCCCTAGATGGGATTCCCCGCGAGTAGGGGGGTGCTTCTGGTGCCCTGCCGAACACCACGTTCCCAGGCTTCCTCCGCCTGGGATTTCTAGCGGGTCCCCACCTTCGCCGCGGCGGGAAGACCCAGTTTTCACGGAGCCCGTTCCTCCGGTCGGAGGAACTCCACCATTCACCAATGGCGCTGACCCGGAAGTCCACAATTACAGTGTTTCAAATATAACATCTTTTACCATAAGAGCGAAACCATCCATTTTATATACAGTGCCTGAGGGAATTAAAAATGCCTTAACCTGGCAACAGTATACTTTACATATGAAGTATTTCTGTTTCACCATGAGTATTAAATATTAAGTTAATAGAGTTAAATATTAGGAGATTGACCATAGCTCAATGATAGCGTGCACACAGGAGTTACAGCAGTGAAGGAGGAGTATGAGCTGAAAAGGCCCATTGTCTAACTCCCTTGTTATATTTGCTTTTGGCTACTGCATGTTGTTTAAGTATCATAGAATCTTAGAATTGTAGAGTTGGAAGGGACCCCGAGGATCATCTAGTCTAGTCCAACCCCCTGTAATGCAGCTGTCCCATATCGGGATAAAACCTGCAGCCTTGATGTTATCAGCACCATTTTCTAACCAGCTGAGCTAGCTAGAGCACAAGTGATCTTCACATATTTTTTGCACTTAGTTATATTTACAGTTTTGGAATGTGTTTCTTGTATGTTATTGTTTTTCTATGTTATTTTGAAATTGTTTTTGTAGTGTTTGAAATGCCTTCCCATTCCTTTGTTGTAAGTGCTTTGAGCTTTGTATGGAAAAATGGCATACAAATAAAATGAATGAGTGGCTTAGAACAAGTGATATGTGGATTATATATGCAAGCGTGTGTGCATGTGCATACATGCATTTGTAATCATGGGTTTGTAAGCGACCCTCGGAACTGTCCTGTCTCAGCTGCCTCAAATGCAAAAGTGTACAACACATGCACAGTCTTAATCTGTGATATGCAAAGCTGCTATAAGAATTGAATAGAAATATTAATTTCTCAAGGTGTGTCTTTCCCACCACAATGATAGTGACATTTCCTCTCTTCTATTCAGTTCTTTAGCATCCATAGATCTGGCACCTCTGCCAACTAATGAGCTTAATTTCAGTGTCACACTCTTATTTCTGTAGGGGTTTTGTAATGACACCAATATTACAACATTCCAGTAAGCAGCTGAATTAACTGATCTCAACCATAAATGTCGATTAGCACTAAGTATTTGTACAAACTGGGAGTGCACTTAATCCTGCCACCCGTCATGTGTCCTTGCCACCTCTTCCTCAGGCAATACAGTCACACAGCTCTTGTCGGTTCTTATTATTGTTGGCATCTGAGACAATGGAGGAGTGCGCCTTTGGGGGTGAAGCCAAACCACACTGGAGACTTACAGCGCCTGCTGTGACTGTATGGATTGTTATATTCCTCCAGAGAATCATGGGAGTTGTGATTTGTTTAGCACCTCCTCACAACTCTCAGTGCTTTTAACAAACTACAGTTTTTAGGATTCTTTGGGGAAAACCATGACTGTTAAAGTGGTAGTGTTTGGCGTGAATGTCATAGACGATTAAATGGAAATTAATTCTATTCAAATGAATAACAGATCTACATGTAAATGTATTTAGAAAACAAATCTATTCACAGATGTGTTGCAAGCTCTGTTAAGTACTTTCAGCAGTTACCAGAGCAAGCCCTGTAGACATCTTGACATAGCACACACATGCACAAACACTTTGGAATTACTCCTTTGAGAGAATAAACATCAAACATTTTACACTGAAGAGGAAAAACTACCATGGAGGCATGTTTTGAGGAAATATCCTAGAAAAGGAACTAGCAGGAACCTGGCATCCTATTCATGGTTCTTTCCTAGAAAAGCCACATGGACTGTGTTATAACATTTTCCACATACATTTCTTGACTGACTCATCCCAAAGAACTCTCCTGTCTTGAGATTCTGTTGGGCTACAGTTTAGGGATGGCCAAGAGGAGACTGCAGGGCCAGGTATGGTCCGGGAAGCCATTTTATTTGGTCCTTGGAGACCACACCAAATTTAATGATTGTATGATAACCATTTTCTCTACCGTTTCATGCTTTAGGGAAAACATTTTCAGAAGCTGGGAGAGATTATTTACGGTTTAATGTTGCTTCTGTTTTTGAGTTTTGCACGTAATAGCTGGGCCATGCATACACCCATCTGCTCCATGATGGCGAAGTTCTCGCTCCTAGGCTGCAAGGATGACTTTATACTAAAGAATAATAAAAGTGCATCTAATAATTTCTAAAGGTGTGCGGCAAAATATTATTCTTCCCCCAGAATTCTTATAATGGTGTTGAAACTATAGATTGGCCACTTCTGCAATAGCTAAATATGACATACTTCCCACTACAATACTGAGCAATCGAGCGTCAAAGCCTGTCATGTAACCCATCAGATAAAAAACTCATACAAGGCTAAAATACTAACACACACATAAACACACACGGAGTTGACATAATACATAAATAATTGTATCCAATGCTGTCCAAATCCAAACCAAAATCCCAACCATCTGGAGTAGAGGTGCTGTGTGGGAGACTGCTGGGCACATGAAAGGAGGGAGAAGTTCAGATGTGGAAGTTGAAATCTGCTGCGTGAGCAGAGCAGTGGTGTTGGCTATAACCCAAAAATTCTAAGTAGGATATCATAAAAATGGGAGCAAACTACCAGGACTGGCCAAAGACAGTTTTCTGCCAGAGATGAAGGACAAAATGGCCCCCCACTCTTACTCCACATGCAGAAGGCAGCTGCATTTTACTACAATATTAGGAACAGGATGATCTCCACCACCACACCTGGGACAGACTGTAGGGCACATGCAGCTTTGTTTGCCAACAGAAAAGTACAGAAATGGGGCTCAGAGGGAACAGGAGGGGGAACTGCTCACTTGAGGCAGTCAACTTACTCTTCCTAATGGTAGGACTAGCCTTGCAAACATATAAGTACAGTGGTACCTCAGGTTACATACGCTTCAGGTTACATATGCTTCAGGTTACAGACTCCGCTAACCCAGAAATAGTACTTCAGGTTAAGAACTTTGCTTCAGGATGAGAACACAAATCGTGCTCCGGCGGCATGGCAGCAGCAGGAGGCCCCATTAGCTAAAGTGGTGCTTCAGGTTAAGAACAGTTTCAGGTTAAGAACGGACCTGTGGAACGAATTACGTACTTAACCCGAGGTACCACTGTAATTCCAGTGCAACACCAGAACCCCAATGATCAGCCCCATCTTACCCTTTTGGATTATATATCAAATGCTCTACTTACTGTCTTGGCCTTGCCTATCAGAGACCGAAGTAATTCCTTTACATTGTGTGTCTTGTCCCTTTGGAAATACAAAGTGACTTCTGTTTGGCCAAATGATGAGACTGTGGGAACCTCTGGCCAACCGAGCTCCAGATCTGGGGGATCAATGTCTGACATAAATGGGAAGTATGTCCCAGATGTGACTCCAGAGAGGAGGGAAGCCCCGTCACCACTGTCTTCTCTCGTCAGCCCTGCCTCTCGTCTTTTAATTGGAGACCCTGTGATGCTTTGACTATGTTGGCTCATGTAATCCATATCTAACGTGGAAAGAAATGGCAGCTCCTTTTCCTTAGTAATGGCTTGCCGGTAGCCACCTTCTCCCTGTTCCAGGAAGGCATCCACAGCCAGCCTGGCCGTCTCGCTATGCTGCAGCATTGAAGGGGTGATTTCCACCCTCCAGGGCTTTTTCAGATCATCCAAACGGCTTTTCAGTTGCCCTGTGGTCCCTTGGGAGCTCCCATAGCCCCTGTGGAGCCAGCTCATTGCCTCTGCTGTTGGGTAGCCAAACATGATAGTACTCAGAGTTGCCCCTCTTGAGAAAAATTCTGCTGTTTTTTCAGTCAGGAGTCCTCCTGTTTGCTGTTTGTTTTTTGCTGGGTTCTTCGACAACGTAGCTCACGACGACTCTCTAGCTCCTGAGGATCCGTATCCTTTATGCTCCTCAGCCTCTTCTAAACATCCATTTCTTCCAGGAAGAAGGAAACTTCTCTGGTTGTTCCAATTTGTCTGCTGAAGGAAGAAGTAGTTGCTGGAAATTTTGGTGTCCAGGGCCTGTTTCGATGTTGCCTTCCTCATGGAAATGTCAAGAAGGATTTCCCCATCTTTTCTGCAGTAGCTGCTTTTAGATACGCTTCCTCAAGCAGTGAGACTCAAATAAGTTCCCGCCCTAACTAACCGTGAACAAATTTCTCTGTTGCAGTCAAAACCCTGAAACCTGTTCAGGCAGTTCTCATGCCTCGAGAGGAATGCTGGGACCTGTTCTAAGGTCAGTGTGGATTTATGTGACTATAATAACTATACACAAATGAAAAAAGAATGTAGTAACACTGAGCCAGGCTTGAAATAGGAAGGAAGATGATAGTGCATTCTTTAGTGTACATTAGTATTCTTTTTTTCTTTTGGTGCTAATGGGTGCACACCTGTGCAATAAATTCTGCAAATTGCTGTAATTCAGGACAGGGCAGTGGTTGTTTAGGGTCTCCAGAGCACCTATTTTCTTTGAAGTGCACCAGAAAAGTATTAGGCAAACTTATTTTTTCACAATGTTTTAATAACCATGATTTTTAGATTTAGGACAAGCGTAGTCAGCATTCTGACTATTTCTAGGTTATTTCATCTGAAGCTCTCCTCTGGAACTTATTCTGAGGGAAACTTGGAAGGTGATGTTGAGTGAGGGCCTTTTCGGCTGTGGCTCCTTGTCTCTGGAATGCTCTTCCCAGTGAGGTCTGTCTGGCTCCTTCACTGACATATTTTTGATGTTAGGTAAAGACTTAGCTTTTCCACTAGGCTTTTGACGGTCTGAGTCAATTTTGTTCTGGTGCTAGTGTGCTGCTAAAGCTTCCTGCAGCTGTTACGGGCTTCATGTGTGGTGTTTTTTAAAAAAGGAATTGTAGGTGTTCGCTTGAAAATTAAAAAGTTTGATATGACGTTTAAATGATACTATGAATTTATGTGTATTTTAAAAAATGTGAGCTTCTTGAATACATTTTAGGTAACAAGCAACTAATATGTCTAAACAATGTTGATAATATGGTGGTGGTGGGGATGCATAAGTAGCTTCTGCTATCACTTTCAGGGTCAGCCCAAGACATTTTGTTGCCTGAGGCAAAGGTCAAAATGCTGCTGCTCCCCATTCAATGTACAGAAGCTCATTGAACTGGCAACTGAATCTTATTTCTGCACTGGCAATGGTATAGCCTCCTGGACTGCGTCTGAGGCAGCAGGCCAGTTTAGGGGTCCCAGTGGAGGCCATGAGTCATACCCAGTGGCATCCTCCAGCTAAGAAGAGGGAACATTTGGTGGGCTTAAGAGAAACAGCCAGAGGGCTGCCATTGCTACTCTGCAGCACCTTCTGCCTGAGGCAGTTGCCTCTCTCTGCCTAATGGTAGGGCCAGCCTTGATCAATTTGTATTTGCTCATTGTTACATCATACTGTTCTCATGGGCTAATAATATTGATATATAAATAGCATACATTATGCATTATATGAAAATGCCCATAAGAGCAAGCATTGCCCCCAAGGATATTCAGTGTTCCTTACTTAGTAACAAACGTTTATGTTGTGAACTGCCCTGAGATCTACGGGTACAGGGCGGTATATAAAATTTAATAATAGTAATAATAGTAATAGAAATACAAAAAAGGAAGGGCAGAATATACACTGTGAAGTTGCACTGGTTTCAGTGAGAGAGTTGAATGTAGGCTTGTGTAGTTCCTATTGAAGTAAATGGAACTTTACTATACTTTTTTTGACTGGATCATTTCCTAAGGATCAGCCATGGCTGAATTCCGCGCGCGTGTGTGTGTGTGTGTGTGTGTGTGTGTGTGTTTATGTTTATTGCATCCTTCCCCAGATTGGTACCCTCCAGAAGTTTTGGACTATATCTCCAATCAACCCAAAGAGTGGCTGGGGAAACTCAGCCAGATGGGCGGGGTATAAATAATAAATTATTATTATTATAAATTATTATTATTAACCCCAGCCAGTATAGCTAATTGTCAGAGACGATGTGAATTATAGTTCAAAATATCCAGACAGCACCAAGTTGGAGAAGAAAACCTATTTGAAGTATTTTCTAGTCTTTAACTAATATTCCAGATACATTTTCTTATTAATAATAACAACCTAATTTTAAGGTTTGCAAAGCATACTGCCTTTGGATACGAGAGCAGCAATTAATCCTTGCTGCTGACAGTTAGAACTGACATATAGCTACTTAAAACTATTGCATTTTTATCAATGTTTCTGAACTGTGGGCATTACAAAAATATGGTAGTGCATGATTGCCGATTGTTACACAGATGACACCAAACTGGGAGGGGTGTCATCCAGAGGACAGGATCACACTTCAAAACGACCTTGACAGATTAGAGAACTGGGCCAAAACAAACAAGATGAATTTTAACAGGGAGAAATGTAAAGTATTGCACTTGGGCAAAAAAAATGAGAGGCACAAATACAATATGGGGGACACCTGGCTTGAGAGCAGTACATGTGAAAAGGATCTAGGAGTCTTGGTTGACCACAAACTTGACATGAGCCAACAGTGTGACGCGGCAGCTAAAAAAGCCAAGGCAATTCTGGGCTGCATCAATAGGAGTATAGCATCTAGATCAAGGGAAGTAATAGTGCCACTGTATTCTCCTCTGGTCAGACCTCACCTGGAGTACTGTGTCCAGTTCTGGGCACCACAGTTCAAGAAGGACACTGACAAACTGGAACGTGTCCAGAGGAGGGCAACCAAAATGGTCAAAGGCCTGGAAACGATGCCTTAGGAGGAACGGCTAAGGGAGCTGGGCATGTTTAGCCTGGAGAAGAGGAGGTTAAGGGGTGATATGATAGCCATGTTCAAATATATAAAAGGATGTCACATAGAGGAGGGAGAAAGGTTGTTTTCTGCTGCTCCAGAGCAGCGGACACGGAGCAATGGATCCAAACTACAAGAAAGAAGATTCCACCTAAACATTAGGAAGAACTTCCTGACAGTAAGAGCTGTTTGACAGTGGAATTTGCTGCCAAGGAGTGTGGTGGAGTCTCCATCTTTGGAGGTCTTTAAGCAGAGGCTTGACAACCATATGTCAGGAGTGCTCTGATGGTGTTTCCTGCTTGGCAGGGGGTTGGACTCGATGACCCTTGTGGTCTCTTCCAACTCTATGATTCTATGATTCTACATGTAGAAATGTTCATTTTTCAACGGTGACGTCTGGAATCAGAGTAACCCAAGTGTACTTTGGCTTACAAAGCTTTCTGTTTTCCTGCTTCCTCCTTTGCCCTTTGTCCCGCTTTCCCCCAAAGCTACTCCTAAAGGCCAACAACACTCTGGGATGTGATGCAATGGTTTCAGTGGGGGTCGAAATCTGGGCAGCAGGGAGGCAGGGCTGAAGTGTCTTCCCTTCACTCAATGAGCTCTTTGGACCCCAGACACTGATTTGCTTTAGCAGTTTGCATTCATTTTAATAAGAACATGAGATGAGCCTGCTGGATCAAGCCAGTTGGCCATCTCATCCAGCATCTTCTCCTCCTAGTGGCCCAGCAGATGCCTATGGGAAGCCCACAAGCTGGATTCAACCAGAAGAGCACTCTCCCCTCCTGTGGGTTCCAGCACCTGGTACACAGAAGCATTGCTGTGGAAGCAGAGCAGATCCATCATGGCTAGTAGCTATTGATAGCCCTCTTCTACATGAATTTGGAAGACCATCACATTTAAATACTGTTTCTGAGCACAAGCTTCTGCCTCTTTCTCCTCTGTTGCCACCACAGGCACTGTACTCATCATAAAGGGGGCTGGAGCTGCAAAATTACTAATGGTGTCCTGGTGATGTGACCTAGCCTAAAAAAGGGAAGCCATATCTAGAGGCATGTTTGCCAGGTGCTACTTTGGTCAGGATGGCTTTTGTTAGAGGAAACATCATTTTAATTTCTAAGCCTTCCAAGTCCACCCAGCTTATGGTCAAACAAGGCATGAAATTTGGAGATCTATGATTAGATTCCTCCATTACTATGATGATGATAGCAACACTGGTGTGGCAATGGGGGTGCAATCTTGTTGGGGTTGTGGTGCTGGAGCAGAGAACCCTTTCTTCCATTTTGCTCTTGGCGTGAGGCCAAGCTTGTGAGCTGAATCAGCCTTGCTCTTCACCCAAGGAGAGATAGAGGCAGTAGGAAGGAACAGCTGCAGGGTAGGGTGATGTGGAGAGCTTTGTTGCCATGCTGCAAGCAAGAGGAGAGGTCAGATCCAGCCCTGCTCACTTCAACACAGCAACAGTGTCAGGGATGAAGGTACAGCAGGAGAGCATAGCAATAACTCTGCCTTCTTCCTAGGGCCATTTTCCCCTATCCAGTGTTCAACAACCTTAGGTCCCCAGATGTTGTTGGGACTACAACTCCCATTAACCATTACTGGCTAAACTGGGTGGAAGTTATGAGAGTTGTGGTCCAACAATAGCCAAGGACCCAAAGTTTAAGAACACTGCCCTAATGAAGGTAATTGAGCAATTGATGGAAGCAGGCTTGAAGAGGAACTAGATCCTGGCTTTGCTTGTGAGTCTGGCAGGTATAAGAAGAGATGAAGGCAGAGAGGAAGAGAAAGCAAGCAAGCATACACCAGTGTAGCAGCTTGGCGCTTCCCCATTGAATTGATGCTAGATAAATAGATATGCATGCAGTTGTGAGTTGCAATATTAAAATATTGCAAAATCCCTAATGAGAGGAAGAGAGTCCCAGCCATGAAGGAGACATGCACTGTTCACAACATATTGTTGTTAGACATTTTTGCAAACATCTGGGTGTGTATAGTTACAGCCCTGGTGGCATATCTGAAAACAGTTTTAATGAGGATAATAATAGTAATTAGAAATAATAGGCAGTATTATCTACTGCCCTGCCGTCACTGCTCTGCAGTGATACTCTTGGGGTGGTCTTGACCAAGTTTAGCTATGATTCCTGCATTGTAGGGGTTTGGACTAGATGACCCTTGGGGTCCCTATGATTCTATGTGATAAAAAATTCTGTGATAAAACTTAGGAGGAAGTACATGGTGGCTAACTCCATGGGATGTCTTTTCTAACGTTGGACCTATATCAAATCCCTACAATAGCCTACCTTGCAGGATTGTTGAAACCATGCACAGAAAGACTGTACAGCACCATCAAATTAAAAGTACAAAAAAACCCCAAATAAATTAATCTATTTATATGGTTTCCGGTTATGATAAAGCCCTTTCTACTGGAACTTTCTAAACAAAAACTCAGTCACACCCTCTGATTCATTTGGAAAAGTGCTGCTGTGTGAAATTAGTATCTGCCTGTCATCCTGGCAAGCATGCAGTGACTATTTATTTTTCAACTACCTTCTCGGTAGTAATTGCGACATCAACTTTCCCCCCAACCAATTCCCGTTCCAGGAAGCTTTGAGGCTATTTTATTACAAGAGAAAACATTTTTGTAGCCAAACAGTGGGATAGAAATCTAAATAACAATAAATGTTTGAGGAAAAACATAACTACATATTCACATATCGGAACCCTAAACTTAAAAGGAAACATTCGTCTAAAGTGAACCGACATGGGAGCACAGTTGAGTGTACTGTCCACTGACTGCTGTAGGAAATGGAACAGGCTTGCTTCAAAGACATGTTGCAACAGACACCTTTCAGTTATAGATTGCAATTGTTTGCACAGGAGGAGGTATGATGCATATAGAGCTCTTAATGTGCCAGCTGTTTCATGATCTCCATTTTACATGCCTTCACAGTGAACCTCTTCCTCTATTCTAATGAGATTAAATCATAGAGCCTTATCTAGATATCTAAGCAAATTCATGACTATGCTAGGATTTGCCCCCAGGTGTTGCAGAACCACCTGTGGTCGGTGTGTTGGACTCAAGCTGGAAAGACTAAAGTTCAAATCCCCCACTTGGTTATGAAGGGCCCAGCCTTTTCAACTCCAAACCCCTGTCCAGGCCATCAGAGCCTTGTGCTAAAGCACTCTTGGTAAGGGAGGAGGACAACATGCATTTGCCTCAAAAGTGTGGTCCTCCCTGGATCTAGCCTGTCTCTAATATTCCCTTCTGGATCCAGTGGGTGGTGGCTGACAGCTGCAGGTACACCTGGAGAAAATAGGTTATCTAGATATATTCAACTTTCAGGCCTGATTTTGGCACCAATGCAGCCTTGGTCACCCTGACTGATGTCCTTTCTTGGGAGAAAAGAGGACTGTGACCCTTCTTGACCACTCAGGAATTTTGACATTATTGACCATGGTGACCTTCTGGAGGGACTCAGGGAGGTGGAAACTGGAAGCACTACATTAAAGTGGTTTTACTCCTACCTGCTGAGTTGCTGCCTACTGTTGCTTGGCCCCATGGCTTTTGAGCTGTGGGGTCCTGCAAGGGTCCATTATGTGCATTATGTATATGAAAATGTTGAGAACTGTCACCCAGGGATTTGGAGCCTGGTTCCATCAGTATTCTGATGACATGCAGTTCTCTCTCTCCTCCCCCCCATTCCATGACAAGCAGGAGAGGCTGTGATGGCTGGATGGGGGTCAATAAACTGAGGCTGAATCCTGACAAGGAGGTCTGTGGGTCTGGAAATTAGGCACTGCACTCCCCCTGAAAGAACAGGTTTGTAGTCCATGACTACTTCTGGATTCCAGCCTGTCACAGGAGTCTCAAGCGGCTTCTGTGGCTAGGAGTCCTAGCCCAGCTTAGGTTGGTTCATCAGCTATGGCCAGTCCTGGATTGTGTTAGCCTGGCTTCAGTGGTCCAGGCTTTGGTGACCTCCCACCTGGACTACTGTAATGTGCTCTACATAGTGCTATCCTTGAAGACAGTATGGAGGTTTCAGCTAGTGCAGAATGTGGCTGCCAGGTTGGGACAGCCCAATGGGACCATTGTCTTTAGAGCAGTGCACTGACTACCAATGAGCTACCATGCCCAATTCAAGGTGTTAGTATGAGCAAATAAAGCCCTAAATGGCTTGGGACCCAACACCAGCCATCTTGGCTCCTATACTTAGCAGGGGAGACCCTGTTGGTGATTACCTGTGAGAGGGCCTTTTTGGTGGTGGCTCCCCATTTGTAGAATGTCTTCCCTAGTGAGATCTATCAATTTCCCTCATTATTGACTTTAGGAAGAATTGTGAAGCATTTCAGTTTAACTCAGGCATTTGATGGCTGAAAGACCTATCCCTGTCAACCCCGAATTTTTTGGTGGCTGTAGGGTTCCAAATATTAGCTGGCTCACTGTAGGATTGTGTGCTGTGTTGGGCCCACTGTAAATATGTGAGACAAATTAACAATCTGTGCAGTGCTTCTTGCAACCCAATTGTCACAGGAGCCTACCAATCAGTAATCACATTGTTCAAAGTTGGAGTTAACTCTTTTTTGGCTGGGGCAACTGTCAGATGGGTGACATATAAATTGTTGTTGTTAGTAAATACATGATCTCTACAGACTTCATTGAGTGTCAGGAATAATGAGCAGAGCAGGCATTCCCAGTGGTCTTGCTCCATGCAAATTATGGAGTAAATTAATGAAAATTACTTGCTGAGACTAAAAGTCCCCACCTCCTCACAGCCGTCTTAAGTCTCCTTCTCTCAAGGGATTTCCCCAAGCAGTCAGAGACTGCACCTGCGGGCAGCCAACCTTTCCTTCCCTTTTCAAGCCTCTTCTGGTTCTGGGAGAAAAAAGGGGAGCTTGTTTCAGTAGGAGGGGGAAACACCCATGACTCTTCACCAGCCTGGCTCATCTTTGCCTCTTGGCCTCCCTCCTCCCTCCTCCTGCTTCAGCCTCTGCCTCTGATTCTAGACTTCTCTCTGCCACAGATCCTCCCAGCTCACTAAGGCCTGTACCTCTTCAGCTTCCAACCCCTCCTCTTCCCACTAGTCTCCCTCTGACCACTCATCATTGTCCCACCACCATTCCCTAGGCTCTAAGCCTTCTTCCCTTGGTCTTTCCCCAGCTGGTTCCTCCTGCCACTCATCTGTGTACAACCAGTCCATGTCACCAGTATCTTACCTTCCTCTGTTGACTGCAACTGTACACCGACAGCCAAGATATCATTCTCTTGGTTCATTTCTCTTTTGCCTCCATTTGCAGCTCAACAGCCATGTGGCATTTTCTGGGGCCACAGAATATTAATATGGATCTAGAACTTGACACTCAATTCACTGAGAGGTGCCAATATTTGAGTAGCCAATAACAAAACCAATAGTATTTAAACATGCTGAGGTCAGGGTCCCCTGGGCTCCACATGGTCCCATGGCTTAGAAGTGAGACTTCAACAATTCTAGACTGTAAACTGCGTATCTGATGCATGACAGCTTTGTACCGGTGCATCCTAGGCCTCCACTAAGGTTGGCTGGCAGTATTGTACTCCCATGGCATTGCTGGATGACAAGACAGTCCTGGGTTCAGGAGTGGGGTTAATGTTTAAGTGAGTATTTGGAATATGAATTAATGTATGTAGCTTTGTGCCAAAATATCTACCATTACTTTTTCCATCTATTCCAGGAGCAGCAAGATACACACAGTAAAGTTTATTTTGGTCCTAGGTATACTTCACTCCCATTAAAAATAAATTAATCAGCAAATTCCTACACAGCTAAGCCTTCTTTTATGTAAATACAACACAGCTGTAATGAATTACAAGGTGTTATTATCTCTCTCACACACACTGCATAATACTTCACACATAAGAGGTTTTCTCTCCTTAGCTCAGTTTGCAACAAAAGCATCTTAAATAAACTGAGGAAAAAAATGTTTGGTTTGTAATGTTTTCACAGAAGTGGAATATACCTCACACATATAAAGTTTCTTTATATGACTCATTTTATAACAAGTTAAACTGAGGAAGTTTGCTTTGGGGAAAAAAATAACAAATTGACTTTTTTTTGTACAAAGAAAATTGGTAGCTGTTGCTGGAGCAGAGGCCTAGGGGTACATTCAGAGCAGCCAGCTTGTTGCACTTCATTTCATTGTAGTTTTGTTCTTTCTTGTCTTCATACTAATTTGCACACATCTCCCATGCATGCCTGCTTCCCGAGCCTGGAGCTGGGGCTTCGGTTTTCAGTTTCCCCCTAACACATTGAATTTGTAGAGTTACCAGTGTACCCAGACACCCCCCCTCCCCCAACAGAATCGATTCAGTGTGTCTCAGCAAGGGATAGTGGTGTTGCAAGCTTTTAAAAGAAGCAAATTTCCATTAATAGGTACACAGGTGCAACAGATTTAATTCAACACTTTTTCAAAAAAATGCAGGGATTGGGTTGGTAACCTGTGACAAATGTTGTTAGACTCCCAACATCCCTGATATTGGGCAATGCTGGCTGGGGTTGCTGGGAGGGTTGAAGGTTCCCCATCCCTACAGTAATGAATGAGGAGAGGAGCAGGACAATTACCAGGAAGGCAGCTAGGGTGAAACTTCTATGAAAGCCAGTCATTGAAAGACGTCTGCCTTTACTTAAAAGAAGTACAAGCTTCTTTCATGCAACCACCTCCCCAGGAATAATAGCACTAAATAATGCATTTTCTAGTCCACCCCATCACATAATTATCTGCCAGTAGCAAATACAGAACATAAGACTGCTTGCCTGGATGCACCCACTGAAGAGCAGGTTTGTGTGCTGGGGGTCATATTTGAGTCTCCCCAAGAGGATTAAACTTGACAGCCCTTTGGAAGGTATGAGGAAGAGCACAGACACATGCATAGACCTGGTTAAGCATCAAAAGCCAACTTCTGTGAATGCGCATGCTGTACAAAATGAAAGACTTATTTCTATATTGTTTTCAGTATATTTATTTGGATCAAATTTTAAAATGTGTGTGGAGAACTATTCTCCAGGTTTTCAGCAAAGGCATTACATGGTAAGGAAAAACATGAGAATTGTTTCTCGGCTTACATGTTGTACCATAAGAGAAACAAAATAGGTTGTGCCTCTAGAATGGAATAATGCGCTAACCTCCTTAATGCAGCACATACAAGGGCTGTTTTGAAGCAAATGAACTCTTGTTAGTCACGTAGGATCCTGAGCCACTATTTTATAAAGAGGTGACCTGAGCAAAACAAACCCATGAATAGGAAATGTTGCTCATACTGCAAAAACCTTCAGAACACAGTTTGGAGACATGGAACCCTGAAGTTTTTAGTCACAAGTCTCAGGCCCAAACCAGCCTGACATGACAAGCATAATGTGCAGCTTTTAAAAATGCAAATAGCATCAGCTAGGGTGGGGCTGACAATAATCAAGATTGCATCAGGCATGGAGGAGAGATGTAACACCTTCCTCCCATGCTGTAATCCTCAGGTAAATTTCTCAAATGCAAATGGAACATTCAGTGGAAAGAAAATGCCAGCCGATGTTCTGCATTTTTTAAAACCTGCACATTAATATCATGCCTAGTTTGGCTCTCTGCCTCCCATGGGGTCATTAAAAAAGAAACAAAAAGTCTTCCATCTATTGGGTCATAAAAACTATTACAGAGGCAAGGAAGGAAACTGTCCTTCACTACTGGGATCAGCTTCATAAATAACCTTAGTTGGGAAAGGGCAGGTAATCCTTTCAAAAACTTCCGCATTTTTCAAGCTTTGGAATTCTAGTTTCTCATTTGTCCCATGACGCACAATACTTGTACCGAAGAATGTCTTTCACATCCATGCTTGTGCTTACCAGTTTTATGGAAGACAGAATTATGGTATGTTTAGACAGCTGATCCCCTCTTACTAGACGAAAAGCATATTGCCTGTCACTTTGGTAAACTATTTTGCTCTCAAGAAAAGGAAGCTCCATTCAAGAACCTGTGTGTTGGAACAACCAGATAATGGAACAGAGAGGGATTCCTGAAATGAACTAGCAGCATTTAACCACAGATATAATACTATAAAAGTAGCATGTTAATATTTCTAAGGTGAAAATAATTACATAAAGAGGAGTTCTAATCACTCTTTCAAACAGCAAACACAGCATTTATTCCTTTCTTTCCTGGAAATCCCCACAGTATAAATCAAGTCTCACTTCCAGGAATTGTTCCACATATAGAATTAAACACAGTCAGGAGCAAATGTTTTCAAGCAGCGTGATGAAGATTTCAGAGTCCTTCATCGTTATATGTGGGTAAAGCAGGTTTCACGATGCTTTGAGCATTTGTTTCCACAAGGGGGCGCCAGGTCACTTCACCAGACAGCAGCAGGTCTTCTCCAGGAATAGCATCCAGGTGCTGCACCTGACAATCACAACAAAATAATGCAAGTCACCCAAGAGAGAGATTCTAAATATGATACCTCTCATCAGAAGTCTACCTGTGCAACCACTAAGGAAGAGAGGGAATTTGGGATCTCATGGTATTTCAGGTTAAAAAAGGTAAAGGACCCCTGACAGTTAAGTCCAGTCGCGAACGACTCGGGGGTTGCGGCGCTGATCTCACTTTACAAGCCGAGGGAGCCGATGTTTGTCCACAGGCAGTTTTTCTGGGTCATGTGGCCAGCATGACTAAGCCGCTTCTGGCGAAACCAGAGCAGCGCACGGAAACGCCGTTTACCTTCCCGCCGGAGCGGTACCTATTTATCTACTTGCACTTTGATGAGCTTTTGAACTGCTAGGTTGGCAGGAGCTGGGACCAAGCAACGGGAGCTCACCCCATTGTTGTGGGGATTCGAACCGCTGACCTTCCGATCGGCAAGCCCTAGGCTCAGTGGTTTAGACCACAGCGCCACCAGGTGTTAGTAAGTAAACCAGACATTTGTAAGATAAATAGGTAAAGGTAAAAGGTAAAGGACCCCTGGACAGTTAAGTCCAGTCAAATGCAACAATGGGGTGTGGCGCTCTTCTGTCTTCAGGCCAAGGGAGTCAGCATTTGTCCCGACAGCTTTCTAGGTCATGTGACCAGCATGACTAAACTGCTTCTGGTGCAACAGGACACTGTGACGGAAACCAGAGCACACAGAAATGCCGTTTACCTTCCCGCTGCAGCGCTACCCATATAGGTACTTGCACTAGCATGCTTTCGAACTGCTAGGTTGACAGGAGTTGGGACAGAGCAACGGGAGCTCACCCCATCGCGAGGATTCGAAGTCTAATGATGATCAGAAGTCTAAGGACTGACCTGCTTCTCTCCACCTGGTTTGGGGCGGGGCCTAACAGGCTCCATAAAGGACTACTGCTGCTGCTGGGCAGAGAGGCCTCCGTGTTTTTTTTTGGTGGTTTTTTTTAATTGCTATTATTTTTTATCTATATCATTTTAAAATTGTGATTGATATTAATACTGTATTCTTAGTTTTAGATTTTATGATTTATGTGGAAATTGTTTTCCATTTGGTTGTGTACTTTTGATGTGTTCTATTTATTGTTTATGACTTTTGTTATGTTGGTAATTATGTAAATCTTGTCATGTTGTAATCCGCCTTGAGCATTGTTTTAACTATGGAAAGGCGGCATACAAATAAAATGATGATGATGATGATTTCTCCAATATGCCTTCTTGGTCCAGGTCCTACACTCTAACCATTATGCCAATTGCCTGTGTGCAAGTGATTGGCATCTAGAGTAACCAAAACCACAGATCTTATTCTTTATATATCAGTTTTCATTTATAGTGGTAGGGATCATTCAAATGCCATTTCCTTTTTGCTTCTATGGGTGGTTTTTCTTTCTACAAAGCAAAAACTCTAACTATCTCATTAAAATGAATATATCTCATTTTGGTTTAATGATGTTTGCAACCCCCCACCCCTGCAAAAACGCTTTACATTTAGAAAAGCATTTCTACTGGGTATTAGGGTACTGAAAAATATGGTTAGTAGGATGGTAAAATTATTGCTAGGTGTGACTGGACAATTTCCATATGGCTTTGAATCTTTGTTTGTTCTATAATTGCCCTTACATGAGCCTATGTAGGTTGACAAAAACTTGATCCCTTAACCACAGTTAAGGAATTGGAACTATGTACTGTATTTTTCTGTGTACAAGACAATATCCCTTTAGTCAAAAATTGGAGGTCATCTTATACACAGATTTATACAATAAGTACTGGGTGAGCTGACTGGAGAAACAAGGCTGTTCCGAGGTGCGGTGGATCAAAAAAAGCTCAACAGCTTTTGGGGTGATTTCCCCCAAAACTGAACAACTTTAAAATAATGATTTCTAAATTTTGGGCTCCCTTTAGTAGGGGTCGTCTTATACATGGGGTCGTGTTATACATGGGAAAATATGCTATTTCTACATGCTTTCCCCTGGTTAAGGATTGTGTCAATGCTGCCCATAACCATGTTTGAAAATAAGTGCCCGTAAACTAGTGTTTGAAACAGATTTCAAAGGCTTAACAATGGTTAAGGAATTGGGGTGTGTGTGTGAAGAAAGGCCATTATTCCACAGTTGCAAGTACACCAAGCATGCATATTGTTTGAAATGTAGTGAGAACATCCACATTATAAATAGTTGCCCACCTGCTTGCGTATATATTCCACCATTATTTCCAGCTGCCTTGGGTCTTCACAATGCTTATTGAACAGATTTCTCCAGATGGCTGCTGCAAGCACATGATCATCTGATAAAATTCCCTAAATCGAAAGAAAAACAGCAAATTGGGAAAATGAAAACACTAAATAGGAAGTGGTTTCAGACCTTACAAATGGCTATTTAGCTGGACATTCTCTCTAGACTCTAAAGTGTAGCAATGTACGAATACAGCTTCAAACTTTCCAATAATAACAGTTTAAATGTTATGCTTTTAAACTAGCTTTTTATTGTGTAGTTTAATTGTGTGTAGATATTTTATAATTGATTTTATACTTGTAAACAGATCGGAAGCCGTTTTGGCTTGTAAGTGGCATATGAATACTACTACTATTACTGCTTTTTTATGGTGTGTACATTGCCTTCCTTTATTGGTAGGAGAAGACAAAGCATCAGAGAACTTATTAGCAGAGGAAAAACAAGCAGCAGATATAGTGATGAAACCAATGAAAACTTGAGCACAGTTCTGAGAAGCAGATTCAGTAGCCTCAGGGATCAGGTGCTGATACTCTATATTTCAAAAAAAATTAAACAAGTTGTACAAAAGTCTGCATGAGGCACAAAATCTTTACCCAGATTCATGCTACCTATGAACAACACATTCCCCACTAACATGCAGCACGATATGGGCAAGAGACAGCTCCCTTATGACCACATTGCACTCCCTAGCTTTAGTCAATGAGCATCATTAGCAGAAGCAGAATAAATTAGCCAAGACAAGCAAGTATGCACAAACACACTTCCATTGGAATAATCTCTATGGTTTGGAAAGCACAGTATATTCAGCACAGAAATAATGCATCTTTTTTGTAGTGCATAATATGCACCTGCCATTTATCTTGTCTGCATACATTAGTATTACCTCATCATATCCAAAAATAGCTGCATAGAAATTTTCTGTCATGCTTCTCATACTCGTTTTCAGGGCAGCAGAATCAATCTGAAAAATAAAACAGCAGTCAGTAGTAGTACTGGGGAAATCAGAAGTGAGCAGTTTCTTGCTTATCCAACCCACATCTAGATAGAACAGAACAAGCACCCTTGTTGGCCAGGGTTTGGTGGAAACATGTCTGGATAAACAAATTTCACAGAAGAGCCTTGGAATACATAAGGAAGGAGAAAGGTGCGTGTTCAGCACCACATTCTGCATGTATTTGCAATGCATGGGCAATATACTACTAAACAAAACTAAGGCAGGAAGAGTATCTTCCAAATATGGCTCCTAATATGGCAAGTAAACTACATGAAGCCACTTGGAGAACTCAACATTGACAGGGTGGGATACCTGTGGTGGTCCTGATTTTGCTAGGCTACAACTCCCACCATTGCTGACTATTGGTCATGATGGCTGGGCCTGACAAGAGATGGAATCCAGCAATGTTTGAAGGGGCAGCAGATTACTGTTGGGCCACCTTTTACTATAAGTAAAAGGGAGACCGAGCAGAATCTGAATGTCTAGCCCCCAAAGATCATGCTGGACCATCAGTTGCTGAATCTGACACACACAAAAAAGCTATGAATAACACCATACACAAATCTCAACACTTTGATAAAAGAAACCAGTACTGCTTCATCAATGATGTCATCAAAGCCCTATTAATATGCATATAGCCCTGCGGTTACTGCCTTGTAATAATTTCCCCCTCCAACAGCTAATTAGTTCATGTCATACTATCAAACCTATGGCTTATATATAGTCCTCCATTAAACTGTTATCCTTCATAACATTATTTTTATAATACACGCATACAGTGGAACCACAAGGAAAAAGTTCTTTTATGTCAGTTACTCATATTTTTCCATTTATATAAACTATGAAAATTCATGCATATATTTTATAGGCCATCAAGATTTGGTCACTGGGCTATTACTGAATGTTTAATGAAAAAAGCGCTAAATAGAAGAAATCACAGGGTTAAATGATGACTGCAACCTCTGTAATGACTTAATTAAATTTTTATTGAGTACATAAACTATGATGTCACTTTTAGCCAACCAGGCTTGTACTTTCTAGGCATGTCAGAGACCATGGCTTTTCTCAATAGAACATACTCCTAAATAAGCAGCATTTCTATACTCTAATAAGGGGGAGCAGCTCTCATGTAACACACTCAATAAATTATCCTTCCATTTTTAAAACAAACAAATTCCATGAGTTATAATATATTTGCCATGCACTTTTTATGACATAATAAAAATGTTACCTTAAGGATTACTTAACACATACTACAAATGTTACAGCAGGCAATTGCAAGGGGGCAAAGAAAATAAACAGCACCATTACAGGGACAGGTCCTGGACTTTGTATCCCTAGGGGAGCAGCTCACTATATAAAAGCAAAAAGCAGCAGCTTTAAGAAAGAGATTAATAAGGAGATAACAAAGCTAAATAAACATGGCAATAAATAAAAATATGACTCTTACATTGGAGGGGGGGCAGTATCCTGGATAACATCACGTTTTTTAAGAGGGCTATCGCAGTATTTGGAGGAAACTGGTTAATACTAGAGAAACACCATCTCATTAAAATAAGTAAATAAACTTAAAGAAGGGTTCTTTAGAAACATTCTTTTCTCAATCCCGTCTTCCCAGCACTGGCAATTCTCAACACCTGGCTTTCAATAGAAATGACTTCACTGACTACAAGCTTGTCTCAAGTGTCAAGGGCACTAGAAAAGTTTAAACTGCTACTCAATGCTAATGCTGCTAATAGCCACTGGATTTCTCCTGTAAATTTAAGCTCCTTCACACTTTGTCAAAAAACAGACCTTGGACTCCAGTACCTGCTTTGGTTCAAAATAGACAAGGATTCTTAGGAGCAATGAACAACAAATACAGTGGTACTTCGGGTTACAGACACTTCAGGTTACATATGCTTCAGGTTACAGACTCCACTAACCCAGAAATATTACCTCGGGTTAAGAACTTTGCTTCAGGATGAGAACAGAAATCGTGCAGCGGCGGCACAGTGGCAGCAGGAGGCCCCATTAGCTAAAATGGTGCTTCAGGTTAAGAACAGTTTCGGGTTAAGAACGGACCTCCGGAACGAATTAAGTACTTAACCCGAGGTACTACTGTACTAGGTGTATGGAATCTTCAGAATTTCACCAAAGGGTATATATTAAAGGTTATATCCAAGAATCTCATAGCAATTTTGGAGTATACCTGCATATAAGACCACTGAGATCTATTTAGTTTTGAAAGAAAGAAACCATTTAGTCTTAAGCAAGTCACTCAGAAGTAAGTTCCACTAATTCACCTGGACTTACTCCTAGGTAAATGTGTAGAGCTCCAGGGCTTAAGAACTATTCCCAGTCTCTCAGCCTAAGGATTTCAATGGCACTCATTTAAAATTTATTTTTGTTTCTTAGCAGTATCAAGGACAATATAGAGGGACACCTTAGCTGCATTCAGGCATAGCAAGATCTCAAGCTCTCATGCTTCCCCCTCCACTGTCTTCCTCAGTCATGGCTGTAAGGAGACTGGAAGCTTTTCCTTCCACTCTGTATTAACTGTCTTTTTCCTTTACAACTAAATGTGAACAAAGTGTAAATTAACTTTAACTATGGTTTATTGAAATAAGCCACCTTCAAACCTTGGGCTATGAAGCTGGTTTCTTTTAATATACCATAGCGAAGTTTAACCACAGTGTAGGGTTCTGGTGCAATGCTAAACTGCTGTTAATAAAAAATAGAAACAAAAGTTTCTTATAGCTTCCTCGTGGTTGTAGTACCAGAAGAAGGGGGGGGAGGGGGAAGCCTGGGAGCCCAAGGACTGTTATGGATTGTTCCTGTAACAATAAATAATAGTTTATTGATACATCTGAATACAGTGGTACCTCGGGTTACATACGCTTCAGGTTGCATACGCTTCAGGTTACAGAAGTTATTTCATGCTCCAATATATAACTATATCATAAGATACTGAATACAGTGGTACCTTGGGTTACATACGCTTCAGGTTACAGACTCTGCTAACCCAGAAATAGTACCTCGGGTTAAGAACTTTGCTTCAGGATGAGAACAGAAATCATGCTCCGGCGGCAGCATGTACAGTGTTTTATCAAAGTTTTCACCTAATGTCTTCTGGTGTCATACATTTGTCTTAACCGTTTCAATCTCTAGTCACATTACAATGTTTGCCCATAACGTTTGTTATATTTGAACATTGCATTTGTAAAAGTGAAAGTTTCATATGTAGCCTTGAAATATTGTCATATACACTGCAGGATTTCCCCCTCCTCTCTCAAATGTAGAGGGATTTCTAAATCAAATAAAGCTTAGCTCCCCTTAAGCGCTCCTCCTACCCAAGGCATCATATTCATGCTTGCCACAAAACAGTTAACAGTTAAATATTTTCTTGCCAATATTTTAAGAGTGCAGAAGGTTCCAAATTGCTGGTAAAATAAACAATGCCAGACTGTGAAAACTCCTGGCTGCCATGCTCTCTGATGTTAACAAGAGTTCCTTTATTACTATAACCTTTCTGAAGTGAATAAAAATTACTTCTCTGCCCTACTTCTGCCCTCAACTAAAAGGAAAAGAAGGAAAGTGAACCACAAAAAAGTTACACAGTAAGATGTCGAGAATCCTGGAGGATTCTTAAGTTTTAAACATTTGTTTATACGTTATGTAAACACATTGTACCTTTGTTGCAAAACTTATGTCCCACCAATGCAACAGTTTCTGCAAATCTCCAAAATGTTTGTTCAATTCCGTTGAAAAAAATTATGTGCAAAGGACCCTTTATGATAAAGTGTTCATCTGCTCTTTAGCTGTGTTCATCTTTTGGCGGTACAGTGGTACCTCAGGTTACATACGCTTCAGGTTACAGACTCCACTAACTCAGAAATAGTGCTTCAGGCTAAGAACTTTGCTTCAGGATGAGAACAGAAATTGTGCTCCAGCGGCGTGGCGGCAGCAGGAGGCCCCATTAGCTAAAGTGGTGCTTCAGGTTAAGAACAGTTTCAGGTTAAGTACGGACCTCCGGAATGAATTAAGTACTTAACCTGAGGTACCACTGTATGTGATTCTTAATTTGTAGCAAAAATTGCCACAACAAAATAAAGATTGCCAGTGCCAAAATACCAACTGCGTTTTATTTGCTGGGCTTTCTTAACAGGCCTCAAACTTGCACATTTGTGGTTCAATCTAGCCAAGTTTAAGCACCTTAAAGCACTGCAGAGTTCGGTGACAGAGTTAAGCACATGCTTAATATCCCATTTAAATGAATGGGACTGGCAGTGAGAAGCACAGAGTGACAATTCATAACATCTTTGAGGGGAAGGTAAGATAAGAGTACACATGGCTAAGCTAGGAAAGTATATCATCATTATCAGGGAAAACAAATGAGATAACATTTATGATAAATTGGTTGTCATTCATTGATTCACTTGCAGAACTAACTGCTTACTTAAAGCTTTGCTTTAAGATGTTGTAGCTAAATTACTTTATGTCCTCAGTTTATAGATGGGGGATATAAGTGATTAGCACATAACACTGATATGTAGTCTTTTGCATGTTATCTGGATCTCATTTAATGATATGATATACTTTTAGGCAGCTGATTGATACCACCACCACAATCCCAGAGAGAAGGATCGTCTTCCCCAGCTAGTTTTCTTAAGCAATAACATAATTGAGCTCAAGTGGTTCAGAATACAGCTGCAATTTGCAAGTTTGTTCTCTCTCTCTTAAAATACTCTGCTGTATAATTTACCATACGTTATCTGTACATCATGGTATTTGCTGACAAATGTTTTATTTAACAGTTGAGATTTCTATGTCATGTTGTATTTGCTGGTATTTAATGGTGTGGATGAAATACATATAAGCAAGAGGTGGGCAAATAGTGGCTTGCAGGTAACATCTGGCCTGCAGCAGCTTGAGAATCACTCAGCTCCTCCTACTGGCTCATTCCTGGGCCGCTTTCAGTGGACAAGGGAGGACAGCAGCCTCCTTCCAGTTCCCTTGTAAAGCTGGCCTGTCCATTTCAAAAATGAAATCCAGAAGCTAACAAATGAAAAGCACCAGAACACAGGCTAAATTTCAGATCTCAACCTAAAATTCAAAAACCATTTTCAAAATCTGAGGAGCAGAATTAGAGATTTTGGCAAATGCTGTATATTGTATACTTGTTCTAGGTCTCTACAGGGTTATAACATTGCAGCAGGTCCCAACCCATCAGCTGAAAATCTATTATCTAGAACACATGCTGCAGAAAAAGAGTGGTGAGATCTTGGAGTTTGGTTAGCTATACAAATGAAGGGGCAGCTATGCTAGGAATTTACCGTATTTTTCGCCCTATAGGACACACCGTCCCATAGGGCGCACCTAGTTTTTTGGGGGGGAAATAAAGGGGAAAAAATTATTTCCCCCCCAGGCGCGGGGCTGGGTCGGGGGAAGCCCGAGCTTCCCCCGACCCCAGCACCCAGAACAGGCAACTCTCCACAAGCCGTGGGAGCCCAGCACAGGGGAGAGCATGCAGGCAACTCTCCGCAAGCCGCAGGAGCCCAGTGCCGGGCTCCCGCACCTTGCGGAGAGCTGCGCAAAGTCTGGGTGCGCTGAGCTCAGCGCGCCCAGGCTTCAGCATGCAGGCAACTCTCCGCAAGCCGTGGGAGCCGCTTACGGAGATCTGCGCAAAGCCTGGAGAGCAAGAGGGGTCGGTGCGCACCGACCCCTCGCGCTCTCCAGGCTTCAGCGAAAGCCTGCATTCGCCCCATAGGATGCACACACATTTCCCCTTCATTTTTGGAGGGGAAAAAGTGTGTCCTATGGGGCGAAAAATACGGTAAATGTACCAACAGAAGTAGTGGGATGGATGCTGGGATGTAATTTAATGATATGTAACAGAAAGTGGGAAACAGTGCAGTCAGGAAAGGAAGGATTAAAGACATGCACACACACACACACACACACACACACACACACGAGAAACAATACATTTGGATGTCAAAAGAAGTTGAGAGCACAACTGGAGAATTACTGGAGAAATGTGAGACCTTAAGAAATAATGGGTTTAGAAACTTTAGAAAGGAAAAAGAAGTAGCAACAAGGGAGGGTGTGGAAAGGCAGAGATATGTAGAGCATCATATGAACAGCAGGTTGATGGAGGCACAAGAAGAGTACTATCAACACTGAATGACAGTATGGTTGAGCTCTAGGAGCAAGATCTTCTCTGGGATAGCTCAGTCAATACAGTATGAGACTCTTAATCTCATGAGTTGAGGGTTCAAGCCCTGCGTAGGGCAAGAAGATTCCTGCATTGCAGGGGGCTGTCCCCTTCCAACTCTTAAATTCTATGATTCTACAACAGTTCACAAGAGGGAGGGTCATGGCACTTCTGAAAAAATGAATCTGAGGGCTCAATCATGATGCCCTGATGCTAAATCAGGAGAACACAGGGTGATCAGAAGCAGTATGTGGAACATCACCTCATAGCACCTTCTCATGTGGCTATACCTCTGTCATAGTTTCCCATAATTTTCAATGATGTAAATTCTATTTGACCTTTCATAGACAAGTTACCAATGAAAAGCCCTTTCACAGTAACCAATGAGCTACCCACTACTGTTTATACCAGCCCATCTTCCCACCACTAGGAACTGACCTTTTGAAGCATGGAATCTGTTCCATACAAATATGTGGCTTTGGGTGGAGGCAATTCCAAGAAATCTATATAAGCCACCCTCGCTATACTGACTTACTGATTGAGATGTATTGGCACTCCTAATGAACATTATAGCTTCTGACCACAAGTAAGAGAAGAGTAGCACAAAAGACAGAACTGTAAGAAGTGGATGTTTGGATTATGAGCCTACAACTCTCACAGTCCCCCTCCCCCTTTGCTTGGTCTACTATCTCCAGTATGTACTCATTAGCTGCAATTCTGGAGCTAGAATTGCCATTCCCATAGTAAATATACCCAATAGAAATCTGCAGTGAAGTGAGGGCAGATCTGTGGGCTTTGACTGGCATTTTTGGTATAAAAAATAAAAAACCAAGGCTGTTCAGGCTGAATAGAAGAGACTGATGGAAGCATTTTGCATCCAGGGGACCTTTACCTTTTACATGCAAAATCTAACACTGGATTAGTTTTCTTTGCCAGACATGCACCTTCATTGGGATGCAGATCAGGAGGGACTAAGAATAATAGACATGAGCTCTCCGCAGGCTTGAGAGAAGTGGCACTGTGGCTGTTTGTCCCACAACCTCCACGTATTGGGTACAGTGTGAGAACAGGTATGTGTGAACATGGTTTCACATCACTCATACAGGCCCTACATCTGTAAAATTGTGTATGCAGGACCTGTTCTCATCTCTCACCCAATGTATGAAGGTTGTGGAAAAGAACAGTAAATGTGCAGAGCTCAGAGCCAGCTAGGGTGATCCTGATATCCCTCCAGGGTTTTAGTAAATGCATGAAGAATAAGGCAAGATCTTGGGGGTAATTCAAAGAAGAAAACCAACAAATGAGAAATAGTTTCCATACTTTGTCAAGTTGAGAGAACAACTCGAATACTGTATCTTCAATAGTGAAGATTTGTTTATTGAATTCATACCTCACCTCTCCTCCTGAAAACTCAGGGTGGCAAACATACCCACATTTCAAAAAAGAATTCTAAAACAGTTAAAGTATTCTAAAAACAGCTACAGTTAAAAATATTATTCCATCCAGTGATCTCAGGGTTGTTGCAAACAGCATTCTTTAGTATTCACCAAATGCCTGGGTAAACAAGAAAGTTTTCAAATTCCTTCTAAAAATTAATGATGGAGAGAGAGAGAGAGACACACACCTCAAAGTTCTACCCCAAAATGGACTTAATTCGTGTTCAGTTCACCTGCAATTATGGGAACTGCTTTCAGATGTAGTTCTGAGATTTTAAAATGAATTTTGTGAACTTGGTTAAACCGGAATAGTTCATTCCAAGCACCGCAAATGGCCAAATTCACACAAGCAGTCACCCTGCCACTGTTTTAAATGAAACTACGTAGAAGTTTTTTATGCGCTCTATTGTTCATATGCAGTGACTCACTGCATGGGTCCAAATGTTTCCCTTGTTAAACTTACCCTCCTTTTATTTTGGGGGCTGAAAGCTCTCCAGATATGTATTGCTAACTTACCACATGGGTTTCCATAAATTTAGCTGCAGTTTAAAGTCACCATTATCCCATTGTTTCTGTGCATTAGTCTAGCCTTTCACTGGGATCGAACATGAGGGAACACAGTGACCATGTTTTCCTGTCACCATATGTCAAGATTGCTGGCTTATCATAGTTTACCAGAAATGAGCAGTGTGTTCCTGCATGCTGCCCAATGGTTCCTATTTCACTCCTATGCAGCATGAGCAGCAGAAACTAGAAGCCTCAATTAAACATTGCTTCCTATACTGTCCAAACCCTGGACCATAGTCTGTTGCTCTTTCAGAAGTCAGCAATTTCAAGTTTTTTAAAAATGGCATGGTAGAGAGCAACAAACTAGGATCCTGGGTTGGATGTAATGGGAAGCCAAGCTTAATTGCGGTTTCCTGGTGTTTTGCTCCTCCCTTAGCGTGAGCAAGTGAGAGCAACTGGAAAACATGCACTAGCACACTGCCTGTTTCTGATAAGCCAGCAATACTGGCTTACTGTGACATGTGAATTAGGCAGTTTTTACTCTCCTGCTCATATAGAGAAAAGCAACAGTACTATCAATTAAGTGGTTCTGGGTTACATTGTTTGGTCCTGTGATAATTATCCATTCAGACTGATTTTACTGATTCCTTTCCTTGCTATGATTGGATCTGTTTGTAACCAGGAGAGATCCTTCTGAATTGGAAGTGTGGTATCTATGAAAGAGATTAAGACTGTGATTTGTATACTAACCTCTAGTGCCATTATAGTCTAGTGTTACTATAAATTATCGTATTTTTCGTTCTATAGGGCGCACCGGCCCATAGGACGCACCTCGTTTTTTTGGGGGGGAAATGAATAAAAAAAATTACCCCCCCCCCCCGCCGCGGCTGCCGCCCCAAGCCTTGTGCACACCTGCAAGAAGCACGGGGCACCCTCCGGAGGGCTCCCCGTGCTTCGGGCGACAGGCTGCCGCCCCAAGCCTCGCGCGCTCGGCGGGACCTCCTGCCGGGCGCGCAAGGCTTGCAGACACTCGCCCGAGCACGGGAGCCCTCCGGAGGGCTCCCGTGCTTCGGGCGACAGGCTGCCGCCCCAAGCCTCGCGCGCTCGGCGGGACCTCCTGCCGGGCGCGCAAGGCTTGCAGACACTCGCCCGAGCACGGGAGCCCTCCGGAGGGCTCCCGTGCTCGGGCAACAGGCTGCCGCCCCAAGCCTCGCGCGCTCGGCGGGACCTCCTGCCGGGCACGCAAGGCTTGCAGACACTCGCCCGAAGCAGGGGAGCCCTCCGGAGGGCTCCCCGTGCTTCGGGCGACAGGCTGCCGCCCAAGCCTCGCGCGCTCGGCGGGACCTCCTGCCGGGCGCGCAAGGCTTGCGGACACTCGCCTGAAGCACGGGAGCCCTCCGGAGGGCTCCCGTGCTCGGGCGACAAGCTGCCGCCCCAAGCCTCGCGCGCTCGGCGGGACCTCCTGCCGGGCGCGCAAGGCTTGCGGACACTCGCCGGGGCTGCAGGCTGCTGCCTGCAAGCCTTGTGAGCCCGCGGGAACTCCCACCGGGCTTGCAAGGCTTGCGGATAGCTTCCTGAAGCCTGGAGAGCGAGAGGGGTCGGTGCGCACTGATGCCTCTCGCTCTCCAGGCTTCAGCGAAAGCCTGCATTCGCCCCATAGGACGCACACACATTTCCCCTTCATTTTTGGAGGGGAAAAAGTGCGTCCTATGGAGCGAAAAATACGGTAATCCTCAATGTACTGTTGGGGGGGGGGGAGAGAAGAAAGAAAGAAAGAAAGACGCATGAGTTTTATTTCAATTAATTGCAGAACATCAGGCAAGACTCTCCTTTTAGCTGCTCTGGTGTAATATGAAGTAATCCCAGTAAACTTCATCTGAACCACTCCAGAGTAACTGAATATAGAATAGGGGCTACTGTGTATAAATAGCTCTACCTAAAAACATAACAAAGACTTCATTGTACTCCACAGTGCAGGGCCAATAAATGAATTCAAGAGACACTTAGATGTGTTTCTGGAAAAGGAGGGGCCTGAGTGGTCTGGTGGGAAAGCAGGAAGGTGGGATTAAGTTAAATTAAAATGCGGTTGGCATGTTGGGCTGGACGGCCTCTTCCTGCTCCTATCATCTTGTACAGCTTTTAAAACAGGCTCAGCTACAAATCAGGATTTTACACTGAACAAACAAGTCTTGTACGTTGTGGGATAAGAGCAGCACTCCAACTTGAAGGCAAGGTTTTTGTTAGAAAGATGTTTGCCATTAGGAATGCGTATTTCAGATGTGATTTTAAGTCATGTTTTCCACAGTTTTTAAGTTTCTGTATAGAAAGTGAGAGCTTTGAAATTTTAAGCAGAAGATAACATTTCTAAGGACTGGGGCAGAAATAAAAAATAACTAGGGCTTAGGGATCAGGAACAGGTTGTGGGATTCTGTGCTTCCTACTTCTCTCTAGTTTGGTATTGCATGCTATAGCCATCAATCTACAGATGCACCAAGATTCTCCATATGTGTTCAGAAGCATTGTGGCGATCAGCTTAATGGGGGTCAGTGAATTCAAGAGACTCACTTGATAGATTTGGGGTGGGGGGATCAAGCAGGGCGGGTGGGTGCAGAGCATGCACAATTGCATAGCAGACTTCCAAAATCCTAGTTAAAAATTTACATCAGCGAGTAGCCTATAGGTGCATTCAAATGAACATCTCTCCATTTATTAAGCTGAGATATACAAAACCTTTTGCCCATGCAAGAACTCCTTCACAGCAAACAGAGACTGAACCAAGAAGACTCTAATTAAACATGGTTTCCCATTTTGTCTGAACTGGGAAACTGTATTTACAATCTTTTGGAACAAGACGGATTATTCAGTTACAATGTGAACATATCAGCTTAATAAGCAAAGATGTGACAATCCAAACCAGGCCTATAACTCACTGAGCGACATATACGAACATCTACCATTTATTTTAATCCTACCCATCCCCAGTTCAGATGTTTTGAAAATGAAAAGATGATTCAGGGTTTTTCTTTTTCTAGAAGCATCTTAGCAGATTTATTTATTTGTTTAGGTAGAGCATTAATTTGTGTTTTCAGGTTCTGTCCCTGGCTCTCACCTATGAAAACTACTGAGCAGCTGACAGATTAGACAGTTCATGCCTATAAAATGCATGACAGACACAAGAGCAGAGCAGGATCAAAAGGAAATCTTTTATCGAGCCTAATGTTACTAGTAATACTTTGAATCACTGCATCAAGCCAATTTTCATGCTTGTTTTTAAGTTTGGTAGAAAAGTCACAAGTGGAAAAATTAAGTAAAGAACACTGGTTAGCCACAAAACTGGACACACCTGGCTGCATAACCACCAAAAGAAACTGACTTCATTAGTTCTAGGGGCAGGAGAGTAAAATTTATATATGAAATCTGCCTGCACCAGTAGAATTGCTGAGGCCAAAGGCTTTCTTTCTGTTTTTACAGCTGTGTCAAGTTTTGGGTCTCAACTCTTGCCAACAATCAAGAGTGCTGAAGGAGCCCAGGTTAAAGGGTCCCAAAACTTTGCAGCTGAGATTCAGATTGCAACAATTTTAACAACTAGTCTATGAATTAATACACCATTTAAAACAGGGATAAGCATAAATTTGAAGTGAAAATGCAATGGATTGCATTGGTTCAAACCATGCTATCCTTACATCTGTAATACCAGATGGCATGTTCTAAAACTAAACAAAGCCACCAGATCTGAAATATATAATTTTAACATCCATTTTCTCTACACATTGCCAGCTATGAAAGCAATGTTTCACTTGCCTTGCCAAAATATTATCTAAGTTTTATTTTCTTCAGCATAGTTATCTTTCAAAAGTATTTCAATTAACTACAGACCTTTTTATAATTTCTTCATAAAGCTTTCCCCTAAATGGGGTTTCTTTGTAAAAGTATAGCTGACCTTCCTTGTGCCTGTTACTTATACTCCTATATCTATATGCTATGTTAGTATGAAATTACCGATTTATGCTTTTGTATAGAACTCAAAACGGATAGATCTCAAATCAAAATTCTGAAAGTCAGAAGTCCTTCTAACTTTGAGTAAACAAGTTTCATAGGTTGAAATCCCCCTTTTGGCCTAGAAAGGTATCATCAATGTTCTGGAATGAGCACTCGTTGCTTTGAGCTAGTTTACTTTCTCTGCCATGAATTCTTAACATAAAAGTGAGTCCTTCTGTTTTAAGGAACATCATTGTTTGGGTCAGCAGAACAAGAAAACTATGGAATCAGACTTCCTTACAAGCTAACAATAACAAAAATTCTCAGGTAATATTAATATAATCAATATAATTAATAATAATTGAACTTTTCTGTATGTGAAAATTCAGAAAAATATGTATAAAGCAAACAATGACTTCACATGTTTTATTCTGGCCTTCATATACAGCTTAAGAAGCCAGTGCCAGATATCTATCTACAAAAAGGACAAGGACTTAGGGCTTTACAAATGTTATTCAATCTACACTCTGTCTTTCAATACCACTCCATTTTCTTCTTTGTTACTAACCCATAACTGAAATAAAGCTTGCAGTAGTTTCAACCACACAAAGTCTCATTATAGTTAAATGATCCTCTAAATTAATTAATAAAGCAGGTATAATAGTTTGCAAAATGAGACATCCCCATCCCTATTAGCAGGGCTGGGGAACCAGAGAGTCTTTAAATGCTGTTGAGAGTCCAACTCTCCTCAGCTCCAGCCAGAATGGTCAATGAAGCTGGAATCCTACAACATCTGGAAGGCTTCAGCTTCCTCATCAATGATCCATAGGTTTGCAATATTTTTTTCTTGTACAAGTATTTTTATTTCTCAGGTAGGAAATAGCAATGTTTTGAACTTCAATCTTGGCTACATTTGGAGATGCAACACTTCCAGAGATTTCGAAGCCACAGAGAATAATTGCTCTAGAATCTCAAAACTAAATCAACCATCACCAGAAGGAAGCAAGGAGCAATTCAAAGAAAACTAGGCCATGTATGGTCTTTTCATCATGATGGCAGCGCTCTCTAGATTCAGAAATGCATAAGGAATTTGTGTGCTATATATGCCTACAGTTTACTCAGGAATAAGGCACTCTACTGTAGAGTATCTGATATAAAAATAACAATATTATACATCCTTTTCTTAAAAACCATATCACTCATTCAAAGAGAAAAAAATATTGCATGAGAAATTTTCTCCTTCTAGTGTTCCCCAAAATTTTCAGTGTTCCCACTGGAAAATTATTTTAAAGTTCTTGAAAAAATATTTCCATGTTTTCCCCCAGGCCTTCACATCATTAACTATGAGTTGGTAGAATTACTACTGAGAAAGTAAAACTGAATACCTTATAAAAAATATCCCATGGCAATGGCAGGAGGGTTTTTTCTTTTTCTTCTTCTTTTTGCCTTCCCCTTTATTACATGTCAGGCTTTGCCTTTTAAATCACATTGGTAAAACTGACTAAATTGAGCATATTTTCAGAAAGCATAATTTGATTGGATTTGACTTTCTGAAATAAATACTGCTTGATTAGCTAATTGTTAGCTTGTTGCTCTGGGCAGCTGATTGTATATCCTTGACCTTCCAATGCTCTGACTGCTGCTTACTATAATTAGTTCTCAGCATTAGGCAGCACACTTTTTTACGGGCTGGAAGTATGATTTGAAAACCTCCACTGTGAGTACATCTTAGGAGCAGCAAGCTGACTTTTTCTCAGGTACGGAATGATGGGAGTGTCTAAGAGAGTGGCTAACACCTCTCTACAGCAACCCATGAAGTCATAGCAACTGCTGTCCATTCTGTAGAAGTAGTCAGAATGCAATTTTTTTCCATCAAGGAAAAGAATCAATCCACAGTGCAATAACTGGACACCATCATTAGATTATTGCTGGCAACAAGAAATCACTGGCCAGTTGGTCAAACCTAGCATTTATACCTCTGTAGGGATGTTTCGGAGTGGGCAGTGGGGTCCGGAGGGAGCACACTCCCCACCAGCAGGCAGTCACAGTCTGCCTGCACACGTGACCTTGGGGTGTGGGGCACATCCCCCCCCCAGACAAGCCACAGCTGTCTGTACATCGTTCCCTCTGTCTGACCTTTTGCGGTCTCAGCAGTCTGCGGTGTCCTGTCTGTAACCTTTGTCTCTGAGACCTTTTGTCTCCTTCGTCATACACTGTGCAAAGGGAAAATGATGCTGTGGAAACAGGTGCCAAAATAACTTTGTACTACCCCTCGATCTCGGGACGGAAGATGTGTAAAGGTCACAGCCCAAAATGTATTTGCCTGGCTTGCGTATATGTCTCAATAAAAGGAGCCTCCACAGGGCTAGCGAGCAGCTCGCTTCAGCTCACTTGTGCGCAGCTCACTGATGATCACCCCCAGTCTTGTGCCTTCACTTCATACCTCATTTTGCCAAGGTCTGCCTACCTACTCTCCAATGGTTGAGGAGTTGCCTGCTAATCTCACACAGCTATGCTAAGGATTTCAGCCGAACCTAACAACCTACAGGGCTGTGGTGAAAATAAAATGGAGAGGGGATGCCACCTTGAGCTCCTTGAAGGCAAGGTAGGTGGGATATAAATGCAAAAAACAAAAACACATGGATGAATACATATTAGCTGTTGCAGTTACCTCAGTGTGAGATATTTAAATTTAGCTTAAGATGAAGTTTATGGCTAGCTGTACTTGCACGTGATAAAAGATCATTGGAAACATCATCTGTTCACTCTTCTGCTCAGTTATTCTTACAAATATATTAAATAGTAAAATTTTAGATGGACCACATGGCTAAGGCAATCTGAATTCTGAAGCACTAGCTTCCTGACACCGACACAACATGACAGTCATGTGATAAAGAAATCTGTGCCAAAGACTACTTACTCCCATGACCTTCCCACGTTGCTCAACATCTTCCCACATAGAATGAACTATATAGCGACACATGTATTTTCCTGTTCGTCCTTCCTGCTTCATTCGTACTAAACACATCCTAGAGGATAGCAAAGGAAACACATTAGATTCTGGAAATTTTGACTTAAGAGAGTATGAGAAGTACAAAGGGGAGACAAAAAAGGAGATGCAACTGGTGCATGGTCCAGGAATATAGAGCAGCAGTGTGTCTGATAACAACGTAAGCACCACTATAAGCTCCGTGGGACCATGGACATGCCCGTTTTTACTATAAAACTTTTGTCAAATGTCCCCTGTATTAATAACAACAACAACAACAACAAAAAGAGGATCCAAAAGTGGCAGAGACCAAGCACCATAAGCTCTCACTGATGGAACAAGAACCAAGTGTTTTTTTCAAGTAACACTTAGCCCAACGCTTTAAAAGATGCTGTATATTTGGATGTTTAGTGCTGTCACAGAGCAGTGTTGCAGCACCCTGAATGAGGTCATGGAATCTGGAGAGTTTATTTTTTAAAAAACAGTACCTCGTTTACAACAACTGCCACTTGAGGTTAAATGACACAGGTTCTTAGATTTTCTAACTACATCAACACAGCTGCAAAACTTTTTATTGTTTTACCATAAGGTCATGTTTTGTAATATATTCAATTATTCAACAACCAAACCATATTTTGAGTATAGGGAAGTTTTGCTTTAGAGATGTATTAATACAGTATCTGGGATTTTAAAAAAGACTATCCATGTTATTTTAAAAGGATAATTACCTTAGAAATATGAACAGGGCAAGTTTATTCTATGCTATGGGCATATATCTGTGGAACATATAACAGGGCCTCAAGAGAGGATATTGATTGATTGATTGATTGAAAGAACTTGTATACCGCCCTATACCCGTAGGTCTCAGGGTGGTTCACAGACCTACAGGCAGGTATCAACAGGAAAAAGCAACCTTTCAGGTGGCACTTCCTCTCCTTACCTGCTGCATTCCTAATAATTATCATGCTTCAGCTGATGCCATTTGCATTTTTTTAAACCTGCTAATTAAATGCAAAGATCCATTTAATGACTAGCTTGGCCCTCAGATATCTTTGGTTTCCAACACCTCAGCCTGGAGCAAATTGGTGTGCAAGCTGTAGGATGTGTGTCCAAAATGCATGGCTTGTACTTGCCCACTGAAGACGGCTTCTGAGTACTATCCATCTCTTGGGATAGCCATCCTCAGTTTTGTTTTGGGGGTTTTATTTTAGTCACCATTAAGCAGCTAGAGCTCTCTAATAAAACATCACAGTTTCCCACCCTCCTGTTCAGCATTTTAGAAAGAGGTAAACAAAGGAGGTTTGCACAATGAAATTGACGAGCACAGGGCTGCCTCAACCTGGCATCTTCAGCCTTAGGGCAAAGTGCAATCTGAGCTGTGAATGCAGGCAACACATAATAGCTTGAATGATTAAAGTATCATTGAGATGTAATTAGCTGCAAGGGTACCAGAAATATTTGGAATACATTCAACACTTACATTTTAAAATACAAGTACAGCAATTAGCATGGCTGCTTTCGGCTGCTGTGATGGCCATCTACAGAGCTAGTTACTAGCAATTCTGTGAGTCTAACAGCAGCAATGAAGAATGAACATTCAGAGGATAAGATCATTATATTTATTATTATTTATTGCACTTATTAGTCAATTTTATTTACAAAATGTAACCCAAAGCAACTTGCAAAATTGGTTTCTGGCCACAAGATTCAGTTTCAACTTAAATTTGGTGCAGGGTCCAAGGCACAGTCCACTTCAGAAAAAGGAAGGCTTCCCTTGCCCCTGCTCCAGGGTGGATAAATAAAGCCTGTCACAGTGCAGGCAACTTGCTCCGGGGCTTTTTGTGTTGCACTCAAAATGAAAGATCTGTAACTTTTATTTGGGGTGTGTGTGTGTGGAATTTAAGCAAATTGTATATCCTTATTAGGGAGCGAATTCTGACAAATTCCAGAAGGATACAAGCTGTGGTTTTCCAGCAAGGGTAGCCATTGCAGTTGCGCGGAGAGGGGAGATAAAAAAGGAATCACTTAAAGTTAGTATGAGTTTTTATTTGTTTTAGTCTATTGTGATTTTTACTTTCTCTATGTTTTAAATTATGGCTGTAAATTTTTAGTGATAATTTCATTGTTTTATCATTTTTGTAAACTGCTTTGATTTTTTTTTCTACAGGTGGTATATAAATTGTATGAAACAAACAAACAAATAGGTACCGGGGGTGGGGTGGGGTGGGGAAACAATCTTTTATTTTCGCAGTACTCACACTTCTGAACTCCCTGCCTATTGACACCAGGCAGGTACCAGTGCTGTATTCTTTTCAGCGCCTTATTAAGACATTTTTGTTCAGGCAGGTCTTTCCAGACATGCATGTGATGAATGCATATGATTTAAGCTGTTTCGTCTTAACTGTTGATTTTAATTATACAGTGGAACCTCGGTTTTCGAACATAATCTGTTCTGGAAGACTGTTCAACTTCCGACACATTCAAAAACTGAAGATCAATGGGCAGTCGTTAAAATCCATTGAAAAAATTGAGAAACGCACCTCGGAAGCTGTTCAACTTCCAAGGCATGTTCGAAAAGGGAAGCAATTACTTCTGGGCTTTTCATATTTGGGTTCCAAATCCTTCAGCTTCCAAGACACTCGAAAACTGAGGTTCCACTGTACAGTGGTACCTCGGGTTACATACGCTTCAGGTTACATATGTTTCAGGTAACAGACTCTGCTAACCCAGAAATAGTGCTTCAGGTTAAGAACTTTGCTTCAGGATGAGAACAGAAATTGTGCTCCGGCGGCACGGCAGCAGCAGGAGGCCCCATTAGCTAAAGTGGCGCTTCAGGTTAAGAACAGTTTCAGGTTAAGTACGGACCTCCGGAACGAATTAAGTACTTAACCTGAGGCACCACTGTATTTGAATTCTTTAAATATTTTGTCTTTTATTAAAATGTTAATGCTTGTTTCTTGTAAACCGCTTAGAGAGTCTATTTCCAATCAAGTGGAATATAAGTTTGTTAAATAATTAAAAATAATTAAATAAACAAGATAGATATATGCTTCAGCGCTTTTGCTCATATACGGCAACATTCCTCCTCAAGAACACAGACTGGAGAGTCAAAGTAAAACAATTCCATTTGATTACAAACTTGACCTGTCAATCACAAGAGAGCATTTCCCCCCTTAGCTTCCCATCCTGGTGTCTACTCTCCCTTCCCTCACAGCCTACCTAGTATTTCCCTTTCAATGTAAGCTTAAATACATTAGTTTTGCTGTTAGCAGAAACTTTTCTGCAACATTTTTAGACATCTTAATAACTGAGGCACCACAGGACCTCACTTTACTTCAGGTACCTGGTCAGATCCCCAGTTCACCTTGGGACATAACCAAAATCCCCCCAAAGCACCCTATATTAGCTCAGGATTCATGTGTCTCTGTGTCACACCTTTATTTCCCCAAACCAGTGATGAATGTGCTCTAATAAGGGACTTTCTTAAATGCACTCATGAGATGCATACACACTTTAATCTTTCAGCTGTCTCATTTTCTGAATGCCTGTTGTAAGCTAACACCACACACCACTGGAATAAAGTTCATAATATCATTTGGAACCCTGAAGTAATTGAGAAAGCTTGGAAAAGGAGAGATGAAAAAAAAAGTACACATGCTATCTGGGTCATGTGGTTACACTTTGTTCGGTGACACCTTTTGAGTGTCTATATTGGTAGACTCAAATCTAGTGCTATTAACTTTCAGAGAGGCAAGCAATTGGAAAAATAATTTCCTTCCTTCTGCATCCTTGCTATATCACTTTGACCTTTTCAAACACGTAACTTTAGATGAAAACTATATTTTGCCTAATTATTTTTCTTGGCCAGTTATTTAACAAATGAAGGAAAAACTCACTTTCTGAGGTGTTAAATATTCTACATGCAACCAACCTGGCATTCACTTAATCTGTAGGTACATTTTAGAGGTGCAAATGTAAATGTCAATGGTATAATTTGTTAAAGGCTTCTGACAACCAGAAAGTAAAATCACCACAGGTTCTCACAATTCAAACCACTTTTACGTAAATGTGAGATTTTCCTATAACAGCTAAATAAGAGACCTTTCCATTCAAGGTGAATGAAACCTTTATATATTTATTTATTTTAAAGTTATTCCTAGCCATATCCTTCCCCCTACTAGACTTTAGAAATAACTACAAATATTAGGCTTCTTTGACCTTTGTTTTTTAAAAAACTGCCCACAAGTCCAATATTTTTGTCACTAGCAGTGACAGACTTCTGTAGTTGGTATAGATGTTGCAGAATTCAGAAAATACAGCTTTTGAGGGGCAGAAAATATAGCTTTAAAGTTTTGCTTACCAGACGTGAAGCTGTGCTACTAAAAACCATGAGTTCAACGTGTCAGGCATCTGAAATTCTTAAAAAATATATATAATTATTTTTAAAATCCATTACTTTAATCTTTTTTTTAAAAAAAGTAAATGAATTTACACAAATGTATTTTTTAATGTTTGACGCTTTATTATGTTTTTATATGTATTGGAAGCCACCCAGAGTGGCAGGGGAAACCCAGCCAGATGGGCAGGGTATAAATAACAACAACAACATAAAATACAATAATAAATATTGTAACAAAATCAAATGTTTTCCTATGCAAAGTTTAAAAATGAATGATAATTTGCTATGCAGTTAATACCACAAGGAAGATAAATTGCCCACCAACAAAACCTCCATCTTATCTGGATTGAGCTTCAGCTTATTGCTCCTTATCAGGTTTTAGACTGACCTAGTTTCTGTTTCACTGTTAGTGTGCAATTCATAGAACAGGGAGATGTCCAAACTGTTCTGGATGGGGCTGGATACAGTGGGGATTTATGGGCCACCCACGGCATGCAGCACCTTCAAGTGGTTAAGCCTGATACACCAGCTGCAGCCATGGGCGTAGCCACAGCGGTGCAGCTGCCCCCCATTAAGTAAATAAACAGAAATGCTTAACTAGCTGCCTGATTGTATTGCAGGTATTTTGATTTTGCCCCGCCCCCCAGCATAAAGCCTGCCTCCCCCTTAAAATACTGTAAATCCTGGCTATGCCCATGGCTACAGCCTGTCTTTAACCCCCCCCCCAAAAAAATGGGCAGCAGCTATCCACACCCTGGTAACTCATCTATATTATTGCAATGTGCTGTAGTGCTTTTTAAGACTTTTTGGAAACTTTTGTTACTGGAAAATTGAAGAACTAGGCTACTAACTAGGATAACTTCTTAAATAACTGTAGTGGCTGCAGTATATTTCCAGGAACAGTTCAAGGGCATTTAATGGCTTAGGACTCAAGACACTTGACCACACAAGCCTGCCCAAATTTTACATTATATGAAGGCCCTTCTCTAAGTTCCTGACTCCTAAAATTAGGTGATTACCAGGCAGAGGCAGTTTTATCACCCATTATGTGGAATGCCCTCTTGAAGGACTTTTGCCTGGTACCAAGTCTCATGTCTTTTCCAGTATATTTGCCCAGGCTTTTCAGCATGTTACCAAATCTGTTTTAAACCAATGGTTCTGCTAGACTTAATACTCTCCTGTGCTTCTATTGCTTCATGTACATTTTAAGTTTAATTTTATTTGCTATTTAATTGTCAGAGTCAACTTTGGTTTTTCTTAAACTGGAGAATCATAGAATTGTGGAGCTGAAAGGGACCTCAAGGGTCATCTAGTCCAAACCCCTGCAATGCAGGAGTCATAACTAAATGCAGGAATCGCAGCTAAGCATATAAACATTTTAAATAAACAACAAATGCTGTATTTTGAGTGAGCAAGGTGTTAACATAAGAATGTAATACCAAGATCATGAACTATCATCATTAATATACTTGCCTTAAAATGTGTCCTGCGACCTCTCACCTCCTCAGAGGAGGAAGACAACCCCCACTGTATCCCTATGGCTCTGGGGGATTTTCTCAGCTGTGACTAGTGGTGATCAAAGAATGCTCCCTTTTTAGCCTCAGACGATTGGTCTATATAGCTCAAAATCATCTGCATGCTGACTGACAGCAGATCTTCAGGGTTTCAGACAGGAAACAGGCCTACCTGAAGATGGCAAGGACTAAAACTGGGGTGCATGTACTCTAACACTGAACTATGGCCCCCTCCCTTCAAGCTGTAGCTGACCTCTGGAATGGAGAAATGATTTGCACTCTCAAAATTATCACTCCCAAATATCCAATCTTACGAGTGAGAACCAGATGGGCTCTCTAGTTTCTGGGAGCTTCGATTAATTAAAAAACTGCAGGGATGAGAGTGGCAGCAAGCAAAGACTTATGATGAACCCAACTGGTGTAGTCCACTTGTGCGTTTGATCCTTGCTCTTCATGGCTTAAGATGGGGTGGAGAAGCTGACCTAGCAGATTTCCTAAACAGCCTACATCAAGGATACTTAAAGGATCAATTCCTTCTACCAATCTTGCCAATCCACCCAAATCACTGGAAGAGGTCTTCCTACATCTCCCAACCCCATTTGAGCATGATTAGTGGGAACATGTGGGAAAACTCTGTTACGGCAACTTTTCTAGAACTCTGTATCTTCAGAGATTCATATGGCACCTTCTCTGGTGACATCTCACCACTTTTTAATTCATTTTTTATTCATTAGGCAAGCCTTCTGTCTGCAACTTGGTTAATTTTACATGTTTACTTCTTTAGTTTTTGTGGTTTTATTGATTCTGTTATAAACTGGAAAGATGAGGAAAAACGGATTAATGATTTCTGGTTGTCCACTCAATTGCTCATTATATACTGATCTATTAGTTGAAAACCACTCTCTTGTTTAACAGCCAAGTCATTAATTATTATTGCAGGGCCATATTAATGATAGCTCTCTTCCAAACATGGGCTTCACATTCCATTCTGTGCTTGAATAATTAAAGGATCATAGGATGGTTGAAAAACAAGTTGAGCATACAGGAGTGGCAACAGGGCAGGAAACTCAGTGCCTGGGTTACCTGCAGTGACAGTGAAGACTAGTGTTTTCATATTGGTAAGATTTGGTTTTTTTAAAAAAGTAGGTTGGATATGAATGACCTCTTTCTTTTCCTTTTAAATATGCAATATGTTGCCTGTATAGCGGGCTTTGTTTCATAAGAACTGTTCCTTATAACAGGCAGAAATAAGTGTAGGCATACACACCTACAAGGAAATAAGCAAGATTTGAGCATTAAACCCACGCTGCAGGCTGTCCTACTTCCTCCATAACCTAAGGGTGGGGATGTAATAGAAGTGAATAAGAGATGAGAGATGGAAAACTTACTGTTAAAGAATTCCTCATAGTCTGTTTTCTCCACACAGCATGTGTACATTCGCAGGGCTGCTATTTTGATTTTCTGGAGAGGAAAAACAATTGCTTTTAGTGCTCACAACATGCATAATGTGAGAGTTTTCATTAATCACACCAAATACACTTCTTCTGCTATCAAAACTATACATTTGTTTAGGGACTGTAATAAAATAGTCTGGCTATCTTAAAACATTTGCATAAATAATTGTGGAGATGGCCTTCAGTCTTCTGAGATACTTATATTATTGTGCTATGTTTGTTGGTATTTAACTGTGAAGCACTCTCCTATACTGAAAACAAACCAAAATAGTAAGTTAACTTTTGGGTTATCATATCAATGACTCCAAATGCTCAAACTGTCTAGTCAGCAGTGCACCATTTTTATCAACATCTGTCAAGGTTTTTTGCATGCATTTCAGCTCTTCACACATTTAGGCCATCTAAATTCCTGTTAATGACAATCATGAGCAATACTGTTTTCTAATGTGTTTGCTGTTTCATTCCATTATATGGAGATCTGATGAGTAAGTTCATAAATGAAAAAATGTTTGCATACTGTACTCACTTCTAAGACTAGCCCTTCCAAGGTCTTGTTTCATGTATACCATTTATACATTGACACATTAGTCAATATTCTAGCCAATATTTTTTTCTACTCCGCCAATAAAAGTTGACACAGTTCCATGTTCTTAAGTCAAGAAACACATTATGTTTACTGGATTTTCCTGCCACAGAATGATATTTTGTTGGGCTGGCAATATTCTTAAACTTATACTGGCTAGTAGCCACCATCTCTTTTCAGTCCAGGAAATTATGACTAACCAATTTATTATTTACACTAACAATTTCTTGGGCAGTAAAAATTATAGCAATTGATTAATTAGTTCTTCAGGTCCTCTAATCCTAACCCTTCCCCTTTCTAAGAACTCCAACTTGTCTAGACCAGGTTTTTTTTTTAAAACCAACAACAGTGTAGGAGACTGCAAGCCAATTTCCAGTCAGGTTTCTGGTGAGCCTCTGCAAAGTTAAAATAAAGACAAAGAAAGAGCAGGACGCTCAATACTCTTCCATCTCAGATCTGGGAAAAAGCAAGAGCAGCAAGAGAAAAAGACCCTCAAAGGGCCCATAAAGGAAATTATAATGAAAACAAAGATCATCTGGAAAATAAGCTGAATGAGCCCACAGTGACAACATATCAGAGAATATATGGCACATGTGAAGGAGCACATGCTCTGTGCAGTTTTGAGTACTAGGCTCAATGAATGCATGTATACAAAAGATGGACTGAGGATCTTCACCCTATGCAAATCACCCCACAAGTTTCAGCCCCATTCTATTCCCTATTATACTTGTTGCAGTGCAAGCACAAGATGTGCAAGAGAAGCAGATGGGAAAGCCTCTGACTCAGTTGCTGAAATACAAAACTCACTTCTTCACTACAGCAAAAGTGTGCTCTGGCATTAGCCCAGGCTCCACCCACTCCAGATTTTTTTAAGCCCCTTGTGTTGGCATTCCTGTGCTATGTAGAACTTTTTTTTTTTTTTTTTTTTTTTGAGCACCAGAGCCAAAGGATTCAAAAGCACAAGGAGTCCCTTTGTGCTGCTGCTAGAAGCCCAGAGCCTAATGCTATATTCCAGAATCTAGATTGGGCTCTTTAGTTCCAATTTGATTGGCCAAGTATTTATTTAAACTGCATCTCACAAGGTCGCAGAAGCACCCAGAAATCCAGGTGCTATTTAGTGAACTAGTTGACATTCTTATTTTTTTTCCTGTGTTGTTGGCAGTAAAAGTGGAAGCACACATGCTTAGTATGAAACAAGAACCCAAATGTAATCCCTGCCATCGCCAGCTAAAAGTGTCAGGTTGTGTGTAATGTGAAAGACCCTGGCCAACATCCCTAGAGAGCCAATATAAGTCAGATGAGGCAATGCAAGACTATATGGGCCAAAAATGTCTGATCTGGTATAAGGCAGCTTCCTATAGGGCAAGCATAGGGAACATCTGGCCCATGGGGCAAACCAGGCCTGCCAGGGGTCCTCATTTGGTATGTAAATCCATTTCTCCTCAGCTACACGCATCTGACATCAAGGTAAAGCTGTGGCTACAAAGAACAAAAAGGAGTGTTGGAGTGCACTCCTGATCATTCTTCTGCAAATGGGACTTGTATTTAGCACATTTTAAATTTGGTTCCAAATTCAATAATTGCTGGGATTGGCTCCATTAAGGAAAAAATCTTCCTTTCCAGATGAACCCTGAATTTAAGCTGTACTTGCAAAGGAAGGAAAAAAAGAATCCATGTGTACTAAATCACCAGACACCACAATGGAATCAAGGTAGCTGATAGGCAGGCAGAATAACTCAAGTTATATCTAAAACATATTGCTAACCATATTGCTATGTGAATTATCTATATGAAGCCACAGGGAGAAGTCATTTTTCTCTTCTGCAAGCTTATTCTGAGGAGACTGTGGAGCTCCTAAACCATTTGGGGAGAATGAGGGAGAAGCTTAATCCAGATATGACATAGGTACTGTGGGTGGGACAGTAGACACCTTTGTATAGAGCTTTTCAGCCTGTCCTTGACACTGTTGCACTAAACCTAAAGGATCAGTTGGCAGTTAGTTGGTATTTCCGGAATTACTGCTGTCTGGGACAGCTCTGGTGATGATGGTAGCTTAGGCTGGTACTCCAACTGCAACCCTATGAGAGAGGTCAGATCTCGCCTCAGTCATTCATGCATTTGTCACATCCAGATTGGACTACTGTAATATTCTACATGGGGCTGACTTTGAAGATGGGTGGGAAACCTCAGCTGGAACAAAGTGTAACCAATCGGTTACAGGTGGGTATAGTCAGAACATACTACACTGATGTTGTATCAGTTGCACTGGTTGCCAGTTCATTTCCAGGCCCAATCCAAGGTTCTGGTTCTTACATTTTAAGTCCTGAATGATCTTGAAAAGAATGCCTATACTCATTACCTGTACTGTGATCTGTGTCACAGTAACAGCAAGCAGGCTAATAGTAAGTGGTACCTCATTTTAAGAACAGCCCTGTTTACGAACTATTCGGTATAAGAACTCCGCAAAACTGGAAGTAGTGTTCCGGTTAGTGAACTTTACCTCAGTCTAAGAACAGAAGCCAAATGGTGGAAGGGCACCGGCGGCGGGAGGCCTCATTAGGGAAAGCATGCCTCAGTTTAAAAATGGCTTTGGTTTAAGAACGTACTTCCGGAACGGATTAAGTTCATAAACCGAGGTACCACTGTATAGGGCCTTCTTGCTCTACTACTAAGTTCAGTAGTAGAGTTATGGGACTGGAAAAATTAATCCCAAATGGAACTGTAATAACTGACAAGTAACTTCAGTGTGCTTTCTTTCGAATAACCTCTCAAAGTATTGTTACATTGTGACACCATACTAACATTCCAACTATCTTCCACCAAGTTTTCCCTCAAGTATAGTAATTAGAACAGCAAACATCTAGATTTTGCTTCCATCTGTCTTTGTAAAATTTCTGATAGTTGGTGCAAGCATAGAAGCTAAGCTTTAAGTTCTCATAAGATTCTTAGTTCTTTCAAGAAGACCAGCTCAAATAAGTATCTACCACTTATTTTTAAGAACCTTCCTTTAAAGAAATAGTATTTAATTTTACAAATTGAACAACTCCATATTACAGGAATGTTTACAGTATTTTGACTACATGGAAAATTATAAGTATGACAGTTATAGAAATGCTTAATTTAGTGAAAACTCCCATTTTCACATCCCAATGCCATAGGCAGTTTGACAGTATACCACATCCAATTCCAACTTGACAGCATGGGCAGGAGGGTCAATTGTGGTACTGAAGAGAAGCACTATAACATAAACCGTACTTTTGATTGATATAACACTAGACATAGGTAGGTACAACTTTCTAGTTCTCTTTAAAAACATAGTTGAAATCCCAGGAAATTGGTATCTGGAGGGCTCAGATAGGAGGCAGATTTTTTTTTAAGCAGTGAGGATAGTTAGTGGATGAAATGAATCCAAGAGAGGTGATGGAATAATCATTTCCAGACCTCAGACTAAGTGACCATAGGCTTGCTTGTGAACACTATTGTTGGTGCTTACTATGGAATGCAATGTTTGTGAGAGTCAAGGAATCCCATGTATGCTAGCCAAACCATCTGCTCAGTCAGTCAGTTTTTATAGATTCAGCTACATCCATGTCTGTACAACATAAAATCACAATGCAATCCAAGCCAGCCAGATCAAAATTTCACAGGGCCCAGGATAGAGCTGCATACCAGCCGATGATGGTATATGGGGTCATTACTAGAAATGGGCCCTCTGAGAACTTTCCATGTTACTAAGGTGCCAGGCGAGCAGCAGAAGTGGTCCAATAATGCCAGTGGCATTTTTCTTATCTTCAAATAATAACATCTTAAAAATCAACAGGCTTATCAAATCAATGATTGTAGAGATGGGATGGCAGACAGTTATTTTGTTGTGTAACATCAGTATATGCTCTTGAGATGTTTTCATCTAATCTAATTTTGATTCATTGTTGTATCTGGATAAAATTTTACTGCAGTGCTTTTTATATTATATTTATTGTGTTATTTCACTGTACACTGCCTTATCATGGCAACTGCCCTGAAAGGTCTATAAATCTTTTAATAAAATAAAATACACACATAGGAGAAGACTAAAAGGAACTGAAATTAAAAATAAAGCTTCTAAACAAAAGCAGCTGGTGCATTTGCTACGGGAAGAGGAGCATTCCAGGGGCTGGGGGTGAAGATCAATCTATCTCCTGGACAAAGCTCAAGAGATACCATCACCACCACACCCGGAACTGCCCCTGTCCCATCCTCTTTAACAAATTTAGCAAGTCACTGTGTACACCCCCACCCCATCCTTTCAATGTATTTTTAGACAGGTCATTCAAGGTGAGATATGAGCTCTGTTGTTGTTTTAGACATATTTTATGTTTATAATGTATTTTTACTTCATTTGGCCTTTTTTCACCCAAAGAATTTTAGTGCCTTTGAGCCCCTGGGGGTCAGACATATTGATAATAAAAAAACAACTGCTGTAAGACACTCTGGGATTAAGTGGAATATCAATAAATAAATCAGATGGTAGTTCCACCAGAAAATGTGGCACAAATGTCCAGGCAGTCCACTATAATTGGCTGAAATCCACACATACACAAGCTTTTAGCCATTCAGATACAAATGTGAAGTAGCATTGCAATCCTACAGATGTGTATCTGAGAGTGAGCCCCTACTGTACTCAGTGGGACTTCCTTCTAAGCAGACATACGTAGGATTGCACCGTAAAAGACATTCAGACATGTGCTTGTAAGCAGAAGTTTGAACTACTTTATTCTGGTAATCCTTCCTGATTTAGAGCCACTGAAAACAAGATGAATTTTTTACCCATTTGTTATATTTTAGTGGTCCTGTGAAACCCATTGCTTCTATTATCTTCGTGAAAGCACCTACTTTCTCTTCAGATGGCTGAGGGGAGTCTTTGGCTGTAAAAACCTATAATAAAAGCAAAGAAATATGTTAACAGGAGTCACATCTTAATCAACAAAGCATTGTCTGCAAATTAAAGCTACATTAAGCCAAAAGGGATGCTTCACACATTGGAGGAAAGGTATTGTCCAGGCCAGGCCAATCTGGAGTAGGAGGTGGAGGCTGCCATGCCTATCTGCCACATGCATGGTCCTATTTGACCAGGCCACACAAATGTGAAATCCGGTGTCTGTGTAGCCTTGGCGGTGTAAGTGACTGTGCAGTGTGGGCTCATCTGTGTTAGACTTTATGCTTCTATATCACATTTACATGTTATACATGTTTGTGGGACTCTAGTAGTCCTGAAGATGGGATAAATGTATCCCACGAGGTGGGAAAACATGATCTTTCCACATTGTTGGGAAGAAATCAAAGCCATTAAAGGTAAAGGTAAAGGTACCCCTGCCCGTACGGGCCAGTCGTGTCCGACTCTAGGGTTGCGCGCTCATCTCACTTAAGAGGCCGGGAGCCAGCGCTGTCCGGAGACACTTCCGGGTCACGTGGCCAGCGTGACGAAGCTGCTCTGGCGAGCCAGCACCAGCGCAGCACATGGAAACGCCGTTTACCTTCCCACTATAAAGTGGTACCTATTTATCTACTTGCACTTAAGAGTGCTTTCGAACTGCTAGGTGGGCAGGAGCTGGGACCGAAAGACGGGAGCTCACCCCGCTGCGGGGATTCGAACCGCCGACCATACGATCGGCAAGTCCTAGGCACTGAGGTTTTACCCACAGTGCCACCCACGTCCCCTGCCACCCGCGTCCCCTTCAAAGCCATTACATGACAATAAAAACAGTGTTTCTGATTACCTTTGTCACTTCAATAATATTCTTAAGCCTTAAAAAAACAACCATTGTTCCTAACATGGGAACACATAAAAACCACACAGCATGGTCTGCAACAGTAACAGTAACTCTGTGTTCCAGCTGGCAGCTGGACTAGTTGAAGAGAGTTAGGAATGAAGGCCACATGTTTGCGTATGTGGCCACATGGTTGCCTATGAGAAATAAGACGTCCAGCCCTATGAGATAATATATTATTAGCAATACATTTGGCCTTCCTGTTCTAATTAACCAGGTAATTTATGCCTACATGAACTTGAAGAAGCCAATGTGAGGCTGGCGCTTTAAAGAAATAGAGAAATCCATGACCAAAAGCACTATATGCAACATGAAAAACAAGATTCGACAAATTCATGGATATACCTATAGCTATAAGTCAGGATGAGAGGTTGCTGATAGCTGTCTAAATATACTTTCAAAACCCTGAAATGAACAATCGGAGATGGAAGATCTCACAAAAAAGCTTATTCCTGTACAGTTAAGTTTTATCTTAACAACTTTTACTGTTAAATGCTTATTTGTCCCTTTAAAACTAGCATTATATTGCCTACTAATAGCAGCATACAAGAACTTCATTAAAAATCCTTCTAACGTGCGTGTAAAAGGAACTGGGCTCTGAAATGTAGTTCACATAGTACATTGTATATGTTCTTCCTTCTAGAAGACTGTTAAGAACTGTACAGTTGTTAATTTTATAAGCCTTAAACTATCACAAGTGAAAATGAGAATACCTTAGGTTCAATTCAGACCTGAAAAAAGGTGAAGCAAATTGTTTGCCACTAAGCAGGTCCACTAAGCACATGTGATAATGCATTCTGGAATAGACTCCTCTTTTAAGAATATTCAGTTCACTATATTTTCAAATTGTCTACCCAAACTCTTGAGCTCTCTTTTAATCAGTCTAAATACCATAATGGACTTCGAGTCTTTCGAAGTTAGTAGTTTCAGGGGTGCCGTTTCAGAAGAAAGGCATGAAAGAATATGGTATAAAGAGATTCAGCAGTTCAAACGTATCTACTCTGAGATACATTTTATCTGTTTTCATGTCTTGTAATAAAAACAAGAACAACACAGCATGGTGACTTTTTTGTAAGCAGCAAAGATTCTCTTTGGCATGTAAGCAAAGCACACAAGACCATTTACGGTATTTGTTTTCTAAAAAGATATGGCAGTATGTGAAGCCATGTGATGGTCCGAAATACAAGTGTTTCTGATGAATAGTCACATGTGATCTGCAATTCCAGGGTAAGGAAAGCAGATATTTCCCATATCTACCCTCTAGAAATGGTACACCTAAACAATTATTTATTTTATTTTATTTAACAAAATGCTTATATTATTTGATTGTAATAAAATCTCAAAACGGCTCACAAAAAAATTAAAATATTAAATTAAAATGATAGAAGAGAGTTAAAAACATATATATAAATAATAAAAAGTAATTAAAATGAACAATAAACTAAAGTATTCTGATACTACCTTGTCATACAAGTTAGTGGACATACTGATTAAAGTGTCTTCAATAGCTAGCACTTTCCAGTAGCTCTGCTACTGTCATTGCAGGAGATGGTGGATTGATACTGGCTAAAATGATAACACAGCTGCCTGGAGCAACTGCTGTTTGAGCCACTTACAAAGTGTACATATGAAGTGCCCTGTCCCTGCCCATACTGCTCCCTTTTTCTGTGAAGATACTCCATAGGTGCATCTCTTTGAGCCAAGTAGTCTTCGACAGGCATCAAGGACACTGGATGGATGGCCCTCACACTAGAGGGTTTCCTAATGAAGATCCAATAACAACAACAAAACTATGAAAATAAATCACAGCAGTAGGCTCTACAATTAGGCATACACCTCATTTCTTAATTCCCCATGTTGGTGTCTTACTGTAGATATGAGCCTCTTCAGACAATTATTGTAGTGCCCCCCCCAAGTTGAACAAATCATAAGTCGGGGGGCAGAACCTATGATTCACAGGCCAGATGTGGCCCTCAGGGCCTCTCTATTAGGACTTTGACTCTCCTTGAGAGACACCTCTCCTTGGCCCTTTACCCTTACCAGCCCCACTTTGTCCTCTCCTGCACCCCACAGCTTACCTATGAAGTGGCTGACAATATGCCCACCCTTATGTTTACAATATGGATGGGGGAATAGATTAACTAAAGGCAGTGGATCTGCGATGGTTAATGATGTGAGTGAATATGAAAAGAACAAATGCTTGTGTGGGGATAGTTGTGTGAGAGAACAACTAGGGCATGTGATTGTGAAGGGTGTGTGTGTGTGTGTGTGTGTGTGTGTGTGAGAGAGAGAGAGAGAGAGAGAGAGAGAGAGAGAGAGAATGTAATGCATGCCTGTGTATAGGTGTGTGAGAAAATAAATGAACTGAATGGCTGTAGCCTCACCTACTTTTGACACCAGCCCCCAGAAAGTTAGCTACAAGGCAATGCAGTCCTTGGCTTGAAAAACATCACCCATCCCTGTCACCAAGATAGAAAACACTTTTCATGTTTTCATAAAGAGTAAGAAGTTAAGAGAAAACCCAATCTGACATTTTCTTTACATTCTGGAAAGAGGAAAGGTGAGGGGGTGGGACTAGAGAAATATATGGGCCTGTTCCAGCTGTGAAGCTTGCCAACTTGGCATTTTAAAAAAGTATTCAACCAGATGAACAAGTGAAATACAGTGTGCATTTAGCTGTGAAACTGCTGCAATATTTAACAGCTTATGTATCTGAATTACTATGCAGGGCCCTTAGCATGTGACATAACCTAAGTCACAATTAATGTCTCAGAGGCAGCTGAGTTAAAATGGACATACTCAGGACCAAAATTTTGTAACTGCATCTCAAGCACTTCCTAAACTACTTTCCAGATTAGGTTTAGTCAGATGATATTTTTTTAATTTTAAAAAAAGTACCGGCTATGCTTATTCCAGGTTGTTGAGAAACCACTCACCCAGTATGGAGAGGAAGAATTCACTATTCGCTTCAGGCAACTTGACAACAGCAAGTTGTGCCCATTGTTAAAGAGTGTCTGGGGTTTGTTGTTTCAAGCCCAAGTGCCGCAAATTATTAGTGCAGGTACATGTGGGCTGACAAGGAAGAAACCATTTTTGTGTCTTTTTTTTAAAAAACAACCATATTTTTTTTGCAAAGCTGGCTTAGTTGATAACTGCAATTTAGCACTTCCATGTCAGTGTTTCCCCTGCTCTACACCAATGCTCACAACTTTTTTGTCATTCAGTCTCCTTCCCTCTTTTGCTTTATTCTCCCAGTCTGTTAACCCTCCTCACAGAGTATGGCATAAAAAGCATACGGACTTTCACACACCAAAGGAATTTGGGATACATGTGGGCCATGCCATATGGCTGGCTTCATCAGACTACAAGCCAAGTCATTTCCACTGCACACATCCAAATCTAGAAAAAGGAGCAGTAGAACCCTAGGGACAAGATTCTTAGCCTTATATCTCCCCACAAACAGGCAAGAGGATTATACCTAGTGTACATTATGAATTTACCAAGGTGCAAAAATAGCTCATGCCATGGTGTGTGTGACTGGTTTTGATGATAGCAAATCTACAGGATTTTTTTTTTGAAAAAAATGCTTAAAATATCAGCCTGGTAGCCATGAGATCAGCAGATAAGAATTTTTAAACTTTTCAATATATTCCCCCCCCCCCATAACTTAGAAAAATGGTTTTAGTTGTTTTTTAAAAAATGTTTTATCATTGGTACGCCTGCCACCCTGGGCCCCTTTGGTAAGAGGGCAGATATAAGTCAATTAAATCACAAACACCATCAGGCACAATAAAGATACGTTGACATAAGAATTGCTTTGGATAGCTATTAGCTGAATCAGACAAGATGCTATGCAAGATGCAACTAAAAACAGTTCTCAGAGAACAGTTTTCTTCCTTGTGGATCTTAGTAGTCAGAATAACTTAGTACTCTATTTGTGCTATCTCACCCCTTAGCATTCTGGTTTATAGCCATTTAAGATCTTCCATGAATTTGTCTGAATTATTGAAAGTATTCTGCCAGTTTCAGCAGGTGTCACTTCCTCAGATTACTCTGGGATTTAATGCTTCTCCTGCATAATAAGACAACAAAGACTGTGCATTTAAAGTTTTGCTTGAAACCTGTTAACTCAAAAAATCCCAACCCCCAATAGAACCACAATCCTAGTTCAATAGGGGCAGACAGCATTTTTGAAATACAAGACTTCAGTTTGGTCTGACCTTGTTTGTGTGATGAAGTGTTCTGTTTGGCTGCTTTACTGTACCAATGGTTTGTATTAATCCACAGCAAACTTGGGTTAGTTGTGACTGGCCATTCTTGCGTCTCTGGTAAAACAACAAAGAGAAATAACCAAGCATAAAAAATAGTAGTATGGAAGGGCAACAGTGGATCATACAATTAGGCACACAAATTACACATTAGTGTTTCCCTATGGAAGAATTTCAGATCATAGACTTGCAAAGTTATCAGGTTTATTATACACATGAGCACAGATGAAGAAAAGTGGCAAATACATAAGGAAAGAGTTACATTGCTTGGCCTTCTAAACTTACCAGCTTCATACACCAGAAAAGATGAAAAGGTCATGAAGACACCACACACCCTCGACCTAAGAAATATTGCAACTATCAGGAATCTCTTAAAAACATAAGAAGAGCCTGCTGGATCAGGCCAAAGGCCCATCTTTTCCAACATCCTGTTTTTACAGTGGCCAACCAGATACCCATAGGAAATCTGCAAGCAGAATCTTCACACAGCAGCACTCTGCCTTCTTGTGATTCCCAGCAACTGGGAACAATTACAGTAAAAGTTATCTCAATGAAACTGAAAAGTCTGCATTCTTCATTATCTTGTGAACCAAAATGCTTTCTGTATATGCTTGGATGTGGTATAGAGCTTATGGTATTTATTATTTGCTTCCTATTTTCATCAACATTCAAATAGCAAATACCCATGTCAGACCATTTAAAATATTGATAACTGTCCCATATCCTTGAGGCACTCATAGGCTAAAGCAAATGATGAGCAGCCACACAGCTTTCCTTTAGACTGTCGTTCTGACACAAGGCTGATACCATTTCCAGTTAGTGCACCCATAAAACCACTGAGGAGAGCTGTAAGCCTAAAGAATTACACTCAATATTTCATCTGTTTTGCGAGGAATAATGTTCCATATTGTATATATCATGCTGGGCCTCGAGAAGGGGTAAATACTAGCATGGCAGGTCACATCTGGCTCAAACGATTCAGTTCCCTGAAATAAGAGTAAATACAAGCCATGAAAAGTTAATATTGGAATGTTAAAGAGAGTAGACTTGCTGGATCAGCTCTCAGACCTATCTAGCCCAGCATTCTGTTCCCACAGTGGCCAACCAAATACCTGTGGGAAGCTCACAAGCAGGACATGAGGGGATGAACACACTCACACTCATGTTCTCCAGAAGTTTTATTCAGAAGCAGCAATATATAGCCATTATGAAATACTAACCATTGAACCACTACAGATTTGCAAAGCATTTCTCTTAGGGCTCTGAAAACAACAACTGACACGTTATTACGGTATTTTTCGCCCCATAGGACGCACTTTTTCTCCTCCAAAAATGAAGGGGAAATGTGTGTGCGTCCTATGGGGCGAATGCAGGCTTTCGCTGAAGCCTGGAGAGCGAGAGGCGTCGGTGCACACCGACCCCTCTCGCTCTCCAGGCTTCAGGAAGCTATCCGCAAGCCTCGCGTGCCCGGCGGGAGGTCCCACCGGGCGTGCAAGGCTTGCAGGCGGCAGCCTGCAGCCCGAAGCACGGGGCGCGCTGCGGAGCACGCCCTGTGCTTCGGGCAGATGTCTGCAAGCCTTGTGCGCCCAGCGGGAGGTCCCGCCAGGCTCGCAAGGCTTGCAGGCAGCAGCCTGTTCTGGGGGCTGGGGTCAGGGGAAGCTCAGGCTTCCCCCGCACCTGGGGGGGAAATAATTTTTTTTTCTTTATTCTCCCCCCCCCCCCGAAAAATCCAGGTGTGTCCTATGATGCGAAAAATACGGTAATTCCATGATAAGCTCTAGCAAAGTTCTCAATCTTGCAATTAAAAAAATAATTGTACCTGGAGAGTACCATGGAGCATCCTGCCCCATTGTTGCTGAGCTAATGTCGTTTGTATCAATCCACTGCATAATGCAATCCATTGTGGTACTCCAGCTCGATGAGTCTATAAAATAATAGCCACTAATCAGCAATGATTATTTTGACCAGCATTATCAAACACCCACCTTCCTATAACCCCATGTTTGAATAATACTGTAAAAACACAAGTGCTGCTCATCTGAAGCTTCTGTATCTCCTCAGCACGATTCAGTATGAACATTTATAGTTCAAAGTAACATACTGCTAGAAGTTCAAATATGTAATGGGCAAGCAGAAGTATCTGCTCAGGCAAACTGATACATTCTCTACTAAGAACTATGAAGTCTTGACTAAAATCACAAAGATATGAAGAAAAACAACTAAATGTTCCCAGTGTAAAAGGACCCACAATCATTCTACATGACTGATACAAGCAAAAGTCAGGAAATTATAACTGGCTCCATGTGTCTAAATTATTTCCTGCCTCAAGACATTGTGTGTCTTACCACACCTTGCTCACTGCTATTCTCTTACATAATGATTATATCCTAGATTATATAATCAGGGTAACATGGCTTAACTTCTAAAAGATCCTGCCTGGCCAAAGAAGATTGGATAAATCAACCCACATGTCCCTTCCAGTTCCAGCCCTTTTGCTGACTACATAGCCCATAAGAAGAATGCTATAAGAGACAATGAGACTTAAAGGGCTACTGCTAGTAAGCTAGCAGAAAAGCCAAAAAGAGGTTTAGCTTCCTATTCTTTAGGTTTAAGCCAGGAGTGGGGAGCCTTGGCCGTAAATATGACTCTCCGCAGACTCACACCTCACCAGCCCTGTTTCATACCCCAAATGTCTTTGCTTGGCTGGAATGTGTGTTTGAACTCTGATAATGCTTCTTGCTTCCCTGAATGGAGGGGTGTGTGTGTTTGTGTTTACAAATATAAACTTTCTATGTGTTGCTTTCCCCACATTTGCCTCTGGCCCTTTCCACCACTGGCACACAACTCCCAGAAGGTGGCCCAGAAGGATATACAGCTCTCCAGCTGACACGTATGCCCCATTTCTGATTTAAGCCATACAGACACAGAGAGCCAGGCATGAAATGGTGCAGTGAAAACAGAGCTGAAAAATGTGGCGTTTAAGTCAAGACCATCTCTGCAAAGAGCTTTGACTCAGAGCCCACCTCCATTGCCATTACAAATATTTAAAAAATAGCACTGCTGTACTACTAATTATGACAGAGCATGAGCCAGACTATTAAATTAAGAGCTGAAGATTCTGGTCTTCTGCCTCTGAAGAGCTTCTGCCTCAGCCGCTGAAGTTACTTTACAAGCATTGTAATGGTTAGTGTTGGACTAGTACCTGGGAGACCAGGGTTCAAATTAGCTGCTGAGCCATGAAGCTCACTGGGTGATCTTGGGCCAGTCACAATCTCTCAGCCTAACTTACCTCACAGGGTTGTTGTGGGGATTAACTGAGGGGGGGGGGACTGTGTATGCCACCTTGAGCTGACTGGAGAAAAAGGTGGGATACAAATGCAACAAATAATTTTATGCCTAATTCTGTGAAGGCCGGTGATGCTTCTACGACGGGTCCCAACATAAGCAGCTATGGCGCTTTCATCCTTCCCACAGCAACGTCTGTCACCTCGCCGAAGCCTCCAAGGGCAAAGCCTTCCAGGGCGAGCAGGAACCCTCGCTCCCGATTTCCTCAGTCTTCCCACCGCCAACCGGGTCGCAGTTTGTGGGGCTGCCCACCGACAGCCCCCTGCGGACCCTTCTCTCCCCCGCCCCAACACACGCCCACCCCGCGCCCCTTGGCTGGCTCAAGCCCACGGCGCCGGAGAGGCTGCCCGAAGCCGGCCTCCCCAGCCCTGTCCCTCGGGCCCTTGCAGGCCGAGAGAGCGGTGCCGGCACGCCGAGCTCACGAAGGCAGCGCGCAAAGGCAGTCGCCAACCTCACTCACCACAACCCTCACCAGCGCCGCCATAATCCTTCAAGGACGAGCTTCCGCTTCCGCCAAACTTCAAAGTGCTTCCGCTTCTTCATCCGATGCCGGCGCCGCCACCTAGTCCCCCCGGGATGCTCTTGCGGAGCGTGTCTGGCCGGGGGCGGCGGGACATGCGCCTGAAGAAGCTCCTTCGTAGCCGCGATGGTAGTTTTGCGCCAGGGGCGTAATAACGGAGCTCTATTTGCGGGAGCTGCCATAGGGGCGACCTGTGCCTGCGGGGCAGCTCGTATTTATTATGGGGAAGCCAGGAGACTTTCCGTAAGGGGTGAGGGGGGGGGGTTGGCTGTTGGGAAACGCCGTGAAGGTTTCTTTTAATTTTATCCTTCTCGAAATCTGTTCCCCGTAAAGCCTCGGAAACTTGATGTAGTTTTAATGGCGAGGAAGGTGCTTTCTAGCAGTACCGGATTTAAGTATAAGCTAAACAAGCTATAGCTTAGGGCCCCACTCTCTTGGGAGGCCCCCCAAAAGTTATAAAGGAAAAAAACAACTGGATGCACATTTCCAAAATATAAGATAAAAAACAAATAAAACAAAACAAAATAAAGATTATGAGTCTTTGTAAATTGTGTTTCTAAAGGAACTTTTGTTATTGCCAAATGCCAATCTGTTTGCATTATTAAGTTTGTTATGAATAAAAAATCATTTTAAGTTAGAGCTTAATAATTATTTCACTATTAATATACTTCTTAATTGTATTTCAGTTCAACAATTACTTTGATAAAATACATATTTTGTTATGTGCAAATGGCTTTAGATACCTATTCGGTACATAAATTACCATATAGCATATATTCAATGCAAAAGACAGCGACAATTTGTTGTTGACAAAGGACAGCTGGACAGATAAAGGGCCCCATTAACCTTCAGAACCTTAGGACTTCATCAAACCTAAATCCGGCCCTGCTTTCAAGAATGCACAGAGTGCAATTTTCTCCCACCAGTTAGTAGCCACAACCAGCTCTCCCAACACACATACCAAGGATGAGGTGGCAGGACCTAATTCTGGCCACGTTGTTCTCTGTTCTCGCCCTCTTCTTGTGCGCTTAACCAGTGCCATAACTAGCCATAACTGCACCTGGTGCAAACCATACATTTGGTGTGACACCCATGTCAACTGCTCCCAATGTATGTTTAAATTAGAACCACAGATTTATAATTACATAAGAAAAGCTTTAAAAATCAGTGGCAGCTGGTAAGATTTTGTCTAGGCAGGGCTGTGATTTTGAACCTTGTGGTTTTTTTCACAATAAGACTAGTATAGCACTCATTTTGGAAAGTGTACCATTTCACATGTACACTGTCTCACTAAAAAAACAACCTCCATCAATTATTCTCTGCGCTTTTATGGACAGGGGAAGAGGTTCTGTATAAGAGAGCAACAGCATTTCCTCCATGCTGCATTCAATATATTTTGAATTTTGCTCTGAGAGGGGCATGTTGGAAGCAGATACACTTTTTCTGGAAATACGACAACAATAATTTATTTATTAAACCTTGCTCATCTGACTTGGTTGCCCCAGCCATTCTGGGAGGCTTCCAATAAAAATACAAGGGGAAAACCGACATAAAACATTAAAAGCTTCCTAAAACAGGGTTGCCTTCAGATGTCTATGAATTTTTTTACAGTTGTTTAACTCTTTGACATCTGCAATCAAGCAGTCTTTCCTTACTAAACAGCTGCTGCTGCTGCAGTAACTTTTAATGAGTGAATGCAGGGAAATGGTTAATACAGAGCTTGTTGCTACATAAGCCATCAACCATTTCTCCTCCAGGCAAATTCACAAAAATAAATACAAAATTGATAGATATAGAGACACACAGTGTCCACTGTTCTCTCTCTCTTTCTCTTATCCCCCACCCCACCCCTAGAAAGGGCTACAAAACAAATACTATATAAGTATTTGGAAACACACTCTGTTGCTTTTCTGGTTTACCAGAACATGCTAAAAAGTATGAGGAGCTCTGGCCTTCAAGGAAAGATTGGAACCTATGTTTGGAGGGGAGATGTTAACATGTAGTAAACATGTGCTCTGAGGCTGTGAATGACCAGTGATCCTTTTCATATATGTGTCTCCCACATAATACATGAACCATGCAATGAACAATTGCAGATTCATATTTGGCATAATGTGTGAAGCAGCCCTAAACTCATTTGCACCCCAGCTATAAATCACTTTTCCATCTTCTGAATGATGGCATTATTAATGATCATAACTTTCAACTCTGAATGCCAAAGATGCAGGATGCTATCAGTCAGATGCCCAGGCCTTGTAAGTTTCCTTATGGCTACTTCTCTAAGTTCTGCCTCTGAAAGGAGCTGTGAGGAGCCATTCATTGTGGCAGTCTTGGCCTCCTGTGGTAAAAGGCCCATTTGTGAAAGAGGAGCTGGCAAGAATGGAGTCATGATGAACATGGAACAGTAGGAGGGAAAGACTTTCTTTAGCCATAAAATATTTGTGTTGTGAACAAGCTCCATTCTTAAACTGTTTATGCTTCTTAAGTTCTATACTCCAAATACCCAGACCATTTTCGGCAGTGTATTGGCAAGTTCCCAGATAGGCACACTGCCAAATCATATTGGCAGATGCTTTTCCCTGGCCTATTTTAAAATAAAGGGATTCCATAATCACCACTATTAACTTATTCCACTCTCTAACAATTTTCATATTTACAATTCTTTTTGTAATATTTAAGCTGAAAAAATGTTCTTGTAACTCAAAAACCATTGCTTCCTCCCTTATCTTCAGTAGCTATGGAGAACAATTGATCTCCATCAACCTTATAGCAGCTGTTTAGATATGTATTTGAAAAGAGTTGCCAGCTTTCTGATAGCATAGGCGCTTTCAAAACTGGAACTCCTGTTGTTTTCTCCTTGATAAATATTTTCAGTGCCTTCAGCTTCAACTTAACCAGCTCTCAGATGCCTGGTTAAAACTATTTTATTCCAGGAGGCCTTTGCAAAGTGAATGCTGTTCTGATGTGTTAATCTCTGATGTTTTAAATCTCTCATGTTTAATTATTGTTTTGAATTTTTGTATATTTTATGTTTCCATTTTGTAAGCCACTTTGAGACCCAGATGGGGAATAGTTTAATAAAATAAGTAAATAAGTTAAAAAGTTGCCTTCATATATATTACATTTTAAATCCAATATATTCCTGCTTTCTTTTAAATAATCCACTTGTTTCTTAATGTCATTGCCTGAACCTAGACACAATATTTAACTAGACGCTAATGGCACATTGGTTCTAAACAGTTGCCCAGCATTATGATGATGCTACAATTCTTTTGTGACATGGTACCAGCTAGCTAAGGGACGCGGGTGGCGCTGTGGGTAAAACCTAGGGCTTGCCGATCGCATGGTTGGCGGTTCGAATCCCCGCGGCGGGGTGAGCTCCCGTCTTTCGGTCCCAGCTCCTGCCCACCTAGCAGTTCGAAAGCACCCTAAATGCAAGTAGATAAATAGGTACCGCTTTATAGCGGGAAGGTAAATGGCGTTTCCGTGTGCTGCGCTGGTGCTGGCTCGCCAGAGCAGCTTCGTCACGCTGGCCACGTGACCCGGAAGTGTCTGCGGACAGCGCTGGCCCCCGGCCTCTTAAGTGAGATGGGCGCACAACCCTAGAGTCGGACACGACTGGCCCGTACGGGCAGGGGTACCGTTACCTTTTACCAGCTAGCTATTGATACACTCCATTTTAAGTAGGAAATCAGCCTTTGCCAGCTTGGTACCCTCCAGATGCTTTGAATTACAACTCCCTTCAGCCCATTATCATAGCTGTGATGGTTGAGGGCAGTGCTTATTTTCCGAGGGGACGCAGGGGTACACATACCCCTAAACATTTTGTGAATCAAAGTTTGGCCTCATTGAGGAGCACTATTTCAATATGAGTAGGAAAATGAGAATACTCCTAAACATTTTTTAAAAAACAACAAAGCACTGTCTGAGGGTGACAGGATTTGTAGCAGAAGACATCTGGAGAATACCAGGTTGGCAAATGCTCTACTAAATAGAGGGCTGGTATGGCAATATAAGGTTTGATAACTAGATCATGTATTGAAATCTAAGTGTTGAATTCCCCCTCCCCTAATTTTGTGGTGCCTCTCAAGGAGGTGTTGACTTGTGACAACAGGGGGTATAAATAACATTATACAATAGTTTTTGTCACTGAGAGCAAAATTCATTGAAGCACATTTTTGTGTCTGGGTAACTTGTCACCTATGGTGACATTTCTCTTTGTGACATCTAATTCCACCTGTCATTGACTGGTTGGATGCAGAGGAATGGTTGGAGGAACCAACTGGGAAATCCCCAAGGGAGTAAGACTCAGGGCCCGGGGATTGGTGGTGGGACAACGATGAGTGATCATAGTAAGAAGACTGGGAAGAGAAGGTGTCAGAAGCTGAAGGGGTAACAGGGCTTAGTGAGCTGGGAGAGTCTGTGTCAGAGAGAAGTCCAGAATCAGAGGAGGAAGCTGTGTGAGTTGGAGGAGGGAAGCTAAGAGGCAGAGATGAGTCAGGCTGGTGAAGACTCCCAGGTTGTTTCCCTCTTCTGCTGCTCCCTCGTCTCCATCTCCCAGAACTTGAAGAGGTCTGAAACTGGCAGAGCTATGGCAGGCTGCACGCAGGCATGGTGTCCGATTGCTTGGGGAAAGCTCTGGAGAGAGGGAGGCGTAGACAGCTGTGGGGAGGCGAGGACTTTCAGTCTCGGCAGCTGATTCATGGGATAAGACACTCAGCTAAGTCTGAGTCTTTTTTCTTTTTTCTTGTAATAAAGTAATCTCCAATTTCGAACAGTGCGATTTACTGCTGGTTCTCTCTTTGACACCACCAAAACCCTGCTTCCATTTGCTCCTCACCTGAGCACAAGATGGCCATTTTGTTTCAAGTAGATCTCCCCCCCCCCCCATATTAGCATGCCTGTTTCCAGCAGCTGGCAATGTTGAAGCCATGTTCAGATCTCAACAACCTGTTTAGGGGGAGCTGTATTCTCAAGATACTTAAACAACAACAACAACAACAACACAAGGGTCTTCAACAATACCTCTTTATCATTTGGGTGCAAGCCTAACCCAGATAAATGTAATTTAGCCTATTTTGGTATTAAGTAACATATTTTTAAATGAAAATTCACACATGCACA